GACCCGCGCCTGCGCCGCGGCGGCGGACCTCGGCCTCGACGCGCTCGTCGAGTCGGCCTGCCGCGCGCCCGAGGACTTCAGCGCCATCGCGACGCTCTTCCGCGCGCGCGGGTACGCCGTGCTCGTCGCGCTGCTGGCCGTGCCCGAAGGCTTGAGCCGCCTCGGCATCCTGGCGCGCTACTACGGCCGCCTGCCCGAGGCCGGCTCGCGGGGCCTGCCGCCGCGGCTCACGCCCCGGCGCATCCACGAGCTGAGCTACCGCGGGCTCGAGAGCGCGGCCGCCTTCGTCGACGCCTCGGGCGCCGTCGACGCCGTCGTCGTCGTGCGCAGGGGCAACCTCGTCGGCCACGCCAACGCGCGGCGGCGCGGGGACGCCGGCCGCGGCTGGGAGCGGGAGCCGGCGGGCGTGGCGGCGGCGCTGGCGGCCGAGAGGAGGAGGCCCCTGACGGCGGAGGAGAGGCGGGCGTTCGACGCCGACGTGGAGCGCCTGCGGGGCCTGGTGCCGGCGGAGCAGGCCGGGGAGCTCGATGAGATTCGGGCGCTGATGGAGAGCAGTCAGGTGCCCGAGGCAGAGTATGAGCCTCTTGTACCGCTTGACTGCAACGAGTTTCTGCAGAGATGGGATGGAGAATGCGCCACATCATGAGCCTCGACTCGATCCTTGACAGTCCCTCATAGACTGCCTTGTGTTGTACTTTATGGCATGGAATAAGTAAGGATTATGGTCAACAAATTCGTTTCTTGAGCTTTGACATCGTGGTAGCGGTACAACATTGTATGTACAAGGATTGTGCCCTTACAAAGCATCAAGTCGTCTCGACTCACAGCTAACTAACACCAGCATAAGACGCATAGCAGGCAAGAAGGCGATCAAGGGCATCACAATCCGCTCTGAGCTCGACTCTTGACCAGCTATCTACAGAGCTTCTTTAATCTCACCTTGGTCTCAGGGCGGTCACTCTCCAAGAGAACTCACAAAATGGTGTTCCATTTACAAACTTCCAATTTGCTACCTCAAGCACTGTCAACAAGGTTGACAGCCTCCTCTGGAAATACAAATGACACTTAGAATGCAGACCGTTACTGCAGGAGGGCCAGGCTGAGGCCGGTAGCCACCTTCCTCTCAATAGTGAATTTGACCCGATCCAAGACGCCAAAGGGCGACGAACGTAATGACAGAACAGAAAGACCCAGAAATACCAAACTGATGGGTTGATTTGACCGACATATACCGTAAGCAAAAGCGCATCCAACCAACTCCGATGTATGATGACCTGCCGCCCCTAATGATGATGAAGAGAGAAAAGAGAATAAAATGCTGATCATGTCCGGGTGTCATCCATGCGATACGCAAAATCCGTGTGCGCACCTGTCAACTCCGGCTCGAGAGCAGGAAGGCAAAGCAAAGCAAAGCGAGAAGAGGTAATAAAGATATGAACTAGAAGTCAGCCGCGGGGCTCCAGAAAATCGTATAACGCGAATGATGCAGTGTCGTAATTCGTAGTAGTAGGTAGAGGCCGCACTATGACGCGTGAGAAGGGACACTGCGAGGTGTCACGTCGCCGCTGCGCCTGCGAACCATCCCTTGTTGGGGGTTGTGTGCTTTGGAAGCGCTCGAGATGATCTGCAGCTTCTTACGCACCATGCCCAAGCGGGAAGTAATCATTTGGATGACTAGTAACGGAAATCAGCACTACCGTATTGGATGCACGATGTCAATGTGTAAAGTGCACACATACCTTTTTGCACAGCCTGTTGATCGTCGACATTGATCTCACTAGGACTCTCGTCCCTGGCCTGTGCCTTCTCCTCCTTGGCCCCAGACACTCGTCTCCTGGGCACGTCATCATCATTGTCGAGAACTGCCTCGAGCATTCGGATGGCGGTAACATATGATATCTCACATCCGGGCAAATCATCATTGGCAATTTCGTTGATAGCCGCAGCACGGCTCATCTCGAGAGCTCGATCGTACATGAGCTTCTCGGCGCTGATGCCAGGAGTGAGATGGACGCCATCGGCCCCCGAGTTGCCGATACTGCCGCTCTGCTCGGTGAAGTGGTTACTAGGATGGCTCGGATGGTCTTGTGGGAGACGTTTCTGCGCCTCGACCAGCTTCAACCGAACGACCTCGGCCTTCTCCAACACTTCGTTGAAACGGGACCGAATCCACTGGACAGCTGAATTGATCCTCAGGACCAAGTTCTGCGTGTTTGTCGAATCCCTTGTGGAGGCATGGGCGATGTTGCTCGTGTCCCCACGAGTTTTGCGGGACCACCACATGCTAGCAATGTCCATAGACTTGGCCAGCAGTGACAGAGCCTTAACGTAAAGTACTAGTGCCTCTTCCGACAGCGAGACAATAGCTTCCACAGTCAAAACATCCTCCTCATCGGACGAGGCTTTCTCTGCAGGAACGCCCCCCAGACCATAGTCCATCGAGGGTGCCAAAGGTACAAGTTGCTTGTATTTCACCTCCGCGAAGCCATACACCACATCGCTACGCGTGGCATAGTCTTCGATGCACTGTGTCACACGGGCATCCTCGTCGATGGGGGTTCCTTGTTTGCCATCCCCAATGAGTCCAGCTGGGGATGCCGGGGTCGGATAAGCTGGGAAGGGGCTGTACAGCTGAGGAGGTGAAGGTCCTTTACCGATCAAGGATGCTGGATATTTGACACCAAGGAGGCGGAGGCTCGCATCGTGGATGGCTTTGGTGATGAATGAAGCGGTGGAACCTGGACTGGCAGATAGAGACGGCTTGTGCTCATGAGATTGTCTGGACGAGCCTTGGGCGATCTGCATTGCGCGTGAAGGGGCAGCGGGAACTGCGCCGGTCACAGACGTAGGGTTACCTTGCTGAGTTGCACGACGAACCATCTGGCCAGATTTGGGTGAGAGGGATGTGTTTTGACCACCGAGCCGAGGGTTTGCCGCCATCTCGTCCGCAAATGCGTTCACCTCTACATGCTTCTTTTCGACCACCACGTAATCACGCTCGAAGGCAACCTCCTGGGCTGCCTTTTCTTGCTCGTCTGATGCTGCTGTACCCTGCTGACCTTTGCTTCGACGACTAGCCGACTCGTTCACTAGGGACGAAGGCGGCGAGGGGTTCTCTGGAACTGAGCGTTTGGCGATGTTTGACACCCGCGACTTCCGCTCGTCGTAGAGTGCCGGACGATTCGGGGCGGATGTTGATGATTGCGCAGGCGGTCGCCGGATACCCAGCCCTTCTGCTGCAGCTTCTTGCCTGGGTGAGTAGCTCAGTCGAGCAAGTGCATCTCCACCTTGAGGAGCCTCGCTAGACGCCGTTCTCGATGTCCTGTCGTGGGGTGACGAGCCCGATACTTCTCGGGCGGGGTCATTCTCGGAGGCGTAACGCCGCGAAGACTGCCTGCGAGGAAGATATGAAGGCTCGTCTGATCGGGTACCAGCCCGCAAGTCGCGAGAACTGCGCCGACTAGATGGCAGACTGGGCATTGTTTCTGGTTGCGGTTGCGGTTGCGGTTGCGGTTGCGGTTCTGGTAGATCGTCTTCTACCAATCCGGGGATCGGGCCTGTGACGACGGGATGAGCAAAGAGGTTCTCGAAGCTCAAGCGTTCGACGGGATTCCGCTTGAGCAATTGCCTGATTAGTGCCTTCATTTCCGCAGTAATGGCAGTCTCTCTGGGAAACTTGATTGTGTCGTTTGCCGCTTCAATTTTCCGCAACAGCTCAACGTGATTGCTTGCACGGAACGGTGGCCGGCCTGTGACCATCTCATAAAGCACGGTGCCGACAGACCACAGGTCTGCCTTGGCATCATAGCGCTCATAACGTAGTATTTCGGGTGCCATGTACAGGGGTGAGCCGCAGAGGGTGTCCGCAAGCGACGTTGATGGTAACACGCGTGCGAATCCAAAGTCGGCAAGTTTGAGCATGGGTAATGACTGGAGGCCAGCGACAGGTATCAACGAGTCGCGGCTCGCAGTCAGGATGGGGCGAGCTGATTTGTGAGATTCCCTGTATTGCGGGGAGGGGAGAAGAAGAAGATTCTGGGGCTTGACATCCCGGTGGACGAAGTTCTTCTCTCTGAGGAACTGCAAAGCACTGGCCAACTGCTTGAGAAAGTGCCGGATGACAACCTCGTTCAGGCCAGAATTTGGCACGTTGGGGTATTTTCGGGCCATCTCATGCGTGGCAGGGTTGGTGACCAGCTTTTCCCTCTTCTTGATGAAAAGCGACAGATCACCAAGCTCGCAATATTCCATGATGAGGTTGATATGGGTGGGAGACTCCAGGCAGTCATGCAGGGCAACAATGTGAGGATGCCGGAGCTCTTTGAGGATCTGGATCTCTCCATAGAGGTTCTCCTTGAGCTTTTTGTTCAGGCGCCCGAGGTCAACAGACTTGATCGCAACCGCAGCACCAGAAACCTGACCAGGCGATGGCTGTCAGCTCATGATTTCTAGATGGTTTGAATCGGTGTCCCCTGGCGTCGCCAAAACAACCAAGCGACACTGATGCTACCAGCCCGTATGACAAGGGCAAACACAGCGAGGGTAGGACAGGATACAAATCGCTCTGAGGAGTGTGCTCACCTTGTCTTTGCCCATATACACATTGGCAAAACTGCCCTTTCCGATCTCGGCACCGATTACGAACTGACCACAGGAGTCATCGCGGGGCCTGCCCCGTCGAGAGGAACTGGACGAGGACGCCATCTTCCCGATTGTTGTTGTCAAGTGTCAGGAAGCGCAGCAGGAGGGTCGAGCCCGATGGGCTTATGAGCTGAGGAGCACGGGTGACGCTGGCTCTATCGTCATGTACACATTCGGTTCACATGGGGGGTTGGGTTGGCTGGTGTCTTGCGGTGACTGCAAAGGTGTTGCACAAGGCAGATGTCAGTGAGAAGTGGGAACGGGGCGAGGTCGAGGGCCGACGTTGGTGCGCGCGCGACGGTGAATGTGGGATTGGTTGACGAGTGGGTGGTCCAAGAGGTTGACGGGGACGGTGGAGCTCGCACAGCCGGAGATCCTGGTGTAAGAGAAGCGAACGGGAAAGGACCCGGTGAAGCAAATCCGGCGCTTGATGGAGGGACGATGTAGAGAGGCAGCAAGAGGAGAAAGGAGGCGGGGAAGCTGTCGTCAAGAGCTGGAGGCGTCGATGGCGGCCTGAGGAGCAAGGACGATCGGAGGAGCTTGGAGAGCGTGTTGTGCGGTGCTTGAGGCCGGGGTCTGGTACGAGGAGGCAAGATGCCTGAGGTTAGTCTGGGGTAACGAAGCGCACAAGGCGGTAGGAGGAGGGCGACAAGAAGCTGCCACGGCAACTCATGGCAGTCGCGGCGATCGGAAAAAGGGTTGAGGATAAGAGATGCGTACCAGACGGTTGCGAAGGAAGGACCACAGAGGTACACAAGAGACAGGCCGATGTAGCTGGGCGAGGTGGGAGGTACCGTTGCATACAAGATAAGGTGTGGTAGGCGATCCAAGTACAACCGAATGACTCAGATAAGACCTGGGGTGGAAGCAGGAGGGTGTACGGGGCGAGGTAGGTAAGGTAGATTGGATGCAGCAGTTATCGATGCAGCGCCAGCCTGGATAGGATGTAAGAGGGTGTCATAACACAATAGGTGCGGATGGGGCAACCTTAAGCTTCCGGATTAGGAGGTTTAGTTACTGGGCACGAAGCGCGACTGCAAAGAGGCAGAGGCAGAGGTAGGGCGGTGGAGAGATACCTTAGGAAGAGAGAGAGAGAGAGAGAGAGAGAGAGAGAGATAGGGCCAAACAGAAAGGAAGAATGGTGTGTGGTGTTGGCGAGAGAAGAGAAGAAGAAAAAAAGGGAGGGAGATAGAACGCCGGACAGCGACGACGACGACGATGAGTAAAGACAGGGCGCGCCGGATCAACGAGCAACGCTTCAGTGCGCCTGGCTCTTGATTGCGTGAATCACTTGCGGATGACAAGAAGATGGGCTCGTGATGTGATGGGCGTGGTCCATGCACCCAAATAGAGGTACCCAGGCATTTGCTAGCGGGCTCGTGGTCTCTGGCAAGTACCTTCTCATGCTAGCTCCAAACTGCTCCCTCCCCCCATGCAGGTCCCGGTCGAGGCAGATCAGTGGGCATCAGTTGGACTGGCGCGGCCTGCGGTGACCTACGGCGGCCTGCAGTGGGCTCCAGGGCAGCTGGCGGGATCCATCCATGGATGGATGGGGGCTTCGGCTCATGCTTTCCAGGCGGTCAAATGCATGGTTTGGTCACAATGACACGCTGGATCATGTTGGCCCGCTGGCCGCAGCAGGGTACTTGCAAGATACCTCGGGCGCCTGGATCCACCCTTACCCAGAAACCCAGCGACGGATCCTGCGGTCACTGTCCCGTATCGCCTACTAGCGCCAGCAGGACCGACAAGGCCAGGCGCCAGTTGCGATAAGGCGTGAGCGATAACACCATCCCCCAGACTCGCTCCTTCTCAGGGTTCACTGCGTAGTTAGTGCGTACCCACTGTTTTCTCTGTTCTCTCGTCCATCACCGCCCGATACCGCCTGACAAATTGCGCTCCGCTTTGCAAGCATGCAGTTATAAGAGTCAGAGAACAACAGCGATGGTTCTGGAAGCAAAGCAGCCAGGGTTCCCATCGAGAATCCGATGAATCAGAGATTTGTTTCATCCAGCTGCCTGACTGTGCCGTCACGACCAGCAATCCGCTTCGGTCGCCGCTCAAGAGATAGGTACTCGAGCGACAGTGCTACCCGTCCGCAAACAGCAGGACTCGGTGAGATCACGATGAGCGAGGTGGGCAGCTCGAGTCAGTACAAAGTAGAGACACACCATCCTCTCTCGCCCACACACACACCAGACCTCAGTGTCCCCTTGGCTCTCACACCATCGACGCTGTGGTCCGCCGTGGCCCCCCGCTCGTTTTGGGCTCTGAGCTGTCCATGACACCCTTATTACAGTCGTCGTCGAGTGCTTGTACTAGCTTGTTGAGACGCACTGGGCTCCGGGACCGCGCGAGAGCGAGAGCAGTCCAGTCACCCTGCGGGCACTGTCGTCAATATCCGCAATCATGTCGGTATTTCTCCCAGCATCAACCCTGTCTGCCCTGTCTGATATCGGCCGGCCCTTGTATCATGCAGCTCCCGTCGATCCACGCTGCACTGATTCACAAACAGGCTTTAATGCCATCTCTGACTCGTCTGGTCAGCCATGCTTTCTCCGGGCCATGATATGCTTTTGGTTGTTCTTTTTGCCCTCCCGTTCGTTCCTCTACAATGTACACATCGCATAGGTAGGTCCACAGCAGGCAAGACGCCGGTAGCATTGCTGTCGTCTTCCTCGGCAAGGGAGACAGATCGCCTCCTCTCCCTGCGACAGGAACGTCCCGGCTGTTCTAGCGCAGCATAGCTACTCCCGTACGAAGGAGCTTCTTCGAACCCCTGCTGCTCCTGGGGTTCACAGATCGTGCATGTGGGCTACTCCCGTTCTGGAACACCAAAGTCATAGGCAGTAGCCAGAGCCATGCGGCTACCCATCGCCGGTTGCCCAGCGCAGGACCAAACATTGATGTCTGCCTCATACGGTCGAGGGAAAGTCATCTTACCGCCTTGCTCTTCTCATTCCGCTCGGCCAAGGGCACAACAGGGAAACCTGCCGGCGGCAGCCGGGGAATACGCAATCGGCGTGTACGTACCTTGAGTTGCATGCGCTGTGCAGCACCGATATCCACCGGGTTGCCCACTTGGAGCCACCCCGAATCGGTCGCTGCCGTCACGCCATGCGTGGACTAGCGGATGCGGACCCCATGTTGGCATACGCCCGGCATCTGTAGAGATTGTTTCAAGCAGGGCGCCTATCACGGCGGCGAGAAGCAGGAGCAGTGTGTCCAGCCTGCTCCAACCAACTGATCAGGTCTATGATCCCGCCGTTGTGCTGTGCTGCTGAACAACCACCAATGCCTCCCGAGACAGCCGAATACGGAATACCCAATTTGCTAGAGAGTTCAGCAAGTCGTCCAATTTGGTCATGATGGATGGGATGGGATGAGGGCGGTTCCACTGAATCTGAGACACGAAGGCCCAGGCACATGCATACGTAGAGACATCTGCTAACCTGGAGTATTAAGAAGAGCCATAAAACCCAGGCGGAAGAGCAATCGACCAACCAGTAAACTCACATGCTTTTTGCGTGCATAGGCAACCCTTCCAAGTCATGGACTCCTGGATGAGTCCTGGATGGATGTCCCCCCTCTCCCCCCATGCATCACTTACTAAGTCCTATGCCCGCTGCGCACTGTGAGCAGACCCGACCAACCAAGAGTCCCAAACGAGGCTTGCCGCCTCGTGGAGCTTCATCACCTTTCAGTTTTGCCATGTCGCGCAAGACGGCCACCAGCCAGCTGCCTATGTGTTGTCCGCCCGCCCTCCCGCCCGTCCAACCCTTTGCGTCCAAGAGACACCCCAGAGCATATGCTGTGTAGCCAGCCCATTCTGTCCTATCCAACGTCCTCCCCAGGTTTCAGAGGCCCCTTGTCTGCCTAGACCAGCATCTCACACACCCACCAACCAAAAGAGGCGAACAAACCCCATTGTCCAACAATTCATCTCCAAAGGAGATCCCGGGACCCTGATAGTCCTAGAGATGTCTCGCAGAGGCAGAAAGGCAGGCAGCCTCAAAAGCGGGGGTTGGTTGCCGCCATTGCCCTCGCTCCGCTCCAACCTTTTTGGACCAACCGGCTCCGAGCCTCAGATGCCTCTTTTTTGATTGAAACATCTCCAAACTTTCCCAGTTGACGTGGTCCCGGCCAACAACGCGCAATGGCAACAACCCCTGGTTTTTCTTTTTATGTAAAAGAGGTCCAAAAGGGCGCCTGCCTGCATGCCGCCCATCTCCACTCACCAGCAGCAAGAAGCCGTGCATTGCAGATATCTTTTACAGGGTCCTTTCTCCCCCACCCCCCTGCCTCCCTCCCTCTACGTACCTCTCTGGGCGGGCGAGCAGGGGGACACCAGGGAGGTTGGCTGGATCGAAAAAACTGCCTAATTGACAACCCACCATGCACCGAATCCGCATCACCTGGACGGCCGTGACTGGCTCGGCGTACCTAGGGTATATGTTATGCTGTGGATGTGTGTGTGTGTGTGTGGTATGTGTGGTTCGAGAATGCAACGTAGTTAAACGACCATACAGCATGCAGCTCGTGGCCACGCATCTCCAGTAGATGTGGTTAGCTTCTTCTGACAGATCCGGGCCAGACACAACCTTATGTGGCCCGCCACCCGCCGCTGAGAGCGAGATAGGATGTTTGGGATATCACTACGAGGTGTTAAGCTACGCGGACTGCTGATCACGGTTGTCGAGCGGAGCCACGACACCTGGCGGTTCACAGTGTACCAAGCGATTGGACAATCTTGATGTTTTGAATTTCTTTTCTTCTTCCTTTTTTTTCGTTCCACTCTTATCTACTGAGTGAAGAAAGTCTACGTTGGATGGAAGCTCGAGAGGGACCCATGAAGGCCAAAGGCAGCAAATCTGCCCGGGACCCATGTACTCAAACCTCTCTTCGCAACCCGTAGGTCTTCGACTCATCTGCTATATCCAATAGTGACTCCTAGGCAGCTAGCTACCCGGCGGGTCCCCCGCTTCCCGCGATCAATGCCGGAGCAGGGAGCTGGATCCTTTTCGGTTGCCTGTGACACATCCCACCCGAGCAAACCTCGTTGGGTGGCCTGGTGCGCGCGCCTGGCAACCCCCTCGTCTGGCGCTAGCAGCCCATCCAGGTGCCTGGTCCTGAAAGCGGACGACGGGCCGCTCTCTGGAGCCTGGGGGGACCCCCCCTTGTCTGTGCTGATCTGTCGTCTAATGAGCAGCCTTGGGTGCGTTAGGCAGCTCCCGCAGAGCCTCGCCAATGATGCTGATAGCCTTCTGCAGCTCCTCCTCGGTGATGACCAGGGGAGGGGCGAATCGGATGATGTCCCCGTGAGTGGGCTTGGCCTGTTGTGTCACAGCGTTAGCACATTTGTCATATCTCTTCACGATACCATCAGGCAGACGCCGAGCGGGGTAGGGTAAATGTGTTGTAGTCAAAGACGTACCAGTAGGCCCTTCTCCTTCAGGAGCATGCACAGATCCCAGGCGCTTCGGCCGTTGGTGGCTGACTCGTCGATGACGATGGCGTTGAGAAGGCCCTTGCCGCGGACCAGCTTGATGATGGGCGACTTGAAGTCGGCGATGGAGCCGCGGAAGATCCTGCCCAGCTTCTCGGCGTGCTCCACCAGCTTGTTCTCCTCGACGAGCTCGAGGGCGCGCATCGAGACGGCGCAGCCGAGCGGGTTGCCGCCGTAGGTGGAACCGTGGGTGCCGGGCTCGACGACGAGCATGACCTCCTTGTTGGCGAGGACGGCGCTGACGGGGTACATGCCGCCCGAGATGGCCTTGCCCAGAGTGACCAAGTCGGGCTTGATGCCGGCCCACTCGGAGCAAAGCATGCGGCCGGTGCGGGCGATGCCGGTCTGGATCTCGTCGCAGATGAACAGGACGTTGTGCTTGCGGCACAGGGCCTGGACCTTGCCCAGGTAGTCCTCGTCGGGAACGAAGACGCCGGCCTCGCCCTGGATGGGCTCGCAGATGAAGGCGGCCGTGTTCTTGCCGTGCTCCTCCAGGACCTCCTCGAGATCAGCAATGTTGTTGTACCGGATCAGCTTGCCGTTGGTGGGGTTGTAGGGGCCGACGTTGGGGACGAAGGGGCCGTAGTTGTCCCGGGACTCGGGGTCCATGGACAGAGAGATGGCCAGCATCTTTTTTTTTATGTCGCGATTCAGTCAGCAATGCGCACGATTCCTTCCGCTATGACAGTTTCCAATTGACTTACAGTTCGGCCGTGGAAGTTGCCGCCGACGGAGAAGACGAGAGCCTTGCCCTCGGGGACCTTCTTGACCTTGTACGCCCACTTCCTGGCGACCTTGATCGCCGTCTCGACAGCCTCGGCGCCGGTGTTCATGGGCAGAACCATGTCGTAGCCGAAGACGGAGCGGACCTTCTCGGCCCACATGGGGAAGACGTCGTTGTGGAAGGCACGGGAGCTCAGCGTCGCCCGCGAAGCCTGCTCGGTGAGGGCCTTGACCAGCTCCGGGTTGCAGTGGCCCTGGTTGACGGCGCTGTAGGCGGAGAGGAAGTCGATGTAGTGCTTGCCCTCGGGGTCCCAGACGTTGACGCCCTCGGCGCGGGCAAAGACGACGGGGAGAGGGTGGTAGTTGTGGGCGGCGTACTCGTTCTCGGCGGCAATGGCTCCCTTGGTGGAGGAAGCGTGATACCGCGACGTGGTGGCACTGCCATTCGCAGCGGCGCCGCTGTTGTCGGCGTGGGGGGCCATGATGTCGACTGGCGAGGCGGGATTGAGTCGTCTGAAAGGTGCCGTGGACGGAGAAAGAATCGTGTTTGTCACGACTTGTGGAGAGCAGCGGGTGGTGTTACGATGCCAAGACGCACGAATTGGTACCAACAAAGAGTTATCTTATCTCAGACGCAAAAGAGAGGGGCCAGGAAGTGAGATGTGATTGACAGACAGAGCCTTGTTCCGGTCTGGTGTCTTGAGTATGGCAGAAAGCGAGAGGAAACAGTGTGTATTGGTCAGAGATGTTAGCAGACAGGCTCTTATACGGGCGAAGAAAAGAAGAAAGGAAAACAAGGGCAGAGCGGAGCTTGACACGAGTCGGCTTGCATCGCCCAAGTAGGGCATCGGCGGCGACACGGAGCATGGGCGAAGCCTCCTCCGGACGCCACACTAAACCCCTAAGTGCAAGTGGAAGCGGCCGACCCGGCCCATCGCCAATCGTCCGTCGTCATGTGCGACGGTGAATGCCGAAGGAAAGCGGCACCTCGAGGGGTCCGGTGGGTCGAGATCAAGATCCCGTTATTCAAGGAAAGCACCGTGCCATTGCAGGTTGTGCTTTGCCAAGGGCAGCTTGGGCAGATATCGGCTGATGGGCCTGGTTTCTTGTTCTTGGGTCTCCTGAAGTGTTGAAGTCTAGAGTCCTGGGGGATTCCCCACCGGCTGGCCGGCTGCAGGGAGGGTCAAGGCCAATTTCTGGTTGGGCTACCTACAGTACGAATAATGTTGGCTACGAAATACCGGCAGACATTCAGACAGACAAGAGTGATTGGGGCAGCTTCAGAAGACAGAAACAGATTCTTCTTATGAATGCGAAAAAGAATAGATAGAACAAACAAGCAAGCAAAAGAAGTAAAAGAAAGAGTGTAAAAAAAAAAATAGTACAAAAATTCAAAAAGAAGTTGACAAGAGTGGGATTCGAACCCTACTCAAGTTAGCTACTGGTTGTCTTCTTCACTGTTACTTTTAACGTACCACGAGAGTTTCCCCAGTAGAGTTCGATAAAAGTTTTTAACTTAAATCTACCGCCTTAAACCGCTCGGCCATCTTGCCAATTTAAGCAAGTTCGGGCGCTATTTTATTATATGAAACAGAGCCCCGGAGCCAAGTTCAGGAAAACCTCTAGACGGGTTGCATTCCTGATTCATGTTGTGTGCGACATCCTGATTAGCAAGGCATGGTCGGGAACCGTGATCGCGCTCGACATTTTCAGAAAGGACAGATTGTGTACCACGGGATTGAGAATCTACCTAGGTAGGCACGTCGAAGTCGGATCGCATGGATGAGTGTGCGCCTTCAGATCGTGTATGGCAGGCGTCGCCGAGCTGGCCCCCCACCACGACCACCACTAAATACCACTAAAGGCTTCGTTTAGACCACCTGATTCGGAGCGCTACACGAGCCCACGCCACCTGGATGAGCCTCTTGCGGCTCTGAGGAAGCCCGTACTTCGTAGGTTCTCCGCAGCCTAGCACCTATTTTCCATCTTAGCTGCAGGCAAGCCCTTCTCTCTCGTCGGCAAATTGCCTTCCAGGCTTGGTATTTGTTTGCCGAGATACTTCTGGACTGGAGGACCTGACTACTCCACTGTAGCAACCCCTAGACCGAACCCTTGCAAGGCAACGTATTGTAATTGCCAGCTGGCGGTAGCTAATGCAGGCGGTCGTCATCGCCCACGACAGGCCGTCATTACACGTTGTGAGCGGGCGAGCTTCTAGCAAAGGCTAGCTACGGAGGACGCGATCTAGATCCCCTTGCGGAAACATGATACGTGAGGCCGCGCCGCCATGAGCTCCGAGAAGAAACGTGCCGTGGCGGACAAGACGGGCGAGAAGGCTGGGCTCTCCCCCGAACCCCTGCCCGAGCCGCCAAAGCTCCATCGCGATGTTCTCGCCGCCCAGACCCAAGATATATTCCTCATCTTGCTCATCCTGCGCTTCTGCAACGCGCTGTGTGTCCGCACCTTCTTCCAGCCGGATGAGTTCTTTCAGGCTCTCGAGCCGGCGTGGAACATCGCCTTTGGCCCCGAGAGCGGAGCCTGGCTAACTTGGGTATTTTGACTCCATCTCCAAGTGCAAGACTCGGACAGTGTGCTGACCTGTGTTATAGGAATGGCAGCATCAGCTGCGGTCATCATTGCACCCAGCATTATTCGCTGGCTTTTATGTTGTCGCTGACACCATCGTCAAGTTTCTACTGCCCCCTTTCAGGCCTATCGTCTTGATATGGCTTCCCAAAGTTGTTCAGTCTGTCTTTGCGACTCTGGGTGATTTCTACACATGGAAATTTGCAGACAAGATATTTGGAGAGAACAGCCATGCCTCTTGGGCCACAGTATGCCAGACTTGTGTCCTGAAGCCATAGGGAGAGGCTCGGTTGACTGACATCTTCCCAGCTATGGTTGACAATGCTCAACCCGTGGCAATTTTATTGCTCAACGAGGACGTTCTCCAACTCCCTCGAGACAACTCTGACCGTAATGGCCCTATACCATTGGCCGTGGGAGTTGCTCGGGGACTCCAACGACAAGACTGAAAAGCTAGTTCGTGGCAATACGAGTGCTCAGGGGTAAGCCATGCAGCCACACTATTCTCTTTCCCCGAGTAGTCTGGGACTTGGACAGCTGACAATTTCAGGCTCCGTCTGTCGCTGATCCTTGCGGCCGTAGCAGTCATTCTCCGGCCTACGAACCTGCTCATATGGGGAGCTATCCTCACCTTGACAGTGACGAGGTTGACGCTGGATGGGAGGTCACCGATCGACGGGCCCACCCTCACGTTCCTCTCCAGCGAGATCGTCCTGTGCGGAGCTTGTGTCCTTGGACTGTCTGTCGTATCGGACCGCTTCTACTTTGGCTTCTGGACTTTCCCTCCCTACGAGTTCCTGCGGTTCAACATCTCCAAGGCGCTGGCCGTCTTCTACGGCCGAAACGACTGGCATTACTACCTCTCCCAGGGCATCCCCTTGCTGACGACGACCTTTCTGCCGTTTGCGGTGCTTGGAATTTACAAAGCTACCGTCGGCATGCCGTCGGTGTCTGTCCAGCAGTCCAATACGCTCAAGACGCTCGCCTTTGTCGTCATCTCCATGGTGGGAGCGCTGTCGCTCATCTCGCACAAGGAAGTCCGCTTCATCTACCCGCTCCTGCCCATCCTCCACATCCTCGCCGCGCCCCACGCCATGTCGTTCTTCACGGCGCCGGCACCACCCACTACTACAACCACCGCAGATACAGGCCGCAAAGGCGAACAAGCAGCCGCTACCACCAAACCGTCCTACGGGCGCAAGATCATCCGCAAGCCCCTGCTCTCGCTCCTGCTGCTCGTCAACCTCGCCCTGGCCGGGTACCTCTCCCTCTTGCACCAGCGCGCCCCGCTCACCGTCCTCTCCTTCCTGCGCTCCGAGTACGAGCGCCTGCACCCAGACCACCTGGACCTCATGCCGTCCCGCGCCGCCGACGGCCAGGGAAACTCCCCCCTGTCCGGGCCGCACCCGTCCGCCCTCACCGAGTCATCCACCGAGATCGGCGGCGCAGCAGACGACGACAGCGAAGCTGCCGCCGGGCCCGGGAAGAAGAAGAAAGAGGAGCTCTTCGTGCTGTTCCTCATGCCCTGCCACTCGACCCCCTGGCGCAGCCACCTGGTGTACCCGGGCCTGCGCGCCCGCGCCCTGACCTGCGAGCCCCCGCTGCACACCGAGCCCGGCACGCCCGAGCGCGAGGCCTACCTCGACGAGGCGGACCGGTTCTACCTGCGGCGGCCCTGGGGCCGGCGCTTCCTCGAGGAGGAGATGTGGCCGCGGCTGCCGCGGTCGGCGGCGGGCGATGATGACGACGGCGACGGCAGCGCGTTCGGGCGTGGGGGGGAGGTGCCGCGCTACATCGTCGGGTTCGAGGGCGTGGAGGGCATGCTGACGGAGTACTTTGGCGGGGAGGGGCGGGACCTCGGGGTGCGGCTCACGCGCGTCTGGGAGGGGTGGAACGGGCTTTTCAGCGAGGACTGGAGGAGGAAAGGGTTGATGGTCGTTTGGGATACCGGGGTCTGGGGTAAGGACGTAGACGGAGGGGAGGATCGCTCTGTGTAGATCTCATGTATCTCATCCAGGGGTTTGTCTTGGCTGAGTTCCGGGTATTGGTGGCTAGTGCCGGTCCGTGTCGGGTTTGTGTGTCCGGGGTTTGGGGGGGTTCAAAGGAAAGTGTTGTACGAAAGGCGCGCTTCCAAAAAGAAAAAAAAGACCAGATAGATCCATTTTACAAACTTGTTCTCTTGCATTTGTCTCTTTTTTTCGAGAACTAGATCATGCGGGGATCGTATCGAGATCCGACTCGGCTTCTTCTACCTGCGAGGTATTTCTAACCATTTGATCCAAAACCAAACCCTGACCATCGCTCTCCTTTCCAGACCACCTCCACACGTACATACGCCATCCTTTCGCTTTCTGTTCTTTTTTCTTTTTTCTTTATCTCTGAATGACTTAGATCATGTACCTGAAGTCAGGGTTAAGATCCTGGAAACAGCAAAATCGTTAGCCATCTCTCTCTCTCTCTCTCTCTCTCTCCCACACTCCCAACCCATCACAAAACATTCCAACAAGGAGAAACAAAAAAAAAAAAAAAAAAAAAAAAATTACCCCGAGCTCCGTCTTCTCATAGTCGGTCAGCCCGACGTCGTGCACGGCCTTGTCCCGCCGGCGGTTCTCCCACGTGATGGCGAGGAAGTACAGGACGCAGCTGAAGGCGCTCAGGCACACGAAGCCGATGCAGATGGAGTAGCCCTTGCGGTAGAAGGGCGCGTCGGTGGGCAGGAAGGCGTAGGTGGCGATGATGCCGCCGATGTTCCCGAAGCCGATCTGCCAGGCGACGCCGATGGCGCGCCGGTGGTGGCCGCCGAGGTTCATGTTGAACCAGCAGACGATGACGGGCATGGCGCTGTAGGTGCCCATGCAGATGAGGAAGAGGGCCGCGTACTCGACGTCGGTGCGGTCGTGGACGTTCATGAGGATGCCGAAGCCGGCGAGGGACAGGCAGATGGGACCCACGGTGAAGAGGAAGCGGTGCTTGGTGACGTCGGACAGCGTGGCGACGACCATGGCGAAGCCGAAGGCGACGGCCCAGGGCGGGACCGAGTGCAGCTGCGTCTGGATGGGGTCGTAGTTGTAGGTCGACAGGATGGCCGGGGAGAAGAAGGCGTAGCCGTAGGCGGGCACGATGAGGCCAAAGTACATGAAGCCGCCGAGGAGGATCTTGTAGTCGCGCATGACGGTCAGGACGTCGCGGAAGCCGAGCTTGCGCTCGGCGGCGTTGCGGCCCACGTCGGCCTCGAGGCGGGCGCGGACGTAGGCGCGCTCGTCCTCGGTCAGCCAGCCGGCCTGCTCCGGGAAGGAGGGGAAGACGAAGAGGAAGGCGAAGCAGACGAGGAAGGTGATGGCGCCCTCGATGATGAAGATCCAGCGCCAGCCGTTGTACCCGCGCAAGCCCTGCATCTTGCCGATGCCCGAGGCCAGCAGGCCGCCGAAGGCGCCGGCGAGGGAGGTGGAGGAGAAGAAGAAGGAGTAGCGGCGCTGGGCCTCGGAGCGCTTGTACCACATGCTCAGGAGGTAGAAGCAGCCCGGGAACATGCCGCACTCGAAGACGCCGAGGAAGAAGCGGGTGGCCAGGAGGCCGGCGTAGTTCTGGACGAGGCCCTGGCACAGGGTGACGAGGCCGAAGCCCATGCCGCAGAGGGACAGCCAGACGCGCGGGGAGAAGCGCTTGAGCAGGATGTTGGAGGGGATCTCGAAGAGCACGTAGGGCACGAAGAAGATGGTCAGGGCCGTGTTGAACTTGGTCGTGTCGCCCATGTCGAGGTCGGCCTGCAGCTTGAAGGAGCGGGCGTTGGCCATGTTGATGCGGTCGAGGAAGGCGAGCAGGTAGAGCAGGGAGATGAAGGGGATGACGCGCAGGTCGATCTTGGCCATGAGGCGGCGCTCCGTCGTGTGCGGCGGGCAGGCGACGTGCAGCTCGTCGTAGCGGACGGGCGAGTCCTGCGCGTAGGCGCCCTCGTCCGAGAGGCCGGCGCCGTTGCCCGCGACCGGGTCGGCGTGCTTCTCCGAGGCTGGTGGCCCGGCGCATTGGGAACGTTAACCACAGGTACACATGAACACACGGACGCGAACAAGAAAGGGGCTATTCAGCAATGCTCCAGAGAGGCGGCAGGATCAATGCCTCGTTACAAAGCGCGACGATGACGACGGGGGGATCGCATGCGAACGATGCCGCCAAGCCGACTTTGGTGTAAGTCGGCACGCCAAGCCGCTGCTGCTACAGGAGAAGTCGTCTACTACACGACATTGGAGAAGGAGGAGGAAAGGCGCTTACACTTCTTGGAAAACATGATTGACCTCGTGGACGTCAATGGGTTAGAGGGAGCCTATCTGCGAGGCACTACCCTGTCCAAAGTCAAAGGTAAGCCAGCAAGCAGCAACGAGCTACCGTTTTTGGTTGTTGTGAAGGTTGCAACTAGAAGCGGCCACGAGCTGAGAGGGTGTGCCGCTTTGTTTCCCTTTTTGACCGGATCCCCGACACTCTGTCACCGACTTGGAGAGCAGAGCAAAGAGGGAAAAGAAGAGTCTGACGGCGTGTGTCAGGTCTCGGTCGTGAGGGGTGGGAAGAAAGTGCCGGTGTAGGAAGAAAGGACCGGTCACGGAAGTCTTATATGGTGAGAAACCCACCGAGTGGGTGGATGAGAAAAAAAGACTACAGCGGGACGGGACCAACCCCAGGTTCGGCTTTTGCCTCCCTTGCCATCCCCCCCAGATGGGACGTTCTTTTAACTTTAGAATTCCACACGAACCGACTAGACCGGTGCGGCTCCCCGCTAGCTGAGCGTTCATCACCTGCCGAAAAGGAGCATAGTCAACCTGGAAGCTTTCGAAAAGGCCCCCGTCAGTGGCCCCCCATTTCTCCCCCATTTCCCCTCCTTTATGGGTACGGCTCCAAGAAGCCATCGCTCAGCTCCCTCGCATCGGCTACCCGCTCGTCAATTCTCCCTCCTCTCTTCTCTTTTGCCCAGCCCCCATGCCGGAGAGGCAGCAGCAGCAGCATGCAGCCGGCCGTGAAGCAGCGAACTGGCCCGAGGAGTACCGTGGCACAGTAGGTACCGTGGCACGCATGGGGTAGCAGATGTGCTACGGACCATGCGGAAGTTTTGGGGTTGCAAGCAGGATGCAGATCCCAAACCCACGCGGTTATCTCCGCACGAAACAAAAGGCCAGGAAATTATTCACGGCGACGAGGGCATCCGTATGACCCTCGTGTGCAAAGCTTACGTTGGCCGGTTCTCCTCGCCTCCCCGTGGCATAAGACTTCTCTCGAGTGAGCAAGCAGCCATGGGGTCACGCCAGTGGCCGGCTAGTGACAAAGTCTTGAGAGATCCTAGTGAATCCATCGTCGAGCCCGTTCAGGCATGTCGATCCCAGCCAGCCACCCCCCTCCCCCATGTTCATGGAAATTCCGGGGAACGCAGCATATCTCCCGTCATGGTTTCGAACAAAAAGAGCATGACAAGTGCTACATGGATGTGAACACCCCCTCCTTCAATGGATCCCACACGCCTATTGGCAACCGCCAGATTCCAAACCTCACGACAGATCGTGTTGATGTCCTTTTTAGCATCCGCTTCTGGACCTCGGCGCTCGCTGTGGAGTTAAGCCACTTCGACTTGGCGAGCTTAAGTCGTTGCCAATGCCGCCACGGCGCCTACGCTAACCTCGATCGAGGCCCTCCCACTCGCCCATCCTCGGCCATGACCTTTTTTGTTTTCTCTGACTGGGGAGTCATTGTACAGTCGGCAACCTGTGTCGGCAAAAAGAGGAGTTGTGCTCTCTCTCTCTCTCTCTCGCTCTGCCGGTCTTTGTAAACAGTGAACCAGCTATCCGAACTCTCAAGGCTACCCGAGGTGTTTGGTTTCGGGTGTAGCTCTGTGTGCTGCAGTCGGGAGCACCGATGGAACCACCGATGGACGGAGTACAGACCAAAGTTGCAACATGACTGACAAAAGGAACACAGATATGATATAAACCCATCTCCTTACGACCTCGGAGCATGTTGGAAAAGCAAATCCTCACTGCCCAAGCGCAAGCCAGCTCTTTGCTCACCAACACGTCCACAGTACAATCCCAAAACAGTTCACCGAGACGCCAACATCCAGCATCGCTCCAACTCCGATCCAGCATAGTGCTGGCGCCCATGGCTGTGGAGTCCCATTTCTGCTCCCGCTCAGCGCTAAAGAGCTTGTTCGACATTCACTACCGCGCCCGCTGTGGTCTGTGTACGGTACTTTTCCCCCCCAAGACTGGACCTAGAAACTCCTTAGTTCCTTAGAGCAAAATGCAAACTAGAAGGAAAACTCCGAATATAGTGTCGGAGCAAAGGAATGCCCCCCAGCTTGTTGAAGCAATAATGACAAGAAGGGACCGGCAAGGCTTTTGAGCCTACCTACCAAAAGTAGATGAAAAGATAATGCTAGGTAAGGTACCTACCTAGGTGATATGATGGTCGTTGCAAAGGGGAAAAGCAGCGAGCCCCGCGTGCAGAAACTTCAAACACGCCCTAATGCAGCCTGCCGGGTTCCATGGAAGCCTTCTCGAACATTTTTTGTGGTGTTGCACCGCGCAAGCGCTACTGCGTGTAAGACAGCAGCAGCAAATGTCGACGTCTCGGACTCGCATACAACCTGATGTACAGACAGACAAATTCATACAGCCGATTTCCGTCCGTCCATCTCCTTTGTCAACAAGTTTCATGCCGTGAAACGCCATGGAAGTTCTCGAACCCCTCCTCACATCGTCCCGTCTTGTAAGAGAGCTCCAGTCACGCACGCAAAACGCGGCCGGTAACGGAGGTTCGAGGGAAATCATCTCCTGCCCGGTCACACGTCCATTCCATGTTGCAGCAGCCACAGCACATTCTCTCCCGGTTTCGCCCCCATCACATCACAGAAATAACCATCGTTCAGATACATATCGAACAGAAGCCCCTGACCCGGGCATATGAATTACTTTCCCGGAACTACCATCCGGGGAACATTCTACAGAAGAGTACCGCGTAATATAGACAAGGGGAGGAGGTGCGCGGGCGGGGGGGTTCAATACTCATTACAACTATGTTCGAACAAGGTGTTCTTCCTCTCAAAAACTCCAAGCCTCTTTGCCCTGCCCTCATGTTTTTCTAAGAGGCCCTTCCTTTGCCTCAATCGACCTCGCCCAGGACATGGCCGAGACCATCCGCGCGAGTTCCTTGACCCATCCATGCTTTTTTTTTATCATCCATCAAGAGGAAAAAGGGGGGTTCGGGGTGATGATGAAATGGGAGCTCAACGCAACAAAAAACAAAACAAGAACATCTTCCGGTACCGCCCAGATCGTCTGGCAGTATGTGTGAATATAGTACGTCCCGAAACACAAAAGGCCAGATGAAACAAAACTCAGGGTATCCTCAATCGCACGCACCCGTCGCAAACCGCCATCGCACCGCAAAGTTAGAACAAAGGTTGTCGAGTCGAGTCGAGTCGAGTCGAGTCGCGTACATCCGGTCTTCAAAGAAAATGCATTTCTCTAGACATGTCCGGATTTCAGGTGCCTCAACGTCCTCGAGGCTTGGGGGGGAAAAGCAAACAATGATAGGTATAGAGGCACCACGAGGTAGAGACCGCCAACTCCAAAACAGTACGACTCGTTCTCATGAATGGCCCATCGCCGGCACACAAACATGTGGCTGGATGGTCCTGCAATGAAGCAAGAAGCTTTACTGCGGCGGTGGCGGCGCCGGGGCAGAAGGCGCCTCGGGTTGTGCCTCGGCCTTTTCTTCTTCGGCCTTTCGCGTGAGATCAAAACTCTTGCCACGAGAGGGCAAGATGTTGCTGCCCAGAGAAGGCCGGTCTGCGGGTGGCGACTTGGTCCGTGAGTGGTCCTTGGCCTCTCTGTATTTGTTCTTGATCCATCCGGTGAGACCTCGAGAGTCCTCTCGGCCGTCCTTGGTCGAATCCTGCGATGATTGGCCCTCGGCCGTCATCAGCGTGGCGGGGTCTGACGACTCTCCTGTGAAGCTCCGGGCTTTGTAACCCGTGCTGCCGACGGAGCTGGTGCTGATCTCAGCGTGGGTGTTTGCGCCGAGAGCCTGCTGCGACGACTGCGGTTGTGACGTGACCGACGGGTGCGTGGTGTCTTCCTTCCTTCGTGACAGCCTCCAGAGCCTTCGTTTCTCCTTCTCCGGTTCCGAACGCTCCGACGGGGCCAAGGTCTCATCCACTTGATCCATGTCAGAACCTTCATTAAACGAACTGTGGAGAGAAGTGGGAGGCGACCGCTTGGACCGCAACAACTGCTCAGCACTCGCGGGATGGAGACTTCCAGACGAAGCAGCATGCTCGTGAGCCGGTGGTTCGTGGGCTGCCTCGGTAGGGGCCGGAGGTGTGCTGGTTGCCGGGATTTGCGAGGCGCGTGGCGTCGGCTCGGAGGGCGTTTCACTTGCAGATTTCATCTCCGGGTAAGGTTGATGTTGCACGGAAGAGCTAGCAGCGTCCAAAGAATCCATCGGGTCACGAATCTCGGCGCTGGGCGAAGGCCCGGTAGAGCGGGGCAGAGAGGCCGTCGAGCTCTGCGCGCTTGGGTTGGCGCTTCCTGGTAGCCTCTTCTTCCTCAGTTTGTTGGGCTGTCGCGAATCGCCATCGTTGCCCGGTGACCTCTGAAAGAGGTTCTGGAGCTTGCGCTCCTTGGATGGCGTGGCAACCTCCGGGGTGGGCTCCAAGAACTGCTTCTCTGGTACCTTGGCGGGTAAGCCAGCCTGGGCGGCCAGGCGGCTCGAAGCATCAGCTGCGGCCGGGGAAAAGACTTGCTGGGGGTCGGGCTGCGTCTCTGGCGGAGTGGTAACCTCTTGGACAGTCGGGGTTGCGGGCATATGTGACTGAGCGATAGGAGTCAGGGGTGCGACGGGGCTGGACGTCTGATCGTGCCGCCGCTGGAAACGACCGGAGCCAATAGCCGGTGACTTCTTGGAAGGTACTGTATTACTTCGGCCGAGACCGCTCGAGGGCGTTGCGGTCAGGGCTGGGCTGCCGGGGCTCGGCGCACCGTTCGACTGCCTCGAGTGTCGCGAGGAAGTCGAGCGATTCCGCCGAATCTTGCCCTCTCGGGCCACGCTCTCTGCGCCAGCGCTGGCACTCGAGGACGATCGGACGATCCCAGATGTGCGAGCAACAACTGGGGTCGCTGGCGCGTTCGCAGGCGGCGTACCCTGTTGCACAGCTTGTACTGTCTGCTCATCGGCTGCAGTTCCTTGCATGCCGATGAGGAAGTGGTCTTGATTCTCGATCAAGAAGATGATGACACACTGGTTGAGTCTGTACTCTTCAGGTGCCATAGCATGCGTCGGGTGCGAAAGCATACCGGGCTGGAAGATGGCAGCAAGATTCTGCGAGTTCATTCGGTTCTCGTCCGATTTGGCGGCGAAAACGGCCAGGAGATCTAGGATGTAGAGCAGTAGTTGGCGGTTGAGTGGCGGCAGTTCTGTTATAAGGTGCTGATACTTGACGATGGCGGCTTTCATGTCGAAGTTGTCGACAAACTGTGGACCCTCGGCATCACCCACGGCCTGCTTGGTTGCGCCTCGAAGCGGTTCGCGGAACCTCTCGTACAGGTCGAGAGGGACGACGGGCTCCGGAAGGTCGTTGAGATAGCGCCTCAGGACGTTGGCTGCATCGTGAACTGTGTACCCGTCCCACACAAGCCCTTTACCGTAGCGGTCGGGTGAGTCAAATGCGGCCTTGAGCTCCTTGATTCGCTTCTCGGAGCCGCTCAAGCGGAAGATGCCCTCCACGCCGGTAGCTACCCGACAAAGTCAGCCATCACCCCACATACGGACCTTGGATTTCAGACTGGATGAAGCATGTCCTGAGACTGACCTTTCTCTTTCAAGAAGACACCGCATTTCGCTACGACAATCGGGACGTAGCCGTATATATAGCTCTTTCCGTTCGAGTCAATGAGAGAGATGGCGACGTTCGCATAGGTGATGCTCTGGCGCAGGGGCACGCCAAAGATGCCCTGTGGTCGAGTTGGCTCTGTTGTGCTTGTCTTAGTCTTGGTTTTCTTGAGTTTCTTGAGCTTCTTGAGCTTCTTGATGGCTTTGCTGAGGGGTGCTAGGATCAATCGCGCCGGCCGGCAGAGACCTTTGCTCCGCCGGCAGAACTTGGCGGGCGGGGAGCCGTCACTTGACTGCTGGTCGCCTCGTGCCTGGGCATCTTCATCTTCTGGCTTAAGGATGTTATGGAAGAAGGAGCTGGTCGACTGGTCATGCTGTGCGTTGCCGCCCTGGGTGCCAGCTTGGTGATGGGGGTGGGTGCCTGTGTCTGTGTCTGTGTCTGAGGAAGAAGTGAAAGGGTCAGTACCATTTTGTTCCACATTCTTGGATGCGAGCTTGAAGCCCTTCCACCACGACTTGAGATCCCTCTTGCTCGGCGGGGAGGCGGCCTGGGGTTGGGTCGCGGCGGGCTGCGGGTGCGAATTCGCCTGCGCTGGAGGCTGCGGGTGGTTTGGAGGGTGGCCGGCGGACGTCATCGTGATGACGGCGCACTCTGGATTTCGCCCAGAGCTGACAGGAAGGGGCAGGAATACGGTCGCGACAGTCGGGAGCACTGCAAATTAGATGGCTATATCGGCGGCGGATGAGATTTCGCGATGGCAGAAGGGGAGAAAGCGAGCGAGGAGCAGCAGCAGCATGCGCGGTGGGATGGGTTGGAAGCTGTGACGACGCTGCAGCAGGCCGCAGCAAGCAGCAGCAGAGAGAGGTGCGAGGGTCGCTTGCGACGGGGGGTCGCTGTCGCAGTCGCTGATTGGCGATGAGCTCTGGCCTGTCAGATTGGCAATGCGCAGCTTGCAGGCAGAGACAGCTGGTGGGTTGGTCGGTAGCTCAGCAGCCTTGGATGACAGATGCTGTGCATCGCTTGAGGCAGGTGAACACAAGGAAGGGCAATGGATGGATGGATTGCAAGAGAGTTGGAGGTTTGGAGGTAGCTCGAGTCAGTTTAGGTCGGGCTGTTGTGCTGCGCGGCGGGTTGCAAAGGAGGATGACAACAAAGACCGCCCAGCCTGCCCGCCCACTTCGAGCCCAGAGTGGGTTTTTTTTAGTGACGCGCCTTGGCGGACACGGCGGGCATTGGCTTTTTGGTGGAGGGCGCGCGGAGGGTTTCCCACTCCAGCTTCCACCTCCAGGGGCTCCAGCTGCTTTGCTCTGGGGAGCTCGACCCTCTGCCCAGGTGGGCTGCAGTTGGGGAATACAGCGCCGCGCAGACCCCCGGGTACGAGCCAGGTACATTTACTTCCATTCCCTCTTCCCCCACTCCAGGGTACGTCAACCAGGTACATGCACTACATCACCTGGACTTGGGTCATTTTGCCTTTATCGTGATGATTTCCTCCGTCACTGACTCTTTCACACTTCTTGCAGCACCTCCAGGTCAATTTCCCGCATCACCTTACTTGGACGTAAAAGGCAGGTGAATGGATGCATTTTGCAGTCTTTTTTTGATGTCCCAAATCTGCCCGCCCATCCACTGCTTTGCGACAGGGGCTAGCTAACTACAAGTACAAAGCATTGACCTCCAGTGTCTCGGTTCTCATGGACAAGCCCCGTACCCGGTTAGGCGACCGCTAAAAAGCCCTGGCGGGCTCTACCAAAAAGCCAAAAAAAGATGCTGGTTTAGGTCCTGTACTTGTTAGTGGGATAACCCATTTCTTGAAAACAGAAAGTGGTAAAGCGGTTGAACTTCGAGCCTGCCGTGTCTGTAGAGAGGAGAGTACAAATGCCGTACCAGGCCTCTAGCAAGATCCTGTCCCGGTTGGAGGCTCGCCTCGACTGATAAATGAGAATTGAAGAAAAAGGTCAGGTACTTGGCGTCCTAACGGGGTGCAATAAAGAATTCCGAGCTAATTAAACGCTTCCGATGTCTAGTCCAGGTACTGGTCCCTGTGGCGTCCTCGAAAAGAAATAGCTTCTCCCCGGCTCTTGAGCTGTGCAGGCCTGCATGATACTACCAGCCAATCCTGTCTGGGACTACCATTGTGGTGCCTGAGAATTGAGGACTCGCCATACGAGATGCAGGTCAATAAGAATGGATTAGAGTTTTCCTTGTTAACGGTTCCGGCTTGAGAGGATTTGCCATGGCAGAGCTACTTGTGCAATACAAGTGTGTCGATCACCAGACGGCAAAAAGCAAGGTACAGACCCTCAGAAAAAGCAGGACCGGGTCGCTTCCCAGGAAATGAGCAGGCTCGGCCGGTGAATAGGGCAAGGTACGTTGCTGTTCCTGACAGGGCTTCGTAGGCGTCGCACTTTTGGCAGGACATCTTGTCGATCACTTGGAATACTAAAACGTCTTGGGTAAGGAGCTTCCAGGACGGATGAGGGTCCCATCGGTGCAACACTTCAAGAAGCTTTTTTCCAAGCTATGGACCTTTGTAGACCTGATCATTACCTGTAGGATCAGGGAAAAGAAACCCCCCCAATACGACATCTGATGCCTACCCACAGACGATTTCCAGGCTGTGAAAACTGAGTTTGAGCAAGCAATGAGAAGGGCCCTTGCAATATTACCCGTTGTTCTTGATGCGCTTACAAGCACCATTTGCCGATGGGGGATCAGCAATGGCATCCCTGCTGAAGAGCCACACATTACAGTCCCCATGCGGGCAGTGATGACCACCACGCGGCGATTTGGTCTACAAGTACAATGACGTCTACCCTTGCAGGACAATGCCCTCGTAAGAAAAGCTGCAGCGAGCTACGTTCTCTAGTTGAAGCATCAAACTGCAGGGCTGCTGTGGGATTGGGCTACTGTACAAAGAGGGAATCTGGTCCATCTGAACCCGACAGAGAGGCTGGGCTTCAAGTCCAAATTTAGTTACACATCCAGATCCGCCATGCCGGTCGCTGCTCAATGCCGTGTAAAGTAAGAGGCTGTAAGCATGGGCAGGCGGCATGTGCATGTGAGGCTTGGCTTCTTACCCACACACTTGCCCCGACCTATTGACTCTTTCTGCTTGGCGGTCGGGCCAGAAATGATAATGGTACAGGTAAAAGCAGGTTACCTGTCGGGGAGCCCCTCTGCTGATCGCCGCACATCAGGAGCCTAGCGTACGTCATACGGTGGTGTCATTGCAGTACTTTGTGGCTGAGACCCTTTCCCAACTGGCACGCTCTCCACCATCGAGGTGGATGGGCTCGTGGGAGACCCTTCGTTGGAGAGCGAAAGCCTTTGCATATCCATTTGAGCTCTAATGCAGGGCTTCAGCACTACCGCATTCCAGCCTTGAAGCGGTGCCTGGAATACGAGATATGATGCAGATAAGGGCGCAGTGGTCCATGCAGCTGGTGTTTCATGTTTTTCTCCCAGCTTGTTTAGTCGTCCCTTTTAAGTGGCTTGACGAGAAAGCTTCCCTCGAACATGGGACTTCTTTGTGCTAGGAATTGTGTGGTTGTATGCTTGTCGAGGGAGGGAGGGGATTCATGAAGGATCCCGTATCAATATACAATATGCAGCTGCGGGATTGACTAACACTTCATGTAGCTGGTGGCTGATCAAAAGGAATGGCATTCACCTCTAGAGGCCACAGCCCCCTTTCGAGAGTTTCCTATGTCGCTAGGTGTGATCTTGACGGTGATAGCTTCACCTTGAAGCTGTGCAGATGACTTGGCGAGATTTCCGAGCACAGGGAAGAGTCTGAGAAGACTTCCATTGAAGTGCTTGATAAAGTCCTCACAACGCCGCTGAAAACAGTCTCTCATTGAGCTGTAGCATAGTGAGCAGGTTTAAACTAGCTCGGGGCACAGATCGATGAGCTCTTTGCTCGAGTCTGGCGAGATGCACGAAAGTGATAAGAGCGACTGGAGGATCACATATTATCAACAAGTGCTGGACTGGACATTGATAAGCGATAAGAAACTGGCACACGTGATGATAACTCCCACTCGCGCCAATGACACTGCGACCGAGATGCTGTTGTGGGCCCTGCAGAGCTCTGCCGAATCCCAGTATCTCGGAATTTTCTGGACAAGCCGATCTATCTGAAGAAGAAGAGCAATTCACCACACGATCAACTTTGTCTCATCCCAGCCTCTCATCCCATCCACACATCACCTCCGTCAGTCTCTCTCTCGGAAGTATCCTCTCTGATCGCCCAGCCACACACACTTCTCATCGCCATGGACCAGTCAGTATTCCTTCCCTCCAATCCCTAGGCCTTCATTATCGCCAAATGACGTCCCCTCAAAGGTCATCCGCGGACTGACAGTCAAAACTCTCAACAGACTCACGCAAGCCGAGGCCAAGGAGCTCGAGATGCGCCTGCAGAAGAGACAAGTAAAGGAGTTCCTCGGTGTAAGTGCCGCTGCCCCCCCTTTCCGCAACAATCACACTTGCAAAGGCTAGTGCCTACAAAAAGTGTCGTCATCTCCTATATGGTTTGTATACTGACTTGGGAGGAATGACCTTCAGCTCTTCGGCAACCTCGTCGACCACTGCTTCGTGTCCTGCATCGACGACTTCACCTCCAAGACGCTCTCCGGCCGCGAGACCGGCTGCATCACCCGCTGCGTCCAAAAGTCCATGGCCACGTCCACCCGCCTGAGCGAGCGGTTCCAGGAGCACAACGCCCAGCTGACCGCCCAGCAGGGCCAGCCCGGGCGATAAATCTCCCAGATCAAAATCTCTGTGCATTAGGGCGGCTGGTTGTGTAGAAAGGGGGTCGATGCTCTTCTCTCTCTTGTAATGATAAGGAATGGGAATATCCATGATTGCCGAGCATTTCTGATACCCGTCAGGATGGACTGGATCGGAACATGTCTAGGATCTCTTCGCATTGGGATACGGATAGCCCATGATGATTTCAGGCATTCTTGTAACATTAAAACAGTCTCGAAACAAGCATTGAGGCTACTGTACTAGAAAATCAAACATGGAAAGGAGGTCCGAAATGTTATACGGACAGCCTCCATTATGCATTTATATATCGTTCGCAGAATCTGGTCATCAAAATCATAGTGACAAGACTTTATCAGCCGAAAAAGAATCATTGCTCTATCTAACATGAGCATTTTCTATGGACGCGGTGCAAAACCCAGTATCTCGGAACATATTGGCCTCAGCCAAGCCTTTGTCCAACGCCGCCTGCCTCATGAATGAATACAAACTACACTAGTCTTGACATCCCATTGCCTTCTCCCCGAAGATAGTACCAATATCAAAGAAGACCGACCCATCGTCACCTTCTCGGGCTAACCTTACTCGGCATCATCGCTCAGGACCAGCTTAAGGCCCTCGAGCATGCCCACAACCTTCTCCTCCAACTTGTTCTCGATCTGCGCGCCGGCGGCAACCGCGCCGTCCGGCCTCATGCCGCGCCACTCCGCCTCGCGCTGGCCCAGCGGCAGCAGCCTCTCCCGCAGGACCTTGGGCCGCGAGAGCCAAAAGTCGACGTTCTCCACCAGCGTGCCCGCGTCCCACTTGATCTCGGGGATGTCGCGGTTGTTGTTGACCCGCAGGGCGGCCAGGACGCGCGTGAGGAGCGCCAGCGAGTGCACCTCGGAGGCGGCCAGGAGCGTGACGTACTGCCCGCTCTTGCGCGAGGCCGTGCGGCTGAGGCCGGGGGCCTCGAACCGCTGCACGCTCGACTCGAGCAGCGTGGGGAACTGGTTCAGCACGAAGGCGACCTCGGGCGCGATGGTGGTGCCGAGAGCGATCAGGATGTTCAGGAGCAGGGGCAGGATCGCTTTGGCCCAGACGGTGTAACAGCGCTGTGCTCCGACCACGTCTGCAAACGGCGAGACGTTGGAGCGCCGCATGTGGTTTGCGAGGCTTGACGAAACGATGTGTCCGAGGAGCCCATCGCAGGCGAGCTGCTCGGCAATCGTGGGCAGAGTGGAGAGCTCAAGCAGGAACATGAGACTAAGCTCTCCGTAGATGGGATCGCCGTTGACGGCAAGCTTGTCTGCCCAAGAGTACAGAGACGTGGCGACATGTAGTGCGTCATGCGAAGCCATGATGTTGAGAATCTGGGTCTGGCACTGGTCCATGCCGGGCATACTGATGCAGGCTTGAAGGATGGCAGTGATGAGAGCCACATCTTCCGGAAAGACGTTCGCCTCCGGGTCGTGAATCAAGCTTACCAGAGTTCTGAAGCCCTGCGCAACAACCCGGTCCAAGATGTTGAGGACCGTCTGCGTCGTTGAGACGGCCAGCTCTCCCTCGGCGCCGCCATCACTGGTCGAAGTTGCCTTCGAGCTATGAGAACCGCGAAGGATCACATACAGAACCTTGAGAAGGGTTCGGTAGTAGGGCAGTTGGTCAGGGTCGTAAGGACTCTCGACAGAAATAATTGTCGTCCACAGAGACACAAGAAGAGAGTTTATGTCCTTGGGCAGCATCGAGCAATCCGCAAGGCGCTGGACAAGCATCAACGACAGGTTCGATCGTGCCTGGGTGAGCTTGACAAAGATCTTCTCCGGTCCCTGGAGGTTCTGATTCGCGGACAAGCACTGCTCTGCAACCTGAATCATAGCGATGCTTATCCTCTTGCTCTTTGGCAGGAGGCAAAGGCTAAGCTCAAGCAGGAGGAATTCCCAGGAATGAAACAGCGCCTATAGAAATGAATGTTAGCAAATGTAGAATTTGGAAGGGGATGCGTGGGCGACGTACAATTTGAGCATCGACGAGCGAAAGGTTGAGATTTGCTGTTCGCATTTCGTGTCGGAATCCATCGTCCTTCTTGCCTGCCCAGGCCGAGTCAAAATTCAGCATCCTCTCTGCCAGATCCAGAGCGTAATAATATTGCGGTCCGAGATCACGAGGCGCAAGCAAGGTACGCTTGAAACTCTCCAGAGAGCAGCCCGAATAACGGGACTCAAAGTTCTTTGCAAAATTCACGTGCAGGGAGGTATTGTACCCTGCAACACCTACACCATCCCTCAAGAAATAGTCGAGGTCTTGGACGACAGCCGACGCGAACTCTTCCACCTTGCCCATCTGGCGAAGATGATATAGCTGCATAGCAAAAGTCTCAGCTATGTATGCTGCTATCCGAGCTTGGTCGCAAGCTGCGGCTGGGGTTGTCCTAGCGACGACAGAGGCCGATTTGAGGTCTCGAACATAAGCTCGGAGTTCAGTGAGATACGCCTGGTCGCTGTCCACTGCCAGGATTGTCCACGGCCAGTAGTTGTGCGCAGATGTGAAGAAGTCCAGCACTGCAAGTGCTTCTGCGGCAGGAATCGAGGATATGGTGCGCAGGGTTTCTTGAGCTGCGTACAGAATTGAGTTCGATGATGCCTTGGACAGCTTTCCGTCGCCCTGTAATGCGTCACGCGGGGTTTTGCCAGTAAGGAGGCAATTAGCCATCCACTGCTGTCGGTTCCGTATAATTGTCGAGAGAAATTTCCACACTGATACGACCTCTGCCGTCCGGTTGAATGGCTTGTCTAATCGAGACAGGATCTCGAGGAAAGACTTGGAAATCTGGGGGCCTAGGTAGCCCAGGAGGGATGGGGGCTCCGTGGTGACCTTGCCCGCACTCACGACGAGCGCCTCCATGAGGGCAAAGATTGGCGCCCTGTAGGTATCCCGGACGGCACAGAGGCGAGCGAGCAGCGACACAACTTTAAACAACTGTGTCTCGAGCGAAGTTGAGGGTTGGTCCAGGAAGTTGATGGCCTTGAGCAACACTGCAGCGAAGCGGAGGACCGTGGAAGTCGCCTTGATGACGACGTCTTTACTACGCTGGTACAGTGTCGACTCGGGCAATTGGAAGGCGGTCATGAGACTCATAAGCAGCGGCTGGAATCTCAGAGAACCAGAGGACGATGACATGAAGCTGTCAATGACATATCTTGCCGCAGGGACCAAACATGCTGTTAAGGCGCGGGATCCCTTGGGATCACCAAAACTGAACGAATACTGGATAAGACTGTCCAGTATCGTGATGACTTCTTGGGTAAGCTGGCTTCGGTGGATCTCGGAAGCGAATCGCCATGTGACGGTGTTTTCGAGAATGTCGATGGTCGTCTGAGCGATTGAAAGGCTCACTTGCTCCAGCACCTTGTCCGAGATTCCAAGCCACGAGTTGTCGTTGTTGTTGGTCCGCCCAACGCCTTTGTTGCCGACTGTACGTTGGACAGAGCTTTCTAGAGTGCTGTCGATCAAGCTTGACAGGAGTCGCATCGAGGAAGCCAAGAAGTCGAAGCGAGTCGAGATCATCTCTGAAGTCCCAGTCAACCGCGATAGACGCCCGGCGCGTACCTCAGTGGTGAGCAGCTCACTCCTGGCCATGTATGACCATACACGGCCGGGGCAGACCGCAAGTGCAGCATGAAGGAATTGGATGCACGAGTTGAGCACCGCCACTGTCGCCTCGTCTGTGTAAGAAGATTGCTCCTGGATGATAGTATCCAGAGTATCACAGATAACAGTGACGATGTCTTTGTTATTGGGCAGTGCTCGGCTTGATTCCCTGAGCACGTTCATCCCAGCCTCAAGCGCACTGTTTCCTTCGGACCTTGCCGTTGCTTTCAAAGTCTCGGTCCGTACCAAATAGGCAAGAAGCGATATAGCCTCAGCGACCTCGCTGGGTTCCAGATAGCCAAGAACACTATCGTACTCTCCACGAGAAACATTCACATCTAGGCGTTTGCTCATAAGAGCCAGAGCGGAGTGTTCGTGGTCCAAAATTGCGATTTTCCCTTGGTTGGTCAGAAATCGACCGTGAGTACCAGCAGGGATGGAGAACGACTCCTCGTCGTCGATAAATCGCCTCCGCCATGAAGATGATGGCGTAAATAGCGGCACGTCTTGGGTCAGTACGAAGGAGTTCGTGTCCTCCTCCTCCTGGTCCAACTCATATCCAGTGAACCTTGGGGGAAAGGTAAAGGTCAGGGTAGGGCTCTTGAGCAGAAGCTTGAGAACCATGTCAGACTTCTCATCCTTGGAGAGACACGCTGACAAGCTTTGACACAGCTGGGAGAAGGGGGTAAACTCTAGCGGAAAGCGGCACATCGCTTGCTGAAAGTAAAGCTCCAGGAGCTCAATATCATCCAGAGCGTAGGCTGAAACTGCCGAATCTGCATCGACAACGGCCGCCTCATTCAGGTCCCAGTATTGAGATCCGCCAGCAATGATCTGCAAAAGTGCGCCCAGAGGTTCTTCTCGATACCCCACAGCAGGGAAGCTGGTCTTGAAAAGATCGAGAAACGTGCTTCGAACACGATCACCCAGTGAAGGCCGAAGACCAGAGTCGACACCATCGCCGGCGGCCGCAGCGATGGCCAAGAGCACCTCATATATGCGGCTATCATCGGTTGCGAATTTGGCCAGCATCTCAGTGAGGTGTACGTCCTGCTGCAAGGCTGCGTCGGCAAGAAAGCGGTCGTAGCGGGTGGACTCCAGGGAGACGATGCTACTTGCTGAGTTCCGGCGACCTAAAGGGCCATGTGCCTGGTTCTCAAGTTCAAAGCCCAACTGCGCCCTCTGGTTCTGCGCGATGTCACGGCGCTCCGCTCGCTCCTGGAACGAGACGTACATCCTATGGAGGATTAATGCCCAGGAGAACGTGACAGGGGTAACGCTGACTAGCTCAGCTTCCACAACGACCAAGATCGCTTTGTGGATGACCTCAAGGACGTCAGGGTTGACAATGTAAGCATCTTCCTTGTCATCAAGGTCCAATTCTTGGTCGAGGATTGCCAGACACCTAGTCGTGTTTAGCAGCGCGACAGATATTGAGCAGATCAAGGACCTCAGAGGCAGGATAAGATCCGCGACCGCAGCATTGTCCTAAAGAGAAAATTGGGTCAGTTTCGCCGCATTGGCAGTTGGAGAAGGGGCCAGAATTTACAGGTGTGAAGCCGTCCAGAAATCCGTACTCTCCCATGAACTGAAACCACCGTGAGACAACGAATGGACTTGTGAAAGCAGGAGTTGAGAAATCGACAACCTGGAATATCAGAGCCATCGCGTGTGTCAGTTCGGAGAGCGATGTGACAGTCCATTGCGTCTCCATGTCATCGGACACAACAGTGCCTTCCTTCAACACAGACCGAAGACCAGCATCGACACGTTGGATGCAGCTAGGGAGGATATCCATATACGTCGAGAGGAGAAGGTTGAAAGCCTGCGTATCCATATCCGCGTTTGCATCTATGGCGTATGCTGTCTTGAGGATGTCCTTGCGCAAAGCTTCGGAAGTGGCAGTGGTTGCCATGTGCGGCCTCTGGGGGTGCAGCATCAAGGTGGTCAGATAGTCTGCCGACATCATGAAGTATCGACGTTCGGACAAGTAGTGCGCAAAGATGCGTTGGCGCTTTTCGACTTCCGTCTCGAAGTCCGACCATATCGTCTCAGCATCCTGCAAGTTGGAAGTATCCAGAGTAGCGAAAATGCTGGATGCTTGGGCACTAGTCACTCCTGCTGCTTCCTGGAGGTTGACAAGATCTTGCGCAGAGAGGCGGCCGGTCAGATGGTTTTGAGCTCGAGACTGGAACTCGGCCACGACGATGCGCAAGGCGGCGACCTCGTTGATGTCTGCATTCCTGCTGAGCCAAAGCGCGTCCTCCTTGATCGTCTTGATGTCGTACTGGTCGTTCGGCGTCGGTGTGACGTTAATAGCGGCCGTCTTGGTCTCGAATTCGGATCTCGACTGGGATGTTGAGGCCTCAAAAGCCTTCGTCGGTGCCTTGAAGAGGCCAAGGACGTGATTGTCGCGAAGGAACTCTCCGACAGCCTGGCTGTCCAGTCGATCGCAGGAGGCATCGGACAAGGCAGAAGCGACCAGCTTCCAGGAGCTACAGAAAAGCGGTTAGTCTCTAATCACGTCACGAAGGGGTAGACTTCTCGTGTCTGGTTGAAGGGAACACCTACAGCAGAATCCTATCGCCTTTCAAACATTCCTCCAGGGACGGGAAGTATGTCCGATCAGAGGGCGACGCCATTGTTGCGAGGCTCACCTGGCAACGAGAGATCTATTGCCTCCCAGTACCATGAGAGTTGCGCAAGAGAAAGGCTGATGCAGAGCAAATATGGTGCGACTCAAAGGGCGTTGGGGGACCAAACGCGGTTCGGAGGGCCCAAACAGTGTTGTGAAGGTCGATGTGCTGTGCTTGATGCGTGTGTCTGGCGCGAAGCTCAAAAAAAGTGAGCTCTAGCTAAACACGGGGATTCTGGTGGTGGACTGGGTCGTAGCTTGACGTGCCATCCAGCAGCAGCAGGGGAGGCCCCCACTACTCAAATATCAGCGCCAGACTCGACACAATGGAACTTCAACTTCAACATCAATGAAATCAAGAATGAGGTGCTTCGCGAACAGATTCCTTTGTCCCCTGTCTGCATGCAATAGGGCCTCATACCTCTAGACACCCCAAAAATTTACTATGTCTCAATCGTTCCCTTTGTTCACTTCCCAATTCCTGTTTCGGGAGATCCCTCTCATTCAATCTCGAAGACCTTAGGTGACTAGTACCCAAAGGTGGTAATATCGCCAGGAGGCCCCAGGTTACCCGCCTTGAGGAGTGGCTGTCCATCCACAGCCATATGAGGCGGTTCTTCCACGGATCGAAAGGCCTCGGAAGCGATGGAAGAAGCGGACCACATTTGTTGCGTGTTGGGATTTTGACTTTCCTTACCAGCAGGGATGGAATTGACAATAGAACGAGTATACGTAGACAAGTCAAGCATGGGGTATCGATTGAAGTGCCTATTGGCCTTGGCCGTGACGGTTGAAAGCGTTGTCCCGACTAGGTACGCAGGATTCTAGCCAGGTTCGCCTGCAATTTTCGTGTACCAGTCCCTGACCAAAATACGCGGCCCAAAAAAAAAAGTTGGGGATCGCAAACCTTGATAAAGTGTTATCGGCAGTTAAAGTCGTACAGCAGCTGACTCACTCAGACCGTCACTTCACCAAACATTGCTCCCCGCAGCCGCGATACTGGGGAAGAGCTTCCCCAAAAACCACAGAGAGGCCGTCTCCTGCACTGCCTTGGTTCATTACGAGTTCTCACTGCCCGCAAAGATCTCGTACGCAGGCACAATGGCTTCCTCAGAGATCATTGACCACTCCCCGCACCACCCGGAGCCGGTGGCGCCGATCCCCACGGCGTCCAATCTCATCCTCATCGACAATTACGACTCCTTCACCTGGAATGTCTACCAGTACCTCGTCCTGGAAGGTGCGACAGTCACCGTGTTCAGGAACGACCAGATCACCTTGGACGAGCTCATTGCCAAGAATCCAACGCAGCTTGTCGTGAGTCCGGGCCCCGGACATCCCATCACGGACTCGGGGATCAGTCGCGATGCCATCCGCCACTTCGCCGGCAAGATCCCGGTGTTCGGCATCTGCATGGGACAGCAATGCATCTTTGATGTCTATGGAGGCGATGTCAGCTCTGCGGGGGAGATCCTTCACGGCAAGACCTCTCCCTTGACCCACGATGGAAAGGGCGTCTACGCTGGGATGGCGCAGGGTCTTCCCGTCACCAGGTACCACTCTTTAGCTGGCACTCGTGTTACGCTCCCGCCGGCTCTCGAGGTGACCTCCTGGATTCCAAAGGAGGATGGCACTCATGGAGTTATCATGGGTGTCCGCCACAAGGAGTACACCATCGAGGGAGTCCAGTTCCACCCCGAGAGCATCCTGTCTGCCGAGGGCCGGACCATGATCAAGAACTTTCTCCGCATGCAAGGAGGTACCTGGAAGGAGAATGAGCGGTTGCAGGAGGCCGCCAAGGCCGCATCGGCTCCCAGCGCAAAGCCTGCTTCTGTAAAGCCAAAGGGGAACATCCTGCAACAGATCTACACTCGCCGTAAGGAGCTGGTGGCTGCCCAGAAACTGGTCCCGTCGCAGAGGCCAAGTGACCTTCAAGCTGCCTACAACCTCAACTGTGCTCCTCCACAGATCTCCCTGCTAGACCGCCTACGCCAATCACCCTACGACGTGTCTCTTATGGCTGAGATTAAGCGTGCCTCTCCGTCAAAGGGCGTTTTTGCGATGGACATCGACGCCCCCTCCCAGGCCCGCAAATATGCTCTTGCGGGCGCCAGTGTGATCTCTGTGCTCACGGAGCCCGACTGGTTCAAGGGTAGCCTAGAAGACCTCCGGGCTGTCCGGCAGGTATTGAACGGCCTGCCGAACCGGCCTGCCATCCTCCGCAAAGAATTCATCTTTGAGGAGTACCAGATCCTGGAGGCAAGGCTAGCTGGTGCCGATACTGTGCTACTCATTGTCAAGATGCTCGAGACAGACTTGCTCACCAGGCTGTACAACTATTCCCTGTCTCTGGGCATGGAGCCCCTCGTGGAAGTCCAGAACGCCAAGGAGATGTTGGTTGCTGTTGAACTCGGGGCCAAGGTCGTCGGTGTCAACAACCGTAATTTGGAGAGCTTCGAGGTCGATCTCAACACCACAAGCCGCCTGAGGAGCATGGTTCCCAAGGAGACAATCATCTGTGCCCTCAGTGGTATCAACTCTCACCAAGATGTCTTGGCCTGCAGGAACGACGGCATCAATGCCGTTCTTGTTGGCGAGGCCATCATGCGGGCGCCCGATGCTTCTCAGTTCATCAGGCAACTCTGCGCAGGCGAGACGGCATCGCCAAAGCCGCCAAAAGTTGAGCCTCTGCTCGTCAAAATTTGTGGCACTCGAAGTGCCGAGGCAGCTGCAGAGGCAGTCAAAGCTGGTGCTGACATGATTGGCATGATCCTCGTCCCTGGCTTGAAGCGATTGGTGTCGGACGAGACAGCTCTTGCAATCTCACAGGCCGTTCACCAAAACTCAACAGCCCAGGCTCCTCAAGCGGCTATTTCATCAGGGGTGAGCAACACAGCGACCGACTTCTTCAGTTTGGCGAGGCAGAGTCTGTGCAGAGGTCGGACCCTCCTCGTGGGTGTATTCCTAAACCAGCCTTTGGCAGAGATCCTGGAGAAGCAAAAGCGATACCAGCTCGATGTGGTTCAGTTACATGGCGATGAGCCTGTAGAATGGGCGAGCCTCATTCCCGTCCCTGTGATCCATAAGTTCAAGCCCGGTCAGCCGGGCCTTGCCCTCCGAGGTTATCACACCGTTCCTCTCCTCGATTCTGGGTATGGGTCAGGCAAGCTTCTGGACATGTCTGCTGTCCAGACCGATCTCCTCCGGGACAAGGAGCTTACTGTGGTGCTTGCCGGCGGATTGAACCCTGAAAATGTGGCAGAGACGGTTGCTGCTGTCGGTGCTGAATCTAGTAGGATTCTGGCTGTAGATGTTAGCAGTGGAGTTGAGGTCGACGGGAAGCAGAGCCTCGAAAAGATTCGGGCCTTTATCAAGGCAGCTAAAAGTATAAGATAGATTGGTCCTGCGGTAATGCAAGTCTAGATTGTCGTCAAAGATCGTTCAGTCTCGCTTTAGTTTCTCTTCAGTTTCGACTAATGCTGTCCTCATTTCCGGATCAGAGTCCTTTCAGATACATAAGCTTGCCATCACTCTCCCAGCACACTACTTCATCCTCCCCCTCACCGTCTTGACCACTCTTTCACCTTTTCCTCTTTTAATCCAGGCCGAGCACCTCTCATTCTCTTTCCTTCCTTTCTCGCCCTCTTGACTACGCTCTTGCCTCCTCTTCTCTTGTTCAACGCCCAAGGCGAACTCGAGGGTTTCATCCACCTCTCTCTCTTGACCGTCAAAACTGACGTTCGCTTCATCTGACGACCAGATCACCGGCCATCAGTCGTCACAACTCACTTATCTCACTCTACCACTTTCAGGTTTGACCATACTGCTCTCATCGATCATGGCTTCACTCAGCCAGCGGCGGTCGCAGATCTTCCGCGGAACTCGCATCGCTCTTGGCGACAATTTCCGTACTGATATGCATATCAGTGACATGGAGGTGGCCATCACCCGCCGTGGTGGTCAGGTCACCCGCGAGGTTGACAAGGATACCACCATCCTGATCACGTCGGACAAGGACTACATGCGCAAGTCTAACAACGGTAAGTCTCTTGCAACTCATTATTGAACCCAGGAATCATCCTTATCCTGAGATGCGTAAATCAACTATCGATTTCACTAACAACTGCATTCCGCCCCCTTGTCTAGTCAAGGCAGCCCTCGTCAAGGGCGGCAAGGCAGTCCCCATCGTCGAGTGGCAGTGGCTCATGGACTGCATCGACCGGAACCACAAGCGTCCCGTGAAGCTGTACAGGCTCGAGCAGAACAAGAAGCAGCGCAAGGAAGACGAGGAGGAAGCGCAGGCCGAGGCCGCCATCTATGCTGAGAAAATGGAGCGCGAGGGTCTCTTCATCAACTGGGGTGAGTTTGCGCTCAGTTTTCACATGACATTTCAGAACCGTGATTAACCAAGAACCCCTGCGCGGTTAGAGCTTAATGACATCTACACCGACGCCACGGGCTTCAAGTTCAAAGTCCGCCTCACCAGGCCTCGTGCCGAGAACGGCGAGATGGACGAGGACGAGCGCAGCCTCGTGGCGGCTGCTAGTGGCAGGACGGATGACCGGCCCAGGGACAACGAGCATGAGATCATGACCCTCTATGTGAGTTATCACCGACCCTGCTTCCCCCAGATAGACGCCCTGCCACGCAGAGTGAGAAAGATATCCCTCCGCCCCACTAACAAATGAATCAAAGCTCGCCGAGTCCAAGGAGAAGAACCCCACGCTCTACACCTTCGCTTTCGAGTACCAGAAGCGCAAGGGCGGCAAGAAATACAAGAACCGTCCCACCTTCGCCGGAGGCGTCTTTGCCGACGAGTTCGCGCGCTTCAAGGACTTCTTTGAGCGCAAGTGCGGCATCTCGTGGGACGAGCGCCTTGCCAGGGTCGGCGTGATGAGGCACCTCAACTTCTTCGAGTACGACCCTCCTGTAAGTTTTAAAACCCCGTGTCTGACTATCAGCCGCCCCCCGGTTTCCTGGGTGGAAATCTCGAATTCGTATGAGCAATGACTAACTCTGGACCGACTAAAGGCCAACTCGGGTGTTCCTCTTGGACTGATCGAGGGGGATGATAATATCCCGGAGGCCTACAAGGAGGCCGTTATGGCCCAGAGAGAGGCCGCAGAGGCCCAGGCCATACAGAACGAGATCGCCGAACTCTTTGGCGAGTGAAAATGCTGTCGGCGGTGCTGTTCGATCCAGAAAGCAGGAGCATTTAGTTTGATGTTTGAACATTAGGTCCAGCACACGGAGGACATTCTCAAGATTCGATGATTATCACAGCCGGAACTGCGAAGGGAAAGGCGATACATCCATCGCGAAATCCCCACAAAGAAAGAATAAGCAGCATTTAGTTTAAAAGTTTCAATGCATTTCGTCATTTTTCAGCATTCGTAAGGGTATCAAGGCGCAGAAAGAGCCAAAGTGTACCACTGCAGTGATCAACACGTAAACGCTGTAGATGGCAACTCACACAATATCGAGAATAGGCTCTGCCTTTACAACCGCAGCTTCGGCAAGAAAAGGAAGATGAGTATCAGCACAGCCATCATGCCCCACACCATGCCGTACAGCATCATCCGTCCCAGCCATCCCTTGCCTTCCGTCATCCTCGTCAACGCGCTCATCTTGCGGCCAGCGCTCTCCAGGCCCCTGTCACTGGCGTACATGCACTCTCCTGCCCTGTCGAGGATGTCCTTGTCCTCCTCTAGTAGGCGCGCCGTGGTCATGGACTTCTCCTTCAGCGCTTTGGCCATGCGCAGGATGTCCTCGGCCAGCGCCTCTTGCTCGTGCCTGTGATGGTCGAGCATAGCTTCCTCCGTGGCCACGGCAGAGATGGACGTGCGGCGCCTCCCTTCAAAGAGGTCTGAGGAAGTAGTCTGCGCTGTGTCCTGTTCAGACTCTAGCTTGTTTGGTCTGCCGCGCGCCCGTAGTGTTTGGGACGGCGCGGTCTCGGGCACCACTGCTGGCCGGGCTTGGTGCCGGTTTGAATCTGTTCCCGTTGACTCTTTCTGGGCCGCTGGCTGTGCGGACAGGGGTTGATCTGCTACTGATTGCGCCTCCGGTGCTTCAGTTGCTTCCTCAGCAGCCGCTTCCTCCGTCTCCGCTGTATCGTTGCCCGTGCTTTCGCTCGGCGTCTCTATTATGTCTGCGAGCAGGTCTTCTCCCTCCGAGTCTGAATCTCCATCATCCCACCCCATATTCTCAAGGTCATCCACCCGCTCAAACAGCTCGTTGATGAGCGCCCGCTTCTTGTTCAGGTCGGCTTGCAGCTCCTGTCGTCGGCTGTGGACTTTTACTCCCAGGGCATCCTGCTCGAGAGTCGTGAGCCATTTCCTTGCAGTTTCAATGTTCTGATGAGACGCACATTAGCTGGGAAACCTCTAAACAGCACAAGATACCTCGCATAACGACTTACATATCGCGTTTTGGTCCGTTCGTACTCGTCCCTTCTTAGCCTTCGCTCGAGTTCGGCATTTGCGTGTAGGATATTCTGTTCAAGGCGGGATAGTAACCTGTTCAGGTCTAACAGCGGATCCCTCTTGATAGCACCAGGCGCGGGTGCAAACGGCGAGTTCGTAATTCGAGCCATCTTTGGATTTTTAACCGTACTTCACGGATGATGTTGGGTTTAAAGAATGGTGGAAATGGGTGACGTCGGAAGGACAGCTTAGGTAGATGGGCACTGTGGCGCGAGCTCGTTTCTGGTGGCTAGTGTCCTCAACTGGCGCCACCTGGTCTATTCACCAGCACCAACGCATAAAATAGGTAAAGAAAGCAGCGATTTCAAACCTAAGGTATACATCATAATAGGAACACTGTCTTATTATGACAAGCTTTCAATTGGGTATCATAGATAGAAGGAACTCCATATCCTAATGCAAACCAGACCTATACCTGTTTACTCCTCCTTCTCGAATGCGTCGTTCAAATATCCCACAAAGCCTTCTCGGATCCTTGCCACTGCTAAGTTTCCGACCGCCTCCAGGCCAATGCCACCCCTGTTGAGACCCAGAAAGGCCCTTCTGTATCTCTGTAGCTGTGGCAGCCCGACTTTCTTGCCAGGAAGCTCGACGACCAACTCGCCCACGCCATCGCCTCGTGGCAGCTTGACTGTGCCGCCGACCTCGTCTCCTTGATGCTCGGATAGCCGCTTCACGATGTCCTGGGTCTCCCGGTCTAGAATGTAAAGATAATCTCCACCTGCGTCTGTGCCCCTCTGCAATGCAACCTGATTCGGCTTGACAACCTTTCGGTTCTCTCCGGCAATCGTCTCCCAGATGCTGTCGAAAACCTCGTTGGCCCGAGCCTCGTCATCCTCCCAGATCAGCGTGAAGAGGGGGCTGTCCCAGCGATTCATGGCATTCGGCTCCTCGTATCGAAACACGAGATTATCCCAGTTTCCCGGCTCGTAGGGCCCTTCGTCCGCTGAATCGTCATTGACACCCTCGCTGCCGTTGGTCTCGCGCTTCTTCAACCTCTCCTCGTTTATTTGCTTCGCTCTGTCCACCGCACAACCGATCTGCAGCACGACACTCGGGGTGCGCAAGTTCTTGGCCTCGCAGAACAACTGGTACCGCCATCCCTTGATGTAGTTGAGACCGTCCAGGATCACAATGTCGCGCGGCGACAACACTCGCTTCACGGCGCCGTACAGGGCAGCCCTGGCATCTTTCTCCGAGGCATTGGCGGAGCGGGTGTGTGCTGGTAGCTTTTCGGGCGATAGGTCGTAAACTACTCGAGATATAGAGAGAGTCTGGTCTGATATGAGATGCAGGCGGTATTTCGTCTGGCCTTCGGGCTGGGCCGCGATGCGCTTGGAGATGTGCTCGTGTAGCTGCTTTGCCCGTGTGGATTTGCCCGATGTCGGGAGGCCCGTGACTATTATAAGCTACAGAGAGCAGCAAGCAAATCAGTCGAGTAATCTCTTATATATGCAGAGCCATGGAGTTGAGACTTACCGGCATTGTGTGCGGCTAAGGGTCTTCGACCAAACCTGTGTCCCGACAACAGCCCAGTGTGATGCTATGAGCTTTGCATCTTCTATTGCGTGCAACTACCCCGCCGAGATTTTCGCTCGATCTACTCCGAGCGACAGCAGATTGATATTTTAGGCCCTGTTAGTAGCTTCTCCCCGCACTTGGGCTCGGGTTGGTGCACTAAATCTTTAGTGTACCCGCTCAGGATTCCCGATTCAGACACGCCAGAGTGTATGTCTCACTAATTGGACCCCTGAACGGCACAACTACAGCACCACAGCGAAGGATTGATCATGAAAACCTCCACTGCAATGCATGCATACGCATTGCCGTCTCGGCTGCCTGCTATGGGTGCATCATGTTGGCGGGGACGTGTGGTCGCACATTGTACAACCCCTCCCCCCTAAAGGAGGAAAGAAAAGGAGGGGACGAGTCCTTAATTTAGAGTCCTCCAGCTCCTTTCATCACCATTGTCCACATCCATGCGAGGTTCAAAGGCCTACTTCATGCACCTAGGCCCCGGCACACATACATCAAAGCTCCATGACGAACCGGTCTGCTCTACGTACCTGATTGTAAATTAGCCGTGCGCCCCAACCCTGTTAAAGCGCCGTTACTTGGTTCAGCGGTCAGGACGTCCAGGACGGTCAAGAGGGACGACGATCTCCCCCAAGCTTGCCTTAGCTACACATTAGTGAGGCGTTGCTCGCCTCAAATCTCGGGTCGTCCGGTTCCTGTCAAGGGCAGCTGAGCTATGCCAAGTTTCTTTGCAGGACTGTAAGTCATTTTAATTCGTCTTCTGCTATTGCTCCAAGCTGGAGGTGTGCAGTGGGGGGTTGTTTGAGAAAGCAACCCCACGGCCCGAGGAGGCTCAACTGCCAACCTACCTACACCACATACTCGCTACTTGCTACCAGCTACCATCATCACCTTGTCCTTGTCTCCTGCACAGACGCGCACACAGACCAACTGACGCGTCCACTTCCTGCAGTAACGCCAGATTTAGAGGAACTCCGCCCAAGTTCAACAAAGGTGTCGGAGCATCTCAACCACCCCCATCGCCTTTGGTTCTTTCGCAGGCAAGCAAGTCGTCCACCAGCCTGGTCGCCCCGCAGGTCCCGCCACTACCGCCTTCACCGTCCTTTGCATTATCGCTGAACCTCATGGCTTCCGGAGAGGACGCGCTCGGTGCTTATCGCCTCCCACGGCCCTTGCCGCTCTGGCTCAATGCCGCCTACGCACGGCACATCGTCAAAGGCAATTTCATGACCCTCAGTGCCCGCCCCAGGACGGTCGAGCCGGGTGAGTGGATCGCACATCAAGGTATGTTAGGATGTTCCGATGCTCCCCTTTCTCCTATCTAATTGCACTCACAGTTGTTGAACATTACCGGAATCTGTGGAATTTCGTACGTGTCATCTTCGAGAAGGAAGATGATGGATCGAGTATCTGCAATGCTACCACTTGCCCTCGCATGTCTGCTGGAGCGTAAGTTTCATCTCATCACTTGCAGCATGAGATAGTCTGAGTGAAGCGAGAAGAGACGACTTGAAGCTGACGCTTGTCAGGAATCACTCCTATACCTGGCTCAATGCGCGGCGTGAACCAGTCGAGATCCCAGCTCCAGAGTATGAGATGATGATGCAGCAGTGGATCTCACGAAAGATCGATGACCCAAGCCTCTTTCCCACCGATGCATCAGGCGTGTCCTATCAGCCCAACCAGGCCTTCTCCACTCCCCTCTCTGATCTGTCGGGAGCCTCTGAAGGCTGGGTCGGGAAGCGAAGTGGCTTCCCCAAGGAATTCTTTGGTGTCTGCCAGCAGATCTTCCTGCAGATGTTCCGCGTCTATGCTCACTTGTACTGGGCCCATTTCCTCGACTTCTATCACCTCAACCTGGAGAAGTCGCTCAACAGCTGCTTCAGTCACTTTATCCTCACGGCAACTGCCCTGGACATGCTGGCACCGCAGGATGTCGAGCCCATGCAGCCTCTGATCGACCTCTGGGCTGCCAACGGCACCTTCCCGCCCGAATCGAAGGCCTATACCTTTGCCAACCTACAGGCTGGTCAACAACTCCTCCATCTTGCTGGTGTATCTTGATTGCAAGCAGTGATCGGGCTGTCAGCCTACCTGGATACCATGAGAAACGATGAAACAACCCTGGAACGATAACGAACATTTTTATATCATGAAATCGTACATTGCGGGAGGTGAAAAGACTTGTTGACATTGATCTGTGGAGATCATTCTGGCAATCAGGAAGAAGGAGGATGCATTTTATCCCGATGAGAAGTATACACATACATTTCAAGTGGTCACAGACGACAGTTAGAACTGGAGAGCATGCGGGTGACGATAAGGGCCGACAGACTGCGGCCTTCAATTACTCTATATAAGGCAGGTAGTAAAGTACATGATGATATTTTACCCGATCTCTCTTTTTTTTCGACACGGTGAGTACAACAACTTTTATCTCTAAATGGTGCGGCACCTAAAAGGCCCCAGGGCGAGCGTAGCCCTCTGACCGCTGGCCTTGGCGTTGATACTCTCCGGACTCGAGCTTGTTCATCCCGCGCGCAGGCAACTCCTGTTGTTGGACGTCGTGTTTGGGCCGCTGCTGCGTCATGAGGCCGAAGACCTCGTAGATGAGGACGGCGACCATCTCCATGACGACGGACATGCCGATCATGTAGCGGTGGTCGCCGCTGCCGCCGTACTGGCGGAATTCGGGGTTCTGCGAGTCGAAGGTGACGAGGGCGGCGTAGACCATGCGCACGCCGACGAAGGGCAGGGCCAGGACGATGGCGAGCAGCAGCCGCTTCTCGCCGGGCTCGGCGTGGCGCACGTGCACCGACATGAGCGCGGCGAAGAGCACGAGCAGGCCGTAGCCGGCGATCATGCAGCCCGTGCCGGCCTGGCTCGTCGTCGGGATCTGGTAGCCCTGGGCCGAGGTCGTGACGGAGGGGTCGCTGCCGACCTCGTCGCCGATCTGGCTGCCGCCGACGATGCCGAGGATCAGGCCCGCGAGCAGGACGAGCTGCACGAGGCGGAACATCTTGGGCTGCAGGAGGAGGCTGTCGGCGCCGCGGACGCGGGTGGCGGACTGCAGGACGCGGGAGAGCAGGCCGAGGCCGATGAGGATGAGGGGCGAGAGGCCGATGGCCTCGAGGGTCATGGCGCCGATGTACAGGTTCATGTTGTCCGGGCTGTTGATGGTCGCGAGCTGCAGGGCGGCGCCGAGCAGGCGGGCGAGGGAGAACATGATGAGGTAGAACCAGCCCGAGCTGCGGCGGAAGCCGTGCCGGATGGAGAGGTAGATGCCGATGAGGAAGTAGGGGGTGTAGACGACGACCTCGGCGATGGAGACGCGGTTGAGCTGCGTTAGCTGGGTCATCTTGGTGGCTGGCTTGTGCGTCTGTGTATGTTGTGTGTGTGTGTGTTGTCGAGTTATACGGTTGGTGGAGATAGTAAGGTCGAGGCAAGGAGAGGAAAGGAAAGGAGGGAGGAGACTTGGATCTCAAGGAAGCACTTGTCGATCAAGGGCCAGGGGGAGAGAAGGCTCAAAGATGAAAGTGTAAGTGTTTTGTTATATGGCGGTTGAATGAGACTTGACTCGCTCCCCTAGTAACTCTGTCGTGATGCTTCAGGCTGGCCAAGACATCCCGAGTCGGATCCCATACGGCACAACCTCTGACCTTTATATCTACTATCCCTTTGCCTTTCTCGGCGCCCTTCCCTTGACTCGAACATCCCGTGTCCTTGTGCTACCATCCGCTCCCCATACCCTGTGCATTGTGTAAGAGGCTTGTATAAGCTCTCGGAAGGGATGTTACCCACAAACGGGGTCCGGGGGGCTTAGAAGCTTGAGAGGGACCCGGGCGAGTGGTCCCCACACAGAAGGTTCGCACTCGGATTCCAATAACCTGCCGCTAAAAGATGCCAAAATGCCAAGCCACCTTCCGGCAGCTATCTGCGTCGCTTTCGCAGCGTGCTAGCATTGGGTATTTTGCGAAGCACGCTAGGAAGATATTCAATACTCTTCATGGAGTGTTAGCAGCTGGTAGGTGGGATCACTGGTGTGTATCCTTCTGCTTGCTGTGACGTTCCGTCTGAACTACTTGATCTACAAAGGGCATGGACACAGCTTGAAGATGGGCAAAGAAACGCTATTTTCGAGACTCTGCGAATATTGTGCCTTCATTGAATGCGGCGTAGGCTGGCTGATAGGTATCATGTCACAAGAAGACTTTTTCCCCAGGCAGATCCCAATCCACGCCCATATTGAGAGGATTACGACAACAAGAAACACGTTCTCCCGGCCCTTGCCCGGTGCTGGTGCCCGCTATGCCCGACTTGGCGCCCCGGGTGACTCCACAAACGGCCCTGCCACGACACCCGAGACGCGGAGGCCAGGGTTACAGGGTGCGAATCTCTTGCAAGGCAGACTCAGAAGAATACGTAGAAATGTGATTGACACAGGCACAAAGGCTTAGCAGCCGCTCCAACCTGGATCGACACTACGGTGCGTACAGATCGACAGACCGCACTAATGTTGATTTTGATGCACTGGGTTGTGGGAAATGAACGAATTGGGCAGGATCTCGGAGCAGCCGCTGTTATTTTGGGGGGGCTGAGTTCCCACTGCCCAGGAAAGGCAAGATGCGAAAGCGATAACGATCTATGGACAGCACCCAAAACCACCTGCACAACGGGACGGGACAGTGTGGTTACAGTCTTAGTCTTACAGAGGGAGGTAGATGGCGCCCCTGGGTCCAACTAGTGCCGGCGCTACCTGTCCATCAAAGCTTGTCTGGCACGAAACAAGCCTCGCTTTCTCCGTACACTACTTGTAGGTAGGCCATTCTCAAGGCAGCCCGCTTATGATGGGGAAAGGGTACGTGGACCGTTCAGCTGGGTGGACACTCGACACTCGCAAGAGCTAAGCGAATGCGAGTGCCCTTTGACATCTCACCGGATGACGAGGCATTGTTTGTTCAAACTGGAAGCTCTGGTAATTTGATTGATTGTAGGCCTCCTCATCCGGGCAAAGGCAGAAAGTGCAACAATCTGCACGTCCACAAACAGAAAGATCCAGACTTCACATTGCCCATGCCCCAGGGCTCTCTGATGATGCAGACTTTTTTAATTGTTGGCGGGAGGATACACGTCGTTGAATCATCTGACTTCAACTCGAGAAGAGATACAGAAGCAACATGGCCTGGTTGGCGAGCAACGATCTCGACCTCGATTGTCCAAGGCTCTCATGCAGCACCATGCATGGCCGTCAGCCAATTGAGCAGCTGCCCGCCAGTCAACTTGGAGTAGGCAGAGCTGTCTCACAGGTGTCGAGAATGTGACTTGAAGCGTCCGAATCTTTCGTAGCATCTCTTGAGTCTAGGAAAGACCTGTTTACGTGTGAAGACTCCTCAGGTCAAGATCAATGGCTCGCTTCCACTACGACCCGTTGAACAGGTCCACGAACGAAGTTCGCCTTGTTACCCTCTGGCCTGGGCTATTTGATGATCCCGTCAAAATCGACATCACTCACTGCCCGCTCAAGGCATCCACACCTCCAAGGCCTCCAGACTATCTCTCCCTCGAAGCCTTACGGACAACGCTTCCTCAGGATGGGAGCTGGACCGTCCACGAGACCCTCGAAGGGCACATGATTTTCGCAGACCAGCTTACAGAGGCTGATGCATGGACGTCTTGGGCTCATCCGGATCCCAGCGTGGAATACTCTCCTTGTGACCCGGAAGCGCCCGACCTGATACATCGTGCGGAGCCTGATTTTGAGGCCCTCTCTTACACATGGGGTTCCGCTATAGCTACTACCACTGCGGTAGTTACATCTGTAGTCGAGACGCTGACAGGAGGCGCCGTCCAGGAGCAGACACCATCCCGCGGAGAGTTGAGTATCGGCCACAACCTTGAAGAAGCGATTCGACACCTGCGATACTCGGACAGACCCAGAGTCATGTGGATTGACGCTATCTGCATAGATCAACAGAGCATCCAGGACCGCAACGAGCAAGTCCCACGCATGGGGGAGATCTACAGCCTTGCCAGAAGGGTCGTAGCCTGGATCGGGCCCGGCTTTGGCGGCAGCAAGTCCGCGATGACAAGCCTTGACTATCTTGGCAGCCAGATAGAGTTCACCAAAGACAGGCTGCGAGTCCCACGACCAGGCTGCGCCGAACCGACTTGGTACGATCGCGCAGTAGCCCTTCCGTACGACGAGAACAACTGGGAGGCGATCGCAACCGTCTTTTCTCGGCCATGGTTCTCGAGGCTATGGATCTTGCAAGAGATCCAGCTTGGCAGTGCCTCGTCCGTGATCAGATGCGGCAACGACGAGGTCCGATGGTCCACACTGTGCAGAGCGCTCTTCACGCTCTATCACAAAGACGAAGGGGTTCCCGCGAGATTGCACGAAGCAATGTACGAGCCCCGGGTGATCTGCGACTATAGCGCCTCGGTGAAGTTCGACCACTTGCTCTGGACCTACGACACGCGCGCATGCAGCGACCAGCGCGACAAGATATATGGCCTTATGAACCTCGCGCCCTCTGAAATAGCTTGCCGCATCTCGGTAGACTACTCTCGATCCGTAGCCGAAGTGTACAAGCAGACTTTCTCGGTGTACTTGGAGTATTATCGTCGTCTGGACTTCTTGGTGCAGGCTGGCTTGGATCAGAGGACAGCTGCGTCGTCGACTCCGTCGCAGTGGCCAACTTGGCTGCCCAACTGGTCCCGTAAATCCGTCAATACCTTGTCGCCAGACGCAGGGTTTTGCGCCTCGGGATTCTCGGCTTCGAGAGCTAAGCTGGATGATTCAACGAACAAGCTCGAGGCTGCGGGTGTGTTCCTGTCCGCAGTCTCGTCTGTCGACTGTCTCGACTCCATGGACTTTGTTCACCTTGTGCAATACCTCAAGGGGCTAGGGATGAAGAAACTGAACAACTCCACCTACTACACGGGCGAAAGTCTCCTCGATGCATATCTTCTCACACTGTCATGTTGCGAAGTGGAGGATCGCTACCCGGCTGCTGGCTTCCCGACCATGGCGTGTCTTAGAGACAGGGTCATGGAGCTTGCAACCGGAAAGGAGATGGCGGAATCGGACCACGCGTTATCCAGCTCATACGAGGAACGCTTCGCACTGCAGCTCCGAGACTCGCATCTCTTTCTCACAAGCGATGGTCATGTTGGAACATGCCGGACAAAGGCCGAGGTTCTTTCAGGTGAGGCCAGCTATTTAGAGCTTTACAATACGTATATGCGTCTCTAACATTCAGATCGTATCAGGTGATAGAGTCTTCATCCCTCTTGGGTGTGAGGCTCCCATACTTTTGAGACCTTCTCATGACGGCACGTACCGAATAGTCGGCGATTGCTACGTGCATGGTGTCATGCATGGGGAGGCCTTGCTGGGGCCGATAGAGGATCCCTGGACGGCGCTCATATACAGACGCACCGACGGAGTCTTCCGGACTTACTTCCAGATTGGCGACAAGGCCGAAGACGCCGCCGTTCTTGATGATCCTCGTCTACAACAACTACCCTTACCACCGGATTGGGAGTCCATAGGATGGGGGATGACGGCCGGGGATGCCAAGTACTGTCCAAAGTACCGTCACAAGGAGACAGGCGAGGAGATCAACTACGACCCGAGGATGGCGGTAGAGGCATTGATATCGAGGGGAGTCATCGTTGAGACTGTGACCATACTTTAGCCTACCATTCAGAATATAGCCCAAAGAACGGCGTCAGCCGCAGGCTGGATGTTTTAATTCATCACTTTGGCACATCACTTTGGCAAGTGTCCCTAGCTTCAGACATATTGCCTTGCCACCTGACGACACTTCCCAATACCTGAACTTCCGGCTTCATGAGCAGCACATCATGTCGTTTCCTAATGATTCACTATAACTAGGCATGGCTGGTAGTTAGCTGCAGTATCTCGAAGTAGCTTTGTTTATTTTAGGAAGGATTTGGGTTAAACTAGACCTCTCTGCAGCGATGCGGTGCTAACTGGCCCATGGCTTACCCCTGACTCGGTCACATCGAGAAGCGACTCAGAGCCACAGCACTTCTCGTAACGAGAGGCATGAACAAGATGAAAAGGAATCCAAATGCTCCTATGTGAATTACAACTCAGAAAACCAATTAGCTGCAGCTGTGAAAATGACACTGCACGATCGTGTCACACAAAACGGTGGTGGTAGCTTCATCTACACATCACCGTATCACAGCCTACAGACATCTGGCTGTTTTGCCACGATCGAGACCAGCGCACACGACGGCCAAGACCCGGCAGGCAATTTCCAGCAACAACTTTCGGCAGCATTTGCAGAGGCCAAATCGGCCGGGATAAGAAACCCCGTGGTTGTAGGAGCGATCCCCTTTGACACCACACAGCCGTCAGCACTCTTCATCCCGGAACACGTTCAGTTCTTCTCGCGCAATGACCACACTCACGACAGCCTCAACCACTCCAGGGCTCCTATACCACCAGTCACGACGACCGCACATCTCACACCCAGTAGGCAAGTCTTTGAGGACATGGTCAGCCAAGGGATAGCCGCAACTCGCCAGGGAGACGTCGAGAAGGTCGTGCTGTCAAGAATAGTAGACATCACGACCAGAGACCCGCTAGACGCTCTCGACCTCTTCCAGCGCCTCGTCGCCCAGAACCCGGCCTCATACAACTTCCACGTCCCCCTCCCCGACGGAGGCAGCCTCGTCGGAGCGAGCCCGGAGCTCCTCCTCCGCCTGGAGGACAACGGCACCTTCACATCCCACCCGCTCGCCGGCTCCGCCCGGCGCAGCCCCCACGACGCAAGGGCCGACCGGGCCGCAGGCCAAGCCCTGCTGTCCTCGCGCAAGGACCGCCACGAGCACAGTCTCGTCGTCGACGCCGTCCGCGCGCAGCTCGCCCCGCGCGCGGCCTCCCTCCTCACCGCGCCCAGCGAGCCAGAGCTCGTCGCGACGCCGACCCTGTGGCACCTCGGCACGCGCATCGCCGGCTCAACAGCGACGGCGGCGGACAACGCGCTGTCGCTGGCCTGCCTCCTGCACCCGACGCCCGCGCTCAGCGGGGCGCCGCACGCCGCGGCCCGCGGGCTGATCCGCGACCTGGAGCCCTTTGACCGTGGGCTCTTCGGCGGGCTGGTCGGGTGGTGCGATGCCGATGGCGGCAACGGCGAGTGGGCCGTGGCGATCCGCTGCGCGCGGGTGCGCCCCGGAGGTCCCCGCCGCTCCACGGCGCGGCTGTTTGCCGGCGCGGGCATCGTGCCGGCGTCGGACCCGGCCGCCGAGTGGCGCGAGACTGAGGCCAAGCTGGCGACCATGCTGGACGCGCTGGGTCTGTCTGGCGCGGTGAGAACGACGAGCGATGGAGGGGAGCATGGGAGGGCGAGTCTCTAACAGGAGGAGGTACAGGATTGATGTGCATGAATGTCTAGTAATGCATTCAATAGACCATGCATGCTGTCCAAGATGTTTGATCGATCGGACTCCCTGGTTTGCCTTGACGCCGTGCTACCGTACTCTCGTACAAGCCCTTCCAAGATGGTTTTACCAGTTATCAAAATTGCCAAAGCCGCCCGTCTTGAGCTTCTTTTTCGGCTGCTCCTCCCAGGTATCCACTGGCTCGGAGTCGCCTTGGAGATCATCCTCTGCCTGTTGCTGCGACATGGCAGCCTTCAGATACTTGCCGACACCAGCTTTCGAATCGGCATCGGAGATGGTGCCATCTTTGCGGATGCGCTTGCCCGTCCACGTTGTTTGGTCGTCTTCCGTACCACCCTGGCGTTGGATCTCGGCCTTGCGCTCCTCTGCTTTCTCCGCCTCCTTCTTAGCCTTCAGGAATTCCTCGAATGGGTCGAGATATACGACTACGTCTTTGATGACGATCTTGTTCAGAGGCCTGTCCGAGCCATCTGTGGGCACTTGCTCCATCTTTGAGAGGACGTCCATGCCACCAACAACCTTTCCGAAGATGGTGTGCTTCCGGTCCAGATGGCTGGCCGGCTTGTAGGTGATGAAGAACTGGCTGGAGTTCGTGTTCTTGCCTTTGTTTGCCATACTCATGATGCCTCTGGCATTGTGGGTCAAAGGGCCCTCGAATTCGTCTTGGAAGTTCTTGCCCCAGATACTCGTGCCGCCCCTGCCCGTGCCTGTAGGGTCACCACCTTGGATCATGAAGTTGCGAATGTTGCGGTGAAAAGCGACTCCTTGATAGTATCCCTTCTGGGCAAGCTTGACAAAGTTCCATACCGCTTTCGGTGCCGTCTCCGTCTGCAGCTCGATATTGAGGTCACCGAGATTGGTCTCCATCCGCGCGTAGCCCTTGACCTTGACCCGCTTCGGCTTCAACATCCATTCCTCCTCTGACAAGATCGCCCGCTCGCCGCTGGTCTCGGGTGTCAAGCCGGTACTTGTGAAACTTGCCGCCGCCTTGCCGGTCGTGTAAGCCGCCGCGTTATATGCCCTCTTCTTCTCTTGTATCATCTGACTCCGAGGCACGGCCGTGACATTCGACTTTGCGAGGGCCTTGGAGCGATTGACATCGCCACCTGCCTCGCGCTCCTTTCTTGCTCTCTCAACCGCCTCCTTGGCCCTGAGGACTTTGTCGCCTATCCTTCCTAGGGCGTTGATGTTGACATTGCCACCAAGCCTCTCCTCCTCCTGTTCCTTAGACAAAAGGGCTTCTCCGCCGTCCTTGAGATATTGGAACTGACTCAGATCGCGACTTGCAGCGTTCTGTGGGTCCTGAAGAGTGATGATATCCTTGCGCCCAAACTCCTGATCGTCCAGCAGGTCCCGCCACATTTTTGGCTTGATGTTCATCCGCTCCACCGTGTCCCAGGAAAAGACATTGGCATAGGTTCCGTGCCGTATGGCGACGATGTGGGTGTTGTCTGTGAAGACCTTGAAGGATATGGGATCAATGAGGTCTCCCTGAGCATCTCCAATCCCAGATCCGGTGTCGGCATTGCGGGAGAAGTTGAGCTTGATGAGATCCTTGGCCGCGAGCGGCTCACCGTTGACCGGGTTCGTGTCGTGTTTTTCGAGCCACGAACTGATGATCTCGACGTCGAATATAGTCCCCTCGGGGGTACAGACGGGGTTCTTGAAAGGCTGAAGGCTGGCGGCACAAAAGTTGAAAGGAAGCCGGCGAAAGTTCGCGCCTCCGTTTTTGGAGCGCGCGCCGGTGCTGGAGGAGAAGGCGTCTGACGACGACCACTCGGAGTGGGTGATGTAGAGCTTGTCTGTTCCCTTTCCCATTGTGCCGGTGCCTTGAACAAACAGGGAGAGACTCGGTTGCTCGAAATGCGAGGTCTAGCGCAAGAGATGTTCGATTGTTGAACTCGAGGCAGACCTTGGGCTTATTGTATGAATTTTGGCGGGGACCTTGTTATCTTATCGTCCAAAGTACAAATCTGAGTGGTTGGCACGTACAGAAGCTGGACGATGGCTGTTTCCGGTTACTGGGGCGCATTGGCACTAAAAATTGCCCCGTAGCTGCGGCTTCCAGCCACTAAGAGGCCGCCTGAAGTGTACAGAATACGGCCCGCCCGGTGTGGCAGGTGGAGCTCTTTAGGCAATGTGTTAATGTCGATGTCGCCAAGCTCCGCCGAGCTGGCTTGCGTCGTAAACTCTAAGGCGGCAGGAGTTTGATGTGCAATCTTGCTCTCATACAACAGCACAGTCCACGACACGAGGGGCCATCTGCGTCGTCCCAGAGAAGCGGCAAGCCTTGAGTTGCGACATTCCGGGGCAATCTGGACTACGACTGTCTCGACGACCAGCGTCTGTCCCAAGCAAGACGATACGCGACCTCGCATGAGGCTCGACGGTCTCCATCCCTGATCAGCTACTTGTCCGCATCCGAGCTCTCCGTCCTCGACTCTACCACATCACCGCCAGAATGCGGCGCTGGTTATCCCTGCTGCTCCTTGCGGCATTGTCCATATGGACTGCCAGTGCAATGGAAGCTCTCATTGTATGTGTTGCCCTTGCGACGTCGCCAGAACGCCTTGTACATGAGCTAATATAAGCTGCTTATCCAGGACCAAACCGACGAGAATCGGCAGCGATGTGCCGGTATGGCATCCCGAAATAGTTGCGCAATCTAGGTCTTTCAGAAAAGCTAACACAAAATGCTGCAGGCATGTACGCCAGAAAGACCTGGGGCGGCCCTGTAGACCCTTTCATACTGTTGAAGTTTGACAAGTACGAGGGGGAGGCAGATGCCACCGTCAGCCTTGTCATCTTCGAATGGAAAGATGAGAAGTTTATTGGTGTCTACCCATCCGAAGACGCCGTTCAGGTAGGACGCATCAGTCCCCATGCCGAGCCGGCCACAGGAAAGAAGCTGATCAATCATACAGAAAGTTGGTATTTGCCAACCCAAATGGGTCGAGGCCGGCTTCTGCGCGGAGAGCGATATTGGCGAGTATATCCTGACGCCGAACGCTACCGAAAAGTCCAGCAACGTCATCCTTACGCAGGCGGTCAACTTGAAGGACAGCAAGCCCATCAACTACCCTATCAAGAACACGGGTTACTACTGCATCATGACGGACAAGTACACGGCCGAGAACTACCGAGCTGTTGTCGAATTCCGCAATGCATACGGCGAGCTACCCGCAACACAGATTCCGAAGCTGCCGTTCTATGGAGGGATAGCGATCCTCTATGCGCTTGTCACGGTGTTCTGGGGATTCTTGTACTACCAGCACCGTTCCGATATCCTAGCTGTGCAGAACTACATCACCGCCATCCTAATCTTCTTGGTCGTGGAGATGTTGATGACCTGGGGCTTCTACGACTATCTCAACAGAAACGGCTCGAATGTCGGCTCCAAGGTTCTACTGATTGTGGTCGCCGTGCTTAACGCTATCAGGAACTCCTTCTCATTCTTCCTGCTGCTTATTGTGTGCATGGGCTACGGCGTGGTCAAGCCAACTCTTGGCAGGACCATGATCTATGTTCGCTGGCTGGCCATTGCCCACTTTGTCTTCGGACTTGTCTATGCAATCACGAGTCTTCTTGTGACGCCAGATGCCGCAGGTGAGTCCTCATTGTCTGGATATTACCTATCCCTTAGACTTGCTAACATGTTTCTGCAGGGCCGTTCGTCATGCTCATTGTCCTTCCCCTGGCCGGGACGCTGACTGCGTTTTACGTCTGGACCCTCAACTCGCTCAACGCCACTCTGAAGGACCTGCGCGAGCGCAAGCAGCACGCCAAAGAGGCCATGTACAAGAAGCTGTGGTGGGCCATTTTGCTCAGCATACTTGTCATCTTTGGCTTCTTCTTCCTCAACAGCTTCTCCTTTGCTTCGGCTAGCGACCCCGACTACGTCCCCTTCCATTGGAAGACTCGCTGGTTCATCCTAGACGGCTGGCTGAACCTGGTCTACTTTGCGGATGTGGCGTGGATCGCGTACGTGTGGAGGCCGACGGCGAACAACCGCCGGTTCGCCATGAGTGACGAGATTGCCCAAGACGACGATGGCACCTTTGAGATCAATAACATGGACATCGGTGCCCCCGACGACTCGGACGACGAGGAGGCCAACATTGGCAAGCAGACCGGGCAGCAGGCGCCGCGTCCAGCAGATCCCAGAAATGACGCTCCCTCTGGGGCCTCGGCTTCAAGGAGCCAACCCGCTGCCTCATCAGCGGCGCCACCGAGGCAGTCACTCGACGGCGAGACCATCTTCGCCGTGGGCGAAGACGATGGCGACAAGTTCTCGGACGACGAGAACTCTGACGAGGATGCCGGTCTGGTCAAGCACAAGAAATGAGGGGAAAGGGTCAAAAACGGGGGCCGGGTGGAATAATAGGTCACTTGGACGCGCGGAGGGAGGCGGGCTGAGTCGCTGTACGTTATAGGAGAAACGATATTGGCGTTTAAACGGTTGTGTCTGGGATTCATCTTGCATCCGCACGGTAGTCGAGTCGGACGGATGCCCAAATTTCTGACGAGCAGATAGCACGTATAGCTGTGATACTCTCTTTTATTTACAAGACACGATTATGACTTTACAATCATGCACCACATGGTGATGTCTCCCACGCTACTACTCTTACATTCAGAGATTCATTTATCCAATACACACATTTGGCAGTCCAAACACTGGTCGAACAAAAGAAGAGATCTACTGTGCAACATCCCCGCCAAATCCCACAGGCGGCCTCTTGCCGTCATTCTCGGGCACGATAGCTAGCGCCTTGTAAAGCTTGCCCATGCCCTCGGGACCCCTATCGACGAGCCTCTTCCACGCCTTCTCGATGTCCAGAGCCTTGCTGCCGGCGCCGGCGCCCCCCTCCTGCCTCGCCGCCCGGACCAGCATCTCCGCGCGCTCGCGGATGCCCATCCCCTCGAGGAAGACGCCTTGCTCGACGGGGCCGTGGACCTCGACGCCTTCGCTCGCGCGCAGGGCCGCCTCGGCGACGGCGGCGAAGTCGACGTCGGCGCTGAGGTCGGTGAGCCCGGGCTCGGCGAAGGGGCTGACGCGGCGGTGGCGCCGGATGCCGCGCAGGCTGTTGACGGGGACGGTGCCGTCGCCCGGGCCGTAGTCGAGGATCAGGGCCGCGCCCGAGGGCGCGGCCTTGGGCGAGCGCGGGGAGCCGCCGATGCGCGCGGCGAAGTCGGAGGCGTAGAGCGCGGCGTCCGGGCACACCTCGATGAGGGCGTCCGGGACGGAGCGCAGGGCGCGGAAGCGCGGCGAGGACTCGGGCAGGTAGAGCGAGTGGCGGGTCGGGCGCGGGGACAGGGTCATCTGGAAGTCCGGGGGAGGGGTGTCGCGCTGCTGGGACCTCGGCGTGCCGAGGCTCTCGTGGGTCGAGCCGGGGGGCGTCGGGGAGACGACCATCTCGCGCCACTCTATGGTGGGCGAGCTGGTCTTTGTGGAACGGGAGCTGTGGTCTGCGGGGGGTGATGATGCTTCAGAGGAAGGGGAAGCGGAGGGAGATTCAGGGGTCTGCGATGCAGGGACTTTTACGGCCTGGAAGGCGTGAATCGGGAGGGCGTCGAAAAACTCGTGTGCCACTATGAAGGGTGTGCTGTTTGAGTCTGCCTCGATGTTAGCACCGAGCTTAGCGTTCTGTTGGCTTTTGATGGCAGACTCACTCAAGGGTATTGAGTTGATAGTCTCGGTCCAGACAATCGGGAGAGACGTGTATTTGCAAGTGCTGTGGTATCCCACTTTGGACTCGGTCATGGGCGCATCCTTGCCGCAGAGGAGATCTTTCTGGGTCTTCCTCAGCTGCGGACTGGCCTCGACCATGTAGATGGCATCAATGGCCTGCGTCATGCCTTTGAAGTTCCGGATAGTCTATGTAGCATAGTTAGTGCGTTTCCGGCCAGTATCTGGCGGGAAAACAACATACCCTCAGCATGTCATCCATCAAGGTGCCTCGGCCCGGTCCGACCTCGATGATCTCAACTCCCTGCTTGGGTCGCCCTTGGGCCATCCACTCAGCGACAAACCAGATGCCAATGAGCTCGCCAAAGATCTGTGAGATCTCGGGGGAGGTCACGAAGTCACCCTTGAGCCCGAACTGGTCGCGGTCCTGCTCCAAGGCTCCCGTGTAATAGCCTCCAACATCCGCAGTGAGGCACATGCGCATGTAGCTTGCGACTGGTACGGGGCCAGTGGCCTAAGGCTAATTAGTCGAAAGGTCCTATATTGCCCTGGTTCTTTCAAGGCGCCAGCACTTACGGTTATGGCAGCGGCGAGCTGCTTAGCCAGCGGCGTTGACCATTTGCGCTCCTCCTCAGGTCTGCGAGCCGTGGATGAGAAGCTCCTGAAACTCGGCGAGGCTCTGACACACCAGCTGTTCTGGGCGCGATGTAAGCCACGAAGTGCGCCCAGCGCACTCCTCGAGACTGCTGATCTCATGCTGAGATAGTTACGACAAGCCTCTGTCGCATCTAGCAAAATAGCATGTTATGCGCCTCAAGATCGAGTTTAGGAGCTCGGGCTCTTGCATGGCAAAGTGAAGATGTCGATCCAATGAAACCAACCAAAAATCTCCCCCGATAACCCATACAGAGCTACGCGATAGGCAAGCAACCCCACTAAAACGACCAAACAGCTTCGGTATTTTGGTACAAACGAAACGTCGACCTTGAAGTCTTCTACAAACAAATATTTAAATACCGGATTTCACACTGCGCTACAGCAACCATCGACTACGAAGCTTTGCAAAAGATCTCGATTAGACCAACTGTATAATCCGGCACTTTCCCAGCGACTACATGCAGTAGTGGACCGGCGAGTAAGGAGGCTTTCCCAGGGCGCAGCGAGGAGTGGTTGCTCGCTCGTTCCACAGTCATGGCGAGCAAGGGCAAGTCGCGCTGGGCCGACACCGCCGAGGATGCGGCGCTAGACGCCAAGCTGAAGAAGGAGAAGGAAGAGAAGAAGCGCCTCAGGGCCGAGAAGGCGCGCAAAGAGGCAGAGAGGCAGGCAGAGCTCGCCGCCGCCGCCGCAGCAGCCGCGGACAACGACGCAGACGGACCGCCAGCCAAGCGGCGCCGACTGACCCCCGAGAGAAGGGGCGACGGAGCCGATGCAGACGACGACGACAACGACGGCGGCAGCAGCGCAAAGCTTCTGAGGTTTACGGGCGGCAGCTGGGGCAAGGCGCGCAGCGTGGAGAACTACGACAAGCTCAACGACATCGAGGAGGGAGCGTACGGGTGGGTGGCGCGGGCAAAGGAGCTCGCGACGGGCAAGGTGGTGGCGCTGAAGAGGTTGAAGATCGAGCCCAAGGACCGCGGGGGCCTGCCCGTCACGGGACTGCGCGAGATACAGATCCTCAAGGACTGCGACCACAGGAATATCGTGAGGCTGCAGGAGGTCGTGGTGGGGGATGACACGAGAAAGATAGAAAAGTACGGATTCATTCCCCCGTTTCCACAGACACACACACACATATACGGGTTATGCAAGGTTTGACTAACCCTCCCTCTCATCACCACAACAGCATCTTCCTCGTCCTCGACTTCATCGAGCACGACCTCAAGTCCATCCTCGAGGACATGCCGCAGCCCTTCCTGGCCTCCGAGGTCAAGACGCTGCTGCGCCAGCTCGCCTCGGGGCTCGCCTACCTGCACGACCGCTGGGTCCTGCACCGCGACATCAAGACCTCGAACCTGCTGCTCAGCAACCGGGGACAGCTCAAGATCGCCGACTTCGGCATGGCCCGCTACGTCGGCAGCCCGCCGCCGCGGGACCTGACGCAGCTCGTCGTGACGCTGTGGTACCGCGCGCCCGAGCTCCTCCTCGGCGCGCCGGCCTACACGGCCGCCGTCGACATGTGGTCCGCCGGCTGCGTCTTCGGCGAGCTGCTCACGCGCGAGCCCCTGCTGCAGGGCAAGAACGAGGTCGACGAGCTGGCCCGCGTCTTCGACCTCTGCGGCCTGCCGACCGAGGACTCGTGGCCCGGCTTCCGCCGCCTGCCCAACGCGCGCAGCCTGCGCCTGCCGCCGCCTGCCGCCGCCGGCGCTCAGGCGGGGGCGACGACGGCGGCGCTGGTCCGCGCCAGGTTCCCGCTGCTGACGGCCGCCGGCAGCGCCCTGCTCGCCGGCCTGCTGTCGCTGGACCCGGCGCGGCGGCCGACGGCCCGCGAGATGCTGGCGCACGAGTACTTCTCGCAGGACCCCAAGCCCAAGCAGGAGGCCATGTTCCCCACCTTCCCGAGCAAGGCGGGCCAGGAGCGCCGGCGCCGGCGCGAGACGCCCAACGCGCCGGGCCGGGGCGACGCCGTCAACTTTGGGGCGGCCGACTTTAGTAGCATATTCGGAGGCCGGGAGAAGGAGGAGCGAGGCGGCGGGTTCTCGCTCAGGATGGTCTAATAAGTGTCTAGATAGTCACAGACACATGTGTAAATATACCCAAAAGCTACATCAATCAACCAATATGCTGCTGTCGGTTTTTTCGTCATGGATGATAGATGGGATGTGTGGCATTAAGTTATCTATAAGAACAGGATAGAGGTCGTATACCCAACGTTAGATACAAGAAAGAATTATGAATGTCTGCCATTCCCCTTGTTTTTCTTGTGTCCGAGACCGCTTTCCGTGAGTTGTCCGTGATCCAATGGGAAAAAAAGCAAAACCGCCAAAGGGAAACCAACGCCGCACATTTTGCAACCAGATGAACCATTCTTTGCTGACCGCCGTAACAGGCATTACAAGGGAATGAATGTAAATGTCAAGACTCTAGTCGGATCTTCCTTTCGTTCGTCAATAATCAAAGAGTATGGACATCCTCTACAGGCCCGCGCCGACGCCTGCCACGAACCACGTGAAGCTGAGGACGGTGAGGACGCTCATGGTCATGGCAAAGCCGACTGCCCTGGAATCGACAGAAGGCGCGGCGGCGCTGCAGATGGCGCATTGCCAGCCGTCCGCGATGGACGTGTAGGGCCGCTTGTTGTACAGGCCAAAGACGAGACTGTTAAAGGTGCTCAGATAGCCGGGCTCGGCCGTGGCGCTGGGGCCGGCCTCGGCGTCGTAGATGATGAGCGTGTACTCGGCCGTCAGGAGGTCCTGCGTGTCCTTGGTGTCCCAGGTGAAGGTGGCGGGCGTCGCAAAGGTCATGTTCTGGGTGAGGGTGTAGGTCCTGCTGGCGGTGCTGCAGCTGGCCAGGACGTCGATGGCGGTCGGGGTGCCCAGCAGGTTGGTGTAGTTCCAGCCAAAGGTGACCTTGTCGTCGATCTTGTAGAGCTGCATGCCCTGTGCCAGGGACGGGGTGACCATGACGACGGCGCCGGCCGGGTCACCTGGGTTGAACATTGTTCGATCGGGCTTGTGGGAGTCGGTGCTGTTGCCGGTCTGGTTAGGCGTCTTGTCCCCTGTCTTGACGGCTCCGGTATTGAGGTTGTGGGTGTTGTCGGCATCCTTGCCCGTCGTCTTGGCATCCTTGGAGCCGGACTGTGACGCTGAGGGGGATGGCGTCTGTTGCGGTGTGTTTGAACCTGTTGGCAGAAGTCAGCCTCGATGATCATACGGGAGGTTAGTGCTGATCAAGGCAACATACTACTGCTGCTCCCATTATCGTCTTGCCTCGCTACCAGAGAGTCCAACTCTGGGAGCCAGCTCGGCCATGCTGAAGTGACGCCGGACAAGGAGGCGAGGACAAAGGCAAACTGGGCGATGGAACGGGCTGGCTTCATTGTGGCGGTTCGAGGACCACTTCCTCCAAGAAACAAACCGGGCTTTCAGCGCTTCGATCCGTGAGAGAAAAGGTGATGGAGTTCTCGCCCTTTGATGTTGCAAAGTCGATTCACTGCCTGAGCGGGCGTGTTTGGTCGTCGATCCAGATGAATGCTCGGAATGTTGTGGAATGCTGGGGTCGTCAACGAATGGGGTTTCCCCTCGACCTTGAGCGACCTAGTGAAAGGGGCTACAGGCAAGCGTATCCGTCTAGATGCTCCTCTGCCGGGGTTGGCTATTAAAAAGAATACAGCGATTGACACGAACGGGGATGGGCGTTCGGGGGTAAGTATTGCAGGTGCTGATGGCGAAAATAATAAGGCTCCAAACGAATGTGCGGGAGAATCAACAATGGGGGTCCAAAAGAGAAGCAAAGCAGGATCAGGAACGAGAATGAGGCGTCCTCGGTTTTTCAGAGGCCCTGTATCATGGACGGGGACCAATGGCAGGCCTGGAGGGCGGGGCGGGCAGCAACACACGGGCTGATGGGGCCTTGCCGACAAGGGGAAAGAGTGCCAGGAAAAAAAAAGGTGACCTGGCGTGCCTGGGTCCATTTCGTCCATTCCCGCAGCTTGCTTTTCGCCCTTCACTTCGTATTCGCGCGGCCCCACCGGCTGGTGACGCTTGAGCCAGCTAAGATGCTGTGCATTTTATTAATAGCCGTGAGAGGGTCCCCCTCCATCCATCTACCGTAATGTAGTTATCTTGCTTTCAATGCTGGTGGACTTGGCCCAGTCTCTATGGAATGGTCCTATTGTTCGTTCATAAGGAGACGCTTGCCTTCCCCACAGGCGTCGTCAACGGTTCTCACATGAACGGGTTTTGATCTCGTTGCGACTTTCACCCTTCCGCTTTGAATTGTCTTGTCGTCGGGCGTACTTGAAGAGCAGATTTGACAAGGCTGCAAAAGCTTATGCTTCAACGAGCATCCTTGCCTCCACTCTGATAGCCCAGCGTGGCTCATTTTTCCCGGGGTCGACGACGGGGCCATGCATTGTTTGCAATGCGAGCTCCCGCAGCATTCCACAGTGGTTTGCAGTTCCTTGATTGCAGTCGGGACTGAGGCACATTGAGCAAGCGAGGATCGTCCCCTCGACAAGTTTTGAACATTTCACCGTCTGCATTATCGCCCATACCGTCCGTCAAAACAAGATCCATCAGATGCAGGTGTTGTCGTGTGCATCTCGCACAGCGCTGCCAGGCACGTGTCTCATTCGTCTCGAGGATCCGTTGCTGTGCCCCGAGAATCTCTGCAGTACGACCGACAGACTTCTGGCTGGTAAATCCCGATAATATCTACCTACCTAGGCACCTTGCGGGGGTGATTTCCTGGTGCGACGGCAACAGATCACCTCATCCCGTCCAGGTCTGAGATCAGGTAAGCGTAGCCAGTCACCTGTCAGCCTTTGCTGTACAAGTACCTAAGTAGGGAACAAGTAGGACTGGGTGGACGTTGTGATTGTGTGATCGAAGATAATGGATCGTTTCATAATTGTGCTCGAGTACATCTCGTCCGCATTGTTTGCTTCTCCTGGGTTATACTGTTCATAGCAAATACAACCACAGCGGATAACTACCTAGGTACCCTCGGCGCTCAACTTGGGTTGCGCGCTCACCACGAAACCCCAACCCTGATCAACGTGAGAGATGAGAAATATCACTTTGTATTTTCTCTTCAGCAGGTGGTAGTCGCCACATCCGGACTGCGGCAGAGCAGCGCTGCTTGACTTGGGCGTATTGTTGTTCGGATAATGCGATTGTGCACCCCGCTGTTTGGTGTTGATCAAGACAATCAATGGAGTGGGTGCCAGAACAGACAGCTGTAAGGAGGTTGGCGTTGACTTGTCATCAGGGCCAAGACGAGTCCGGTAGTGGCTTTTAGCGGCCCAGCTGGCGCGGCCCGTGCAGGTCCAACAACCCTGGAACACACTAACAGCCCTCGCTACCTACCTAGGTACAATACTCCGACTCCGTACGCTAAGATGGACCAGGATGGATTCGTCTTCCAAGTTAGTTCTGGGGCATCCATGATGCATGTTTTGATCTCCTTTGATGGGCTATCGCAGTCTGTCACCGGCGTCCCACATAACCACACAACGACCCAGGATTGGCCGGATTGTAGTGGCTCGGAGGAGGGGGATGTCCACTGGGTGCGAGCCAAGAACTGTTGGATAAGGAATTGAGTTGTGTGTGGGTTGGATCGAAAGGTGGTGTGGGTGTGGGCGGATGGTCGTTGGTAGATGGATGGGTAGCACAACCTCTTTCCATCATCCCAGCTCCAACTGACGGAATCCTCGCCTGTGAATGAGCAAATCTCCAACACAACTTGAACACCAACCCCCAGTTGACTAGACCCAAAGTACGAAGCAGGTCCACAGGATCTGGGGTTTGTCGACCGGGGGCGAGGGGACCAACAGCTCAAGTTCTGGTCTGCCCGTAGCCGCTGGCTGTTGCTCCTTGGATGCCCTGCAGATATCCATGTGAGCCAGAACAAACTCGAGCTGGGGCACTCACCCCCATGCACACCTCCAAAAAGGAAAAAGGCCAAACACGGCGCTTCTGATATCTGATAGATAAGGCAGATTTGATGTGATAACAACCAACGGTGTTGAGGCAATCAGAAGTGACTGTGGCCGACCTCCAGTGAAGCCTAGCCCAGCAGCTTCTTCAACTGCATACTGTACATTACCAATTGGTAACTTCACCTCTACCTGCGAGCAGGTACCTTGTCGACGGCCAACAGCCTTTGAACTGTTCAAGGTAGGCGCGCGCGCGCACGCAGGGTTCAGGCAGGTGAGGAGAAGCTCAAACTTCCATATCTACTTCTTTCTGGCTCCGTGCCTAACCTTCCCTCTTTTCTCTTTTCTCTTTTCTCTCCTCTTCTCTCCTCTTCTCTTCTTATCAAAACTTCCTCTTTTGGCCAGGATCACCACCCTTGCCCTGCATCTAATATGACTTCGCCTCCGAACCGCTTCGCATCGCTCCGGCGAGACGATGATCGGTTCTCGTCCAGGTGAGACCCCTTCGCTCATCCTGCGCCAGACAAGTATAGGCGTTTGTTGACCGGAGTCAATACTGACTCTCTGTCTTCGAACTGCAGTGGCCGATCTGTAGGCATGCAAGCCTCTCATCCAGTCCAGTCTTCGAAATGCATCACCATTACTCTTCACGAATATCGCGGTCTCCAAGCGACCTCCCAGAAGTACGGTAAGTGTTCCTTCGCCCTCAATGCCGTTGCAGAGATCTTCAAACTAACACTTGTCAAACTAGCCAACTTGAGACAGAATCTTCTGCGGAGCGGAAAGGTTGACGAGCAGGCCATCGACGTGAGATCTTTCCCTAGGAGATACCATAACTCGCCGTGCAGGACAAAGATACTAATTGGTCTTCAAAGCTTCTGAGCCAAGACGACGAGGCCATTCAAAAGGCCCCGGATCCTTCTCCGGTAGCTCGAGGTCACGGCGGCTACAACGACGACGGCGGCGCAGCTTTGTACGATGATGACGAGCATTCCACCCGTCGCAACCACTGGGGCCGCTTCCCAACTAACAGCAGGCTCCACAACTACGCCCGGGATAGATCCCCGGACGACGACGCTTGGTCCGAGACAGATTCCACTGCAGGCGACGACCTGAGCCTTCGAGAGCAAGCGCAGAATGGCAAGGCCGATTTTGCTTCCCCCTTTGAGCGACAGTGCCTGCGAACTCTGTATCTCATGAACATTGCCGAGGGCACGACCCACGGAGACATCACGGCGGCCATCAGGGGCGGTATTTTGCTCGACATCTACATCCGAAGCCAGGAGCGCACGGCCACTGTGTCGTTCTTGCGCGCAGAAGATGCCCGGTATTTCTTCGACCATGTCAAGAAGCACGATCTCTACATCAAGAACAAGCGGGTAAGCAGGGCTCTGGTCCCATCCCCTAGGCAGCGCTCGCGTAAACTAATACTCTATACGAATAGGTCGACATCAAATGGCAGGACCGGCAGTTCGTCCTGGCTGGCCACATGGCCAACAAGATCGCTTCGGGCGCTACCCGGAACCTCGTCATCCGCCGCTGCGATCCGAGAATCAAGGAGCAGACCGTCCGCGAGGATCTCGACCATATCCACAACCTCGTGGTGATCAAGGTCGGGTTTGTCGGCGGTAGCTGCTACATCCGCACCAATTCCGTCAACAACGCCATGTTTGCGAGAACCTGCATGATGAGCCGAGCGTAAGTTCATATAGTATCCACTCCTTCTTCGTGATTGCAGTGGAACTGACGGGCCTCAAAGGTTATACAAGGGATCGAAGATCGAGTGGGACGTGGATGAGTGCGCGCAGCCTTACGACCCTGAGCCTGTCCTGAAGCCGAGACGCAACTCGCAGCCTCGGAAGGCTGCTGCGAACCCGATGCTCAACCGCTTTCAACTACTGAACCTCGACGACGGAGACGAAGAGGACGATATTGCCGCCTCTTTGCAGCAGTCCAAGAAGGTGGTGGACATTACTGCTTGAGCAGCTGTGACGCAGACGGGTAGCATGGGAGCCTTACGGAGTAGCACTTCAATTTCATGAGCCGCTTTTTATTTTGTCTTTTGTTTCGATGATTCAGGGGCAGCTTTTAGAGAACTCGGTCCTAGTACTGTGGAAATGAGCCGGGATTATGAAGATACCACGTTGCTCTCCTGCGGGAGGGGCATGAGATGCGTTCAGTCTGACCTGCAAGCTGAGAATTCGCCCGAGTAGCGATAGCCAGTTTCAACAGTAGCCATGCAATGGAATTAAGATATCACCGAAGATACCACGCGAGGCTCTTTGGATGTGTGTGATGATGGCACAGAAGCCCTGCTTTCATTGTGGATATGCCCAATATTCCCCAAAACGCCTGCTATTGCTCGCACATGTTTCTTGTTTTTTTTTCCCCATGGCTTACTTACGCTTTGCTACAGACCATCATCTCTCCAAGGGGTAAGTAAGTGCAGATTCGACACGTCTCCAACCTACTACGACTTCTGAAAACCGCCCCGTCGCAGATTTCAACAAAAAGGGCTACACAACCCCCCAGGCCTGGTCCACGGGCAGCGAGACGCCGTTCAATGTCCGGGCCGCGTCGCTGGACAGGAAGATGATGGTCCGCGCGACCTCGTGCGGCGTGATGGCGGGCGTGGCCTCGGTGGGGCGTGCCTGCAGGGCGTGGACGGGTCTTTAAGACAGTTTGTATTCTCGTCAGCGGAAACATGTAGAAAGGAAAAATGGAAACAGAAAGGTGGTGAAGAACGAATCTTTGGGGGGGGGGGGGGGGAGGGAGATGTAGATTGTCTTCAAATAAGGGGGGGTGGAAGACAAAACTTACTCCACCTCTGCGAACGCCTCGGCGTCCCAGGCGGCCGTGCCCGCCTTGTCGTCCCCGCCGGCGCCGGCGCCGGAGATGATGGCCTTGCCGATGCTCGAGTCGATGGCGCCGGGCAGCACGGCGTTGCACCGGATGCCCTGGCTGCGGAAGCGCCAGGCTACGTTTTTCGTCGCGCCGATCTACACATCTCCCCCCAACCACTCTCTCACGTCATTAGTCCCCCAATTCTTATATTTTCCTTTGTGTGTGTATATGTGTGTGTGTTTTTTTCCTTCCCTTAGTGTTGTTGTTGTTTAGTTTAGAAGAAAAAAAAAGGACTCACCAGACCGTGCTTGGACGCCGTGTAGGCGACGCCCGCGACGGCGCCGCTCACGCCGGCGGTGCTGGCCACGTTGACGATGGAGCCGCCCCTCTCGCGCATGAAGGGGATGGCGGAGCGCATCATCATGACGGGCACGGTCAGGTTGACGGCGAGCACGCGGTTCCAGACGTCGTCGGTCACGGCGTCGGCGCTGGCAAAGTTGTCCATGACGCCGGCGACGTTGACGAGCAGGTCGACGCGGTTGCTAACAGATGGAGAAAACATCAGTACAACTTTGTTTCCCCCCTCCTCTTCTCATGTCGCCCTTCTTTTCTTCCCCTCTTCATTAAAGGGAAAGGGGGGGAGACACTTGGAACTCAATACCCACCCAAACGTGTGCAGGCAGATGCGCACGCCTTCCTCGCAGGCGCCCGGCTCGGTCAGGTCCCGGCGCGTAAAGTGGAAGCGGCCGTGGTGGGCCTCGAGCAAGAGGTTGTAGTCAAAGGGCGCGGCGTCGAGGCCGCAGACGGAGAACTGGTGGGCGAGCAGGAGCTGGGTGCAGGCGAGGCCGATGCCCGAGGCGCAGCCCGTGACGATGGCGACGCGGCCGTAGCCGAGGGGGTCGACGGCGGCCTGCGGCACGAAGAGCTGGTCCGGCGCCGTGTTGTACAGCATCGTCGCTCTTTTCCTTCTTCTTGTTCTTCTTTTCGCTCTCCGGGTAGGCACTTTTTCCAGAAAAAAGTGTTTGCAATCTAGGAGGGGGAACGCCTTGCAGAGGATCCAAGAACTAGAGTGTCCAAGTCGCGGATAAGTCGGATGGATGCCTTGTCCTTTCCGGCCGTTCCCTCAAATCTTGCAAGGGATGAGAGATAAATCACAGTGATGATGTAAATGACTGAACAGGGAGGTTTTTGAAAAGCCAAGTTGTAAAGCGGGAAAAAGCAATGCAAATGACTCGGCAAGCGCGAGAGAATAGGAAACCATGTCCCTAGACAAGGTGAAGCAATTGATCACGAGGGCTGCCGAGCATTTATACACAAGTGATCGATCAGGTTCAAGAGATAGTCTAACTTACCTCAAGATCCCACAGTGGCGTATCGGCCAAGACTTACCGCGAAGGCTTAGAGGGAAGCAGCCGAAGTTTCATAACTGGTGTTGAAGGGAGCAACGGCGCCGGGCGGTGAAAGTGGTACGATTCGCAAATGGGGCCATTTCCGGTGATACAAAGCTTAGCAAAGGACCCCTTTGTGATAACAAGATCTGTTGTGTGGTGCATGTTGCAGCTGGGAGATACAAGTACATGGGAGGGTGGTGGCGCGCTCGAGAACTCGGTGAGGAAGAACAACATGCAAAGAAAAGCAGGAAACATGGCGAAATCGACTCTCTGGTTCAAAAGTCAGTGAACACGCGCCGAGGTCTAGAACATGTGAGGTTGAGGCAGGCGAGAGGCGAGTCCCGGGGAGATTGATTGGGGTGTGGAACTGATCTCCGAGTTGCCCATCAGGAGATCCATTCAGTAGTTATCCCACCCATATCATATGCGGGCCTCAGCTCAGCTGTCGAGTGACTGCGAAAAGCATGGGGTCGCTCAGCTGGCGCCAATCGTCGTTCAGCATTAATTTCATCTCCCAACGGCAAGCTAGGCCATGTTGCATCCGTCTTTCTTCTGCTACTCATCCCTTTCGCCATTCCGGCTGAATATACACAGGAGCAGCAAGAGAAAAAAGGGCGGAGAAATAGAAGAAACATTTCCTCCCGTCCTTGGATCCGAACCAAGATCTGTCCGCCCTCGAAGGGCCCAGACATAGCTACCTAGCTTTGTACCTATGCCTGGTTGCCACCAGACGGGTGTGATATCAGGCCCCCCACCTACCCCAGCTTATACAAGTAAACTCACCTGCACTAACACACCCCGCGGGAGGAAGCTTGAGCTCCGGCGCTAGAACTCCATCATCCCCTCCACTGTAACTCACTCCACCTTGATACTCCATACATGGAGACATCCCTCCACTCTCACGGTCTGCCTTTGCATCTCCGAACTAGAACCACGAGAAGACCGTCTTTCAAGCTCGAACTCGTTGACCAGACTGCTGAACATATATGTCAAGATTCTTCCAGTGATGATACAATACAGTCCGTCTCCATCAGACAGACACACTGCCAAACACAACACAAGTCTACCTACTCCTGGGCACCTTCACTGCTTGCTGCAAAGCGACGCGACAATACACCATCACTTTCGACACGGCTCTCAAGACCTGAACTGACCTAAAGGGCATTTCATTTTCCGGGGGGCAGTCAGATTAATAAGGTTCAAGATAGCTTGTGCCAAAGCACAACCCCCCCAAACTAACAAATGGTAAAAATTCCTCGCTGTCTGTCCATATCCATACCAAGTCGCTATGCACCTTACACACATACGTAGTAGTACCGTATCACACTGTATCACCGTGATACCGCTCTCGTCTCCCTGTTCCATCTCGCAGGGCATCCCCCCGCCTTGAACTCCTGCCACCACCACCACTCCGCTGAGAGTTGTCCAAGCTCAACGCCCGGCACTGCCAGACATGGACTCCAGGTAGCCCAGGAGGAAATTCCGATCCGCCGGGGAGATAGGCGTCTGGCTGCCGCGCCTGGAAGCATTGGCGCTGCTGCCCTGCCCACTCTCGAGGCCGGCAGAGGCATGCGACGACGGCATGCGAGGCCGGCCGGCGCCGCCGCCGTGGAGCTGGTCCAGCAGGCTGGGCTCCTTGCCCTTGAAGCCGGGCTCCGCAGCCGGTCCAGCCGCCGCCGCCGCCGGCGCCTTGCCGAACAGCGACAGAAGCTTCTGCTTCTGCTCCGGGTTCGCTTCCGACTGCCGGCGGACGACCGTCCCGCCGGCGCCGCCGTGCATCGGGGGCGCAACCTGGGCGTTGTGTGGCCCCTGCGTGTAGCTGGGGGAATGGTGATGTGCGCTGTGGCCGGCGTACTGCGGAGACAGCGGAACAGCTCCGTGCTGCGCAAGGTTTGGGCTGGAACTTGCCCATTGCTGGCTCGGCGCTGCTCCGGCACGCACCGTCGCATTCGACGCCGCTCCCGGAGAGTATGGTGCGCTTGCCTGATGTGGCGGGGCAGGAGCTGGTGCTCCCTGGGCACGCTCCCTATTCGCCGCATCCTTGGCGCGGCTCATGATGGACAGCGCGCCAAAGGGCAGGTTCAGATCCGGGTTCATCTGGATGGGACCGCCATTGGCTCGGGCCTCCGCCTCAATAGCCTTGCCGCTCGGGAGTTGGCCAGAGGCCCGCTGCTGGGACTCGGCGGATCCCATCCTGGCATTGGCATCCGCGGCCGGGCCAAGTCCTGCACCGCGTGGAGACGCGGGTGCTGGCTGCTTGAACATGTCGAGCAGCGCGCTTCGATGCTTATCGTTGGGCTGGACAGGTCTCGCCGCAGCCTGCTGCCCATGGTTGACATTGCCCAGGAGCCTTTGCACTGCCTCTGTGGCCTGGGGCGGAGGTCCTTGGCTGCTCATCTGTTGCGATGCAGGATACATGCCGAGACTGCGCTGCGGGTTGGCCCAGTTCAGGGCTGGAGCCTGCGCTTGGCCGGCTCGTAGGGTATTATGCGGGGGCGGAGGCGGAGGCGGCGCTCCATTCTCATCGTTCCTGGGGGCATCGCTCTTGAAGGCACTCAGAAGCGCCATCTTGTGCTGATTCATGACAGGATGCGGTTGCCCGGCGTTGGGCTTGTGTTGCGGCATGTTCATCATCTGATTGGCGTAGTGCGGTTGTGCGGTTCCTTGACCTTGGCCGTAGGCGGCATCAGGAACACCCGGGGATGGAAGCACGCCCCTATTGAATAGAGCCTTCTGCACTTGCGGAGGCAACGGCTGGGGATGCATGAGTGGTACAGGATCAGGCCGCTGCTGGGGTGGCGGCGCCATCGGCGGCCCAGTGTATCCTTGGCGCATTTGAGGGTCCGAGTAGTTTTGATGATACTGGAAACCAGCTGCATTTTGGTGTTGCTGGGGCGGAAGGGGGAACTCGGGAGGCTGTTGCTGGTAGCTGGAATACGGCAGACGCTGAGCAGGATGGTGGTGATGAGGCGTAACTGGTTGAGGGGCGTTTGTGTATGTCAAGTCGAGAGGTGTATGAGGCACCGCTTGCTGGGCCTGCGCGGATGGTTGATGGCCTGCACCACCATTGCTTCTCTGCAACATGGCCAGCAGGGCTCCGCCTTTATCCTGATCCTGCGGGCTGGGCTGGCTCGGCTGCAAACCTTGGGTAGGAGGTTGAACTTTGAGTAGACGCTGCAGTTCCCTGGTGGCACCGTCCAGTGTGTCAATCGCCGGTGTTATCCTCATTGCCTCGGCAGTCGGGTCGGTCTGCATGCCTGCATCATCCTCCGTCAACGCCTCTTCGAGCAGCGGCTGGGCCGCAAGGTGAGTGCCATAGGTGATGCCGCGCTGCGCATCCTTCTTCTTTTGGCTGACTACCCATTTCTTCAAAGGGACGAGGAAAGGCGCCACCATGTAGAACTTGTTCGCATTGGTGGCAGCAGCATTGTTCTGTTGATTTCCCTTCTTACGAAATGCCGGTAGTTCGGAGAGCTTGTACCACTGGATCTTGCTGATCTCCTTTCGGGTCTTTGGCTCAAAGTAGGTATCCATGGGTATGTTGCGGAAAACGTAGAGTCGCATCTGCTGTTCCCTCATGGTGATCTCGATGTACTTGACTTCGTCATGGGGAGGGACAAGTCCGGCCGCGCGGATGTCGAAGCCGGTCTCCTCGTAGACCTCGCGGATAGCGCAATCGAGGTCATCTTCATCTTTGTTGATCTTGCCCCGAGGGAAGCTCCAGTTGGCGCCCTTCTTCCACCCCTTGACCAGAATGGTCGAATCCATAGCCTCGTTCAGCAAGATGGCTCCGCGAACCGGAACTCTGGTCTTGTACTGCAGGAACTCTTCGAAAGCCCTCATGTGGTTCTCAAGTGAGAAGTTCGCCAGCAGCGGGCAGTGCTGGAAGATGCGTAGACAGAAGCTTCGTAGGGACATGGACGGGAGTGTCGGGTCCAGCGGCCGGATGAAATCCTCGTAAAACCATTGTGCCTCCTCAACTTGGAAACATATCCGCGCGACCGATGATAGGTCTTCCTGTGGCAGGTTGATGATGAAGCGAACGCAAAGGTCGTCGAGCCCTGGGAAGCAGCATTGTCAGCGCTCGTCGGGGGGGAATGATCTCTCCCCAGTGCACAAAGCTCGCGTCGACCTACAGTCTTCTAATTGCATCTTTGTAGTGTCCATCTCGTTGATATTGCTTGCGCATGACCACACGTGAACTGGTGATTGTGAAGAGTTTTACCGATCGGTACTCAGTGCCATGAACCGAGGACCGTTGGGTTCCGAGCGCTGCGGGAGAGTGGAGGGGTGCGAGGGTCAAGGTTGATCCCGACGTGTCGAGTGGGATGTCCTGGAGGGTTCGCTTTTGGCCAAAACTCGGACAGAATAATGCTGGAATACTCGCTCGCGTGAAGTCTCAGGGGGAAAGATACTCGAGACGCTCCGCAGTCAGTTGGGCAGCCAGTGACGAACAGAAGAGGAGTACCTAGGTAGGCTCGTAGGCAAGGTGAAGATGGAGACACCACAGAGCACCATGTGAGTGATGGGTAGCTACGCATAACTTATCAGAGGTGGCAGGGAATGCGCCGACGACGTGGAGTGAGTTGATTGACCAACGCAATTGGCGCAGAGAGCACGGGTGGAGTCTCGAGTGGTTCCCGGCCAGCCATGGCCTTTGACCAGGAAAGACGCGCTAGTTGATCAGTTTGCACAGCAGCGGTCTTCCATGTCCCTGTCCCTCCACTGCTGCTCCCGCCCTCCAGGGCTGCTGCTGTCACTAGCGCTTCAGAGGGAGGTTGGTTGGCCGGAAGCAGTCTGAGAGTAGACCTGAGCACCCGGGCATTTTTGACCAGTATCTCCCTAATTGACACAAAAATCCAGATTTAATTGAAAGCCTGCAACACCCATAAATCACAGTGGCGACAGGTGAACACCGACAGCGTACAAGCCACACTTGCTCAACGCCACATCCGCCCAAGGACCGGCCTAGGTGTGGCGGTGCAGGCCGGCAATTGGCTTAGCGGCTGGCCTAGCCTAATGCACGGTCGCAAGGTCGCAAACAGCACCACGTAGCGAACGCTCCACCCGCCCGGGAGGCCTGTCTGGCGCGTCTTGATTGACATCATTGTGCCTGGAAAAGCTACAGGTTACTGATCAGACCGGGCTTTTTGCTTGCTTTTTCGTACCGGGGTGTCGTCACGCCCTGCGACATTCTTGAGACGAGCCAGCTGAAACCTGGCAAGCCTGCTGGTCTCGAACCCTCTTTCTCTTTCGTCTTTTCTCAAGTATCAGAAGACTGGAAGTTTAGATAGTTGGGGCGATTCTCCTGGGTCTATCTTGGCCACCTGCCCTTCACCGCTTTGGCTCCCGGCGGCCTCACTCTGCAGCAGTAGCTAAATAACGGCCACCAGCCAAACGTGGATGCTTCAGCCAGTCCCGCTGGATATACCCTCCAACCAACGGTCCGCCCTTTGTTGCAGCCATGTCGGCAGCAATTCTTAACCTGGTCGCCAAGCGCGCACTCAAGGACCTCGCTGACAAGAATACTAATTCCAAGGTTCGTTTGATTTATTGCGCCATCTGCCCAAGAGCCATGCTAACCTACCTGCGCAGAATCCGTATTTCGAGGATGTCCCGGTCTATGGTCGCGATGGTCGTCCTACTGGCAAAGTCAAGCAACAAAAGAAGAAGATTCCGGCCGGAATCTCCGAGCACGATGGCAAGGTCCTTAAGAAAGTCCGAAGGCGCGCGTATCGGCTTGACATGTCGCTGTTCAATCTGTGCGGCATCCGATTCGGTTGGAGCAGTGTTGTGGGAATAATCCCTGTGTAAGTTGTGACCTTGGCTCCTCCGCAAAGCTTGAGAGTATCATGGTACTGACAAGAGTCCTATAGGGTTGGCGACTTTATCGACCTTTTCCTGGCTTGGAACGTCGTCAGAACCTGCGCTCAGATCGATGGAGGTCTTCCCTCGTTGATCCGCACTCGAATGTTCTTCAACATCCTGTTCGACTTCGTCATTGGACTGGTACCTTTCGTCGGAGACATGGCCGACGCCGTCTATCGAGCAAATACGCGTAACGCATGGGTTCTTGAGGAGTATCTTGTGAAGAAAGCCGAGGCGGAACAGAAGAGGGTTCCGTCGTCCACTACTGCGGGAAATCTAGCATCGCCGACGCGACCGGAACCGGCGAAAACGACATCGGGCGGCTTTATGAGCTTCTTTGGCAGAGGCAGGTCTCAGCAGGCTGACGAAGAGTTGGGTATGGAGCAACTCGGCAGCAGCAGCAACAATAACCATAACAACAATGGTAAATCCGGCCAGCACCGAAGTGGTTGAGAAACCTCCGAAGGCGGCCCCGGGGCTGGAGATGGGCAATAATATCTCCGCTAATGACGGCGACAGCCGTTGATCGGCATCACAATGGCAACAACAACATCCAAGATGCGCCAATGCGTCCCTTGGCTTGCTGTTGCCTGATGGATGGACTGGGCCAGAGCGAAATCGGATGTTGCTTATGCATTTTATCGAATGGGAATTGGGAAAGCAACAAAGTTAACCGGGCTCACTGCGGAGCTTAGTACGATACCATGTTTCATGCCAGCCAGAGTTTTAGATGATACCAATTAAAAGGCGGACATCGCCAGCTGTCGCGTAGTACCTCGTCGCGTCCCCAATGCATTTGTGATCTTTACATAATGGATGACTCGCGTCAAGAAGCTGATGTCATGAGCCACTAGCAATTAAGCGCCAGAGTCATACCTGGGCGTGGAGTGGATAAAGGGCTGGCTGCCTTGGCCTTCAGGTAGGTAATGTAATTATCCTTTTGTACCCATTGAAAATTACAACTACAAGAGAAGGAGGAGAGACTCTATCAAGAAATACAATCGTCTTTTTCAACGTTACAGGTGGGTAGACTTGCGACTTGTCTCTGAGACCGAGGGCCGGATCCTGGGAAACTACCTACTGACAAACAAAGTAGATCTGTTAGTGTTCTGCACACGCTATTCGTCACTGTGTGGAGGCTTTCTCGGATGCGAGGCTTTGGGATTCGGTGATAATTTGGCACAACACACCACCCTGCATTCCCCGTCTCCGGCCGGACCTGGCTTATCAGATCCGAGAGGGCAGGCAAAGGAGGGAATCAGGACATTCCCCATAAAATAGGGAGGCTGGGAAGCTGGTCGAAGGGTGTTGCGAAACAAACACACAGGGGTGGAGAAGCGCAGGGGTGCGCAACGCGTCGAGGAGCAGCCCGGGTCGCGTCGAGGGGCACGTGAATTGGTGTGGTCCCCCGGCGAAAAAGATCCATTTAAGCCGAACACGTCCTGCACCTCTCTCTCCAATTCATCCTCCCATTGCGTCAACCTCAACACCAGACATCCGCATTGTACAATTCCTTTTTCTTGTCATTGTCTCATCCGAACAGTCTTTGCGCATCGTCTTAGCACCACGCCTGTCCTTTCTACTCTCTACAATGGCTGCTGAGATCACTCCCTCCAAGCAGGTCAGTCATGAGCACCGCGTCGTCCTCGCGCTCGCCCGCCACCATGCATCTGAAAGCTAACGCGTTCCTTTCTCACACAGGCTGCTTCGGCCATTGAGTCTTTCAAGATCGAGTCTCCCGTCAAGAAGCTCGACTTCAACCCTGCCGACAAGGAGAACAAGCCTCTCGACGCCACCGTCGACACCCTGGCCGCCGAGATGGACGCCAAGCAGGCCGACAAGCCTGTCTCGGACATCAAGAAGACCGAGGAGGCTGCTGTTGCACCTGTCATCAAGCCCGAGGAGGCTGATGAGCCCCTCCTGCAGGAGAACCCCCAGCGCTTCGTCCTGTTCCCCATCAAGTATCACGAGGTACGCGTCGCGTCTCACGCGTTCCATTGGGACGCGTTAATTGAAATGTTTAATTGATTGAAAACTAACAATGCCTTTGCCAAACAGATCTGGCAGATGTACAAGAAGGCCGAGGCCTCCTTCTGGACCGCCGAGGAGATTGACCTGTCCAAGGATCTCCACGACTGGAACAACCGCCTGACTGCCGATGAGCAGTACTTCGTCTCCCACATCCTGGCCTTCTTCGCCGCTTCAGATGGCATTGTCAACGAGAACCTCGTTGAGCGTTTCAGCGGCGAGGTCCAGATCCCCGAGGCTCGCTGCTTCTACGGTTTCCAGATCATGATGGAGAACATCCACTCCGAGACCTACTCCCTGCTCATTGACACCTACATCAAGGAGCCTGCCCAGCGCACCTATCTCTTCAATGCCATTGACACCATCCCCTGCATCCGCAAGAAGGCCGACTGGGCCCTGAAGTGGATCGCCGACCACAAGTCTACCTTTGCTCAGCGCCTCATTGCCTTCGCCGCTGTCGAGGGTATTTTCTTCAGCGGTGCCTTTGCCTCCATCTTCTGGCTGAAGAAGCGTGGTCTGATGCCTGGTCTGACCTTCTCCAACGAGCTGATCTCTCGTGATGAGGGCCTGCACACCGACTTTGCTTGCCTGCTCTTCTCGCACCTGAAGCACCGCCCCAGCAAGCAGCTCGTGCAGGAGATCATCGTTGATGCCGTCACCATCGAGCAGGAGTTCCTGACCGAGGCTCTGCCTTGTGCCCTGCTCGGCATGAACTCCAACCTCATGAAGCAGTACATCGAGTTCGTCGCTGACCGTCTGCTCGTCGCTCTCGGCAACGAGAAGGTCTACAAGGCCACCAACCCCTTCGACTTCATGGAGAACATCTCGCTCGGTGGCAAGACCAACTTCTTCGAGAAGCGCGTCGGCGAGTACCAGAAGGCTGGTGTCATGAACAGCACCAAGAAGGCCACGGACGAGGCCGCTGGCGAGACCAAGAATGAGAACGGCGGCGACTTCAGCTTTGATGACGACTTCTAAACTAGTCGCATCCATGGTGTCGAGTCCCGTTCCCTTTTGTCTAAATACCCTCTTCGTTCTGTACATTGCACCTCACGGGCACATGTTCATGTTTTGAAAGTCCAAGTTCTTGGCATAGGCTTGCATCGCGGCTTTCTCTCCTCTTCACATGTTTTCCTTTTGTGTCTCATGGGGGGTCATTGGATGCTGGGTCGATGAATAGACCGACCAGCACGGTTCATTTACTGGCGTTTTGCGGAGAACAATCACATGCCCTTTTGGGCTCGGTTTGGGGGGGATGGCAGCTGCTTAATGATTTGATGTACAAGTAACTCTGGGTGGCAGAATTGAAAAAAAGCCTGTTCTACGATCTGTAGTCTCCCTGTGGCACTACGTGATGTGATGTGTTCCAGATGCAGTACTCGGTCAGGGTTACTTTTAGAATTGCTCGACTTTTGCAAGTCCCATGTATGTCATCCACTGATTGACGTCGAACAATGCGGTGCTGTGATCTAGTGGTGCAAAATGCCACAACCGTGATATGCAACCATGCCCCCGAAACCGTAGCCAAAGCTTTTCCAGCAGTCCAGCTTGAGGTAGGGCCCTCTAATGCCCTGCCAAGTCACGCTCGCGACGCAAATTGAATAATCCCAACCCTCTCATACTCCGACTAGCTGCTCCTCCTGTCTCCTCGTCTCCCTCCCGTTCCGCTCTCCTTCTCTCACCTCTTACCCTTCTTCTTCTTGCCCTTGCCGCCGCCGCCACCCCCGCCTTGCTGCTGCTGCTGCTGCTGCTGCGCCGGTGCCGCGGCCGGGGCCTGGCCCTGCGTCGTGGTGGGCGTCGCCGTCCCGGCCGCCCCTCCCGACGGCGTGTCGGCGCCATCCTCTGCTGCACCATCGTCCCGCGGCGGCAGCGCCGCCATGCGCCGGCCCAGGCCGCCGAGCAGCTGGACCAGGCGCGACACCTCGGCCGCCTTGGTCGTCTTGTACTTGAGGCAGGCGCCGCTGACGGGGTCGTACGTCTTGAGCACGAGGCGCGCGCGCGGCGGCCTGCTGCTGCTGGTGGTGCTGGTGGTGTCTGCTGCTGCCGCCGCCGCGTCGGCGGGCTGGCTTCTGGGTTTGCGGGAGGAGAAGGTCGCGGCGGGCTTGGTGGTGTAGCGGGTTGTGATGCGGGTCTTTGTGTGTGTTAGCTCTTGTCGTGCGTGGCCCCTAGGGGGGGGTTCGAGGACTGAATATGCTACTGGCAGAGATTATTTGAATATGGGGGCTGAACGTACTGTTGAGGGGCGGGCTTCGAGGAGGAGGGAGGATTGGCGTAGCCATTCCTGGCTAGAGGTGAAGACGGTCATTGTGCGGAGAGATGAGTAGGGCTGAGCGGCACAGGTGCCAGGTTGTTGCTCGAGTCGTCGGAGAACTATTCGTTGCTGGATGGTCTCAATTATATGCACCGTTGACTATTGGGGTGTTTCTTAGTGGTGAGACGTGTGTACGAGACTCGGTGTTTGCGAGATTGACGATGTCGGTGGAGTGAAGGTGAGTGTGGCAGATGAGGCTCTGTCGTCTTAGCAATTTTGGTGTTTCCTCCAGTTTGGTGGGGTCGAAAGTTAAGCGGGGCTTCGACTACACTGGTGGATGTTCTCCAAGTTACCTAATGAGGCGCATGCTTGGAATAAGATGCGCTCTCATATATCACTTCTACGCAAGCCGTCGGAGGATATACAAGCTAACAAGTCGAGTGATTCATGCGTCTATAATCTATATTCGAAAATTCATCACCCAATTCTCCTTCTTGTTCCCACGTCACAGAACCGCCAAACGCCAAAGAGGGTATCAATATCAAAAGAATTTGCCTCTCCGTTATAGACACCAAAGCAAGTAATGGAAATCCGATCCACCGATCCGCCCGGATCACCCTACACCTCCCCCCTCTAGGCATGAGGATCGGGCGTCCAGAACACAAGGTCTTGATCCGCTGTTGCGAAAAAGTTGTACCGAGGGTTAAAGGCCAGCACCGCCGCTTCTCTCTTATCCAGAAGGACGTGAGCCGGCTCGAGGACCTTGGTCTCCGACACCGTACCCAGCGTGTCCCAGATAAGCACGTTGTTCTTGGCGCCGCTCATGACGTACCGTCCGTCGGGCGTGAAGCAGCACTCGCCACTGCTCTCGGCCTGGGAGGGGTCGCTCGGCGCGGACGCGTTGCCCTCGCCGACAGCCGGTCGTCTCGTGCCGCCCTCGGGCTTCCGCAGGTAAGCCCTCAGCTTTCCATCAAACGCATCGAGGAGGTAGTGGCCGTTGCCCCGGGTGCCGAGCAGAATCGACTTGCCATCGTTGGAGAACTCAAGCTTGGTCCATCCCTGAAGCAAGTGGGTAGAGTCGACGGCCCTGCAACTCTCCACGATGTCAAAAATCGCAAATGGTGCCTTCGTATAGTTTCGGTAGTCGTAGAGGAGCACGCATCCGCTTGAAGGTGACCCGACTGCGAAGACGTTGCCAGAAGGATCCCAGGCTGCGAGATACGGCGTGTTCAGGTAGAGCAAGCCTGCCCACTGCTTGCTGCCAATGTTCCACAGTCTGACTGTGCCATCGACGCCACAAGATATGAAATTATCAGACCCTGGATGCATGGCGAGGGAGGTGACCGTTCCCTCATGGCCTTCAAAGTAGCGGATAAAGGAGTTGTCATGGGTTGCAAGGTAACGTATTGCATCTGAGAACAAGAGAATGCACATGTCAGCCAGCCAGGCGTCGAACAATACAATTTTGCCATCATACCATTCTGTTTAGTACTCGCGTATACTATGCTCGAGGACCAATGGGTGAATCTGGCCAATTTGACACCGTATTTCCGACTCAGAAGGCTCTTGTCATGCCGCCCTTCCTTGACATTGTAAATCTGTATAGTCTCATCGCTCTCCGAGGTCATGCAGAGCTCGCCGGGGTCGTCGAAATCAAGTGACAGAACGCACGGCCTCGTGCCGTCCTTAACGTCCTCTCTGCGGAAGAGCTGTGGAGCGTTAGTCGGCCAGCTGGAAGGTGCGATGCGGTTGCGACAAGGAACACACCTTTGCAGGCCTGAAAGCATCTATCACTTGAGTCAGTTCCGTCGTCGGATTCACGCCGCCGCCGAGCGTACGGGTTATATTGAGCGACGTCGTCGTGCCATTGCTTGGGGCTGAACCGGGATGGTCCAGATCCATCGGCGTGCCCGACATGATCGCGTGGCTCTGTCGCGTCCCAGCGGGTGGGGATAGGGATGAAGAGAGAGTCGCGGTTTCGGTATCGCGAGAAGGAAGGATAGTAGAATGCTGATCAGTGGTATCGGCAGCGTTGGTTTCCAGCGTACACGATAAGATGCTGAAAATCTACTTTGCGAGAGAAGGGTTGACAGGACATGGATCCATTGCGAAAGCTCGAAGCTTCAAAGGCACTTGTCCAGACGAATCGAGTCTGGACGCATTGTTCCTTCCCCAGAAATTCTTATCGATAAGCTTGCACAGGTACCAGACCCATGCACCTCCCCATGTTGGATGGCATAACTCTTGGCTGGTACTTCTGCTCAGTGTTCCCTTTCTATACACTGTTCGAATAGTTACAAGATCTCTTCTGTCAGTCATCATCCACTGGTGAGCTACCTGGTTCATTTAAGCTGAGGGGGCTTCATTGTTAAGTTTCTTGGTCACGGCAACACGGCCAGAGAGAACTGGGATCGACACCGAATGCTCATGTAGTTCACATTCACAGCTGGCCTTATCAAGATACTCCACAGAGTCATAGAATGAAGCATAACACGGGATAATATAGGACCCTGCGTGATAAGAGAAACTTGACTTCAATCTTGTCCCAGGTCAGGAAGCATCATGGAGGCAGTCGGTGGTCCAGAGTTCCGTAACCGGCGGACCAGTAGGAGAGCCTTGAATTATTGGCTCAGCTCCCCGAGGTCCCTGAAATTGCTGCACGCCGCGGGCAGTTACAGCGGGGAATCAGCAGCTACCCACTAGCGCTGACCCCTGTCTGGCCCGTGCGTCAGAGCTTCTTTCTGCTGACAATCCTGACCCGTCCAGCTGGATGGCTGCTAATTCGGCGTTTGTTCCGATCCTCGCAACGACCGGAGGGGGATTTTTCGCTTTGATGCGGCCTTGCACTTTCCAACACCCGCAACCCCAGAACCATCTCCCGCCGATAGCCCGTCCCCCGGTTTGCGCGGATCGATAGGGATTCGCAGCAAAGGCACTCAATTGAGTCAGTTCCCGCAGGTCTCCTGGACCAGCTCCTGTTCGAACCCTGAGCATCGGTAGTACTCGTTGGGAGGCGCGGTTTGGGCAGCAGACAGGAAGAGTCGGGATCGGCTACCATCTTCCGCGGACAACCTCCTTCGACGGCACCGCAGGCTCACGCGACAACAGAAAGAAGCCACTGGTCTACGGAACAAGAAAGTTTGATATCCTTCATCTCGGACCTTGCCCTTTTCAACTAGATGTCTACGACTGGCGGGTATGTTGGCTTGCGTTCTACTCCGCGACTGGTGGGAAAGCTCGCTAACGCGCACCTCCTAGAGCTTTCATTGCCGGCGGGCTCGCCGCTTGCGGCGCTGTCACCGCGACACACCCCTTCGAGACAGTCAAGATTCGGTCAGTCCTCTATACCCTTGGGCGTACTGTAATACAATGTGGCTAACGAGCCCCATGTACAGCATGCAGTTGCAAGGCGAACTGCAACAAAAGGGCCACCAACCGCATCACTACAAGGGACCTCTCCACGGCGTCTCAGTGATTGTCCGCAATGAAGGGCTCCGTGGCATATACAGAGGTCTGGGGACTGCGTACATCTACCAGGTCCTCCTCAACGGCTGCCGTTTGGGCTTCTACGAGCCGATGCGCTCCACCCTGGCCAGCGTGATCTTCAAGGACGAGAACAAGCAAAGCTTAGGCATCAACATGTTCTGTGGTGCCGCCTCTGGTGTCATTGGTGCCGCCTTTGGAAGCCCCTTCTTCCTGGTCAAGACGCGACTGCAGAGCTACTCTCCTTTCCTCCCCGTCGGTACTCAACACGAATACCGCGGCGCGTGGCACGGGCTCAACTCCATCTACAAGGCCGAAGGATTCCGCGGCCTCTACCGTGGTGTCAGTGCTGCCATGATTAGGACTGGTTTTGGTAGCTCAGTGCAGCTTCCCACCTACTTCTTTGCAAAGAGGAGGCTGCAGAGGCACTTTGGCATGGAGGAAGGCCCGGCCCTGCACCTGACTAGCAGCGCAGTCAGCGGCTTTGTGGTGTGCTGCTTTATGCATCCGCCAGGTAAGCACTACGTTTGTCCACCTACCTCTGGAATACCAGCTGCTGACCCCGAGGAACTCTCGCAGACACCGTCATGTCTCGTCTGTACAACCAGAACGGCAATCTGTACAAGGGCGTCTTTGACTGCCTGGCCAAGACGGTGCGCACCGAGGGACTGTTCGCTATCTACAAGGGTTTCCTGCCGCATCTGGCCAGGATTTTGCCGCACACTATCCTGACCTTGAGTCTGGCTGAGCAGACCAACAAGCTGATGAGGGGTGTGGAGAGGAGTATTCTGCCTGCGTCGATGCTGGAGAAGCCCTGAGGAAGACCAAGCATGCTGCATGAATATCTCTGGCGTTCTTCAAGAGTTGGTCGTCTGCTTGATTTCAAAAGTTATTTTTTTACAAGCTTTGCGGGCATCTTATAGGCATAGACTTGATCTGTTTGATACCATGTCCAAATATCTGGTCCAGATAGAACGGCGGGAGGGATATATAAAAATGTAAAAAAGAGTTATAACATGATGTCGCTTGATAGCCCTGTCCTGCTTGTCTCTGGTCTCCTTTTCTTTTTCTCCCCCTTGTGGTTCTTCATTCAACCGCGAAACGTCCGCTTACAGCCGTAGCAAAGCTTCCCCGCCACCGCCGCCCTCTGCTCGTCTTCGTCCTCGTCGCCTATCTCGCCCCTCCACCGCTCGTCCCCTTGCTCGTCGAGCGGCGTGCCGCAGAGGCTGCACAGCCCGGCGGCGCCCTCTCCCCGCCGCCCGAGCTTGGCCGTCGTCCGCACGACGTTGGCCACCACGGAGGGGTAGTTCTCCTCGACGTCCTCAAAGTACCGCCTCATGACGTCCTCGATGCTGATGTCCCGGTGCGACACCACGCTGCCGCCGCCGCCGGCCTCGGGCAGCACCAGGTCCCCTATCGGCGGCGACACGAGCGCCCCGTACGTGACGAGCTCCTTGCGGAACAGCTCCCGCACGGGGTAGTACACCGTGACGAGGCTCTCATCAGCATCGTCCTTCTCCACCGCCGCCGCCGCCGCCGCCTCGTCGTCTCGTGGTAGTAGCGGGTGGTTCTGGCGGTGTTCGTACCGCCGCACCGGCTGGGGCCCGTCGTTGGTCTGCCACGGCAGCGAGAAGCCGCGGCCCTTGGCCGTCTCGGCGAGCGTCAGCTCCGCCAGCGCCGTCGTGCTGCTGCCCAGCAGCAGGGCGTCGTAGGCGCCGCGCGCCGCGCGGTCGAGCAGGGCGTGCCGCACGAGCAGGCGCTGGACGTCGGCGCGGCTCGTCGGCGAGGGCAGCGACTCGAGGACGCGGCGCAGGTCGTGCGACGACGGCGGGGGCGGGGCCGCCGCCGCCAGCGGCAGCGCGGCCCAGTCGACCGTGTCGAGCGCCGCGGCGCTGCTCAGCGGGACGGACTCGAAGGTGAAGCGCGGGAGGCGCGCCTTCCACTGGTCCAGGAGCGCCGCGGCGGCCGGCGAGGGGCCGGGGCTGCCGGCGTCCAGGTCCGCTGTGTCGACGTGCAGGGCGTGCACCTCGAAGGACGGCTCGCGGCCCCTGGCGGCCTGGCTCGCAAGGATCTGGTCCGCTATGCGGAGGAGCGCCGCGGACGAGGCGCCCAGGGACAGGCCGACGAGGTACCTCTTCTTGGCGGGCCGGCCGCCGCCGTGCGTCCGGGACTCCTTGTCCAGCACCTCCAGGCGCTTGACCGTCTTGGTGACGATGTACTTGCAGAAGCAGTCGCTGGGAGATGGGAGGAGAAGACCGTGTTAGCCGCCATTCAATGATATATTTTCCAGGTGAAAGGAGGGCACATACTCGCACACGGGCTCTGTCCGTATCTTGCGCGTGGATGGTAGGTCTTTACATCGCCTGCAAGGCTTGCTTGCTGGCGCCCCCACCACCCCTCCAGACTCCATCGTCCTGGCGATGAAATCCCGCTGCTGGCTGCTGAGAGAGGCGAATATCTGGAATACGGAAACAAAAGGCCGCACTTGATGTCTGGTTCGGTTTGTTTCGGGATTCTGTCGTGATTCTTATAAGTTGTTGTAAGAATGATTTTTGGGCGAGCGGCCAATCAGGTGTGGCGAAATTCAAAGTTCACTCACAAAACTCGTGGGACCCCGTACGTGTGAGTTGACTAATAAGTTGGGCCTGGAAGCATTCGCGAACAATGTGTGTTCCAACTTTGTTCTGAAAGATTTGACGAAAATTTTCATGGTCTGGCCATCTGCGGAAGTTATGAGTATTGAAAAATGGTCTGATGTACGCAGTATTTTCATTTCCTGAGAGGAGCTTTGATATTCTTCATCCAAGGTACTTATTAGGTGTATAATTACTGGATTAGGCAATTTCGTGATAAAAGATCACATGAGGCAGCCACTACGACACGTGTAACAGGGGACAGGATCACGTCCAAAATGCAGAGGGGAAGAAGCTGTCTAGGATCATAATTTGCAGACGAGTCGTGTCCGTATTTGGACCGCCATGTCGTCCAAGAAGGTATCCAGCCTGCGTCACTTGTTTTCTAGGACGCAGCCGAGCGGATGATCTTGGAACCAGCTGCGGTCCTTGGCCCACGCCTTGACTATGATTTCCTTGCCTGCATGAAGTACCTTTTCCACCTGTTCAGGGGTGCCCCATCCCGGCACGGTACCGAACGAGATCAAGTGAACACCGACCTGGACCAGAACCCTAAAGGCGAGGCCGTCGTCCATGCCTCCATACCCGTCGACGAAGCCTTTGATGAACCACACCCCCGCGGCAATGTCCTTGTACAGGTACAGTTCGTAAAGTTCTGCAATCATCTGTCCCAGGTCGAGAGCGCGGACGCCGAGCTGGGCGAGCTCCCAGTCGATGATGGTGAGTGGAGTGATGTCCGTCTCTTTCAGGGGCGTATCAGGCAAGAGCACGCTGTCTCGGGTCAGCATCTGCTTCGTCACTCTTGGGGGTTCCCGCTACATACTTTCCGGTCCAAAAGTCGCCATGAATGACCTGTAGGTTGTCCTCGTCCTGGGCTTCCTTCTCTCCCATCTCTTTCACCTTGGTGAAAACGTCCTTGGCATCAGCAAGGACCGAGGGGAATTCGTCAACCCTTTGCAGAAGCCAGGAGTAGTTGATCATGATCTTCATAGCCTTCATATGGCCGTTCTTCTTGATCTCGTCCCGCAGTCCCTTCTGCTCGGGCCGTCTCGCCCACTCGTGGAAGCCGCGTAGCCATGATCCCAGGCCCATACCCAAACCCAAGCAGCAAGGCTGGAGAGAGGATGGTGTCGGCGCTGCAAGATGGGAGATGGCATAGTCCTTGAGGTTGGCCGAGTTGGGGGCGAACTCCTGGACCTGAGTATTGGTGGCCGGGTCGAAATAAAAGACTTTGGGGGTCTTGACTGTACACCTCGGATTACCTGTTGGCGGGAGTCTGGCAGTGGCTTCCAGGCAGATCTCCTCAAAGCGCTGTCCACCAAAGATTTCAGCAACTGAAAGAAGCGCTATGGGTTCCGGATCAATGGCTACACTTACACACCGCGTGGTTGGCAGCTGAAAGTTCTGATTCAGGGCGACATAGCCCTCGCCATGCTTCACCAGGGCTTCCAGAGTTCCATCAGGCAGGGGTGTTTTCAGAGTAGCACGGTAAATGAAATTACCAGTCCCGCCAGACAGAGCCTGGAGGGAGGAGCAGGCATAGGGTGTGTGCTCCAACTCTCCTTGCACTTTTGAGGCTATCTCGTCGATGTTAGCTGGCAACGCCATCGTTCCTCGGAAAGGCCTGCCGTTCGTTTCAAGACGGGTTTGTAATGAATCAATGGTTAGGAAGACTGAGAGGGCTCCAGCTCTGAGATTTAGATTTATTCTGTAGAGAAGTGAATGAATTCTTTAAAGAAACAATTCACGATCTTGGCTTGTTGTTTTGTACATTTTCAGCTCCAACACGGGCGGCCAATGTTGATGCGATACAAAGCCGCCCCACCAGGACCGGGATGCTGACCGAGTGAGTCAAAAACGGCGCCGTTTAAACTTGTTCGTGCCACTATTCCCTAATGGTATTAAATGGCAAGCGCATGCATGCCTCTCTACTTGTATTGTACTTGTAGACTTCCCTTCAAGATATCACATAAGCGTGTCCGACAATGGGCACAACCTACCATTTTGACGGGCGAGAGACAGTGTTGGCGGGGGGCGGATGTATTTGGAATGCCTGTCACAAAGGTCGGGATTGGTATATAAGCTTTTCAAGCCGGAAACAAGACTTTGGTGGATGGAGCCTTCGTGTTTCCACTCTCCTCGGAGCAGGCAGATACCCATCGTCCTCAAAACACAAGTAGATGGGTCAATTTCAATGGCCTGACCCGGGACCATGGATGAAGCGGAAGGGCGTGACGCAAGCCTCTGTGTCACCAGGCACGGGTTGCCGATTGCCGGAGGAGCCGGGCAGATTTGCAGGGTAACTCGAGAGAGGTAGTGATCGTTGAGAGGACCATTGAAGGATCGGATCGCCGGGAAACGAATGGCAGAGGACACGGGTGCAGATGTGGGTGCCTGCGTCCTTGTCGAAAGCTTATCGCATGTCAGCGGTCGAGTCAGGTCGAGCCGAGTCGAGTCCGGAGTAGGAGGACATCCATGGATGGTCGAGATCGAGTTTCAGGGTCCAGCATGTCGTCATGAACTTCCCTCCTTTCTTCGCTGGCCGCCCAGCACTGCCCCACGGCGTCTCTTTCTCCCTGATATGTAAAACCGTAGCGCCAGCGCCAGCATCTACTGATACTTGGCAAAACACCAACCACCTCGCATCTTCGCAAGTGTCTGAAACGAACACGCTCCAGAAAAGCACTGACTGTGTCCCGCCGCCGTCGCGACGAGCTCCGACACGCGCGTTCTCTCGCTCTCCTGCGAATTCCACAGCCGGGTCCATCCTGGCTGCTGGGTTGCTCAGCCACCGGCATTTGTCCAAGGTTAAAGGCTGGGAGGTGCCGGCGCCATCGGTTGCCGTTGCGCGACCCCGGCCCTGAAACGACGATTACTGGAGCCGCCGTTGGAGGGCAGCCACTCATCAACCCTGCGCATCTGGTCGCGCGCGCGCGGCGCATGAAAGACGGAGATCGTCTGCACGCTGCTGGGGAACTGTTGAGATTGGCGACGGACGGGAGAGTCTCTTCCTATTTTTGTTGCTGTCCCCCTGCATTGCGCTGAGAGCATTGCCGGTGGTTGCTAGCCCGCCTTGCCCGCCCTCGAAACTCACCTGCCATCCATTGTCATTTCGCTCCAGGGCCTGGTCCGGCCCGCTTGTCAACAATCAACCAACCCCTGCACCCTGCATCAATACCACCACATACCAGCCCAGACCAGACTACCAGACCTTGTGCATTGGCTTTGTCTTTGGCTTTGGCTTTGGCTTTGCTTGTCAACTAAGATCAGATCTGCCCTCTCCCGAGCTTCAGCGCTGTTTAGCCTTTTGTCTTTGACTCTGGACCAGCTTGTCCTCTTTGTCATCTTCGCACTTGGACACTTGGCCAAGCTAATAAATTGCCAACGCCTTGGAAACTCAATCGCTTGGATTGCATCGAGAACGCCTCCATTCTCCCCTCGGACACGATCCGGCCACCAGCTTCCCCAAAGTCTGATCTCGGTGTCGCGCATCACACACGCACCTGACCGACCCTTTCGAATCTCGAGCCGACCGAGCGTGCGCCGATACTCTTCATACCCAAGACCTGCTATACCTGCCACCGGCGCCCGCCCCAACCAAGGAGCATCTCATGTTGCTGGGCCTGCAAGATTGTCTCTTGCTCCAAAACATACCCGATCTCGTCGCGACCCTGCCACTGCCCTCGACAACATGGTCGAGATACAAACACAACCACAAGCTATCGTACCCAGCGCCAAACTAGCGAACCCGATGGCGGCCTCTGCCGCACGGCCGATATCCGCGGTTTCGGTACCGCCTGACGCGACCAACGGATCGCAGTACCAGGCCGGCCTCGACTCCTTTTCCCCCGTCCACCAGAATGGATGTTTCGAGTTCGACCGTGTCATCAAGAGTGGTTATGTGCAGAAGCGCACCCAGAAGACCAAGGTGAGTACGTTTCCACAGCGAACCAGCTGCGCGGTAGGGCTGAGACATTTCTCTCGTATCCAGGCTTGGAAGACGGCTTGGTTGGTTCTGCGCCCCAACACGCTGTACATCTATAGGTCGGAGAAGGAGGACAAACTGCGACGCAAGGTCTATCTGTCCGACCTCACGGCTGTCATGTTCCTCAAGGACCCGAAGCAAAAGCGAAAGAACGTCTTCGGCCTGTTCTCGCCATCCAAAAACTTCCACTTTGAGGCGCCCTCGTCCCAGGATGCCCAAGAGTGGGTCGAGCTGATCCGACACGAAGCCAGGATCGAGCAGGAAGAAGAGGAGATGTTCCTGGCTAGCCCTGCCGTCCAGCGACACTCGTTCAACCTTGGCGGCTTCTTCCAGATGGGGACGGACTCCAGCAGGGTTCTGGCCGAACGAGATCGTCTCGCGTCGAGTTCCCCAGAGCCTCCCAATCCTTCATACGAACAACTGCGATCGCCCGCCCCCAGGCGGACATCGCAGACGGCTGACTATTCGGGGCTTTCCGGAAACGAGGTTGCCTCCCATTCGGACTTCTCAGATACAGAAGGCCGTCTGCAAGGCGCCTCCTTTGAGAACCTCGCCGTAAAGCCTCCGCCCTCGGCCCACGGAGAGCGTCCGGTCATGACTGCCCGCAATCCGAGCCAGATCAGCGGTCTCAACCTTGACCAGGATCCGGACCGTGTCATCTGGCAGGGTTGGCTGTGGTATCTTCGCAGCAAGAGAGGCGTGAAGCAGTGGAAAAACTGCTGGGCCGTTCTTCGACCCCGCAACTTCATTCTCTACAAAGACGAGACCGAGTACGCAGCGCAGTTCATCGCCAACATGTCGACGATTCTCAACGTTGTCGAGCTCGACCCGATCAGCCGGACCAAACGCCACTGCCTGCAGATCATTACTGAAGAAAAGAGCTACCGATTCGCTGCCCACGACGAAGAGTCGCTCGTGCGCTGTCTCGGAGCCTTCAAGAGCCTGCTTGCCAAGCGGCGAGAACTGGAAGCCCGGGCGGCTGCAGCAGCAGCAACGGGCGGCGTTCCCTCTTGAACAACTCACCTGACCTTTGATTTCCCCCTTTTTGCTTACAGATACCCCCTTTCAACTTCTTAAGCGTGCGAGTATTTGATTTTCCAGTTGGCTCTACCTCACACGCAGACACATCAGACATGCGCACGGCTCTGTAAATAACTGCTTCTTTGTCTTGCCTGACTCCTCGGCGTCAACTCCCTTTTTCTGATTATACACTCTATTCGGTTGTCACAACTCGAAATACGACATTCACGATGATGATGATGGACGATGATCTTGGGGATCGCTCAACACACGTACATACCTTTTCTATACATACTGTGGTTGGCTGTGAATACAAGCTCAGCGGCCAGATAGTAATAACAAGGCCGCTTGATCGAATACCAGATGTCTCTGTCTCGCAAATGACCCAAGTGCTTCACGAGAACAACTGCAGCCAATCTGGATCCTGTGCCTGGCAGTTGGCAGATGACACCCCATCGAGAATGGGCCCGGTTTAGGTTTTGTTACTTGCTGAAGGACTAAGCTCAAATTCACCCCTGATTCGCAAACCCCCGCTTCCTCCATCACCAGACCTCCATCCACCTGCATTTTCATTTTCTTGAGCACTTGGCGCGAGGCGAGTGTGTGTGTGGCTCTCCGCGCTGCAATGGCACCTAGATCAAAAGCAGAGGGCTTCCTCAAGAGGGAGCTGCTCGGTGTTATTCGCCTCTTCATTTCCATTATACCCCCGGTCCGTGCTGGCGCGTCCAATCATGATTCCAGAACAAGGTCCTCGAAACCCTGTTTTCTCAGCTTGGGTATGGTGTCCCGGTCCGATCGACCTGTTATGCTACCATAGGTTTACAGTTCCCCCCCCCCCGACTCTGAAGGGCCTTTTTTCCTGAGGCGGGCTTGACTCTTCCCTCCACTATTCGATCTGCGGGGAAGTGAAATGCTATAACTCTAATGAGGTAAGTTGGGCCTGATATCGAATCGGAGGCGTGATCAAACACCATGCTGCTCGGGCTGGCCGCCCCGGGTTACATTTTCAACGCTGGCCTGCCTCGCATGCCCTTGTTCAATGCACGGCCGTGATGGCATGCCGACCGGGCGTGCATGGCACACATGACATCAAGATGTGCGCTTGGTAGGTCTAGTTCCTGTCTTGCCTCCCCCCGGCATGTGAATAATGTCAAGAGAAGCCTCTTTGACCTCGGGGTATATGTCATTGCTCTTGTTCCTGTGTTCTTTGGCTTCTAGTATGCCCGTGGATATTGGGGACCCTTATGCATATCCAGAGGACTCATTCCCTATTCTGTTGAGGTGAGGTATCTACCTAGCCTCAGATCCACGCCTCGTAATTCAACACAGCGGCGATCTGCTCTTTCTGGGCTTTCTCTGTCATGATGTTGTTCATATACAACGTCCTCGCTCTCCTAGGGCTGTTGTGCTCCGCCATATCTACAGCGGCGGCGGCGGCGGCAGCAGAGCGGCCAGCCCTGCCGCTACACACCAGCAGCCGCTGGATCCTCGACGCCAACAACGCCCGTGTCAAGCTGCGCTGCGTCAATTGGGCCGGGCACCTCGAGACCAACGTGCCCGAGGGCCTGCACCGGCAGTCGGTCGAGTGGCTCGCCGGCTGGATCGCGGACCAGGGCTTCAACTGCGTGCGCCTGACCTACTCGATCGACCACGCCCTCGACCCGGACCGCCCCGTCGCCGAGTCCTTCGCCGCCGCCGGCGTGCCCCAGCTGTTCGAGGCCGCGGCCGCCCGGAACCCGTTCCTCGTCGAGGGAGGACAGAGTAGTAATAATAATACGACGACGACGACGACGCGCGACGTCTTCGCCCGCGTCATCGCCGCCCTCTGGGACCGCGGCATCATGACCGTGCTCGACAACCACGTCTCGCGCGCGGGCTGGTGCTGCAACCTCACCGACGGCAACGGCTGGTGGGACGCGGCGCCGGGCTACAACGCCGCCAACTCGCGCTTCTTCCGCACCGACGACTGGCTCCGCGGGCTCGAGGCCGTGGCCCGCTGGGCCGCCACCCGCCCGGGCGTCGCCGCCATGTCCCTGCGCAACGAGCTGCGGCCCTTCCTGCTGCAGGACCTCGGGCTGCCCCCGCGCGCCGACTGGTACGAGTACGTCGGCCGGGGCGCGCGCCGCGTGCACGCCGCCAACCCGGACGTGCTCGTCGTCGTCGGCGGGTCCCAGTCCGCGACGGACCTCGGCCACCTGCGCGCCGCGCGCCCGCTCGACACGAGCGCCTGGCGGGGGAAGAACGTGTGGGAGTTCCACGCGTACAGCTTCACCGTCACGTTCCCCCGGCTGTTCGACAGCTGCGACGTCGTGCGGCAGGAGTACGGCCTGCTGGACGGGTTCGTGCTGGAGCAGGGGAGGGACTGGACGGGCCCGCTCTTCCTGAGCGAGTTCGGCGTCGGGATGGCCGGCGGCGGGCCTCTGTCGGACGAGGACGCCAAGTACCTGTCGTGCCTGGTGGGCTACATGGAGGGCAACGACGCCGAGTGGGCGGTGTGGGCGCTGCAGGGGAGCTACTACGTGCGGGACGGGCAGGTCGACTACGACGAGGGCTGGGGCCTGCTGAACAAGGAGTGGACGGGCTGGAGGAATCCCGAGTTCAAGGGGATGCTGGGCAAGATGTGGGAGGTGCAGCAGGGGCCGTGATGGGGGCGAGGTTCTTTCTTTTCGTTAGTATTTTTTTTGGATACCCCTGTTATTGGGAAGCACGCGTGGGGTAATTCGGGACTGTTGCAACTGTATATCGTTCTGAACTTGATGACTTTGATATACACACAAATATCAAACAACCGCAACGCCGGATCAAACCCCCCGAATATTGTAGCCTGCGTATGATGCACCCCGCCTTGTCTTGGGACGGCCAGTCTTGATAAAAAAGAAAAAGAAATCCAAACGTATTTTAAATCGACAAAGGCAAAAGATTATCCGTCCAACCCAAAGTAGGCGTTGTCAAACTCGCCCATCTCGGTGTCCCCGGCTTCAAAGAACATCTCGTCAAAGTTGGTAGTGCCATCAACGCCTTCGCCGTCCAGACCCATATCCATGCTCGTGCCGTTGAGGTCGAACAGGTCATCCAGGTTGGTGTCGTCCACCTTGGCCGGCTCTTTGGACGCCTCCACGGTCGGCATGGGGATGTCCATCGGAGCCACCTCGGCCTGTCCCGCGGTCCCGCCTCCGCCGCTGTTGTCCGCCGGCGCCGAAGGCATCGTCTCCCCCGCCAGGAAGGCATCCAGGTCGAAGACGCTTTCGGACTGTTGCGTGGCATTTTGCGAATCAGCGGGCGCGGGTGCGAGAGAGAAGTGCATGTCGGTGAAGTTCAGCTCTGGATTCGAGGACCCCGGAAGCTGACCCAGAGACAGCCCGCCCGATCCGAAGTCGAGGCCGGTGTCTTGCGAGACTGACGTAGGGCCTTGCTGCATGGTGGTCTTGGACGCTACGCTGGCAGGGGATTCCACCTTGGCTGCCGGCGACGCCTTGGTGAGGTTTGGAGATCTTGTCTTGGCAACGGACAGGTGGTTTGGCGCCTCGTTCTGGACGGGGCCTCGTGGAACGGTGGGATCCACCTTCGTGGCTGGCTGAGGCGACTGGATTTCCATTTTCGTCTCGGCCATCATCTGGGGAACTGGAGCGCTCGGTTCGAGATCCATGTTGGGGAAGGGAGCAATAGGTTTGCTATCCGCCATCAGCTGCCCACTTGGGCCAGACAGATCAAGGGGCGGCCCGTCGAGGGTCATGGGAGCTGGAGGAGCTTGTTGGGCGGCGACTAGCTCAGGAGCAGGCGCAGGCACGGGTTCAGGCATCGCTGGCTGAAGCTTGCTGGCCCTCAAGCGATCCAAATCACGGTAGAGAACAGCCTTTGCTTCGATCTGTGAATGCGTTAGAACACTTCGAGGTGGGTAGGTCCAGGTCCGTGTTGAGAGGAATTTACCAGTTCCTGCTCGAGGTCATCCAACGCCGAGTTGAATCTCTCGTTTGCTTCGTAGGCTCTAGTGGTGCTTGAAGAGCTGGGCGCCCTCTTACTATCGCGTTGACTGGACCTCAATGCCTTGCCCATGTTTACCAGCTAGAGCACTATCAGCGTCCGAAACACAAGGAGGCAGTATCGGCCACGAGTCCACTCACAACGTCATTTATCATGAGCTGCAAGGTGTCCAGAGGACTGGACGGCTGAGTCCCTGCCATACTTGCCATGGCGAGATGTATGCCGGTACCCGAGATGAGGATGAGGATGATGGATAGCTGCGGCAGGCGGCCTTGCGCGCGTCTGCGCCTGCAATGGATTGAGGACCTTCTGGCGTTGTGGGAGTCAAGATTGTCGACTTTTACATGAACCTTTTTCGCATTGTTCTTTTTGCGCCTTTTGCGTTGGTGCACGGGCGGATTCAAGTCGAGTGTGTGAAGACAATGAATGGCGTTGACAAGAGGCGAGGCTGCAAGCGGTGGATGTGAGATATGACACTAGCTGCATTGTCTTCGACCTAACTAACGGTGGTGGAGTTGCAGCACTCCAGGTGCTGGGAGGGCCGCTTTCCAGCGGGTGACCGGGAGGGGCAGTACAAGTACATCCATGGATGGACACAGCACAGTGGCTGTCGCTCTACACACACACCCCGTGGGACCAGCGAACCACACCAATCCCGCGTGGCCTCAGCCGTCAAATTTTAGGGCGTTTGAAAAGTCCCTAAGAGTTTAATTACAACCTTGGAACATTTCTCGGACTCTCAGACAAGAGGGCAAAGAGAAAATAGCAGTGTACCAGAGTGCTGGGAATTCGGCCCAACTAACTCTAAAAAGAGATAGGGAAAGAATGCAGTCCCTTCCGTCTGCTTCTTGCTCTGCGCCCCATAAAACAATATTCTTTCCACGTCCGGGTTTTCTTTGCAAGCAAGGCTGTACCAGAGGAACATGCGCGCGTCTTTGCTGGCGCTGGTTCAAGACGCGTGCACCAAACGGGCAGCACTGAGCACCTGGAGCTCGAAGGACGACCCTGCTTTTGGTGCCGTTTGTGGGGACCTTGAGGAACCCGTCGAGCACTGTGACTGGGCCTGGGATGTACTCAGCAAGATTAGTGGGATCCAGGTGGAGAAGCTGTCTGAGAAGGTTGCAGGGCTTAAATTCTGAGGCCACTGCCAGGTACTGTCTCTCCGCAAACGCACGCGCTATTCCACTACTGAGAATTGCCATGCAAGATACGGAGTAATCGTTCAGTGGTGTCTTATTTGGCCTGACGGACAAATACCTCATTTGGAACGCTGAAGAAAGCAGCTTCTTCGGAGCTGATTCAAATCTGTCTAGACCTTATGTTTCACTCGATGCTGTCCTGGGCTACTTGGTATTGGATCGACCAGCCGATGGTGCAAGTATGGCTTTCTTGCGTCACTGTGTGAGCTGCCGAGATCCTGTCCCTTTTCCATTGGCTACAAACGGGTGCAAATTTCTCAGAAGAAGAACCGTTTCCCAATATGACATACAAGTATGCATAAGTGCAGAACCATATCAATTGATCGCAATGGTCCAGCTGCATCAACGGGAGGGGAGGAGCCGAATTTTCCGGACCACCACCACGAAACCACGACACTACATAGGGATGGGCTATTGGTCGGTGGTGCATCGGTGGGAGAGACATGGGCAGAAGAGTGCGTATTGCCTGTGGGTGAGAGACGTTTACTCAAGATGATACTGGGGAGCGGCAGACCTTGCCTGCCTGCATGCTGCAGTAGCTTTCCTGCTGCCGGAGGAAATTGTACTGATCAGGCCGCGAGTGGCTGGCACGGCCAAGACACAGCAGCAACCCTTACGAAGTAGCATGCATGCGCCGCTTCCAGTGAGAAGATGCGGGAGAGGGAGAGGAAGAGGGACAGGGAGAGAGACAGGGAGGGACTGAGGCATGCCCGAACGAGAGGAGGTATCGGATACAACACTCCTCCTCCTCCTCCTCCTCCTCCTCCTCTGGCTGGGAGGGCTGTTGGTGATGGGAGTATCCTTGCCAAGTGCCTGCAAGCTCAATCTGCTCTCACGCAGAGGAATCGAACGCAAGAAGTACCTAGTATGTATGATACATCTACCTAGGTAGTTATCCATGCCTCGCGCTGCTTGCTTTGTGAACTCCCCCCCCCTCATTACCCACGACGGACGCAGACAGACAGGCCTGACCCAGTCTTTTCCTCCACCTCCTTGGTCTGCACTGGTCTGCACTGTACTGGGAAAGGCTTCCAGGACTCTTGCCTGTTAAGCCCACGCCTCCCGCTCACACCACGACCCCATAAATTCCATAATTCCCTGTCGCTAGAAGGCCACTAAAGAGCAAGACCAGAGAGAGAGACAACCGCAGCTTTAAACCAAAAGTGCACCTCGTCCACCCCACGATCTTCACCCGTCTTCTTCCCTCTTCTTTTCCCTCCCTCATCTCTTGAACCCGAGCAAGAGAATCCTCCCTGACAAAAGACTGATTCCCTCTCTCGGATCGGGCTGCTTGTGACGGTTTTGCGGGGTCTCGACTCGTCTCCTTTTTCCGTCTTTGTGTGTTCCTTTTCCTCCATCTGCTTCCTTTAGATATCCCATCTCACGGCCGCAGCGTTTGTTCTCCATCTCAGCTTCCCCATCCCGCATCCAGCACGGCGCAACTCTCGACCTGCCTGGCCCCCTCAGTCCCCTTCTCCCTCTCTCTCTCTCTCTCTCTCTCGTCAAAGCTAGGACCCTACTCGATCGATTCACGAAACGTTCTTCTTATCTACGAAAACTCTGTTCGGCCTCACCGTTTTTTTCCTCTGTGAATTGGCCGAGTCTCGTTTCCCCTCGAGCCTCCACACGCGAATCTGATTAGACCGAGCCCTATCTCTCTGATCTGTTCGACCTCACCCGACCCGCGATCCATATCGACGACTTCTATTCATCACGTGTGCACGACCAGCGACGCCCTCTCGACTCTCTCGCCTCTTCCATACAGCAGTGACGAATCTTCTACCATTTTCTTTCCTGTCGAACAAAAGCAAAGCAGTAGACTCATCGCTATTCATCCGTTGTTCGATATCCATCGGCTTGCTTCTTTTTCTTCTGGTCGACTGATTTGCGCCACCCGTCTCGCACAACTGACGATCCGTAACATCTTTTTCAATCTATCCTGCAATGGCCGACAACAACCCCAACGCGGGAAACCTCCCCCCGCCGCCCCAGGGCAACACTGGCGCACCTGGCTTCGACAATAATCAGAACGGCCAGTCAAACCCTTCCCACATGCCGCCTCCGCCGCTGCACATTCCCCAGAACACCAACCCCATCCCCACGGCCATCACCTCCCCCATGGGCGCTGGAGACAAGATGATGTCGCCCACCAGCGCCGCCGCCTTCGCTCGCCGAGCCGCCCCGGAGCCGAACAAGCGTGCTCTCTATGTTGGAGGTCTTGACCCCCGCGTGACTGAGGAGGTCATGCGCCAGATCTTTGAAACCACTGGCCATGTCCAGAACGTCAAAATCATCCCTGATAAGAACGTGAGTTCGATCTTAAGTCTTTTTTGCGCTTGGGGCAAGCGAATGTTCGACAGCTGACCTTTATTGTGATCTCAGGCTAAGGGTTTCAACTACGGCTTTGTCGAGTACGATGACCCGGGCGCAGCCGAGCGAGCCATGCAGACCCTAAACGGAAGACGGGTTCATCAGTCGGTAAGTTAGGAGCACAGGATAGTCCGTGCTTGACGAACGTGGACACTCTAGCTGATATCTGAATCGTAGGAAATCCGCGTCAACTGGGCCTATCAATCCAACACCACCAACAAGGAAGACACCTCGAACCATTTCCACATCTTCGTCGGTGATCTGTCCAACGAGGTCAACGATGAGGTGCTGCTTCAAGCGTTCTCCGCCTTCGGTTCCGTCTCCGAGGCTCGGGTGATGTGGGACATGAAGACGGGCAGATCGCGTGGTTATGGCTTCGTTGCCTTCCGCGACCGCCCCGATGCCGAGAAGGCCCTGAGCTCAATGGATGGCGAATGGCTCGGATCTCGTGCCATCCGGTGCAACTGGGCAAACCAGAAGGGCCAGCCTTCCATTGCCCAGCAGCAAGCAATGCAGGCTATGGGCATGACACCGACCACTCCTTACGGCCATCACCACTTTCCTACGCACGGCATGCAGAGCTTCGACATGATTGTCAACCAAACCCCAGCCTGGCAGACGACCTGCTATGTCGGAAACCTGACTCCCTACACGACCCAAAACGACCTCGTTCCGCTTTTCGCCAATTTCGGCTATGTCGTCGAGTCGCGTTTCCAGGCCGATCGTGGTTTTGCCTTCATCAAGATGGACACGCACGAGAATGCCGCCATGGCTATTTGCCAGCTTAACGGGTACAATGTCAATGGACGGCCTTTGAAGTGCAGCGTAAGTTGATCTATCCTGGAAGCCAAGTTGGTGGGCATTCGCTGAACATTGTGTAGTGGGGCAAAGACAAGACTCCCAACCCGCAGGGTGGTTTCGACCCGAGCCAGCAGGGGTACAGCCCTCAGAGCGCCCAAGGACCTGGTTACCCGGGCACTCCCTCGACCTACTTCCCTCAATATGGAAGTAAGTTTGGTTCCAAGATCGTTGCAGCCGGGGCTTGAGCTGACCAACAGATGAAGCAGCGCAATTCAGTGGCCAGCAGGGCAACTTTGCTGGCCCTTCGGCCCAGTCTCCCGCTGGCTACGGAGGACAGCCTGCCATGGGATACACCGGCCCCCCGAGTGCTGGCGGCTACGGCCGTGGACAGCAGCCTCCTAACCAGCAGTGGGCTCAGGGCCCCCCGGCCCAGAACTTCAACAACGGTTTCGCCGGCTATCAGGGCTGATGAGAGCCTGACGATTTGACGACCTGGGGAACGATATGCAGCTTGTTATTATCTCTTCCACTCTGTTGCACTTTTCTATTCGTACCCTTCATGCCGGAGACTGTCAAATTGCCACTCCATTTGCAGAGCCTACCCGGGTGCCAAGTTGGCTCTTTTTTGCATGCATATTGTTGTCAAAGCCACTGCAGGAGGATGATTTCCGGGTTCTCTTTCTTTTTTTCTTTTTTCGAGGATGACTTTTGGGAATGTTGAAAGGTCTCATTGTGTTTGATTGTATTTCGTTGTATCCGCTCCGACTCCACGGTTGTTCAAAGCAGCCGTCTCTCCATGAGGAGGATCACCCATGTCTGCTGAGCTGTTGAGTTTGAATTCCACAGTCATGGCGCTGGTCATTGTCGATAAAAAAGCTCTTTGCCTTCTCTTTCCTTTGCTGGATACCAACATGTCAAGCATAGCGGAATGTCTGTTCTTTCCCTTGAGACTCATGATAATGATGCTTCTACGTTTTCAAGCAGAAATTCCATCTTTAAACAGCGGCACGGTCCATCATCCTTGTTTAATTATTTTCTTTCAAATGCTTGCGGCGTTTTGAGGGTCTCTGATCTCTGCTTGTGGAATCAGATCGGGCATCTTAAAAAGCAGAAGGTCTGACCCCTGCCATACTTTCGGTACTGTAGTGTGCAGCGTGATACCAATAGGGGCAAGGATGGGAGAACTCCCCAGCGAGGGGTTGTATTTGGATATGAAGACACTTATTTTTTCCCCGAGTACACTACTTTGAGGAATCCATGGAGGACAATAGGAGGGGTTGTTCCCGGGATCCTCCAGCCGGCCCTCTGACGAATGAACATATGGACTCTGAATCGCTGTGACCCGTCTTTGATTTGAGCTGTCGAGATAGTGAGCATATGCCCCCCGCCCCCCAGCGGTTTGGACTGCTGCAATTGATCTCTGTAAGCAATATCCCTGCTTGTAGATAAATGATGCAGCTGCGAGAGTGGTGAAGGGGAACCACTCCCCGTGGGGCCCATTTTGTTGATTGGACCATTCATGTTCTTGCTTCACGGTGGTGGCGGTTAGGTCAGTCCTTTTCACATGTGTCTGTGGCTGCAGGGCGCGCATCACACTTTTGTGGTGTTTTGGGCAACCCGCAGCTATTCTGTTCAGTCTCGTTGCAGTGGCTTCGTGCCCGGAACGGTTTACTAGCACAGATAAGGCGAAGTTTTAAACCTTTTGCATGGCATAAAGAGAGAAAAAGAAGAAAAACTTTTGCAGGGGCAGGATCCTGACACGACACTGGAAGCTGGGCGATCCAAGGATGCTCTGGCCATCTCGACAGAGTTTCTGCCCAATACACCGGTGTGAGGACCCTTTGCGCAGATCTGAAACAACTTGGGGGACAGATCGACGGATGGCTCATTCTCTAGAAGCGAGAAGGCTGCAACCAACAGAAGCTGTTCAAAAACAGATGATCAGTGAGTTCGGGAGGCAAATGATAGATCAGGTAGTTGGATTTGAAATGTCTCATCTACTTAGAATCGGGATACGAGGTAGTAGCTTTGAGTTCGACCAGTACTTCTTTTACTACCAACTCAGACAACAAACAAAATACCTAGTCGAATCGAAGCTACAATTGTAGGCAGAGCGCCAGAGAGCTTCAGTCTTTCGCGGGATAGTTATCCTTGCTGTGACAGGCCGGCTGCCCCGTGACGGGCGGCAAGCAAGCGAGTCATGGCATGGGGTATATCCAGAGCGCCCTTCCTTCAGCGCCGTTAGATCAGATTCGGTATCGCGAGCGGGAGAGACTGGCATGTCTCAATCTGGGGAAGATAGGACGGCCTGTTTGCTGCTGGGGAAAAAAGACCCTGAGGGAATTAGGTTCCCCGACGCCGGACTAGGTAGGTAGGGCAAGACAGAGAGCTTCTTCAAGATTGTCGCTACGAGGGTGCAACACGGGTCAGACGGCTACAGAACGCACATTGTATGACCCTCTCTACAGTCAGTACCTAAAATTCTTGGGGCATGGGGACTGCCATGCGTCACTGGGCTTTAGAAAGCTTTAATCTCTCATTGAGAGAGTGAGATCAGCGGCGGAAGAGACGACTCTGTGTCGTATCTTTCCCTCAGAGAGCCAGGGCCGTCGAAACTCGTACCACTAGTTAGATCTCACTGTCTGCAGGATTGACAAGAGGCTTGGGCGGCCTTTTTCCCACCCGACTTTGGGACCCTGATTTACGAGCGGGCGATTCAGACACTTGTGGCCTCGACACTATCTCATCCTACCGTGATCCCGTATGGCAGGGGAAAAGCAATTCTGCAGTGCAGCCAACAGTATGTCACCTGGAAAGGAATGACGTCGGCTCGCCATTGATTGCGGGTTGCTTTTGTGTCGAGTCAATCACCTCGCGATATCTTGACAGAGTCGGGCGTGAAGAAACTCTGGCGATTGAGTGCCCGATCGCTCGCTTCTTTAATTACCTCTTTCTGGCGCTACTGGTCCCCGCCTGGCAGCTCACGCTTTCTTCCCCTCAACTCTCTCACACACTCTCTCCATCCCTCTCTCCCCACACACGCCAGAGATCCGAACCAGAGAAACACGCGAGAGAGAGAGAGAGAGACACACACACGCAGAGACAGAAACAGCAAGCACCAGAAGAGGGTCGCGCGATATAGATGCAGAGAGGAGAGGACAGCAGAGGGGAGCGGCCAAATCCAAGTACACGACCCCCTGTTTCTGTCCTGTCCAAGCCACATTGGGCCGCCTAACGCGTCAGACCTGGGCCAACGTTAGGTGCGGAGCCAAGCAACCTTTGCAGCTGGGTTTAGGCTTGGACGACTCGCAACTCGCTACCTTGGCCAGCCCACCTGCGCCCGCCACCGACCTTGCCCAGGTGCCCAGTGCCCACCCAGCATCCAGCATCCAGCATCCAGCATTCAGCATTAGTACTTCGTACCTCTCATACACACACTCGCTCGCTGTTTGCGCACTTCTGATACCAATCACCCACCCTCCCTACACAGTAACAGTAACCATCGACTGGACTGGTGCTTCGTTAGGTGCACACGCACTGGTCCGGATTTGGGTCTGGTGTCTGTTGCTGCTGCTGCTGCCACCGCCGCCTCCGCCTCTGCGCTGCTGCTAACGTTACTGCTACCTACCTACTGGTGCTGCTTGGTTCCGTCCTGGTGCGAATGGCCCGTCGCCTTTCTCCAACATCAGCTCGACACCAAAAAACCCGCCCGGATCGACTTCCATCTTTGTGCCGCATCTCAGCCCAGGTCCATTCCTGCTCCCGCGGCCATGGATCAATGGTCGTCGTACCCGGACTCGGCAGGAGGTTCGAGGCGATACAACGGCAACTCCAACAACCAGATGGCTTCGTCATCGAGGGATTACGGTAATGGCCCTTCGCAGGGCCAGCCGCCCGCTGGCTTCAAGTACGACCAGTACCAAGGCGGTCTCAACGCCCACTCGAGCCAGTCCTCGGCGACCTCGCCCATCACCACGCCTCAGATCCGCGACAACAATGGCGATGTCGCTATGCAGGACGCTCACGATCCCTACGCCGGCATGAAGTACCCTATGCGCCCTCTTCACCAGCACCACCTCTCCGCCGGTTCACGATCAAACACCCTCCATTCCCCCCAAGAACCCTCCGCTGCTGCCCAGCGGTACTCTCCCATGGAGGCTCTCTCCCCCTCGTCACCATACTCACCTTATACGCCAAAGTCGGGCGCGCAGGGACAGTTCCCCCCACCGCAGCGACAGTCACCGACACGCATGAATGACTACACCCCGCAGAGCCCCTACCCGCCGCAGAGCCCATACTATACGAGCCGGCAATCCTCGACGCAGCTTCCTCCCATCACCCCGGGCGGCTATGATTCTTACACGCAGTCCACTCTGAACCCCATCGACGGGTCCTTCTCGGGCGACCCCAAGTCGCCGAGACGCCAGCAGCAGCAGCAGAACACCATGACGCTGGCGACCAGGGGCCCGGTCCCCGAGTTCAAGAAGATTCGAAGCGCAGCAGACTTGCGACCAAAGGTCAACCAGCAACCTGCCTTCCGTCGAGCGAACCCCGAAGGAGGTTTCATTAGCGTGAGTTAGATCGCATCGCTTGTGGATGTTTCTCTGCCATTGTTCCGACCGTGACTGACCGCATCGCCAGCCCTTGCAATCCCTCACCGTTCACCTCCCCGCCACGTACAGAATTTGCAACCCGCATTTCAAGTACGAATCGTCGCGAAATCCTCGCCGCGTTCTTACGAAACCTAGTAAGGGCGTCAAGAACGATGGCTACGATAACGAAGACAGCGACTACATCCTCTATGTCAACGACATCCTGGGATCAGAGGAGGCTGGGCACAAGTACGCCAATTCGTGATGTCTGCCATGGGAGCCAACCGCTGACATCTCGCAGGAATCGATATCTCATTCTCGACGTTCTCGGTCAAGGAACATTCGGTCAGGTCGTCAAGTGCCAGAACCTCAAGACGCAAGAAGTGGTAGCAGTCAAGGTTATCAAGAACCGCACTGCCTACTTCAATCAGAGCATGATGGAGGTCTCTGTACTGGATTTGGTCAGTGCACTATGCAGCATGCGAGCTCTTTGGGACATTGACGACTAACCTTGGAGAGTAGCTGAATACGAAGCTCGACAAGAATGACGACCATCACCTGCTACGCCTGAAGGACACCTTCATCCACCGACAACATCTGTGCCTCGTCTTCGAGTTGCTCAGTGTCAATCTCTACGAGCTAATCAAGCAGAACCAGTTCAGAGGACTGAGTACCACCCTCGTGCGGGTATTCGCCCAGCAGCTCCTCAACGGCCTAGCGCTTCTCAACAAAGCGCGCTTGATCCATTGCGATCTGAAGCCCGAGAATATTCTGCTCAAAAACCTCGAGAGTCCTATCATCAAGATCATCGATTTCGGATCCGCCTGCGACGAGCGACAGACGGTCTACACCTATATCCAGTCGCGATTCTACCGATCCCCCGAGGTGTTGCTGGGTCTGCCGTATTCCTCAGCGATCGACATGTGGTCACTAGGCTGTATTGTGGTTGAGTTGTTCCTCGGTCTTCCGCTGTTTCCTGGCTCCTCCGAATACAACCAGGTGTCGAGGATCGTCGAGATGCTTGGCAACCCTCCCAACTGGATGATCGAGATGGGCAAGCAGGCAGGAGAGTTCTTCGAGAAGCGCCAGGACGAGTTTGGCCGAAGGACGTATCAGCTGAAGAGCATGGAGCAGTACTCGCGGGAGCACGGCACAAAAGAACAACCTAGCAAGAAGTACTTCCAAGCCAGCACCCTCCCGGAGATCATCAAGTCATATCCGATGCCCAGGAAGAACATGAAGCAGAGCGAGATTGATCGAGGTTCGTTTCCGTTTTTATCCACAATACTCTTGACTTGACGACAACTAACCTTGTGAGCAGAGATGAACAACCGCGTGGCCTTCATTGACTTTGTCCGGGGACTACTGACCATCAACCCACTGGAACGATGGTCTCCGCATCAGGCCAAGTTGCACCCCTTCATCACTCAGCAGAAGTATACGGGCCCATTCGTACCGCCGATGAACCTCAAATCCAGCTCGCTGAACAGGTCCCCGGCTCCTGGCACCCAGCAACAGCAGCAGGCGGAGGCGCTGAGCAAGCAACGCGCACAGCAAGCACAGGCACAGGCGAACTCGGCTGCTCAAAGTGCATACACCACGATGGCTCAGCAGCCCTATCAGCAGCCTGGCCACGGACAGGCGCCGCCATTGTACTCCAACAACGCCGTCTACACCCCGGGGGGCAGCCACCAGCCGGCACCTCCGCCGTATGGACAGCAGCCAAATCCATATGGCCCGATGGTCATGTCTCAGCCGCCTGCACAGATGCCTGCCGCTAATTATGGCGGCGTGCAGCAAGGCAACATGTATCAGCAGCAAGCAGCCGCCCGGAGGCAACGGGCGTCGACCATGGAGCAGCAGCAAAGTGGTATCCCCGCGACGATACAGAGGGTGGCCAGCCATCTTGATCCCAGCCAACCCATCCGCCTCCAGCCGAGCCCGGCCTACTACCCGCCACCTGCTGACGGTGGCCTGGCCGGCCTGGACCAGTCTTCGGGCAGAGCTGCCGGCGCCAGGCGGGCTAGCCGCCCTCAGCAGCCTGGCAGGGGAAATCGAGACTTTATCCGGAATCTCGAGGAGCGGACTCTTGAGGAGGGTTTCATGGGCGGCCAGAGCCCTTGGCATTGAAGAATCGGGTCCTTTGACGCTCTGTGCAACTTGACACTTTCTTCAACACTGGTTCGTCTCTTGCGTAGCTCAACCAGCTTGTTTTGACGACCACGGACGGGAGTGGGTTGTCTTTATTTTACAATACACGCGCGCGATGCGAGATAGAAACACGGTGGCTTCAAAGGGGAGAGGCAAGGCGATACTGCTGCCCCTCGCCTCTTATTCGCTTGGGACCAGGACTGAGGACAGGGGACCTAGGGGTTTTCCCACCCACCCTTCTCCAAAACCCCCAAAGAAACTCGCGTCGCTGTAGTATACCCGTTTTTACCAACATGGAATTCTTTTTTTATTATTATTTTTTTTTGTTCTAGACAGATTGCCTACAAAGCCCAACATACCAACCCCTCCTCCCCCGCGAAACCCAGTTCCCTACGCGATAGCGAAACAGAACAGAAACCCCCCCCCCCCAGCACGTTTGGCCAAGGTTTTCGAAAAAAGAGGGCTTCATGTGACACCCGGGCAAGGGCTGTGTATGCTTGTTCTGGTAAGGGAGACCTTTGCTGGACGGAAGGGGTGACGGGGGTGCCATACGGCCTGTTTTCGATCGATTACTGGGCGCCCACTGGACCCATCTGCAGAACGTACTGGGGAAAAGGTTGGGTTGGGAGACTGACTGACTGGGACTGTCAATACCGGATGGGGAGCGGGTAACGGGGGTTGACAGGAGGAGGAGGAAGACCCTCTTGGATGGATGGATGGATGGATGGATGGGTGGTGGGAAAGGAAAGGAAAGGGGATCATTAGTCTTCATCAGACGCGGCTGGTTTTAGTGGAAGAAAAAGTATGGATGGATGGATGGACGGACGGAGGACGCCTGCCTTAGCCCCTCGCAACATATATAGTCTTATCCCGGGGGAGGTGATGACGATGACCGGGGGGTTCTTTATTCTCTCTCTTTTTTTTCTTCTTCTTCTTCTTCTCTTTCCCCCCCAAATCATTCATTTCCATTTTATCTGTATCCCGGGGCAAAGGGGGGAGGGGTGAAACAGGACAATAGCGCTGGCGACGGGATGGGATTCAGCCAAGGAAGGGAGGGAGGGAGTGAGGCGGGTTTTTGTTTTGTTCTGAAGAGGAAAAGAAACGGAATGGAATGGGGATGCATGGGGACCAACTGCACATATGTCATGAGTTTTTTTCGGCATGGGCATAAGGGGGGAGAGGCAGAGAAGAGGCACATACACACACACAGAGAGATCATATAAGCACGCATCTTTGATGTCCCTCCCACCCCTGCCCTATCTGTTGTAATTTCTTGTTGATGCTGGCTCTCATGATTTGGTGATTCAGTCTGGCCACAAAATCAGTTGGGCCGAGGAGTGCCTGCCTGGTGATCGTGACACCCTACACTGCAACTCGGAGTTTGATATACTCGTACGATCTGACGTTCTGCTTAATTCAGTGCGGACAGTACTCTGGTATTCACCAAATAGTATCAAAAGGGCAAAAGATTATGTATGCAATTGCATATACCAGGTCCTTTTATCAATTATTTACTGCTAAACAGTATCTACCTAGTCATGCAGCCCAGGAGTCTACTACTCCCTATTGACGCTAATAAAAAGCGTCCTCTGTCTCACAAATAGTTTGCCTGTGCAAGTTGTGATGTCTATACGCTGCAATAGACCAGTCCACACTGATCAAACCTCCGTTCCTGGAGTTGAGGCGTGTTCTTGTACTGTTAGATGAAACAAACAAAAAGAAAGGAAACTATGATACAATGTACAATGAAGTGCATGAGAAAAGAGAAGAAAAAAGTGATCAAGAGCTGCAACAGGAACACCAGATGTGTTCTGCAGATGGGGAAAGGAAATTCGCAAAACAAAACAACCAGATGACTTGTAATCATGCCATCTATGATGTGGGGGGAAGAAAAGGGGAAGAAGAAACCAGATATGACCTATGCACGTCCTACCCAACCGCACCACTGCCAGACAGACTCTTCAAAACAAGGACAGATGGCACCTGGGCCTCACCCCGCTTGCCAAACCTGCACACCCGAGCCGCACCAAGGCACACAAAGCAGAGACCAAAGAGCCAAGCCAAAGATGCTGGTGTCATGAGAAAGCACAGCTAGGCTTCGACCTAGTAGTTCAAGTCCTGCCAGTCCTGGAATGGAGTGCAGACATAATCCGAGGCATTGTTGCTCCGAGGAGAAGGCGCATCAGGGCCGTGGTGTCTGTTGTCGTAGCCGCCGTACTCCTAGAAACGCTGGTCTTGGAACTCGTTCCACCGATCTGAGCCCGTGGAGTAGCTGTGTTCGGTGTAGGACGTCTCAGTGCGGGAATGCTGAGAGTATTCGCCCGCCCTAGGAACCTGCTCCTCCTCGTTGTACCGGTGCTCGTTATAAGAACGCTCATAAAAGCCCTGGCCGCCGCGAGGGGGGGGCTCCTGATCGTGATTGCAGCCATCCGCAATGTACTCATCACCGTAACCTCGATCATAAGAGGGCTCCCGCTCCCGGCTGGCATATCTACCACGATCTTGCGAAACGGGACGGCGCTCCCGGCTGTCATGTCGACCACGATCTTGGGAAACGGGACGGCGCTCGCGGCTGTCATATCTGCCACGGTCTTGGGAGATGGGACGGCGCTCGCGGCTGTCATATCGACCACGATCTGGCGAAACGGGGCGGCGCTCGCGGCTGTCATGTCTACCACCATCTGGCGAGTTGGAGCGGCGCTCCCGGCTGTCATGTCTACCACGATCCGGCGAAGTGGAGCGGCGCTCGTTGCGAGGCTCGTTGCGAGGTTCATTGTGAGGTTCATTGCGAGGCTCGTCGAGATACTCGTCACGAGGATACGAATCGCGAGGCTCAGAGGGATAAGGCTCGTCAAAGTGTGCGCCAGACTCTTCGCCATGTTGGTCATGGTCAGGGCTCTCCTAGCGCCCAGCACCACGGCCTCTCCGGCCCCGGCCTCCGCCACCACCCCGGTTGGTGACAAGCTTGTCACTATACAGTGAGCCTCCGCCGCCGGTGCTCTTGCGGGCTCCCGATGCAATGGGAGCAGCATCCATCTCCATAGGCTCATCGAAGCCCATCGAGCCGTCAACGACATTACCGCCGGACTGCGAGGGAGAGGGCTGCTGATGAGCACGGGCGCCGGCAGTGAAACCGCCGACCTTGGGGTAGACATGGAGAACACGGCCATCTGCGGTCTGGTTGTTGAAGGTCTCAATAACACGCTCGGCGCCCTCTCGGCTCTCGAAGACAATCTCAGCAATGACAATGGGCTGCGTCTTAAGCAGCTTGCAGCTGCTGACAAGACCACCAACGGGCGTGACGGCGCTCTCGATGTCGGCAGCAGTAGTGCCGGGGGCAAAGTTCTGCGCCATGACGGCAAAGGGGCCAGCAAGGCCACGGATGGTCATACCTTTGGCGGGAGCGGCGTTGGCGATGGGACCCTGCGCAGTGGAAGCGGGCTGCAGCTCCGTCTTGATCAGAGCCTGTGCGACCTGGGCTGCGCGCCGCTGGCGGCGGTTGGATGGAGCAATGGCGCCGGGCACGGTGATGCGCGAGGCCAGGGAATTGGTGCCGGAGCCACCCTTCTTGGACTTGGCAGCAGGCGAGGAGGCATCATGGAGATCGTGAGTCCAGGAGCCATTGATGTCGCTGGCAGCCGGGCGGGGTGCGTGCGGTGTGGAGAGTCGCTGAGAATGATTTCACATTAGCCTCACTTATTTGTGACCACCACAAACTGTCGGGAGCGAGGAAACAAAAATGAGAAGATCGTTTGGAATATATATATACCTTCTTGACGCCAGAACGGCTTGCCAAAGAGCCACCAGCCGCAGTCGTCGTCTTGGGCGGTGCGCTGGTTCGGCGGTCCTTGCCGAAGATGCGCGCAGCCAGGGCCTCGTTCTTCTTCTTGGCCCGATCTGTTTCGAGCGCAAGGACTTGTCAGCACAAGGTCGGACCAAAGTGAGATGCAAAAACAAACAGACGGCAAGCTTGACATACCCGTGTGGATCATTTTCTCGAGATCGGCAGCTTTTTTGCTCATGGTGATGGCTGGTAAGCTAGGTTGTTGTTGCCTGCTTGGATGGGGGAGAGATGAGAGGGAAAAGAAGCGACGTTGGAGATGGAGATGCGCGCGAGGGAGCTTGGCGCGTCTTTTCCAAATCCAAAAAGTCTTGGAAGGAGAGATGGAGTAGGCGCGAGCTTCGGGGCAGGAAGGCGCTAAAAAGGTCTGCCTATTTTTGAGCTCTCGGAAATCAAAGGTCCGTGCGCGGGAAGTGACAGTTGAGCAAAATCTTGGGACACTGTGCTCGTCGCGGCTCTACAAGTACAGCCATCTGACAAAACAGAGGCGAGGTGGCGAGGTGCTGTCTACCCACTTCACATCACATCCCAGCACCGGCTCAGAAAGAGACTTCACAAATGTGTCAAATGTCGCTCAAGACTGCTAGATGACTCGAACTCACAAAGGCACAGCTGCAATAAAAGCTCATAGTTTAAAATGTATTGTAAGAAATCAAAGTATTATTATAACCTACTAAGTCATATCAGTATTATAAGCATATAAGCATAATTAGTCATATACCTAATTACAATAAACTATAAGACCAGAACCAACTCTAAGATAATTAACTATAGAATAATAATATTAGCAACTCCCGATCTACGTGAATGGAAAGGAAACTCCAACCATCTTCGATGTTCTCGATACGGGATCAAGGGACTTCTGCTGGGAATCCCTTGGTTACGACGATGGAGTCCTCGGATTGACTGGAAGACTGGCCATCTCCAGTGGGAAGAAGCTCGTGAGGAACGACCCAGAAGCGGTCTCTCAGGGAGCCCCAGGCTATGCGAGACAGTAGCATATGTGAGAGGATCCAAGAGTGGTCCCTCAGAATGTCCCCAGCTACATGGAATAGCAACAAACGATAACGAAAGAACCTCAACAGTAGGCCTTCGATAAGCTCAAGGAGCTGATTCTCCAAGAACCGATCCTCAAAATCCCAGACCCAGAAAAACCTTTCGAAGTCGAAACTGATGCTTCAGAATTCGCTCTGGGAGGACAACTTGGACAACGAGACGAGGAAGGACGAGTTCACCCCGTCGCCTTCTACTTAAAGAAGCTCAACGGACCTGAGCTTAATGACCAAATCCACGACAAGGAACTGATGGCTATTATCGAAGCCTTCAGAGAATGGAAGCACTACCTCACAGGAACGAAACATCCTGTCAAGGTCTACACGGATCACAAGAATCTGACTAACTTCACGACCACGAAAGCCCTTAACAAACGTCAAACATAATGGGCAGAGTTTCTTTCGGAATTCAACTTCATGATTATCTATAGGAAAGGCACTGAGAATGGGCGAGCAGACGCGCTCAGCCGATGCAGTGACCTTGAACCGGATATACACCCTCTGTAAAGTTGACTATTGCGAGAGGATTCGGAAGGGAATCTGACGACAGGATATGAGGTGTCTACTGTCGCCAGAAGTGAGACCCAACTGATTAAGGAAGTCTACGAAGCTAAGGCACATGGCCACCAAGGAGTGTGGAAGACCTACCAGCGTCTCCGACAACATCACCAGTTTAAAGGAACTAGGGCGCAAGTCGAGCAGGTGATTCGCGACTGTGATCTCTGTAAGAAAAGCAAGGCCCCTAGACATAAACCCTATGGAGAACTCCGACTACTTTAAATACCTGATGTGCTATGGCACTCAGTATCATTGGACTTCATCACCGGAATACCCCCTTCGACTGAGCCTCTTATGCAAACGATGTATGACAGTATTTTAGTGATAGTCGACCGACTCACTAAGTACTCGTACTTCATTCCTTTTGTTAAGTACGGAAACACGCTTTAGTTTGTCTTTGTGTTCATATGGAACATCGTAGCACACCATGGAATGTCACGAGAACTTATCTCCAACAGAGACAAGCTCTTCACCAGTCACTTTTGGCAAGCCCTTACAGCATGACTCGGAGTACGACATCGTCTGTCTACAGTGTTTCACCCTCAGACAGACGGACAGACAGAGAGAACGAACCAGACACTGGAACAGTATCTCCGATGCTATGTCAACTACCCCAGAACGACTGGGTACAGCTATTGCCGCTAGCACAATTCACATACAACAGCGCATTCAACGAATCCATGAAGAAAACACCGGTGTATGCCAACTACGGGTATACACGCCTACGGTGTACGGCGAAGTCAGGGAAGCAAAGGATGCCCCTGCAGCCACGAAAGTGGCCGAACAGCTTAAACAGCTGCACGAAGAACTCAAGACAGATCTCTAATTCATCCAGCGACGCATGACAAAATGCGCTAACAAACGAAGGATGAAGGGACCAACCTTTAAGGAGGGAGATAAGGTCTATCTCGCTCGCAAAAACATCAAGTCGAAGGGACCAAGCGAGAAACTCGACTACAAGCAACTTGGACCATTCAAGATCAAGTGCCACCTCATTGGACGGTTAGGTGAGCAACCCCTCATGAACGAAATCCCGAACGAAAATTCCAAACATAAGCGGCCTGTTTGTCGACCAGCTCATAGGAAAGGAAGTCCCCCTTTCTTTCGTTCTTCATCATGGACGAGACGCAAACTCGCCCGGAGCTCTCGCAAGAAGAGCAAGTTCCAGCACATCCGCCGTCACGAAAACGACAGCTAGACAGCGACGATGACGCCGAACCACAGGCAAAACAAGCGCGAACGACGCACCCGCCTTCGGAGCCAGCACGATTGACACGACAGAACCTTGCACGTTTCAACAAGATGGGCAAGAAGCAGTCCTCAGACCCCTCGGACGATTCCAGATCGACCAAGACCAAGACAATGTCGATAACGTCGACAGGATTCGCCGACAAAGCCTGCAAGAACGGCATTCTCGGCCCGCATGGTTCGAGACTGGCCAAAAATCTCGAAGACATTCGCCAACAGCAGGCTAAATCCCGAGCCACTGCCTCGCCGCCAGAGTCGGTATACGATGACTACGTCGACCGGGTCGACAGAGCCAGCAACGAATCCACCATTGTCGTCGCAACGAGCAAGCGGCTACTAAAGGAGTACCCCACGGATTACCCAGACGCCTACAACCGAGCATTCACGAACATCCCGAAAGACGCTGGATTCAATAACGGTCTGTCCGCCCCACAACCGGACTTCATCGAGGGACTCGAAAAAGAAGAGTACCGCCCGTTCCCAGTCGACGACTACATTCCTGGGGCTGCACTCTACCAGGACGACCCTCGCTCTATAACGCTACCGCAGATAGCCGGAGAATGGAAGGGCCCTGCCGGAGACATAAGAGAAGCGAGAATGCAAAGCGCCTATGACGGAGCTGCGATGGTCCACGCAAGGAACAAGGCCCTCGCCTACATGGGAAAAGAGGACCCCCCTGGACACGCGTCAGTCACCACATTCACCACAGACGGCACGAACCTCAATCTGTACGCACACTATGCCGCCCCATCGGAAGAAGACGAAGGCGCGCTGGAATACCACCAGTGTCTTGTCTCGACAACAAACCTCACTGGTAGCTACGAAAGCTTCAAGCAAGGCCGAAAACACCTCAGGAACGCCCAGGACCGCGCCAGAGAACAGTCGTATGCGCTGAAAGACCAGCTGAAGGAGTACTACAAGCAGCAGCGCCACGGCGATCTCCATCCTGTCACTGAAACAGTGCCGCCCTTGCCTGTACCACGCATCGAACCACTGGACGCTTACGAGGACGAAGGCTACTACGAAGCCGTCGAAGTCCAGCCTGTCCACCAGCCGACGCCGCCTACATCATCCAGCACAAGAGTAGGAAGACGCACTCTCACCGCTTGCGCCATTCACACCACTCACATGCGACGCCGCACTCATCGAAGGCCCCCTCATCCACATATAGTTCCACCCACAGCAGCAGTGGCAAGCGAAGAGCTTCAACCTCACAATCATCCCACAGGTCCTCCAGACATGTCAGCAAGTACCGGAGCTACTGGATGAAGGACACCATGAGCGGACGTTATTACCACAAGCATTCAGATGGTACCGTCTCTTGGTTTGACGAGGAAGACGAACATGCCTAATGCAGTCTCTGAGACATCAACCATGAAGGAGGGGTGTCAATATAAACCTTATACTGACAGACCCTTGTCCTAATGTACTAGAGTAAGAGTCTGGTCTACGAAACCTTGCTGAACCTCTGTGTAATGGGTGAGAAAGGAAAGCAATCGATGCGATATTGTGATGTTAAAACTTGGGTATTGTCTCTTGTATAGTACATTTATGGTACAGTCTGGGTCTTTTGACGCGAGAGCACAAAGTCGAAGGCATCAGATATCTTCCGACTCCTTCAGCTCTCGGCGAAAAGCTTTCTTGTCCAGCAGACGCAGATCACCAGCTTTCTTGGCCTGCACGCTCTTGCGCCCATTCTTGGGCTTCAAGTTGGGCTCCATCTCTTCTCTCATCTCGTAGAACCGCGTGATCGACCGGCTCAGCACATTCCTCCTCGTCTTGAGCATCTTCAGGTCCTCGGGCGACGCCATGCCCTCGGTGATGACCTTGTCGAGAGCCGCCGTAATCCTCCGTGACAAGGCAATGACCTCCCGCCGCTCATTGTACTGCTGGCCCCATGCCTCTTCGGGGGACGAGGTCGGCGTCTCTGGGTAGGAGAGTGAATTTCGCACCAGGCGCAGCGGCTCCCACAGCCGGTCCACGGCCCTCATGATCTGCCGTCCAAAGGCAAACTTGGAACCCTCGACATCCCCGCCCTCGGCCTGCACCCGGAACTTGCGATGGTTGGCCATGGCGACGCGGAGATACTGGCGCAGGGTCTGCGGATCGGGTGGCGTCAGGTTCTTCATCATTACATCAAGGATCTTGCCCGCATTGGCAAAGGCGTGGTCGTTGAGGTTGTCCGACACGCATGTCGCCATAGCGAGCTGGAACGTCTTGGGTTCCATCAGCCGCGGGGGCATCCTTTGCAGAAGCTCTGCTGTTTTCTCGCTGGCGTGGCCGGTGCGGAGGACCCTGAGCATGCGGTACCAGTTCTCCGAGTCCGGCTCGATTCCATGCTTGCTCGTAAAGAGATCCCAGTACCGTATTGCCAGGCTCGTCTTGCGAGTCGCGCCAAGAGAAGTCAGGATGAGCGACAGCGAGTTGCGGCCTGGGTGGGCAAAGAGCGCATGCGACAACTGGACCGACTTGAAGCTCTTGTTGGCGGTCGTCGCGGCGGGGCCTGCAGGTGCAGCAGTACCGTCCGGCGACTTCTGGCCCGCTGGGGAGGCCAGCTCGGGTTTGTCGAGCCTAGGAATGTTCATTGTTTGTTCGATGAGTGATAGCACGTCATCGTTATCCTTGAACGACCCTAGGAGCAGTATTCGGCCCATGGCACAGACGAGCTCCTCGTCGATAGTGATCTGACCCTTCCTCCACCGACTAATAGCATCCTCCCACACTGCTTTGGCCCGCTGGATCGAGGATTGAGTCTCCTCTAGCCTCGGGTGGACATCACCGGCATCTCCCGGCCGAGTGTAAGGCCGGACCGTGTTCGCGCGCAGGGCGTTGAGTATGGTTGTGTAGGTCAGATTACTTGGCGCGCGAATCGTATCGTTCGTGGTGTTGACTATGTTGAAAAGCGACTCGATGTCGCCGGCCTTAGCGCAGACCTGCAGCACGGCATTCATGTGGATGGTGTTGGGCTTGATACGATCGCTGTTCAGCATCGAGTAGTAAATCCTCGTGGCCTCTGCGACGCCGAGCTTTGCGTGCGGCGATTGTGCGCATCCCTTGAAGATCACAGTATATGTCTGGGCGTTAGGTAGCTGGCCCCTTTTCTTCATCTGCACAACCGCCATGTTAGCCATTCCAGTCGCAGCTCCAGGGTGATCAAAGAGGCAACCACATACCTCGTTGAAGAGCTTGATCGCGGCGTTCAGCCGAAGACACTTCATCTGGTATTCGATAAGGTGATTCCAGCTGACTGTGACCTTGGCATCCTTGCTAGCCTTCCTCGTCAGGAGGAGAGCCTCTTCGAAGCGACCTTTGCTCAAGGTGGCATGCACATGTTCGGCAATCTTGAAGGGGTCGCTCATGAACTCGAGCTGCTTGCGAGTGGCATAGTTGAGCGAGGAAGCCGTACGCCCTTCAGGATCGCCCCGTAACGGAATCGCATCTTCGGGCGGTACGGCGACAGTTGCGACAGATCTTGGTGAGGCGGATGCAGCTCGCAATAATGCTTCGACGCCCTGGGCTGCGACAGCTGGCCCTCCTAGACTCGCAAGACTGGCCCTCCGGACACAGGCTCTACAGATGAACATGGCTTTTCCGTGATTGCTGCGAGAAGTCGACTGCGGTTGTTGTAAGTAAGAACGACGACCTACTACAATCACAGGATGAGGTTTCTCTTTTTTTTCTCCTACCTATATGCAACTCGACGTTAAAGTCCACACTACCTCTGGTTGGGTCTTAGCGTGGGAGGTACCCGCTAATTGGAGCGGGTTCAGTGCTGTGGGGCGGGCCGTCAAGTACCAGGCCACAGTCCCTCAGGTACCTTCTGGGGGTGCCTCTCTTGGTGCTGTTTAATGCAAGGGCAGGGATCCGCGTCGCCCTCGCGGTGACGCGCTCCTGGTCGCGTTTAAGGGCGTCGCCCCAAAGTACCACCCTCAACCCACTCTTAGCACTTCTGTTTGCAATCCCGCTTGGACTTCGACTGTCAACACTTTTGTTACGCTTTTTCACGTCTTGGGCCATGAGGAGCGCTTGCATATAACCCTTTCTCCTCCTTCACTCTTGGTCAATTGGACATTGCATTGACCAGCAGCGACCATGTCGAAAGCTGTCAGTAAGCGGTCCAAGTTCGCCGAGCTTCGAGCTCTCCGCGAGTCCGGCAAGAAGAGATTCGACACATACGAGGTCGAAGAGGTCGCCAACCTGTACGAGGAGGTCGATGAGAACCAGTACAAGAAAATCGTTCGGGACCGTCTAAACGAAGATGACTTCGTGGTCGACGATAACGGCGAGGGCTATGCCGACGACGGCCGGGAAGAGTGGGATCGCGTCCCGGTCTACGACGATACAGAGAGCGAGAACGAGACGACGGTGCGTGGCAAGGGCCGTAAAGGCTGTAAGTGATCGAGCATTCGAGATTATTCCCAAGGTGCATGCGGCTGACTTGCCAAAAGCCAAGAAAGCCCGCCAGGAGGAGCAAGACAAGAAGGACGCCAACGACCAGGATATCGCCGAGTTCTTCACTAGAGGCGCCACCAAGGCGCAACCAAAGGTCAAGGTACACACGGGCCTCGCAGCTATGGAATCTTCTGTCCAATTCTAATCCATTGTCTAGGTTGCAAAAACCGAGGCCGACGACACCTTCTTAGCAGACCTGCTCACAGAAGTCGATACCAATGTCACGGCCCCTATTCCGAGGCCCGACAAGAGGAAGAACACAGAACGGCGGAAGGCCCGTGAACTGTCACCGGCCCCAGAGGCCAGACAGCGTGCTGTAAAGAAGGTCAAAATCGTCGATGACAGGGCGCCCCCTACCCCAATTGCAGACGACAACTATGTCGACGACAGCGGCTTCAATCCAGTCGATGACGACATCCCGGCACAAGACGTTCCCATGAGTGATCCGATTCCATCCTCGCCTACTGCCAAGGCTGCAGAACGCAAGGTCCTCCCTAAGATTAAGGTTGAAGAGGAGGAAGATGAAGACATGATGGAGGTGGCACATGCTGGCGCTATCACTACCACAAGTGTCAACCTGTCGGCCTCTCGTCCAGTCAAGAAACTAGTCAAGGCCGAACCCTATCCCTCTCCTGAGAGATCTTCACCCATTAAACAGGCAGAGGAAACTGTCGACGCGTCCTCCTGGAACGAGCTCAACTCAAGACTCAACGTCGTCAGCGGCTCGCAAGAGGTGCGCAGTGTCGGCAAGATCGACTACAAGGACGCCATTGAGGATGACGGGAGCCTCAACTTCTTCTGGACCGACTACACCGAGGTCAATGGCAGCTTGTGTCTGTTTGGCAAGGTCCTCAATAAGAAGACGAAGCACTATGTCAGCTCATTTGTCAAGGTTGACAACATTCTAAGAAAGCTCTATTTCCTCCCCAGGAAACACCGCCTACAAAATGGCGAGGCGACTTCAGATGAAGTCGGCATGATGGACGTCTATCAGGAAGTTGATGCTATCATGACCAAGATGAATGTCAACATGCACAAGATCAAGGCTTGCAACCGCAAATATGCCTTCGAGCTTCCTGATGTTCCCAAGGAGGGACAATACCTGAAATTGTTCTACCCATACTCCAGTACGTACTAGAGGCAAGCAAGCAGAAGACTGAGTAAATTGGAGATTGCTAACAATGGAATAGAACCTCAAATCGACACATCTCGACCTGGTGAGACTTTCTCGCATGTCTTTGGGGCCAACACTGCCCTTTTTGAGCAATTCGTCCTGTGGAAAAACATCATGGGACCTTGCTGGCTCAAGATCCAGGACGCCGATTTCGGTGCTGTCAAGAACGCTTCTCACTGTAAGCTTGAGCTGCTTGCGGACCATCCAAACATGATCTCTGTCCTGAGCGATGGTGACAACCTCGATGCTCCTCCCCTGAACCTGATGAGTGTCTCGCTGCGGACGACCTTCAACGCCAAGGACAACAAGCAAGAGCTCCTTGGTATCAGTGCCCGAATCTACGAGGGCGTGTCTCTCAGTGACACTACCCCAGCCGACAAGCTCCCCTGCCGAACCTTCACAGTCATTCGGCCCAACGGAGCCGCCTTCCCGATCGGGTTCGAGTCCCTGACCAAGGATAGAAAGCGAGTCAAGGGTCTAGTAAAGACGGTCAAGTCTGAGATGGAGATCCTGACCTTCTTCCTTGCGCAAGTGGATGTCGCAGATCCAGATGTAATCCTCGGCCACCAACTTGAAGGTGTCGACTACAGTATTCTACTGAATCGTCTGCACGAGAAGAAGGTCCATCAGTGGTCCCGGCTTGGAAGGCTGCGACGTTCTCAATGGCCTTCTTCTATGGGTAAGGTTGGTGGCAACGTTTTCGCCGAGCGCCAGATCATCTCTGGCCGACTTCTCTGTGATCTTGCCAACGACGCGGGTCGCTCAGTCATGTTCAAGTGCCAGTCGTGGACACTCACGGAGATGTGCGGTCTCTACCTCGGAGGCGAGAGCAAGCGCCGAGAGATTGACAACGAGGTTGCTTTGAAGACCTGGGCGACGTCCAAGGATGGCCTTATGGACTATGTCACACACATGGAAGCCGATACCTACTTCATCGCCGCTCTGGCCCTGCAGGTCCAAATCCTTCCCTTGACCAAGGTGTTGACGAACTTGGCTGGAAACTCATGGGCGAGGACCTTGACAGGTACTCGCGCCGAGCGGAACGAGTACATTCTGCTTCATGAGTTCCACCGGAACAAGTACATTTGCCCCGACAAGCAGTCCTTCCGTAGCAGGGCTCGGATCGAGGAAGAACACAACGAAGATGGTGCGGCTGAAGGCAAGAAAAAGGACAAGTACAAGGGCGGTCTCGTTTTCGAGCCCGAGAAGGGTCTCTACGACAAGTTCGTCCTCGTCATGGACTTCAACTCCCTGTATCCATCCATCATTCAAGAGTTCAACATTTGCTTCACAACTGTTGACCGATCATCATTGGTTAGTCTAATACCCAGTCATATGTCGTTGCAACATACTAACTTCATTCTTAGTCCGAGGATGAGGATGCAGTGCCCGAGGTCCCTGTAGACCAGGACCAGGGGATCCTGCCCAGGCTGATTGCCACCCTTGTCAGCAGGAGAAGACAAGTCAAGAGCCTGATGAAGGACAAGACTGCCACTCCGGAACAGCTCGCTACTTGGGACATCAAGCAACTTGCTCTGAAGCTTACCGCCAACTCTATGTACGGATGTTTGGGTTATGACAAGTCGCGTTTCTACGCGCGGCCCCTAGCCGTTCTCACCACCTACAAGGGTCGTGAGATTCTGCGGAGCACCAAGGAGCTGGCTGAGAGCCGCTCCCTGCAGGTCATCTACGGTGACACCGATTCCGTCATGATCAACGCCAACGTGGACAATGTCGCCGACGCGCTCAAGGTCGGCAACGAGTTCAAGAAGGCCGTCAATGAGCGGTATAGACTGCTCGAGATCGACATTGACAACGTCTTCCGCCGCATTCTGCTGCAGGCCAAGAAGAAGTATGCCGCCATCAACCTCGTCGAGGTCAACGGCAAGTTTGTCGAGAAGATGGAGGTCAAGGGTCTCGACATGAAGCGCCGCGAGTACTGCGCCCTGTCCAAGGAGGTCTCGTCCCGCATCCTTAACGAGATCCTGTCGGGCGATGAGACCGAGGTCTCCGTCGTCCGCATCCACGAGTACCTCCGTGAGATCGCCGGCAAGATGCGCGAGATGGCCGTCCCGGCGCAAAAGTACATCATCTTCACCCAGCTGGGCAAGGCACCCAAGGAGTACCCCAACGCCGACTCGATGCCCCAGGTGCAGGTGGCCCTGCGCGCGCTGAGCCGCGGCAAGACGGTCCGCAAGGGCGACGTCGTCTCGTACATCATCACGGGCGACAGCAAGTCCTCGGAGCCGGCGCCCAAGCGCGCCTACGCGCCCGGAGACGTCATGAAGGCCGACTCTGGCCTCGCCCCGGACGTCGAGTGGTACCTCGGCAAGCAGATCTTCCCGCCCGTCGAGCGCCTCTGCGCCAACATTGACGGCACCTCGACGCCGCAGCTCGCCGAGAACCTCGGCCTCGACATCCGGCGGTACCAGGCGTCGTCGTCGTCGTCGTCGCACAATGCCGGCGCAAACGACCTCGAGATCCACCCGCTCGAGTCGCAGATCCCCGACGACGTGCGCTTCCGCGACTGCGAGCGCCTCGTCCTGCGCTGCCGCGCCTGCAAGGCCGAGGCCCCCTTCGAGGGCCTCCTGGCCTCGGCGGCCCGCGTCTCGGCCTCGGGCGTCTCGTGCCCGTCGTGCTCGGCCGTCCTGGCCCCGCTCTCGGTCGTCGCGCAGGTCGAGCGCGCCGCCCGCCGCGCCGCGGCGCGCTACTACGAGGGCTGGCTCGCCTGCGACGACTGCGGCACGCGCACGCGCCAGGTCAGCGTCTACGGCTCGCGCTGCCTCGGGCCCCGGGGCCTCGCGCGCGACTGCAAGGGCCGCATGCGCTACGAGGTCGGCGAGCGCGACGTCTACAACCAGCTCGTCTACCTCGCCAGCCTGTGGGACGTGGACCGCGCCAAGGCCCGCGCCGCCGCGACCGATGCCGCCGCCGCTGGCGGCGAGCAGGTCGACAAGGAGAGGGTGCTGGCGCTGGCCGAGCACAACCGCGTGCGCTTCGGCACCGTCAAGGCCGTTGTGGACCGGTACCTCGACAAGTGCGGCCGGCAGTGGGTGGCCATGGACAACCTGTTTGCCAAGCTTGGCTTCGCTGCCGCTTGATAAAAGGGGGGAAGGGATGGAATTCGGGCTGGCTGTGCTGGTCTGTATGCATGCGTGGGGATGGCGTGGTAGAGAAAATACCACACTTCTTTTGCGTGGTTTTGGGAAGAGAGACTAGACTCTCTTGCATCTTTTGTCATTGAAGGTCGGTCTGTGTTTTGTGTACTGGTGGCATCCACACAAGAGTTGGCACATGTCGCGTTGTTTTTTTCCCCCCTCCATGGAGTTTGTGGCGATAGCATCGGGTACATCTTGTCATTGGTATGCAGGAATAGTTTCTCTCTCTTACGAGTGTAATACGACGATACTGTTATGTCTGAAAGTCACCCTCCTCCGCCGTCCCTTGCTTATCATGTCGATCCTCCATGTCAAAGTGAACATGACGGCCCCTTGTTGATATATCGACATCTTACGAATATCACACTTTTTCTGAAGGCATCATACGCATCTTATCAAGCGGGTCCACATTTTTGTAGGAATATCAATTGTTTTTTGCTGCTGCTGAAAGGGTGCTCGCTTGATTAAATGATGTACAAAGTTCCTCCTTGCCCTTCTCCAGCCTCCCCAGAAGCGACTTCCTTCGTCCCTTCTGTCGCTCGAATCGCGTAGAACATCTGATCCGGGAGGAAACTACCGTTGGCGACCGGCATTCCCACCATGTTTCCATGCTTCTCGCACATCCATTCATGAGCGACAGGGGGGCCCGTACTACATCTCTCCTTTGCAATCTGTCTTCTTCTTGACCAGCCAAAGCAAAAGTAGCAGCACAGTGTCCACTTCCCCTTTCCAGCAGCGACGAGGAATGATCTGGGTAAAGAAAAGAAGAAATGAAAAAGAAACCCGAAATAATACAAATAACAATCCCTATCAGGGCCCTTTCTCGATTTTCCTTTCTTGTGTCGATCTCTCTCCTTTTGATCACGCATCCAGAGCAATGATCTTGAGCCCCCTGATTCCCCCACAGGTCCGTCTGCTGGCCACTATCTCGAATAGCGATAATAGTAGAATCCGGCCTTCGTCGGTTGCGTACAAGAACAAACACAAGCAGTATTAGGAGAAGAAATAAAGAGATACGCAATCTGGGACTGCATCCTAGTGAGCAGACGCAATGATGCATGGTAGAAAAGAAGACTTTTCAATGAGTTGAAAAACACGACAGGTAGGAAGTGAAGAATGAATGCCAATTCCTGAAGATGAATATGGTAAGGTCTCCGGCGACTGCCGCCGGTACGACTGTCTATGAAAAGTCTTGAGGTATCATGAAGGAAGGATTATAGACGAGAGAACTTTTTAAGACAATTTTGGAATCCCCGAAAATGCAAGAACAACCCCGCCCGGTCTATGCACTGATGATGGATGCGGAAGACACTTAACATGGAAATGAAAACGCTCAGTCACTCTCCTTCTTGTTGCCGGCAGTGTCAGGGACGGCCTTGGAAAGCGCCGGTGACGCAGCGGTTGAAGGAGGCGAAGCTGGGTTGTTGTCTGCGTCCATGTTGGCAAGGATACTAGAGCACTTTGTCAGCAAAACCATTCTTATCCTCCTGAGTGGCGTCTTGGTTACTTACTCAAAAGCATTTGCACGGGACGCAGGCTGGCTCTCGCGCGTGGGCGGTGTTCCGGTTCGCGATGAAGCACCAGACTCCTCTCCAGCACGGCCTAGAGCACCGCCAGGACCGCCAAGTCGCCGACCGCTGTTGCTCCGGGATGAGAACATCGAGGTAGGACCAAGGGTCATGTTGGAGCTAGCAGTCCGGCTGGCAGAACCTTTCAGACGGCGCAAATCATCCATACCGACTTGGTTGGGTTGAGGCTGGTTGTAAGAAAAGTTGCGGGCATCGCCACGACCAGCCTGGGGGCGACCGCCAGGACCACCGCGCTGATTGCTCCTAATGCTCTCAGCAGCCTTTGCGGCGGCAGCAGCCTCAGCCTGCAACAAGTTAGTCTCTCTGCAATCTCTCATATGTTTGATTTTCGAGGTGAGACTTACCTCAGCTCGAACCTCATCGAGCGTCTTGGGTCCCTTGTTCTGCTCGTTCGAGATCCAGTTGGCCCTACGCAGATCAACAACGTCCATGAGCATGAACTTGAGACGGCTGGGAAGGTTGGGAAGATCGATGATGTTCTGGATTCTCTGGAAGTAGGCGTCCATCATGGGCTTGCCCTTGTCCGTAGCATCAAGGCTAGCGCCAATGGTCCGGAGCAGCTTGCTCAGAGACTCAATCTCAGCTTCATCGGGAGTGCCCTGGTAGTCTACCAGTTTGCGAACACACTCGTGCATGATGCGCTCCGTGAGCATGCCGAGCTTGTAGAGCTCACCAATGAACTGGACCAGACCCAGACCACGTCGCTTGGCAGCGGCAGCCTCGTAGTACTCGTCGGACAGGAGAGCTGCCTCCTGGGCCTTCTTCTCTTCACCTTCAGCGCCCTCCTCCTCCTTGGGCTCGGGCTTCCATCCGCGCTCGAACTCCTCCTGGCAACGGTTCAGAAGGTACTTCCTGAAGAGAGCACCGCCGCTGACGACGTTACCATTCTTGTCCTTGATGGTAGTGTCGCGGATATCGGGGCTCATGGTCTCAAGCATACGCTTGCAGAATTTGGCGTACATAGACGCCCAATGAGCTTCGTCGGTTGCCTTCTCGAAGGTAAGCTGGATGACTTGGCGCAGGGTGCGTCCATCCTCCTCGTCCTTGGACTGCATGGCAATCTCGAGGATCTGGTCCGAGATCTTGTCGAACTTCTCGGGAGTCATCTTGTTCAAGGCAGCCTTGACCTTGCGCTGGACCATGGCTGGATCCAGCAGAGTAGCGCCCGAGGCGCTCTGAGGAGCCTTGTTTGCGATGCTCGTCGGCTTCCAGCCCGTAGCTGAGACGGCGATAGGCTTGATTTCCATGCCCTGGGTAAGAGGCATGGTCTTGGCAGCCTGGGCCTCTGCCTTGGCATTGAAGTTATCTCGCTTGCTACCAGGACGCCTGGACCCGGTCCGAGGAGAGTTGGGAATGTTGCCCATATTCGAAGAGGGTGTTCGGCCACTCATAGAGTTTCCACCTGGGAAGGGACGACCGAAAGCCATACCAGGAGGGCCCTGGCCCAACACGGCATTGGATTTAGCAAAGCGCTGCTCGGACGTCGTACCAGGGCCTACAGGCTTGGGCGGCTGCTGGAAGTTACCAATGCCTCCAGGGAACCCAGACACGCCTCCTCTAGAGTTCTGTCTCCCAGAGCCAGCAGGTGTTCTCACCGAGGCCGAGCGTTGATCGTCACCGATAAGGGTCTTGACTTGCTGGACGAAATCAAGAGACGGCTGCTCCGTGAAGACCTTCTGGAATTGCAGCAGGAAGCCGGCATCGTACTTGAAGGCCTTGCCCTTCTTGGTTACAGCCGAATTGAGTGCGGGATTGGGAGACTGGATACCAGCGGGGTACGCCATGTTGAGATACTCTTTGTGGTCGAGGAAGCGAGCAGTCTTCAGAGACTGGAGTGCAGCACTTGGCTGAGGCGGCTCAACAGTGCTAGTGTTGATGGGCTTCAGGTTCAACGCGGCGGGCTTGGCGCGCTGCTTCTCGGTACCAGCAGGCTTGGCGGCGCTGTCACCAGCGATCTTGAGATCGGCAAGCTTATCAGCGACAGCATCGGCAGAAGGAGCTGCCTCCTTCTTATCGGCAGTGATGTCGGAGATCTTCTCGCGGAGAGCATCGGCCACAGACATGACTTTGCCACCACCAGCAGCCTTGGCTTCATTCTCCTTGCGTTGCCGCTCGCGCTCCTCTTCGAGGCGTTCCATCTCGCGCTCTTGCTCCCGCAACTTGCGGTCGTTCTCAGCCGCGTTCGCTGCACGGTTCTTCTCCTCGTCCTTCTTGGCTTCCTCAGCCTTGGCAGCCTTCTTGGCGTTGTACTCAGCCTCTGCCTTCTCACGCGCGGCCTCTGCCTCCTCCATCTCCCGGATCTCACGCTCAAAGCGCTCATCCTCGGTCTCTTCGACCTCCTCGGTAGGCTTGGCCTCGACTTTCTTCTCCTCGGCAGGCTTGGCCTCAACCTTCTCAGGCACCTGGGCAGGCTCTTCGGTCTTTGCCTCCTTGACCTCCACATCTTGCTTGATCTCCTCGGCAGCTGGCTTGGCCGATTCGTCTTCCGAAACCTTGGTGTCTCCGCCAGCCTGCTTTCGGACTTGCTCCTTGAACTCCATGCGGAGCTGCTCGGCGGTCTTGGTAGAAGAGCTCTCAGTCCGAGTGTGTGCAGGAGTGGCAGGTTTAGGTGGGGGTGTTGGAGCTGATGCAACAACGGGAGGCGTCTTTGCCGGCTGAACAACAGGCGCAGGGGAGGACGGTGCCTTCAGGCTGTTAGGGTCGAAGACTGCACCAGAAGGAGCCTTGATCTGGATGGCAGCGCTCTTCTTCTTCGGCCGCTCGAAGGCTGACGTGGCTGGGGCGGGCGATGCCTTGCCCTGGAACTGGGCTGGGCCGCTCATGGGCACAGGAGGCTGTCCTGTGCTCGAATTGGGCCGCTCCGATACCTGCGAAGAGTTACGCGACATCTGCTGAGCAGCAGGGGGCTGAGGAGTGAATTGCTGCGGGCCGGTGTAAGGTCCAACGTAGCCCGGTGAAGGAGACTGGGCTGGGTTAGTCATGTAAGACATCTGGCCAGGGTAACCAGCGTTATAGTTCATCATAGGCTGGCCGGGCTGTTGGTAGCCGCCGTATGGGTAGTTCTGTTTTCTTGCAGTCAGTAGCCGATCAAAATTGCCACTAGCTGGTGACAGATCATCCAGGGGCTTGGAGAACTGAGAGATCTGAATAATAGGCTGTGAAGGGGGGACAAAACCGCCGGGAGGCTCTGAGGGAAGAGGAGCATCGCCTGTTGCCGATTTGAGCTCCTCGTTCGTCTCCCAACGCGAACTATAGCGTCGGGGCCTTCCATTGCTGAGGGTATCTGGCTGGTTCTGTAAAGAGTCCGAGTGGCGCGGATGACGAGATTGCTTCTCCACATCCCGCCGAGGACCCTTCTTCTTGTTGTGCTTAAAAGACTGAACATTTGAGGGGAGGGAGGTATTTACTGGGTTGTATTGTGGTCCAGGAGGAGTGAACTGGAACTGGTTGGCCGGGTTGGGCATGTTGTAGTGCATGTGCGGCGTCGTAGGGTTAGGAACGGCATGCGGCATCGCAGGGCTCGCCCGGTTTGGCTGAGGCGAGTTCGGGTATGGGCGCGCTCCAGGCTGGAACTGAGGGGGCATGCCACGGCCCTGACCAGCTGGGCCACGGTTGTATCCCCCGTTCGGAGGATAACCAGCGAATGATGGGTTCGAGTTGAAGCCACCGCGTCCGCGGCCGCCTCCGTAGCCGCCCCTATTGGAGCCGGGTCCAGCGTGGCCCATTTCGCCGTGGATGGAGTGGTTGGATTCACGTCGCATGTGAGGCTGGTTCGGGACGAATGAGTTCTGCGACATCGATGGGGCATGCTTCATGTGGCGCTGTTGTCCAAAAGTGTCAGTAGACGGCCTTAAATAATTTTGCTGCAAGGCTCGGAGAGGTTTTGCGCAGGTTTTTGGGGAACCAAAGTGTGGTGCTGGTCGGAATGGGCTAGGGTTCAAAGGCTCAGAGGCGAACCAGGGAAAATTGCAACTCACCTCGCCATCACCACCAAGGCTACCGAATTTCATCGCAGGGCCATCTTGCGGAATGGATGGGGGTCTGCCACCGCTTGCCGACGGCTGGGGAATCGGAGACGGTGAGTGAGCAGGAGACGGGATACGCGCATTGCCGGGAATAGCAATGGGCGCGGCCGTCTGGTGCGGTGTGCTGTGCGACACCGCTGGAGAATCGCCAGCGAAGCCAAACTGAGGCATGTTTCCCTTGGGGCCTGAGCCGGAACCGCCGTTAGCAATGAAGCTATTGGGGCCGTTGCCACTCATAGTGACCGAAGGCTTACGGCTGTGATCAACAGCGTTGCCATTCATGTTGCTGCTGCCGTGGACGACGGCCGGGGCAGCGGCGACAGTCGGAACAGCGGGCGTGATGGCAGGGCGGCCGTTCACAGGCGAGGCCGAGGGCCGTCCATGCTGGGCAGGCTGAGAGGATCCAACGACCACGGGTGGCTGCTGGGATCCCGCTGCGATCACAGGGGTCGAGGCAGGCTTCTTGTTGGCACCGGCGGCCGAAGCATACGACGTGACCTGAGCGGAGGGATTTGGCGCCGGATTGTTCTGTTGACTCGCAGTGGAAGTCATAAGGGAAATCTCGCAAAGGCTTCCTCTCCTATGCTAGGGCGTGTGTGATCGTTCGTTCGCGGGAAGGGGTTTGGGAGGGTGCGCGTGTTCTGCGATGCTCGAAGGATGAAGGTCGAATGTCAAATTCGGTCTTCTTGGCGTCGAGACAGGGAGAGGAACGAGTGTTGGCCTCGTTGGAAACACGGGCGATGGGCGAAGACGATGAATTAAGATCAACACAGCTGATGGGAAGCTGGCCTGTTGATGAGAAGGAGTGACTTGTCGCAAATGGACTCGACTCGGACCTGGCAGGTATTCTCGCGCGCAACAAAGGAGGCGAGAGAAAAAAAAGCAGGAAGAGTGGAGTTGCGTATTCCCTTCTGGTCGGCGAGGCTGACCAGAAATTAGAGGGAAAAGAGGAAAAGAAAAAAATATCACGAATCCTCAAAGGATAGATACCCTAAGAAATGGATTCGGTGGATGTGATATTTTTATCGGGATTCTCACTCTGAGGGTGAAAAATTGTTTGGGGAGAGAAGAGGGAAGGGGAGGTTCTGCCTCTGATAGGAAGGGGAATATTTTTTTCTAATGAGGAGCACAGGCCCCAGTTCAGTCCCGGATCGCTCTTCCCTTTGGGTGTGGTGGGTATCGAGGTGGTTAGTGCTCGGCGTTAGGTGGGCGAAATGTTGGTGTTAGGTAGTTACTTGTACCCAAGGTAGGTGGCTAGCCTGTCGCTGGTGCTGCTGGGCAGTGGCAGTGGTCGTGGTAGTGGGCTCACACTCGCACACGCTGGGCACGCACAAAGTCTGCTCTCTGCTCTCCTGGTCTGACCACACACTCTCTCCCCAATCCAGGGCTGGGGGAGGGGTGGAGCGCCGTAGGGGAGTGTGGAAAAAAGTGTGGGTGCTGTTTGATACAGGTATGTGGGAAACTGTGGTGGAAACCCCGTGTATTTCGTCAGTCCTGTTGGTTGGAGTTGCGACTCTCGGGTAATGAGGTGTGTGTGTAACTAGTGTGTAGATACACGGAAGGGGAAAAGCGAGAGGTCCAAGGTTGAGACTACTGTGTGTGTGGAGAGGGATCTTATAGCTAAACTCCAGGCGGTCCGGAGCGATGGCTGCCGCCCAAAACCAGCTCTGTATTCACTGCTCGAGGCCTGTAAAGCGTCAATTTGATCCCGAAAGTCACCACCAAAACTGCTCGCAATTTGGCGCGGGCCAGCTGTCACGATGGGCGGAGAAGAATTGAGATGGTTTCTTTGTGTAAAGTATATAGTTACTAGGGAGGTGGTCACTTGGGTTTTGTGACTCGATATCCGTCCTTTACAATGTGGTGCTTCTATCACTCGTATTCTTGGGCGCAACAGCTACTTTTTGCCTCTCAGAAGTCACTTTGGCGGGCAAGCCACATGTGAAGCAACCCTTTTTTTTTTGGGCCAACATCATCGAGTGACGGGGTCCACTGATATCGTTGCCTGGGAGGGAGTGGAGTGCAACGCCTTGGCCTACGGAGACATGTTTGATCTTGTCAAGCCGCTTCACCAGACGGGGATCTGTCGTCGCTTTATTCCATTAACTACGTCCTGTCATGTTGCCGAATGAATGTCGTGGGATTGCGGTCCACGGACATCTTCCCGATAGTCTGTCACTTCTGCTCCTCTGGTCCTGCTTGGGATGGATAGGCAAAAGGGCAGCCGCATATATTTCGAATGCCCCACGCCCAGTGAGTGAACACATGATTGATGACTCCCGTGTCAGCTTTCGTGATCAGTCACAGCGTTGCATAGCGCGCACAGCCCTTGATCGGACTGACAGTCGTGGAGACAACGACTTAATTCCGAAATGTTGGTCTTGCGACTTCTCTACGGAGTATGTACGCCACTGATAGTAAACCCTTTTCCATCCTAGGAGGGCAGATAAGAAACTATGATGCTATGATGCATCCATGGCACTTTGAAAGATGGGACAATTTTTTTCTCCATCCCTGTCGTATGATATGCCTGGTCGATCCTAAAAGGGGGGCGTGTAAGCTCGTCCTGTGCAGTAAGTACGTACACGAGGTACTTCAGTGGCCCACCACCCACCACGACAGCAGCCCTGGTGTGTAATAAGAAGAAGAAAAAGCAACACAGGCCAGAAGAGATGACAACCCCTAGCCGCATCAGCCTTTTTTACATGGGTCTTTCAGCGTGAGGACCCATGGTCACTCAACAGCTGAGAGAGCCTGGGCAACTTGTCCAACATGACCAAGATGGTAGGGCCGACCTGACGGGCAACAGACGGTTGGCTTCCAAGGCTCTTTGCTCGAGTGTGCTCGGTGACGTGCCATTTTTCACAGTTGATTAAGTAGGTAGGAGAGTAGGTCATTGTAGGTTTTCTGCTTGGCATTTTATGGAAGCACAGTGAGCCTACTACGGTCCGTACCTCTCGACTCTGGGCCTGAGGGGGATGCGTGGATGAAGTTCCAAACTTTTCTCATTGGCAGAACATTGGGTCCCATGCGAGCTAACTGGGACAGGTACCTGGGGTCATCGCTCGGCGCGCGGCGCGATGTCTCTAGCGCGTCATTCCAGCGAGCTACTCCGTACAAGTACAAGTCGACCACTTACAAACACATCACTTTGCAGGGTTCAAGAATCAACCCCAGCTCGCAACTCTTGAGTCGCGTCTGCTCGCGTCCTGGAGATGAGAGCGGATACAGTCGTGCTGCTATCGGGCTCTCCTACCCGTTGGGCTGGAGAACATTTCTGATAGTCCAAGTGCCCGCCAAATGTACAAGTACTCGAACAGTCTCTGGCCCGGATATTTCGAGGTACCTGTCACCAACCTTGCCAGGTGATCGAGGCCAGCTACATCTGTGCACCGAGCAATCAAGACCCATCCGTAGTCACATACGGGCATACTTGTACAGCCAGTCTGTCTGTCTTTACCACGCTCTATGGACTATACTACATACATGGATGTGTCTCTCGATCTCGTCGACCTCGCGACGGCACTCGCAACACCCCTGCGCAGCTCAGACCAACCCGGGACCAAATCGTCCCATCTCTCTCTTTCTTGCACGTGCGTGCAAGCCGTGCTTTGACCGGATTCTTAAAACCTGGGTGCAACACATCTACGAATTTGAAGTACACACACGCATCCGGCATAACAAGCTGCCCCTGCTATCTAGCTGCCTGAAAACTGCCCATCACCGTTGCCCTCAAGGACCAGAACTGGAGGAGGTTCTCGCTGGGTGATAGGCCCCGGACGCCTGTTGAATGGGAGTCAGTGCTCCGGGAACACCTTGATCTATTCATTCCGTTGATCTTCGACGCTGGCTTGCGCCACCAAACCACTCCCTTCTTCTAGTAACCAACATGGGACTGGAGCTCCGGCGGTACTTGCTTCGAGAGAAGACGTATTTGGGCGTCTTCTCGACAGCGACAGCCGTAACGTCGCCTCCTTCATTTGCGATGCAGACCGCCCAGCCACCGTGCTCCTTTATCCTATTATCCGCACGTGGTCAAGACGACCATGGAATCTTCCACCCGGTCTTCTCTGTGCCGTCGATCCAATCCGGGGTCCTTGTCGCTGATTCGCTTTTTAACCTTTGCTCGCTTACCGTGTACGTACTATCATTCCTTTTGTTAAGACACAAAAGGCTCTGTATTAGACTACAACTGCTACATTCTCTTGTCCACCTGCTTTGAACAGTCGCGGGCTCGTTTCCCCGTCTCAGCGATGGCAACCATGGGTTGTGTTCCAATTCAGATACGGTGCAGCAAAGGTGTGGTAAGGCCAGCTTTTCGCTTCCAAGCCCATTTTGTGCGACCCGCCTACCAGGCGCAGACGTTTGTTATGAGGCTCTTCGACAGAATGAGTGCCCAAAGATACAGGACCGAGTTGGGCAGGCAGTACGATGCCCAAGAGATAGCAATACCGACTATTGCATGCCACAGCCGCACACCCATGAAATAAAAGGACCGCTACAAACCCAGGCACATGAGGCAAGGCCTCGGGCCGCACAAATACCTGTCCCTATGTCATGAACAGGCAATAGCAGAAACCCAATTTCATCCCTGGCTGCGTATCAAAACCCATCAATACGAGGGCACATAATCAGCGGGACACTTGCGAGAGGCATCACGTATGTTGGAGCAATCAACGTCAACAGGTATCTATGTACATGGTCATATCCCATACCGAAGTTTTATCACGCCCCCCTTTGCCATGGGGGTAGTGTCTTTATCAAAGCAGCCTCACCCCGTACAATGCGCCTTGGAAACCGGTCAAACAAATCGACGCGCCTCCTGCCCTTCCCGCTTCAGTCCTCCTCCTCCGCCTCAAAGCCTTCTGCCCGCGCCTCTTCCACCGCCTCCTCTGCGTCTTCATCGCCTTCGCCAGTGACGACGGGTCCCTCGCCATCCTCCTCGCCGATCGGCCCCAGGCTCTGCACAGCCGCCGCGGCCTCCTCCGGGAGGCCCCTCTCGGCACGCAGCTGGCCAAGCTTAGTGTTCGTCATCTCAAACACGAATTGGCCCAGGTGCTCCACGCCTTCCATGACCGCCTCGCCAGGGATCACATCTGGCTGTTCGGCCAGGATCCTCTCGGACGGCCACATCTCACCCGTGGTGAGGGTAAGTTTGTCCGACCTCTGTAGCAACAGCTCGAAAGCTTGACGGAGTTCGTAGCATGTCTCAAACACCTGACGGCGTCCAAGAATGTACAGGCCAAGACGAGCCCGGGAGAGTGCCACGGTCAGACGGCGAATGTCACGGAGATAGCCGACTCGGGACGTGCGGGTAAGGGAAAGAATGATGTCTGTTGCAGTGGTTAGTGAACACATGGCCAAACAACCCCCCGAGGCAAATGTGTACTTACAATCATTCTGCTCGCCCTGAAACTTGTCGACCGTTGTGACTATCTTTGGCAGACCGAAAATAGGGCTCTTCGCACACCTGTGTGCCAATACATCCTTGATCAGAGCTCGTTGGCCAGCGTAGGTCGCGAGGATACTGATTTTGGACGCCGGGTAGCCTAGCAACCGCATGTATTGGTAGATCGCTACTGCGTACTCTGCTTCGCCGAGATTCTGAATGAAGTGCGGCGTCGGCTCCGTCTCTCCCTTGCCTTTGTAGTCAGGCACATCAATAAACTGATAGTCGTACTTGAAGCCGGCATTGGCCGTCAAGAACTCGGGTGCACTCTCTACGTGTGGCAAGTTGCCCAGCGTCGGGTAGCGCCACTGGTAGAGACTTGCAATGGATGGTCGAGCACGACCTTGCTGGTCCAGGGTGATTGTTGGCACGCCAAGTCGCACGAGGCGTGAGAATAGTGACTGCTCTAGGTTTGCGTAGTGTCTGAAAGCGAGGTTCTGAATGACTGGCGAGTTCTGGAAGTGATCTCCGCAGAGAACAATCCTTTGCAGCGACACCTGCCCGTTCTTGGGTTTCTGCATCGCCAACGGGATGAAGTTCTCGACCTCGGTGATCTGCGCAGCTTCCTCCATAACCACATTGTCGTAATGGAAGCCAAGAGATGCAATCTCGCCTCGGCGCATTGCCGCATGAGTTGAGGTCATGGCGATAATGCGTGCCTCGTTTGTAAGGAGATAGTTGGCTTTGTCCTTTTCGCGACGCAGAATTTCGAAGGGCAGAACATCCGCGAGCTCCGAGAAGATTTTAGCAATGTGACGATAGCAGCCATTAGCTATTTCTAAGACAGAGTCGCGGTCTGCTTCCGGGGGGAAAAGAGGCTGCGGTGCGTTCGAAAAGTAGGTGTGGAAAGGAAAAGCCTCCACCACCTGCTGTGCTGAAAGATCTTCTGACTTGGTAGACTCCGTGAATTTCGTCCAGGTGGGCTCAATGTACACTGAGTTGAAGTACCCAGCTGTCTCGGCTGAGTTGCCATGCGCACCAGGAGCACCGATGCTTGCAGCGAGGCGGTTGACTTCCTGTAGATACTTGTCACGGTTCTCCAGGAAAGACTCTACTCGGCCATGCTTGCTGAAGTTTCCTTGGGCATCCAGTTCCTCCTCGCCGTGTCCAAGACGAAGAAGATGGCGCTCGTCGATGTCAAGAGCGATAATCTTTGCAAACAGCTGATTCAAAGCCTGGTTGCTGTGTGCGATCAGGAGTGTCCGCTGGTCCGGGAAGTTGTGATAGATGTTATTGATGATCTGAGTAGCGACATCGGTCTTGCCCGTGCCTGGGGGACCAACAATGACGGTCAAACCGGGCTGGGTGCCAGACATGATGGCCTCGACCTGAGCGGCTGTGAACCGCACAGAGTTAACCTTTGGTGCATCTACCGGATACGGTCCATTGTTTGGTGGCTTGTACGTGGACACTTGCAGCGTCTCAACTTCAGCGATGAGGGCTGGCTCGGCGTCTCTCCTCCGCTTCTTGGATGTCTTGGCTGGGGCTTCCTCGGCCGGCCGATCGACTTGTTCCAGAACATACGGGGGGCCGAAACTCCCAGTAACGTCATCGCTTGGCTCAATGATTTTGCCAGGCAGGCTCTCGATGAGGTGCTGCCAGTCGAGGAACGTATCCCGGAAGTCAATTTTCTTCAAACGGTTAGGAAGGTGCTTATATGTAGCGCCAGCTGGGTCTCCGTAGCCCAAGAAAACCTCGTGAAGCCAAGGTGCAAGAGGTACCTCGGAGAGGGCGAGATTTCGGATGGACTCTAGTACAGGCTTAAAGTTGTTCTCTCGCCCGGTGCGACGAAGGACGACATTGACGCCTTCATAGACGTTGGCCTTGCCAGGAGGGGCGTTGTCCGTGTCCTTCTTATACATCTTGGGATCCAGTTTTAGCTGGATTTTTCTTGTTGAGCTGCGAGAGCGCCCATCAAAATACGCGGTGGGATCTCTAATTGCGCGTCCAGAGTCATCTGACACTTGGATAACCTCTGCTGTACGGACAGCAACCAGACCCATCCGCTGAGCCTCAGTGACTGGACCACCACCGTTTGCCGAGGCCTTCTTCCTGGAACCGTCTACAGACAAGAGGAAGACCGTGTCTTCCGGCCTCAATGATTCCCATTCCCGGCGAACATTGTCCGCGAGGCGCCGTAGGTCGATGCTGATCTCGGCCTTGACGGCCGATGGCTTATCGTCTCCCACAGTGGCTGGCATGACCTCCAAGACCGTGGGTCGCGAGATTGGGAGGGCCATCTTGGAGAATCCAGAAAAGATAGTTTCTCCGGATTTTCTCGACTCGGGGTTCAACCTCCTGAGAGCACTCTCCACATCCTGCCTAATGCTATAGAACGATTCGCATCGATATAGTATCAAGGCACGCCACAGAAAGTCTCCAACAGACAGGTATTGTAGGTTCAACTTTGGAAGTGCCAGTGGATGGCTTCCATCATAGCTGTCCGTCCGGAGAAGGCTCTGCTCTAGAAGACTCTCCTCGGTAGGCAGGATGTCTAGGTCCCGGGCAGATTCCTGGAAGGTTTTCCTCCGCTCGAAGGTAGTGAGAAGCACCTCCATAAGGAATCTACGGTCGATGCCCAACTTGAGAGATTCCGGATACTTGGTCCTCAGATGAAGAAGATCTAGGAGCCTCTCCAGTTCGGCATCCGTCAAAGGCTCAAGAAGATTCTCTAGCTCTCCCCGATGGTCGATGGCTCCGTAATTTGATAGGGCCAACACTGTTAATTTCTCTTTGAAATTTTTCAATGCTGTACGTTGCAGAGCCGCCAGGTTCGCGCAATGTCGATCGTAGGCTTCGGTGCGACTGTATTGCACACCAGTCTGGTCGTCAATAGTGAAGTGGGTATAATGCCTCAGGAGCGAGTGAAGATCACGGAGAAGAGCGTTGTCTTCGTCGTTGAACATGGATGACAGACTCAAAGCTGGTAGAATGTTGAGATCTTGCAACAAGGTGTTGACATATCGTCGAGTGGGCAATTGACTTTGTAGGTCTGTCAAGAACTCCACAAAGCGCTCACAGTAGAGAACAGCATCTGAATCGGCGTTTTCGATGTTGATCAGATCCAAGAAAGCAAGTACCAGGCTGTAGATCCAGGACCTCTCGAATCGTAGTCGAACCTTCGTTAGCTCATCCGCGGCATCATACCGCTTTCCGGCCGCCCTCCAGGCTTTCCGTAGATGGGTGTTGCCTTCCAACTGGGCATCACGTTTGGCCTCGGAGCAGAGATTATGCCATATCGATATGGACACCAAGGGCGCGCATTCCTTGCGCACAATAGCGCAGTCCAAGCTCTGGAAGGCGTAGATGATGAAGCACAGAATCTGTGTCCGGATGGCCAAAGACAGTGTATTATCCAGGCTCATGGAGAGAATGCGACGGAACAGGGATGAGAACTCGGTCGGTCGATCGTTGAAGATATCCCAGGTATCCAGTCGTTCCCTTCTCTTCACATTCATCATAAGGACCAGGAGAAGGACATGATGATTCGTTGCATCCTCGGTATATCCGGGCCAGAGGTAGCTATGCTTATGTTAGTGCAACCCGTCGCGCGAAGCTGATGAGATACAGGACGAGCGCGCCGCTTACCTTTCCAGCAATTGCAAGCTCTCCAGTGCGGCTAATGACTTGAACTGAAATCCATCTTTCTCCAGCGAGTCCCAAATCTCGGTCTTCAGCACCTCGTTCTTGACTTTGACCTTGGTGCTCCGTTTCGTCGTCTTGAGCCAGTGCTGCTTGGCAAGCTGCGCAAACTCGACATCCTCGTCGACAGCGGTGGGAAGGGGTTTCGCAGCAGTCGTCTTGGGCTGCGACGCCCCAGCGCTTCTCAGCTTCTTCTTGGCCGGCATCGCTGTTGTGATATCGCGTGCTGAGAAGCGATACAATGCAGTTTGTCGCGCGTCACGGCAGCTTCATGCACTCTCGCCTGCACGACACGCTCTCAAGCTCCTAAATTTTGATGGCAAGTGTGGCTGACTCTTTGGAGTGGCTTGCCCAACCAGGATCTTCTCAGCCTTGCATGTGCCCCACATAAATGTATGAGTGTATAAAGACCACAGTGCCTGTACCTGAGTGGATCCCGAAATCCGCCCGGATGCAAGGTCCAAGCTCGTCTCTCATCAATAGTTACGACAGCCTTGAAGGCCTATTGTTGCGAAGCCGGGTCTGTTCTGTCACAGTCTGCGCTCTTCCCTTTGAGCACCAACATTTATCAAAATTCATTCTTACCGAAACAGTTGTAGCGCTCTTCACCAACAGCCTCTTGCATGGCTTCCCGTTAAAATCGAACTTCGCCCAAGACCAAGGGCCTCTCGCTCTGCCTTCCTCCAAAGCTACACGTGCAGGACAATCGCCCAAAATGCCGTCACTCGAACCCCACGAAGATGGCGTCCCTGCTGTCGCGAGCTTCCAGACCCTCCTCTGGGATCTCCTCGCGCGAGCCGAGTTAGTCAAACCGGCCACCAAGCTCACGCCAGCGCTCAACAAGGCCGACTTCGAAGATCTACTAGGTCGACTCGGATCGATATTTCAAGCTGTCGAGTCGAAGGGTCCTGGCGGAAGCGATGATCTAAAGAAGAATAGGCAATTTGCTATTGTTGAGACGGCTGTCCGCGATGTTTTTGGCAGGCTGATAGTGAGTCTTGCCCAGCCCAGACCTCGCAAATGTCTGAGTGCTAATCAGCTCCAGTCAACCACTTCGATTGAGTCGCCGGCATTCGTCAAAGTCTGGAATCTATTCGACATTCTTCTGATACTCGGCGAGAACGGTGAATGCGACTCAAACCTACTATTGTGGCTCACAGAAGAGCTATTCGAGAGCCAAACGATCAAAGGTTGTGAGGAGGTCCTTCATTATCTTGAGTCGCGCAGGCAGCGGATAATTGCAGGGAATTTCTCATCGAAAAAGCTCGTAATTCTGCGAGCGTGCAACGAGCTCTTGCGTCGCCTGTCGAGGGCCAAGGATCCAACGGTCTGTGGCAGGGTCTTCATTTTCATGTTCCAATGCTTTCCGCTTGGCGACAAAAGCTCCGTCAACCTTCGTGGAGAGTTTCATACCGAAAACGAAACGACCTTTGACAATGAAATACCCGAAGGTGCTGCAACTCCAGAGAGAATGGACGTCGACGCCCCAGCCGAGGAAACGAAGGCGTCAGACGCCAGCAGGTCGAAGAAGGAGTCGTCGCAAAAGGCAGAGCCCAAAGCTCTCAAGCCTAGCGAGCTATACAGAGTATTCTGGTCATTACAAGAGAGTTTCAGCCAGCCTAAGAAGCTTTTCGACCAGACACAGTTTGCTGCGTTCAAGACTGGCATGGAGGCCACCATGACAGCCTTCAAGCAGATTGCCAACGAGCATCAGACCGCCAGTAAGCAGGGCGAAGAAAGCAAGCGAAAGCTCAAGCGCAAGCGCGACGATGAAATGAGCGGCAGCGACGAAAACTATAATCCCAAGTACCTGACTAGTCGGGACCTGTTCGAACTCGAAGTAAGTACTCTCAGGAAGATCATCATACTGTAGCAGCTCCTCACAATCAGCAGACAAGCGATCTTACGTTCAGGCGGTACTTTCTCGTTCAAGCACTCATCCTGATGGACTTTCTCCTATCCCTCACGGCCGAGGCGAAGGAGAAGCTTTTGGCGCCGAGTGGCAAGCCACTTAATAAGTCCGTGATGTACTCTGAACAGTTCCTTGGCGAGGAGGACACCGTTTGGGTCACCAAGATGAAGCTAGATATCACGGACCACATTAAGACAAGGACAAGTGATGGCGCGTACTTCCTGAGAATGGTCGACACCATCCTTGCCCGCGACAGAAACTGGGTCCGTTGGAAAATCGAGTCCTGCCCTCCCATCGAAATGGAGGCCGTTACACCCGAGAACTTCTCCGAGGCCAAGGACCAGGCCCGCCGCGCAACGACGAGCAAGCGTCTGCGGCCGCTGCCCATGGGTTCTATGTCGCTGGACTTCATGAAGGACGAGGACGAGGACGCGGAGCTCGAGCGGCTCAGGGCGGAGGAGCGGTACGCGCTGCCGGACCTGGAGCACTACAAGGACGCCATCGCGCGCGACGACTTCAACATCGAGATGCCCAAAGATAACGAAGAGAAGGCCCGCGCCGAGGCGACCAAAGCGAGCAAGACGTGGCGGGCACTGCGGATTGCGAGCAGGTTCAAGATGGCGACGTTTGACCGCATCGAGGACGACAACAAGATTGACATCATCTTTGCCAAGCCGGGCGAGGAGGAACAAGGCGCGGACGCGGGCGAGGCCGCCGATCTGCCCGAGGACCAAAGGCCACTCGTCATCACGGGGCCAACGGGGTCGGACTATGCATCGCTCGCCAAGATGCTCGTCGAGAAAAGTCCTGGTGTCTACCAAGCGGTGGTGCAACACACCACCAAACCGCAGCAGGAGGGCGAGACGTACCACTACGTCGACTCGAGCACGTTCAACATGATGCTCGACGGCGACAAGTTCCTCGAGTTCAGGGACGTCGACGGCGTCATGTACGGCACGAGCCAGAGCATGGTTTATAAGATTGGCGACGCGGGGAAGGTGGCCGTCCTGGCGCTCAGCACAGAGGTAAGACAGAGTCAACCCGCCTTTTCCTTGTTACAGTTTACTAACGGCCTTTTCTCGTTTGCAGAGCGTTGAGCAGGCCAAGGGCATGAGCTTTGACGCGCGGTACGTGTTCGTCGAGCCATCGTGCGCGGAGGATCTGGAGGCCCGGGTCAAGGAGGGCGGCACGGTCACCGAGGCACAGCTGCCGGGGGTATTGGCTGCCGCCAAGAAGGAGATAGAGCAGGCCAGGGGTGCAGATGCGGGCGGCTACGACAAGTTCATAACACACGATGGCGACCTCGAGGCCACTTTCTCGACGCTCGACGCCTTTGTTTATGACCGAGAAGCCGAGCCCGAGGGCAAGGGCGTCGAGGTGGCCCAGAATGGGGAGCCGTCTGGTGGCGACAAGACTGTAGAGCAGCCTGCGGCGTCAGATGTGCCCATGACAGACGCGGCAGTGACTGAGGGAGCAGGAGGAGCGAATGGGGTGGAAGCTGGGTCTTGAAGAGGTTGTTGATAACTCCATGTGTAATCCAAGACGTGGCTTGACTGTATGATCGAATTAGATACCCCTATTGAAGCCGTTTGATATACACCGACAGACTCTGCGAATACGCTAAGATGTTGCTGGGAGGTCCCAACTGTCTACGATTATTCTGGGATGTGTCAGTCAAAGTATGTAGCTAAACAGCAAGAAAGGATCCGCAGGTTAAGTGGCAGCGGACACAATCCCATGCTGATGCAGTCACATCTGCGTCCCGAGGAGCCTAGTCTGTCCGGAAACGAGAAGCTTGCGCTGCCCTTCCGTGTCTATAGCGCCAGTCTGCACTCTTTGGGTGTTGAAGCGGGACGCCCTACTGAGCATAGCCACGTGAATGGGACGGGAGCCCCGTTTGTTAGAAAGGTAATGTGCTCATAGCCTAAAGAGAGCCGAGTGCCTCTGATACCATTTCCCATTTCCCAATTTAAGACCTTGGCCTCTTTTACCTGCAGATCATCAATGCTGCCCTTGTCGAATTCAGCGCGCCCGATAGCATCGTCTTTGTCAGATCGACTCCCGGTGGGCCACACCAAGGACACCGGATGCTTCTACATTTCACTTGGTAGGATGGAAGAAAGCACATACGTGCTCTAAGCCCGGGAAGGGTCTTCACCCCGTCTTCTGTCAAATCTCAGACGAGCCAACAAGCTGCCGAGAAACTTAGTCAATCCCTGGGGCCTTTCAAGACGGTACGTCCATATCATGTGCTAGGCTTACCGTTTGCTGATTGAGGGGGCCTTCATCTGGGTCTCGCTCGACGGTGCCATCTCATCTACGCTCTCCGGATTAGAGGGGTATTTTGAGATGATCTGAGATGCATGCCGCCTAGAGAGAGCATGTTCCTCAGCAGGTGTGGGCTGGACAGGCTCTAGGTTCTCTCGGGTCTCAACCATTTGTCTTTTAAACGTGTGCGCTCGGGGCAAGCGAGGGACGATCTCGCCAAAGACGATCTCTCTTGGTACCCGCCGGATAAGCTGCGGGCGAGCTTCATCATCGGCACTGGGATCCTGCGGCTTTGGAGGCTCTGGAACTGAATCCGAGGGCTTCGGCGCGGCCGCACCCTCGGCAGAAGCGGGGCTCGTCGGTGCGTCTAAGGACTCCGCATCCGGCGCGGGTGGATCTCCCCCGAAAGTCTTCCGGACCTTCGGTATGATGGTCTATACAATCTCGAGCTCAGTCAGTATTGCGGCATTGCTAGATGACAATAATACAGCTAAGAGCTTCACTCAGGGGGGTGGGTATCCTGCCTTGAAAGAAATGTGGAGATCCTGGTCCACATCCATGATCGCCGCGGCGTTGTTGTACTCGTGGCGGAAGTTTGGAGCACCGAAGATGGTTGTAAGCTGCCGGTTTGAAAAGAATTCGTATCCGGGTTCAACAACTTGCTTGGAGCGCACGATGAGATCCATGTCATGCTTCTGCAAGAAGCTGCTCACAACGTCCGGCCCGAAAACCCACGATCGGCAGGTCTGGCGATCTTCTACGTTTACTGACCATCCCTTGACATCTTTATCTGGATTGGCGCAGACAAGGTCACAGAGGAGCCCAGAATAGGGTATCTGTCTGTAATTAGTGCCTACCTCCAGCTACGATACTGAGGTTCTTGGGCTTCTGGGCTGGTCTTGATGGCACCTACATCTGTGGGTCGCTGAATGTCTCGAATCTGCTGCAAGGAATCGAGGTCCGGGCTTAGACCACCATTCATACAGAAAATCCTTTCGTCGATGATAGCGGCCACCGGCATGGAGTCGAAATTGGCGTTGAAAACTCTCCATAAATCAGCATCGTACTGCCTAGTGCACTCGGCATATAAGCCAGAGTTGCGGTTCATCCGGGCGCACTCGTGGTTGCCTCGAAGAAGGAAGAAGTTCTTGGGGTATTTGATCTTGTAGGCTAGGAGGAGGCAGATCGTCTGGATACTTAGCGGACCGAAGTCGACGTAGTTTCCCAGAAAGAGATAATTGGCGGTCGGCGGGAAGCCAACGTACACGAATATTTTCAGGAGGTCGTAGAATTGGCCGTGAATACTACCGCACAACTATCTCAGTTAGTGAGTGGGTGATGTGTTATACGATTTCAAACTACTTTGGAGTACCTGCCTTGATAGGAGCTTCCAGCTCTAGTAGCATGGGCTGCTCCATGAAGACCTCCAGAGACTTTGCAATGAGCCAGCGTATCTCCGACTCAAGGAGGTGGCGCGTCCCTCCCTGGCGATATCTCCCCCAGGCTAGGAGTCGCTCAATAATATTATTCAGGTCTGGAGAAATGGCATCGGAATTAGGTGGTGATGCTCCTTTGGCCGGCCCCGGGAGAGCACTTCCGGTTGATACACCAAGAGAATGACCATCAATCTTCTTCGTCTGAGCTTCTCGAGAGCAGTGGCCGATCTTCGCTCTCCAAGTCACTGTCGTCGTGCTCAGCCTCGTCGTCCACGGTCTGCGGCACCACGTAAAGTGACACTTCTCGAAGATGCTTGCCCACATGCTTATAGTAGGCCGTACTGTCTGTCTGATACTGTGCTCCGCAGAAGGCGCACGACGATGCTGAAGGAGGTTGCGCTGTCCGATGCGAAACTTCGTGACTTGCCCACATCCCGCTTTTGGTGTAGGGCCTGAGGTGGGCGACAGGACACGCTTCAACCGTACAGACGTAGGGCATAAGATCCCGGAAGACATGTTTCCTAGGCCTGTTAGGCACATGCCATACAGGGTAGTGATTCAGGGACATAATTACCTCCAGTCCAGTTTTGTGACTCCGTCCTCTGCATCACTCGGTAACAGACCCTCTAAACAAATGGAACATTCTATGATGCCGTCTCTTGCCTCAGGCTTTGGCGGTACTCGCGGCCGTCCTTGAGAGATCGCCGAGGCGGCTGTCGAGAATGTAGCGAAGGTTGCCTCGGACTCATTATCAGGAAAATCGACAGGCGACTTCGACCATGATTGCTTCCGAGACCCTATCGAGAAGACAGAGGGTGGAGGGACCGAAGACTTGGTAGTATCCGTGACGACACGCGGATCCGTGTTGGAGAAGAGACTTTCAGTTGTGTTGTCGGCCTCTGGCTCTCCGAGTCGATCATTCACAGGTTTTGTCGGAGCCTGGCAGATCGGAGGACATTCGTTTCAGCCAGGCGCTCTACAAGATACTTTGGCAGCTCCTCAAAGCGATCCCGCAGTCTTCTGCAATGTATGAGAGCTTCTTCACTGGAAACGTCAAATTGTTCTTGTTTGCTAGACGCCTCTGTCTCTTCTTGTTCGAGATGGACGTCGAGGGCTGGCTGTTCCAAGACGGAGCAGAGGTCTAGGAGGCAGTCAATGTAGACCGCGATCTCGTCCAGTATCTCTGCTGCCCCATATTCGGATGTGTCTGATATTGAGAATGCGTCTTCATCTGGGGTCTCGATTGAATCGTCATCTTCGTCACGAAGTAAGGATTCCGCAGCGTCCAGCAATCGCTTCAAATCATCGCAGTGCTCGCCGACTTCCTTGAGAGCTCCGCCCGAATCTCTCGAGAGACACTGGAGCACCGATGTCCCAAGCCTGAGCAACAGGGTCAGGACCTCATCGTGAAGCTCCTTGGCGTGCGCTAGGGTGTCATCCAAATCGCCGTCCAAGACGGAGAGGCCTTGACCCCAGAGAAAAAAGCGCTCAAGCTCATTTCGCGAATTCCGTGTTGTTCCAGATTTTGTACAGAGAGGGCCTTTGGGCAGACAACTCATCGAGCGGTGTATGGTGAGGAATAGCTTTGCGATGAAACCGCCACTCTTCGAAGAGACGGGATCTGGAAGCCATCGTTCGACGTCGTGGCGGCTGAGGAGCGAAAGGGACATGATTCGGAGGAGACAACCAAGATGATCGAGATGCAGCCTTGAGATCTGACCTCAAAGAAATTCGATGTGAAGCTCATGATCCTCGATAAGTAACCCCGCCACATGCTCAGCCCTTTGCGCAGGGCAGTCTTCCCGACCAACCATCGTCGAATGCACATCGACATCGGTACGTCCTAATTGTTATTTCAAGACCTCAGGATAGTGACCTCGCAATCTCTATAAATGAAGATGCTTACCTTCTTCCGTAGAACCCCAGGTCCTGAACACTGAGTCCTTGCTTGCTTGCCTATACCTCTGTCTCTTCGCTCCTCGCTCCTGACATCTCCTCACCCGATCTGCTTCTATTTGTGTTCCTACACCGTAACTGGCGGTTTAGCCCTGGTGAGGTTACTAAATAACAAGTTGAATGTCACCGTGGCGTGGGAGCTGTAGGAGACAACAACGGGGGATTGGGCGAGCTGGGTGAGGGGTACATCAAGGGTCTGCCTCAGCCTCATCGTAATCATTCAACTTCGCGAAAGTGTTCAACTTAAAAATGGATCCTATGTGGTCGCGAGCATGTCAACATGAGCGGCGTTGAGCTCATTGTTGGGGCCGTCTTGGGTGCGATCCCCATTGCCTTAGAGGCATACGACCGATCAGGTCGGGTGTTCCAGGTCTTCTCTACTTCCGTCAAGCGGTACCCCAGCGAGGTTCTCCTCCTCGAGACCAGGCTCGGCGCTCAGAAGGCCATATTTCGAAATAATGCGGTCAATCTGCTTACCGCCATCACAAAGGATCGGGTGCGGGTACAGGAAGTGCTGGACAAGCCCTCGTCAGACGCCGCCAAGGCTGGGCTGGTGATGAGCTCCCTGTACGTCCGGAAACTCGGGGCTCTAGACGAGTCTTTCGTATCCTGTCGACAGACAGCGGACCAGATCAATAAAGCGCTTCAGCGGCTTTGTTTGCAGGCCGAGACCTTCAGAGCAGAAGTTGGGACGAAACAAGACGTAACTCTCCCCCTCGTAGATAACGTTCACGGGTACAATGTTGACAATATTCCCAGAAGACAAGTCCCTCGGAATGGTTCAGACACTGCAAGACACGGTTTAGGCTTGGGTTGACCAAGCCTCACATCACCAAAGCCATTGACGAGTTGCGGGACTTCAACCAAGACTTCGGCCTAATCACAGATCACATCATCAAGGCCCTGCACAGCATTGCCGATGAGCCGAAGGACGAAGGCCCCGTCCGAAAATCTGCCCGGTCTCTCAACGTGCTGCAGCCGTACCACCGGTTCCGAGACGCTTCCAAGGCGTTGTACTCAATGCTCCAGATGCGATGGGTGTGCCAGTCTCACAAGTGCCACTGCTTCGACGTCCGTATCCTGGACAGCTGTACCGTGGCAACCTCGGCTCGATACGTGACCTGCGAGCTGGCGATAACGCACGATGGATCCAATTACGGCCCCAAGGCGCCGCTGCGCCTCGAGGTGCAGCAATCGTGTGTCGACGGGGACGATGAGGAGGACGACTCAATACCGGTGCCGGCACCGGCGCAGAAAGAACCGGAATCGTCGAACATGCAGCAGCTCACAGCCGTCCTGGAAGCGGGATCCGACAAGTTCGTCGTCCGACACAGCAAGGCACAGCCGAAGAAGGGATCAAAAGACCCCCCCACCGCCATCAAGACACCGAACAACTCCGGCGCTCCGCAGCTCCCAAGCCTCGAGCTCGCCACCCAGTCCATGGCCGCGCTGCAGCTCGACCCGGACGCCGACGCCTCCGACATCTGCCGTGCCTTCCACGACGCCACCATCGCCATGTCGCCCTCCGGCCGCCTCCTCCTCGACTCCTGGCGCAGCCCAGACTTCGGCTCCGCCCAGTGGTTCTGCGTCCCGCCCACGTCCGCGACCACGACCGCGACCGCCGCCCTCGGCACCTGCCAGTCCCTGAGCGACCTCGTCGCCTGGATCGCCCAGGACCCCATCTTCCGCGCCCTGCCGCGCGGCGCGCTCTTCGGCCTCGCCGGCGCCGTCGCCGAGGGCATCATGCAGTTCTACAGCACGCCCTGGCTGCCGGCGGACCTGGGCCGCAGCGTGCGGTACTTCCACTCGCCCACCGCGGGTACGGGTGGCGGCGGCGGCGGCGGCGGCGGGCTGGACGCGGGCGAGGAGCTGCAGGGCCCGTACTTCATGACCCGCCTCGAGACGTACCGGCAAGTGACCGCGGCGGCGAAAGGGAAGGGGCGCGCTGGCGGTGCTGGCGGTACTGAGAGCGTCGCCAACGCCAGCGGTGCGCGGAACAAGCTGTTGTTTAGTTTCGGGATCCTGCTGTTGGAGATCGGGTACGGGCGGCCGTGGGCCGAGTTGCGGCGCGAGGTGCTGGCCAAGCTCGGCGGCGGAGGAGGTGAGGACGGCGGGCCCGCCGACTGGCGCGCCGCCGAGAAGCTGGCGCATTTGCTCGTGCGGCAGATGGGGCCGACGTACCCGCGGATCGTGAGGAAGTGCCTGGGGTGTGACTTCGGGCTGGGCGAGACGGACCTGGACAATGAGGATTTGCAGAGGCGGTTCCTGGACGATGTGGTTGCAGGCTTGAGGAGGCTGGGGGAGGAGATGCGGCTTATGAGCTCGGGTTGAGGAGAGGCAGCCACTTTTCATCTATTCATCCACTTCCCGTGTCTCTTCATGCTGTTCAACGGGATCAAATTCTTATCTGCATAGCAAATAGACACACGCACCCTTTTAAGCCGATGGATGACTTTTATTGGGAAAAATGCGGTAAGTAGCATTTACATCGATCCAGGGGTATAATAACCCCAAAGATCAGAGGTATCTCTATCCAAGCAAATAAATAAAAACAGGAAAATACAAATGACCAAAACCATGTATGAAGAAACACGCATATACAGGGAGCATCAATCCATCCATATGTCGCCGAGCTGTGAAGATCGGCCATGCCAGATGATCCAAGATCAAAGGCTTGCTACCGACTGGGCACAAGTTAAATAGTAACAATGCAGTCATATCTTTCCTCCGGAGGATTTGTACATGGCTTTTGGGTCCGTTATTTTTGCTCATTTCGTCTTGTTGGTGCGTCTTGTGGATGACATTGATAGAATCGTGAATGCTGATGATGTAGTCCTGGACGACGGTGAAGGTGACGCGCAAATAGAGAGAAGTGTCCTAGTGAATATGTCCGAGAAGAGAAGAAAACACCAAAGGTCCCCGTCCCGAGTAGACGTGCCTACAGAATGAGGCAGTCCGAGAGAGACCTATCGAAAATTCGCAATCGTTAACACTCAAAGATCTAGGCTGACGGTACTTCTGAGAGAGGAAGAGACGATTAGCTTCTGGATGTCTTCCTTCCTCCGTCTACGCCGCACGATCTAAAAATCGCCGATGGAGCGGAAGGGGATATTGCGGAAGCAATGTTACATAGTAGTGACCGAGCCAGAGCAGCATCACGTTACTCTTCGAGACACACACACAAAGAGCTAACGAGAAGGAAAAGGGGGGGCTGAAGGACTAAAGGACTCACCATCTCGTCGCTTCCCACTCCAGGATCCAGCCGCAGCAGATCTTGAGCCTCTCTCGGACGCTCGACGTCTCGAGCAGCCTGTACTTCTCCTCGTCCTTGACGGGCAGGATGCTCGCGAACCACCAGGGGAACTTGGCCGGGTCGTCGGGGCACTCGCCGTAGATGGCCATCATCCTCGCCGTCAGCCACTCGACGCTCTGCTCGCGCATGCGGCCGACATAGTCAGAGGCAAAGTCCATCAGGGCCTGCGTCGGCATGGATTCCAAGTCGCGCTTGGTCAGCGGGCCCAGAGAAGAGCGCGAGCGAGGCCGTTCCAGGTTGCTTCCAGCACCGTCCTGGCTGCCGGTGTCCGCAGGTCCTCCGTGGCCGCCGGCGCTGCCGTTGGCCTGCCTCGTCTCGGAGACTTCCAGCTCTTCCTCCTCTGCGATGCTGATGTCGTTGATCTTTTCTATATTCGCCATCATGTACCCGTCGACGGTGCCGTGCCGCAGGATGCGGAACCGAGAAACGCCCACGGTCTCGAGCAAGCTCCGCCCATCGGGGAAGAACTCGACATTGACGATCCTGAGAATAGTACCCAGCTCTGTAAAGTTGCGGTCGCTGGAGCTCCGTGGCCTTTGATACAAGACCATGCCGAACGTGCGGTCGCCCTCCAGTGCACGGCGGATCATCAATCGGTACCTGGGCTCGAAGATGTGCAAGAAGGTCGGCATGGACGGGAAAGATAGGGTGCAGACGAAGACGGGGATATCGAAACCCGAAACTTCGTTGTGCCCCTCGGCGGCAATGGCTTGCTTCCGTAGCGCCACCGCATCCGACCAAAAATGGTTGATCGTTTTCCACACTCTTTCGTTCGTGTGGCACGATTCTCGGTGCAGCAGAGGCTGCACAGACAAGGTCCGTCGACATACCGGACAGTGGGCCGCGTGGTCGAGGACGCGGTGAAGACAATGCCTGCAGAAAGTATGCCCACAGGGTGTCGTGATAGGGTCGTAAAAGAGAGCATAGCAGATCTGGCAGTCCATCTCCTGTCGCACTGATGCCTTGACCTGGTGTAGGACGAGCGCATCAGCGCCCAGTTGGTCCGAGTCTGGCGCTGCCAGTTCGGTGTACGTGACTTCGGCGTGATAATCGAGTCCGCCTTGCTCGACCAGCGTATAGGTTGCTACGAGTTTCCCACCCTCCACCAGTCTCGGCGCCGCTTCCTTCTCCTGGAGTGATGATATGCCAGCGACGGCCCATTGATCCTTCTGCTCTATCGATGTCTTCTGTCCGGAAGCCAGCGCCAGTGCCCTGGCCTTGTCCAACTCGGATTTCATCGCCGTCATGGCCATCCGTAGGGTCACATCTACCGTGCAGTCACCGAGAGCATGCTCCCTGGCGCATTCGGGAAAGGGACACTCGAAACCTTGCAGTCTGCTCGCCGTCGCTGGATACGAGATGTTAGCTCGCAAATGAGGAACGGGTAGGCACTGCTTGCACAGGCTCTTCCCGCACGGGAGTGTGACGGGCTCCGTGAGCGGAAGGGAGCACCGGGGACATTGTATCAGTCGTACAATGTCCCGGATCTCGGTAGGGCCAAGCTCGATCTCGGCTTCGAGCTCGGGCTTCTCATCCTGGCGAGGAGAGGAGGTGGAGGATGGCGCCGGATTCGTAGCAACCTCTTCGGCCTGAAAAGGTGACATGAACTAGGATGGAAAGCACCAGCCCACACGCTGGAGTTTCACCACTGACTTCGTTGAAGAGGAGGCTCGTGTGACGAAATCATCCGTATGGAGGTGAGTATGACCAAGCTTCCTTGGCTTGCCTGGTTTGAGACCAGGGCTGTTGCTGTTGGGGGTAGTGAGGCCGCAGCGGGGATGGTTCTTCCGATGCTGAGGGGTCGATGAGAGTGTCCAGCTGTATGTGAGGCTGATGATGTGAAGTCGACGAGTAGGTCTGCTGTCTCGTGTGGGCCCGAAACGGCTCGCAGTGTAGGGACATGCAGGAAGAGATCATTTATTCGCAACCATGAGACTGGAGAGAACGAGTCGGGGTCACCAGTTGTGTCACCTTCATGATAGGTGCGGCGGAGCCGGCTTAAAAGGACTGGGTTTCTCGGAGGATTGCGCCTCTGGCCTACTCCGTACTGAACGGTAGGGATTCTCTGTAATGGCTGCCCAGTGTCGTCTGATATGTGCAGGGGCACTACTCAGTCGGCGCAACACTAGAGCCCGGGGACGCGCGCTCTAAGATGGCCAGTGGGAGTCAAGTTGACCTAGTTTGTAAAGAGGGAAGTGGGAATGAGAGCTGACGATGATGTCGAAGAATGGAGAAAAGCTTTGTGTCAAAGGGGCCCCTTCCGTCATGTACTTCGAAGCTAGACCAGCAGCTTAGCACAGGGCCCTAATTGTTGCCTATCGCAGAAAGGGAAAGCGAAGGAGTCCAGAATGGAAAAGAGAAGCTAGGTATGTATGCCCAGGGTTCGGTTGTGGGACTTTGTCGACGAGAGTCGAGGCGGATGAGTGCTGGTTTTAGTCGAGAGGTGGGGGAATGTGCCAGGAGGGAGAATGTATGATGTCTAGTATCTCCAATTCTGCGACGGCATTGGACCGTTTAAGCGTGGTCCAGTTGCGCGTGAGAGGGCGGTGCGAGGTGTTCCATTAGCCATCAACGACTACTCCGTATTTGTGTGCTCTCTCTCTCTCTCTCTCTCTCTCTCTCTCTCAGCGTGCTGGTGAAGGCGATGAGAGATTCCTTGCCATGTCCGCTTCGCCAAAGGCAGACCACACAACCACGCAATCCCGAACTTGGGGATAAGCCGTCTCCACTTCACAGCGCTCTGCCTCATGGGAGAAGTCTTGTGGCCGCGCGGGTATTCCCAAGTACCTCGATGTTCCTCCCCTTGAAACCGACCTGAAATACCCACGCATCAGATCCGGTCCTTGGTTATGGAGACGGGCTCGGCAGGCCTTCAAGGAGCGAGCTGACATTGGACTTTGAGCCACATGTCCTAGGTATCTATCTACCATGCGCTTCATGAGAATATGTCTTAGAGGTAAGGTAGGTAGATACCTAGTCAAAGTTGACTGCAGCGCATTGAGAGATCCCAGAAATACGAGAAAATGATGGGAAACCCGAAGCCTACATCTATGCTGGCCCTCTTCCAAAAATCGATGCATCATACATGTCTTGTAATCCGCGAAGCGAACCTTTAGACTTGCCATCTCGCCCACGCACGGCTCGGACAGGGTTGTCACCTGCAGCTGGTATTGGCTGCCGCGCCCCGGACCAGAAAACAGATCTGCTCGCTCTGCACCAGTTCTGACTCTCACGTCAACGATGTCATCAAGAAACTTTGCAACGGGATCTTGCTCTCGGCTGACACGGGTGAAGCCAAGCGCTAAAGCCTTGGAAGCGCACCACAGTTCGTAGTGGACCAGGACGGGGGGTTCCCCGAGGATCTACAGGTAGACCCAAGGGACTGGACAAGCCGTTTCAGGCCTGTGGATAATACATATCAGGTTCGCTCAGGCTGGCTTCCTCTTTTCTGCTTTATGATGCTGAGAACATGTAGGATGTACGCACTGCCTTACATCGGAAGAGCTGTGTCTGTTCCCAGACATAAAGTCATGACAACGCACGCTGTGTGTTAGTGCTGAATAGCTGGGCAACTAGTCAGGAAGATATAAAGGAGCTCCCTGGAGAAAGACCCTGAAATTAATCTCAGCTGCCTATATATTTAGAATAGGGATAACTAGGCCCAAGAGAAGTAGTTGAGGTACTTGAAGATACTTTACTCTACACACTCTCTGCGAGGAGAGCGGTAAACGTCAAATCAGGGGGCCCGCTCCCAGCGCAAGCGTGGCCCGCTAGCCACGGTCGGGGCTACCTAAACTTGTACACTGGCCAACCCCTGTACTGCAGGTGGTTCTGTCCTGATCGACAGTTATGTCATCGATCTCGATTGTTAGACCTTTGTCCCCCATCGTCCGCCGGGCCTCACCATCGCCCTTTTGCCTCGATGCCCGGCCCTCGAGCATGAGGCCCTCTCTCAGGGGTATGACCTCTTCTATTTCCCTCCCGCTGACCCCTCGTCCCTTGGGCTCACCGGAGCACCACTGCTCTGGCAACTGCCGCCCTGCCCTCACAGGACAGGTGACTGTAGCGTCGACGCGTGCTTGTTGCCTGGCAGGCCAGCAAGTCACTCATTCCATGCGAGACTTGATTCATGCAATCCGAAGATGCATCAACATGGAGCGGATAGACGTGTTTGGGAGGAGGGGCTGGCTCCTGAGCCGCATCATCGGCATGAGATCTGGCAACCAAGACCAAGTTCCCAGTGTGGTCGTGGGTTGGGGTTTGGTATTCCTCTTGGGACTAATAAAGCACCGAGCTGAGTTGCAAAGAGCCAGGACGGCACATGCACGTACCCTTGTTCGCGCCATCCTCTGGCACGGGTTGAAGACAAATCTACTCCGTAGGAAGAGCGTAGTCTATTATGTCATCACTCAAGGCCGGCGACTGGCAATGATATCTCGGTACGAGCTGCGCCGAGGCATTGAGCATGTAATCTAATCAGATCTTACGGCACACGAAGCTACTTGCTTATATAGGTTCTTTTGCATCCTGCCTGAGGAAGTGCATTCGAGGAGCTTGGATCTGAAGGCCACATTCATCTTCGTAGAGAATGTGAAATGTTGACCGTGGCCCTTCTTCCCGTGTCTTGGGACGTCGGTGCATGATAGACTGTGAATATCTTCAGCACCGATAGAGACAAGACACAGACGCCCTAGGTTCCTACAAAAGCTCCAGACGGACATTGCAGTCGCGCCTTGCCGGATTGTCAAGGGTCTACAAGTCACAGAACTACACACTTACTATCCGTAAACATGTTGGTTTCCCAGAGCCAATATGTTCCCCAAGTAGTATCGACAACCCGTGGACTTAAGGGGGTGGTATATCAAATATAGGCAAGACAATTGGATATCACCTTTGTCCAATATACTCGTCAGATCCTCTACAACCCAAGATCCCATAGCCCATGCATGGACAAGACACAGGACCACCAACCCATGCCAAGAACGTGACGTGCTCGCCCGGGCCTTCCATCCTAGAAAGGCGGAAAGAGAGAGAAGAAAAGGTGGAAGAAAATAGAAAACCCAAGCCTAGAAAGGCACCCATCATTAATATCGTAAGACGTACAACAAAACTTGGAACACGAAGAGGCATCCCACCCCCAAGCCTCGTCCCACACAGCACACTTGAATCCGGAAACAAACACCGGACAGGTCTTCAATGCATTCTACCCACAAGTCTTCACTCTTTCAACTCTTCAAGAACAAGTCCTCACCCATTCCGGAAGTGATCTCTCCCCTACCGAACGCCTCCCCACCGGCCCCTCGCCGCCGCGGACCCGTCGAGCGCGAGGCGCCGCCCAATGTTGCCAAAGCACACGCAGCTGCAGAACAGCACGCTGAGCATCCAGATCCCCGCCTCGATCGTCTCGTGGTGGTGCCGCGCCAGCCCGCCGGCCCCCGTCTCGGAAGCCGCCGCGCCGCCGCCGCCGCCGCCGCGCGAGCCGTTGGAGCGGAGGCCCATGGCGGCGGCGGCGGCGGCGGCGTCGTCGTCGTAGTACGCGGCCCCGGCCCCCGCCGCCGCCGGCGTGGGCATCATGGCCGGGTTGAGGCCCAGCAGGAGGGACGAGCCCGTCAGGCCGACGGTGGCGGCGAGCATGAACCCGGACTTGGACCGGTCGATCAGGTACCACAGGAAGGGGTTGACGAGGGCGAGCGTCAGGGAGACCTGCATCGTCGACGCCCAGGGCAGTTTGCGCTGTGTGAAAAGCCGGGGGTTGTTAGTAAACATATAGTCTGCAAGGTGGTTTGGGACTGACTGTGCTTTTGTTTTTGCAAAAAAGTCAGCAGTCGTACGTACAATGGCAAAGACAATGCCGGCAAAAGCGCCAATGCCGCGGATGACGAGCGCCCAGTCCGTGCTGGGGCTCGTGCCTTTGTCCTCCTCTTCCTCCTCCTCCTCCTCATCATCATCATCATCCTCTTCGTCCTCATCGTCGGCACCATCACCACCGCCCACAACCGCCGCCTCCCGCGCCCGCGCCGCTCGCGCCCTCGCCCGGCTGCCCTTGCCAAACATCTCGTCCCAGACCGTGTCGAACCACGGCAGCAGCGCGCCGAGCACCACGCCCGCGACGCCCCAGAACAGCAGGTACTTCCACTCGAGCCCGGGGTTCGCGATGCTGCTGCCGCCGCCGCTCTCGGAGGCACCGCTGCCGCCGCCGCCACCCAGGCCCGTCAGCTTGTGCCGGTCGTGCAGCCGCGACACGAAGAGGCCGTACCCCGTCCCGAGGCCGAACAGCAGCGCCGCCCGCGCCGCCAGCGACAGCGCGAGCCGCCACCCCGCGACCCCCGGCGCGCGGCCCCTCCCCTCGAGGGGCATCCTGGCGGCGCCGTTGCTCTGCGTCGACCGGCGCCGCAGGAGGAGCTTGCTCCGGCCCTTCATGAGCGCGAACGTCGGCGCGTCGACGCCGGCGGTGCGCTTGAGGGGGGATTCGGCGCCGGTGCCCCAGGGCGTGCCCGGCTCGGAGCGGTCGGCGCCGCCAGCCCCGGTGCCGGTGCCAGTGCCGGTGCTGTAGTACCCGCTCGAGCCGTGGCCCGCCGTCGACAGCGTCGTGGGGCTGTAGATGCCGAAGAGGGTCGAGGCCGTCAGGTTCATGATGGACTGGGCGCGGCTGAGGGAGCCGCTGCCGCCGCCGCCGCCGCCCTGCTGGTCGGCACCGGCGAGGCTGCCGGAGGAGGCGTCGCGGGGCCGGTTGGGGTCGAGGAAGGTGGCTCGGAGCAGGCGGATGTCGTTGGGGTTGGGGCTGGGCGGCGCGGAGGCGTCGTCGTCTTCTTCGGGAGGAGGGGTAGGGCCGGCGACGTTCAGGTCGAACGGACGGCGGGGGATCGGCCGAATGATCGGCGGGCTGTCGTCGGAGGACATGTTGGGGTCTGTCTGTGAGAGAGTGCCGTGGTTGCGAGAGAGGAAAGGCTTCTCTGGCTTTGCGGCCTGGTGATGTTGCGGAAAGGATGTGTCGCAGTGCTGGGCGGTTGTGTATGACCGTATGGCTCAAGGGTTAGATATCGCCCCCATGAATGATCAATTTGTGTTCGACCTTCACCGGAAGCCACGCGAACAGCCCGAGAGAGTGTGAATGCTGTGGTTGATAGGTGGAAACACTCGTTGCAGACTTGTTGGGAGGTCGAGCGCTGCGGCTGGAGGCGTGAAATCAAGGGACTGTCGACTCTTCTACTCTGCAACACAAACAAGACAAGCTACCGCCTGTAAAGAGGGGAAAACAAAAACAATGTCGAAATAGCCAAGAGCAAGCAGGCCGAGGATTGCGAGAAGAAATCTAAGGTTCAAGACAGAATTCAGACTGGGGGATGGGGTTGGTCTATTATTAGGCAGACAGGGCTGATTGTTTAAAGGTAGCGAGCGCTTGTTCTCTTCGTTCCGATGTCCGCTACCCCAGCTTGAGGGTGTGGCCTTGAGGGCTTGCAGCTCAACGCCTGCTGCGAGTCTACGGAGGATTGTTCATTGATACATTGATACATGCATGGATGCATATGCATGTTGCGACCTGGCTCCATTCGTGCACATACTTTGTACGCAAATCCTTTCCTACGGAGTAACTACATATCCCATTTGACCCCTCCTCCTCCCTCTGATGCAGTGCAGTGAGCAGCAGAGCTGGTTGTCGCGAATCCCTGCACACACCAAGCCAAGAGTCCTTCGCCAATTCCCGCTCTCTCTCTCTCTCTCTCTCTCTCTCTCTCGTATTGGCCGGCCCTTTCTGAGGCACTGGCATGCATGCGAAGACATGGGGCCAGACTGTGGAACCCCCCAACATTGGCAACATTGGGAGAGCGAAGACGAAGACCTGGCGAGCCTGGGCAGCCATTTTTTTTTGCATGTGGGACATGCGCCAATGCCTGCGACCAAGACCAAGACGGCACGTTACAAGTCATGTACTTACCTTGCCGTGGGTAGGCCTTTTGGCTTTCTTCATGTTTGCTTTCTTATTCAGACCCTCCTTGGGGACTCAATACCCCTAGCTCGCTTCCCCCCCGCCGCATACATACCTGGCTGGTCTTTCACATGCTTCACCGAACCCAGAGCTAATAACCTACTTGGCCTCGATGAAATGCGGGCGGGAAAGCCTCGAGGCGCTCCTAGCTGGCCGGCAGTCTTGTCCATGGTGCAACGAAGCAAGCATCCACATCTCTCCGGCCTCTCCATCTCGTCCAGCTAAAGGGGGGTCCAAGTACGCCCAAGCCGTTGCGAATGGCGAATGGCGGAAGGCGATCGGCCCTCTTAGCTTCCCCTTCTGGGCCCCTGGCACGACACTCGAGACGACCAGTGGCTTTCTGTGCGCAGTTTAACTACACTTTTTTCGTCCATGTGACTGACAAGGGTTGCGTTTTTGCCTGGATCCCAACAGGTCCTGGGCCAAGAGGAGGGGAGAGAAGGAGGGGGGAGAAAGCAGAAACAATCCAGACCAAAAGCGCGAATTAGAAAATCCATGATTGGTTGCTTCTCCGGCGCGCCCCCGCGATAATTGCAATGAGACATCACTCGTCCATTTGGGCAAGCCCAGTGGATGTTGTGACACGGCGAGAATGACAAGTCTGTGCCTCGAGGAGATGCCAACAGACCTGCTGATGCAGTACAGTGCCCGAAAAGGGCATAGATGCGCCCACACAAAACTGCTGCACAACACACCTTTGCGCAGGGGAGTCTAGCAAGGATACTGTCTACTTGTACAGTACATAAGTACCTAACTATAGGTAGCTGCAGCGGCCAACGGATCAAGCCATCAACTGATGGAAGGCTAGGTACTATCCGATGCCGTCGCATTCCTGGCTACAACCATGTCATTCCTTGCCAGCAGTTGGAGTAGGTACTCGCAGACTCTTTCACGTTCATCAGGCCGAATCTGGATGCCAACTTCGCATTCTGTCATTATTTTCGACTGATCGAGACTACAAGTAGCAAGAGACAAACAGCTGTCTATCTCAAGCATACCTTCCTTCCCGCAAATCCAACATACGGAGTACACTGCACTACTCCTCTCTCGGGACTGCAGCTCAATCATCCCCTTCGCTGTCCGAATCCGAATCCTCTTCTTCCTCCAACTCGTCCTCGCTCTCCTCCAGGCCTTCGGGTCGGGGTATCATGACAAACGCCGCTACGCATGTGATTCTGTTGTGGGTCTCGTAGGTGCCCAGCCGCTTTCCAACCTGCCTGCCTGCCGTGTCCTTGCCAGCAGGCCTCAGATCCGACTCCGCGACCTTCCACAGCCGGACCTTGCCGTCGCTGCACCCGGCAACAACGATCCATGCCCTCGCAGCCTTGTCTTGCGCGATGGGCAGGACGGCAAAGTCCTTGATCCTGCCCTCGACGCCGTGCTCCTTGCCTCCGAGCTGTGATATGAATGTAGCTGTAGGGAGAGACGAGTCCTTCTTCTCCTTGTCGCCAGTCGTCTCTTCCGGCTTCGTAGAGAAGAACATGATACGTCCGTCCTCCGTCGACACGGCGAGCACCTCCGACTCGCCCTCGTCGTCTACCGCCACAAAGGCCAGCTCGTGCACCTTGGTCCTGGAATCCGGCATCACCTTGCACCGAGGCGTGCAGTCCATGCCAAAGACCAGGATGTTGCGGTCGAACCCGACCGCGAACTCGTCGGCGTTGCCCCAGACCACCTTTCTGCCCTCGCCCGTCGAGTGCTTCCCCTCGCCAATGTCCTGCAGGATGTCCCGCGAGAAGTTGAGCACGCCGGCCTTCTTGCCCGTGACCAGGTTCCACAGGCGCATCGACCTCTCGCCCTTGCTCACGCTGATCATGACCTTCATGCTCGGGTCGATCGCGAAGTCGTTGATCCCGGACGGCGTCCCGCCCATCGGCGCCGTGTCACCGCTCGGCCGGCCCTGCACCTTGGGCTTCGGCGCCTTGATGGTGGACAGCAGCGACCAGTCTCTTGACCTTGTCACCGCTATCGTAGAGTCTTCAGACGCCGAGAGGAGTTTTGACCGGGTCGGGAAGGCCAGTTTGGTGACTGTGGAAGAATGGTGCATCAACGTGCCGACCTCTCGGTTCTTTGAGTTCTCCAGGATGGGACGCGAAGCGACGGACGAAAGTACATCTTGTGCCTGGCTCTTCTTCGGGGGGTGGGCAGATATGCTGTAGACATTGATCCTCTCGTCCGTGCTCCCCGTCGCAAGCATCACCTTTTGCGACTGGGTGGCAGAAGGTGCGGAAGGCGGCGACAGGGCCACGCATCGGATGGCAGAGTTGTGCGCATTGAACAAGAACGTATCGGCAAACTTGGCGTCTCCCTTGGTAGGAATCGTAGCAGTAAATCCATGGAGCACTCGGTCGTAAGATCCGGTGACAATCTGGACTGTCAACGTCGAGTCGGGCGACGCAGGGACGACCACATCCTCCGTCTTGGATTTCTTGGTCGACTGTGTCTCGGCCTTCTCGACACGAGCAGGAGTGTCTCTCTTTCTCTTCGCCGCCATCTCGATTCGGTTTGCTAAGGTGTCCTTCAACAAGGTAGGTTTGTAGAGTGGTTACAGAGCCGGGTGCCTGTGGTGGTCCTCAAATTTTTGGAGCGCAGCCTTCAATCCCAACTTTTTCCTTATCACTGTCTTATCGTAATCTTATCTTATCTGTCTTTTGTAAATCGAGGACTGGAACATCAAGGATGGAAGATCGTCAGGCATCTGTTTTCACCAATTACAATAAATAATACACAGGTTGGAATAACAGGATCAAGTTCGAGGAGTGTGGTTGGTTGGAGGGGTATTATTGTTTCGCGATCAAACGCATTTCGCGGGTATGCTACAAAGGTTCTTCGTGCCATCCCATCCCATCTCGTCGTGATGTATATCTCCACTCAATACTTCTCCAGCGATGATCTCTTAAATCACCGAAACTGCCATCAGCGCTGAAAGAGTTCATGTACTATACATACATTTCGTGGAACCCAAAATAGCTGCCAATGTGCGCCAAGTTCATCGTCCCACGCACGTCCCAAGCAAAATTCAGAAGACTATTTGGCAGCAGGGGTTGCACCAGCACTCGCCTGCCTCTGGTGCTGCGAGGCTTGCTGAGCAGCGGCAGCCGCCGCCTGTTGGGCCTGCTGCTGAGCAATCAGTCGAGCAGCATACTGGTGCGGGCTATTGCTTGGCATCCCATTCACAAGCGCTTGCTGAGACGCGCCTCCCGCTGCTGCCTGCATGGCGTTGGCACGCTGCATGATAATCATGTTCCTGTACCCATTCTCCACGAGAGTTTTCAACTGTTCCGGTGGCATGTTCGGGTTCTTCGCCTTGACCGACGCTTCGAAGTCGCGGAAGTGCTGAATAACGGCGGGTGAGACCTGTTGCAGTTGAGGCATGTGTGCGCGGGGGGAGCCGGCCGGGAGGGTGGGCATAGAGAGCCCGGTGCCTGCGGGCGGCGTAGCCATTCCATTACCGTTGGCGGCGGCAGCATTGGCGTTCATCTGGGCGAGCATAGCTTGCGCGTTAGCCATGTATTTTTGCTGATTGACGTTGTTCATAACAGGTCGCATGTTTGGGGTTGGTGAGCCTTGGCTGCCAGGGGTACCGGGTGCGACTTGCTGTTGCTGCTGCTGTTGTGCTTGGTGTTGTTGTTGTTGTTGCTGCTGCTGCTGCTGCTGCTGGCCTTGGGACTGTTGAGGCTGTGAGACCTGTTGTTGTGCCTGTTGCTGTTGCTGAGGCGGGTGCTGTTGCTGCGCTTGTTGCATCTGAACCGTCTGTCGCTGCTGGTCCTGTATGCGGCGTGCTTGCATCATGAGGCCGAGGTCGGCCTGGCTCGGCATCTGCATCCTTTGTTGCTGCTGCAATGCCTGCAACTGAGCCTGGGTAGGCATGCCATTCATTGGCATCGGCGGGACCAAGCCACCTGGCATGTGACCTGGTTGCACACCCGGCATGCCGTTGACAGGCACCTGCATCGGCATGCGGGGCCGGGCCTGTCCGGGCATCTGCATTTGACCAGTGCCATTGACTCGCGCCGCGTTAGCAAGAGAGTTCGCCGCTGCCATCTGGGCAGCCACCTGCGGAGGAACCGGAGTCGCGCTGCCCTGAGCAGCGGCGACTTGGCCTTGGGCTCGAGCTGCTAGTGCCTGATGATTTACACCGTCAGTATCCTGTGGCTTGCAAAAGCAAATATCATGAGGGCAAGCGAAAAGAAAACCTACTCTTCGCTGTTGCTCTTGCTGCCGCTGCGCGTACTGAGCCATCTTTTCAGCGAGCTGCTGGTCTCGTTCCCACCTCATCAAGCTGTAGTCCCTGGGTGTCTTGCTCGGTCCTCGTTGGGCTGGAGGTTCGTTTTGTTTGCGCATAGCCGCAAGGTTGGCAGCGTGCTGTTGCTTCTGTAGTGTCGTTTCGCGCTTCTTAGCCAGCTTCCTCATCGAGTCAATCAAAGCGAGATGCTTCTGGTTTCTGCGCCTTTCCACCCGCATAGTGGTCGTGGGCCGTCGACGCGGTACAGGTGTGACAGCCCCATTCGCGGCGCCCTGTTGCTGAGCCTTCTGGTTTTGCTCCATGATGACCCTCTGTGCGGTGTCAATCCGGTTCTGGTAGGTCTTGAAATACTGCGTCTTGGCCATATCATTGGGCAGACCCTCGAGATGGACCCATCTCTCAAAGCACTCCCACGGGGTTCGTCGTTCCGGCCCAGACACGAACATCGATTTAGTGGACAGGATGCTCGAGATCAGGGACCAATTGTACGAATGCTCACGGACGAGTGCTTTGAGATCATCGTCCTCGGCCATCGTCCACTGGGAGGCATAGCGGCATTCGTAGAAGCTCTGCAATGGCATGCCATGTTCTGCAGGAGGTCGGAATTGATGCCCTGCGTGGAGTCTGTCGCGGATTGGCTTCATTTCGGGATTGAACAGAGCGACATCCTGATTCTCGCGATCAAGTTGGGGTGGCCGATCTGACATCCCATAGACGACTTCATCCTCGCCATCTTCATCTTCTGCCTCGTATTGATATCTCCCTCTCCTGCGCGGAGGATTGCTTGGGGCGAGTACCATCCGTCCTTCCACATACTTGCTGAGGGGGAGAGCAGGGCGGCGCCAATGAGCATCAGGATCGACTTCGGGACCTGTAATGTCGAACACGGGAGCTTTCAGAGGCGTTCCATATAAAGGCAGCTCGTCAAGCAGGCGATCAGTAGCCGGAGTCCTTTGAAGACCAAACACAACCTCATCATCCTGCATTGCGAAGATGGCAGCCGGTGCGATCGTCTCGGGTAGTTGATCCCTTTGCTCATCCATCGATGCCGCTGGTGAGTCCGAATCGCCAGAGGGGATCAGATCTGGCGTAGGCGCCGCCGAAGCATCCCCAGCCTGGCCATCGGCATCTTTCATCGCAATGTCATCGACAGCAACATCGGGCAGAGGTGGAATGATGGCATTGACCTGTAAGGCTTTACGACGTGCGGGATCGGAGGCGACCCACTCTGCGCAGCAAAGCGCAAGATTTCGGGCAACAGTCCTTTTCCACTTCCGCTCTTGCCTGAAGTCCGTCCTCATCCATTTCATTTCCTGCAGTAGCACGTCCCAATGCGAGGGATTCCTTGCTGGCTCCAGACATCTCTTTGGTTGGCGCAGAGACCATTTGTCCTGTTGCTGTAGGTGATAGACACGCCGCAACACTCTGCAAGCTTGTTGCTCCAAAATAGACGTGTAGGAGTCGGGGGTAGAGATGGTCTTGTGCGCGTTCTTCAGCAATTCTTCAACTGGCTTCATCCATTTGGAGTGTTGCGCAAAGCCCTGGATAAACAACGTTGTGAAATAGTCATCAGTTGGCAGGCGTCCATTTTGAGCCTGAGCTGTGACGATGGACTTATCGCCTGGCATGACATGCGGTGTTGGCGTCTTGCCGAACACAACTGTGGGGTGTGACCCTTTGACCCTCTTGTGCCTGTTCTTGACGGGAAGCGCTATGGATGCTCGAGAATCGTCCAACATGGCCTCAGCAACACCTTCGGTAGCCGTAGCTGGCGTTGGGGGCAATGTGGTGTGTGAAGATTTGGCGTCCCGCTCAGCAGGCATCTGTTGAGCGGTGGTCGGGGAGTGCGGTGCAGCATCAGTAGCTTCCGTCGGTTTGTCAATGTCCATAGAATCAATAGGTGATTCGTGCTGGCTGTCTGGTATTTCTACTGCTGGAGGCCCCTCGGTGGCAGCTTGTACTCTCGGTTCGGTAGAACCATGGTTCTCTGTAAATGTGCTCTCGACACTGGATGGTTGTACCACCGAATCTGAGCGCACGCCATTGGTCAAGGCGCGAGAGTCGCCCAACGGGAGAGAGCCAGCTGCGCCTTCAGGTTCAGTGCTCTTGGCAGCGGCTGATTCCAAGAGAAGCTGTGCTTCAACACCACCCTCAACGGCAGCTATTTCTGTTGCAGGAGCATTGGATAAGTTTTGAGACAAGGGTCCCTTCGGAACCGCCTGTTGAGTCGGTGTTTGAAGCGATCGATCACTGTCAGGCTCAGACTCTGGTTGATCCTTTTCTTCATAGTGAGATCCCTCGTGGTCAGGGCTGGTATCGGTCGATGCTCCCTGGACAGTAGGCGTTCCAACCGTCTGTGCCGTAGAGCCGGGCGAGGACAATACTTCCACAGCCTTTGATCCTTCTCCCGGTGCCAAGCGACCAGCTGCCCTTTCTGCTTCGGTATGTTGCATCAATGTGCGGTCTTTATCGACCTCCATTGACGTCGGGGGTGGTGTGTGAGCATCAACAGCTCGCGTCATTGTTTGTACCGGCTCATTATTGCTGTCCAAGCTCTTCTGTGTGGCAACTTCATTTGTCTTGACCGAAGCAGCTGCTGAAGGCTCTCCAGCCTGTTCTGGCGGCAGGTCGGCATTGGGCTTCCCGGGAATGCCATTGAGCCCCAAGGGCTCGGATGCAGGAGGCGAGGGGATCGAAGACGGGTGAGACTGGGATTCCGTGGTCCGGGCTGGGCTGTCTAGAGGCTTTGAAGCATTCTGAGGTCGGGACGCGGAACTGTCTGCAACTCCAGAAGCAGAGACGGTCGCAGGTTGTGAAGGAATGCCTTGAGAATCGGGTGTCGAAACTTGGGCCGCAGTTTCGCGGTCGACGCCATTTTCCAAGCCCTTCGCCCCGCCATGGCTGGATGCCTTCGCTTCTGCTGCGCTTCCCACACTAGCTTTAAGTCGTTTGAGGGTTTCTAGACGAAGCGGTGCACGGGTAGGGATAGCATTCTCGTTCAATGTGCGGCCCCTACATACAAGGTCAGCGATATATAGCGTCAAATGGGCATAACGCGTCGCGAATGCATCGCGGCGGGTTCAGAGGTTGTTGCTAGAACATACTGTAATATATCGCAGTCGATTAAAAATTGCGACTCGGCGGGTGTGGTCGGCGGCGCGTCTGGGTCCTTGAAGTTGTAGTTTGGAACGCCATCCACCACGCTCGCGACAGCGAACAGTTCGCGAAGCTTCCTCTTTCGGGAGGTCACAATTGCGCTGCGCATCGTCAATACCACAATACCCATATCAAAATGATCGGAAAAATTCGCTCTATCGATTGAGATAGGACTTACCTGCATTCTGCCCGCTTTGATCGCAGCAGCATTGAGCAGTCGGCGGGCCCGACCTCAGTCATGTCATCGGCGACCGCAACATCCGTTTTTTATCAAAACGGATGTTGCAAAGAGCTGAATAGTCCAACCCAAGACACTCGAGGACAAAAAAATCGATGCAAATGATCGTGTTGGGTTGGAGTAATTGATTTTGTATTTCGTCGACGTGCTGGATGCGACCGCCCAAATTTTCACCAGTTGGCCGATTATGGTGGTTTTACACTGGAGAGTCGGGTTATCAGAGCTATCAGCGCAAGAGATAGCGGTGCGCCCGGCCAAGGTGTGTCTGGTGGGCTTTCTTTGATAATGCTGGAGTGAAGGATGGTGGATGGGTACACCATGTTGCTTTGGACTCGACGGGCACAACCAACAAAAAGCCTGCACGCTTGCCTATTAGCCTGCAGGGGGGGGGGAAGGAGGGGTGAAAAGGGGGAAAGGAGGAATTGATTTGGTAAGGAATGAGTCGGAGCCCACTTTTCAGTTGGGTTTAGTGGTGTCTTTTAGGGGCCCACTAGTCGACTAAGGCTTTGTTCAGCCACCTGTTCTTTCTCATTACAGCGCTGGGAAGGTGCAGAACGCGCTATCATTCCACTGAATAGTGTCTTGAATCAGAGACCTTGCGGGCCTGTAAGCGACCACCTCGAGTGGAAAAATCATGACCACCCAGACTCGTAACCACCTCACGCTAGATGCTTGCACTTACCTTATGTAAGCGGAATGATGCACGAGCCACCACCCATGACCCACAAGTGCCTCGACACTGGGGCAGCTTTTCTCAGTGCTGCCTGATTCTTATCAACACGTGCTTGCGCTTGTTCCTGCCTGTCTTGGCTTCAATCAAATGTTCTGTTATCAATCTCAGATAACATGTACCACAGTCGCTTTGTGAGATGAGATTCTCCACCATTATCGACTCAGCATACAACAGCATACAACGTTGAAGAATCGGAAGTTTTGAAGTCACCTACAGGGCTTTTGCGACCGTTTCTGCAGGACCTCGAGGTCATGTCTGGATCAGGCGCATCAAGCGGTGCCCGGATTGCCATTAAATTTGGCACACCAACCTCTGACCCTTCGAAAAGGCCCTCCAGGCCACCACCGCCCTCTGCGCTCGGCAAGCGCCCGCGACAACATCATGCACTCGACGGTGACTCGGAATCCGAGGAAGAGGAGAACGAGCATGGCCGTCACGAGAAGATAACTGGTTTCGGCGAGAACGGCTCAGAAACAGACAACGGGCATCGCGACGGACGTCGCAATACAAACAAAGTTCTCATCATTGAGCGGCAAGAGAATCGAGACTGGCGCTCGGAAGCCAGGGCGCGCAGGGATGGTCGCAATCATCGCCGAAAACCGTCGCCGGAGAAAGGAAACGGGGCACATAAGGAAGTGGACGTGGCCGACCAAGACAAGCTTTTACATTGGGGTCTAACTGTGAAGAAGAAGTCGCCACCCAGAGATGATGTTCGGGATCAGGTTGTCAATGGAGCCCAGGCGCCTGTGCAAGATGGACAACCCTCGCCCAAATCTAACGACTATGCCGACGACCCAACAGCCGATCCGGATCGCGAGGCCATGGATGCCCTCCTTGGCAAGTCTAGCGAAAAGCCCACAAAGGACTTGGTGATCGAACGAAGTGGAAACGAGAACACTGAAGACAGTGTTTTCCGTCGAGATTTCAGGGATGCTCCAGATGAGTCTACGCTCGACGACTACGAGGCTATGCCTGTGGAAGAGTTTGGGGCCGCCTTGCTACGTGGTATGGGATGGGATGGCAAGCCCAGGGGCCCCAAGCCCAAGGAAGTCAAACGGCGAGCGAACCAGCTCGGGCTGGGTGCAAAAGAGCTCAAGGGGAATGAGGATCTCGGGGCCTGGAATCAGAAAGGCGGCAGCAAGTCTAGACCAAGGCTCAACGACTACAAACGAGAAGAAGAGAAACGGCGTGAGAGGAGGGATGAGAGATATCACGACAGCTACAAACGTGAACGGGAAAGGGAGCGAGCTTCAGAACGAGACCGTTACAGGCATCGGGATAGACATCATTGAGACTTAGGAATTAGGGTGGCTTGGTCATGGGCAGGGCCTGCTGCTACTGACTAGACGGAACTATATTGGCCTCTCAAATATCTATATTGAGATACGCTTTTGTGAGTATATGGATGAAGCGTCAGCATGGCATCGTGCCAGGAATAACAGGATATGGGATGGAGGGCCGAAATCACATCTATGATTCCAGGTTCTGGGATACAGCCAGCCTCACGGCGCTTTGACATCACCAGCATAGTCGCCGATTACAGAATCGACATTGACACTAGGCAAAATGACAACCTGGTTCTCAGATGTAACGTTCAAAACCACGACGACCCACACCTTCCGATGCTTTTTCGAGAAGACGAATGTCTGCACATTCTCAGCTTGAAAGACCTCGATGGATGAAGAGATCACCCTTGTCTTTCCGCCGGTTGATCATGCTCTCCCAAAAGCTCAGATCGAATTCGTCTCCCTCTCTTGCTTGGGGACAGTGACTTCACAGTGGTGATAGTATATTTGCGTCCAAAGCCGCTGCACCTGTCACTGCATCCTGCATGGGAATTTCATCCCTTGCATGGGCATCGTAGCGTTGTCTTGGTCAAGGGTTGCAGCCAACAAGGCGGTCTTTGTGCAAGTTGAGCGACTCGGCGTCCTTGAGCTCGTCTATTGACCACTATCTGGACTCGTTGCTCAGGCCTGGTCCCTGGCCTTGGAGATTGCAATAGGCTCCTGCCATGTGCTGGTCATCATTGCAAGTAGTGTGGCGGACAGGGCGTTGTCAACTGGGATATCTGATGTGACCATTGGACCTGGATGATTGTGGTCTTAATTTTGCAGGATCCAGTGGTGTAGCCAGTTGGTGACGTTGGAGGTACCTTTGCCATCATTGTGGTATTGAGGGAGGGCTCCCACTTGAGGTTGTTCCTAGAAGGCCTGGACTGCACCCGATGGTGCCCTCCATGTTCGCTACCGCACCATAGGGTGCGTATACCCGTTCATAGTGGGAGATTTAATCCTATATAAACCCGAGATCTTACAGCTAGTCGGCTCTTCCCTCTTCACTCGATACCACTTCCCGGAATACGTGTAGCATAATCAGGCGATAACACCGAGAAGGTAGTGAAATGTCATATATATCTCATCGAATCTATTTTGGGCAATTTATTTATAGTCATTGCGGCGGTTGAAGGAGAGAAATCAGTTGACTTTTGTAAAGGTAATTGCTGCAAGACCACGAGTGTGTTTTGCAAACCACTTCGAGTAAAATTCCGGAGATATATCTCAAAAGCACAACTTAATCTACCTAGATCCTATCCTGGTGAACACAAGATAAATCTCTTGCAACATGTCTTAGTAATGATAAGGACACAGTATCGTGGTTTATATGATCTGCTCATAATATTCAAGAAAGGATAATCCATTATATTGAATAATGCATTCATCGTGGAGTATTTCATGATTACAACCCACCATGGCTAGGAAAGCATACATTACAAACTACAGAATACATGCACACGAGGTGATGAGTCTGCTTATTGTTCATCTGCAGCTGTACTTACACATTGTGAATGATTATGACCTTCCAGGCCTTGATTGCATGGACTCTCTTCAATCGCACATGTGACAACACCGTAAAGAACTCGGTTGGAAGAGTACCTAGTTCCTAGAATGCATTTACTGTCTACCTTACTGAGCATTCCACAAGCTAGACTGACGGTTGAAACTCAGTTTGGCGTTGATCATTTCGCAAAACCACCTCTGCCTACCTGCGCAAGTAATCATGGTTACCAGAAAGCATCTAGCTGTGAATATGCTCAATGGATTCTTTACGGGAGTACTTGTAGAGGCGCAGCATGGAGTACAGCGGGGACTTGAGGTGGTTGAAGGACCCACACTGATGTCTGTACTCCGTAGTGGGCGCTGGGATGCCGGGGATGGCTGTGGTTGGTGCGTGGATTTGCTGTCCAAGCTTCTGTAGTGACTCCATACCTCCATCTATGGAGGCCTGACCAACTCCCACCAACCAGGCCATTTTCTGCGACACCAACCAAATCACCACTGGGAGAAGCTGGAGCTTCGTCATCAGCTGTCTCGTGCTGCATCTCCTTCGCGCGTCCACTTCCACTTGTTTGATACTTTTATTTACCTTACCTTTGGGTAGACCTATCTTTGTGCGTCTGATTGCATTTCTCTCCTTCGCCGCTGAGGAGCTCGGGCTCCATCAATCATCCCCATCGCCTCGGAACGGCCAAGGTGTCATCCTCGTAATCCCTCACCATGTATTCCGGCTCCAACTCCTATATGGGTGGCAACAGCCTCCGGCCCGGACCCCAGCAGTATGGAAGCTCGTTTGGCCCAGGAGCTGGGCAGCAGCAGCCTCAACAGCAGCAACCCAGCCCATTCGCTCCCCAGCCGACGGGGTTCGGGCAGGCCCCTCTGCAGCAGCAGTTCACCGGCTACCCGGGCATGCAACAGCCTCAGCCGACAGGCATGCAGCAACCGCAGGCTCAGGGCCAGTTGCAGCCCCAATACACCGGCTTCCCCGGGCAGGCGCCTCAACAGCAGAGCTTCCAGACGGGTGCCCCTCCGATGCCCCCTATTCCCCAGCAGTTCCAGTCGCAGTTCCAGCAGCAGCAGGCACAGAAGTCGCCGAGCCCTTTCGCACCCGCCTCGGGCCCGTCGCAAGCACCTCCTGCGCCGCCCATGAAGCCGCAGCCGACCGGCTTCACTGAGATGGCTGCTTCCTTCCACACGGGCGCAGCCTCGAAGCCCCAAGAACCCGCCGCACGCAAATCCACCAACAAGATCCCCAACATTCGGCTCTCGTTCATCAATGCCGGAGACCAATCCAAGTTCGAGTCTCTCTTCAAGTCTGCGGTGGGCGATGGGCAGACGACCATGTCTGGAGAGAAGGCGAGGGACCTGCTGCTCACCTCCCGGCTCGATGGGGATGCGCTCTCCCACATCTGGTGCGTAGTTAATAGCATGACCCCCGTGGACCTACACTCTTCTGACTTGAATATATTTTAGGACATTAGCGGATACTACGAGATCTGGCCAGCTGCACTTCCCCGAGTTTGCCCTCGCCATGTATTTATGCAACCTCAAGCGCACGGGCAAGTCGCTGCCTCCAACACTACCTGAAAACATCAAGAACGAGGTGTCGAGCATGGTGGACATTATCAACTTTAGTGTTGTTGAGGATGCTTCGGGCGGCCCTAGTTCACCGGCTGGCAATGCCCCTGACTTCACGCGCCAGAATACGGCAACACCTCCGACTATCCAGCACCCGCAGCCCCAGCAGTCTAACTCGCAGCTTCTGCAGACACAGATGACTGGGTTTCCGCAACAACAGACCGGTTTCATGGGCCAATCCCAAGGCTTGCAGTCTCAGCCGACTGGCTTTGCTGGCATGCAGAACCCACAAGCCGCTGGTTATTCCGGACCTCGCCCACCTATGCCACCAATGCCCACGGGATTCGGTTCAAACCTCGGGCCTAACAGTGGCGGCATGGCTGCGCCGCTCAATGCTCAACCAACGGGAAGGCCGGGACAATGGGGACTGGTCAACACTCCCTCTACCGGACTGCCCAACATTGATGCGCTTCAGGCCCGTATGATGCCACAGACAGGCCGAGAGCAGGGTAGTTTTACCACTTCTGGCCTGCAGGGCAATGCAGTCATTCCCTGGGCCATCACCAAAGATGAAAAGACCAGATATGACTCGCTTTTCAGAGCATGGGACGGGATGGGCAAAGGCTATATCGCTGGCAGCCAAGCTATTGAGATCTTGGGCCAGAGTGGCCTGGAAAAGTCTGATCTTGAGCGCGTCTGGACTTTGGCCGACAATGGCAACAAGGGCCGACTCGATCTCGATGAATTCGCCGTGGCCATGCATCTGATCTACCGAAAGCTGAATGGCTACCCCATCCCAGCGCGGCTCCCTCCCGAGCTGGTCCCACCTTCAACGAGGAACTTCAATGAATCCATCGGCACGATCAAGAACATGCTTTCTCAGGAGTCTGACTTTAGAAAGAACTCTGGGGCTGCTCTGCTTCCCCAGAAGACTGGCGTGAGCTACCTGAAGAGCCACTCCTTCAGAGGAGCTGGCGCAGGTGCGGCAGGTGGTCGAAAAGATGCTACAGTCTACAAGAACAATGATGAGGCTGTTGGATACCGATCTAGTGCCCGCCGTAGAGTTGGAGGTGGCTCACCTCGACCCGATTCTCCGGCTTCTGTTACCTCCAATGATGAGCTCACTCTGGACCAGCTGAGGAAGAAGATTAAGGAAAAACAGGTTCTATTGGACGCAATGGACTTCAAGGATGAGAAGGACGCAGAAGAGGATGACATGCTTGACAGGCGCGACCGTCGCGAGGCTGACGAGCTCTACCGTCGCATCAGGAGAATTCAGGAGGATATCGATTCTCACCCGGATGCCGCCCTCATCAGTGGAGACTCTGATGCTGAGCGCCGAGCACTCAAACGCCAGCTTCAGAACCTCACTGACAAGATCCCTGAGCTCGCCTCTCAGGTTAGGAAGACCGAGAAGGCCATTGCCGAGGCCAGGCTGGAGCTTTTCCGGCTCAAGGATGCCAAGGCGCACCCTAACAGCGCTTCTGCCATTGTCGGAACTGGTCCTGGTGGTGTAGTGACCGAATCTGATCGGGTCAAGGCACGCGCCAAAGCTATGATGCAGCAGCGAACTGCGGCGCTTACCGGCAAGAAGATCGATACCAGCCTTGACGATGCAGACGCCCCGAAGCGACTGGAGGAGGAGAACATCAAGATCCGGACCGAAAAGGAGAACAACGAACGCATGGTCAGGGACGTCGAAGACAGTGTGCGAGACTTTGCGCGCGGTATTGAAGACAGCTTGAAGGAAGGCGGACAGAGCTCGTCAAATGAGCACGAGCGACGGAGATGGGAGGATGCTCTGGGTGTGGAGGACGACGTGAGAGATTTCATCTTTGAGTTGCAGCGATCAAGTCGTTCCAATCGCATCCGTGCCCAAGATCGCCGCAGCGAGCGACCTGCAGAGCGAGCGGAACCTGCGAGGGTTGAATCATCGCCAGCCCCCCGGCACGATGGCACCGCCTCATCCTCTCGCTCGGGAACTCCCAGTGCTGGAGGCGGTAGCTACTCGTCGTACAAGACCGCTGAAGAGCGAGCTGCCTTCATTAAGCAACAAGCCGAGCAGCGTATGGCCGAGAGACTTGCCGCGCTTGGCATCAAGGCACCCAGCAAACCCGGCGAGACAGCTGCTCAGAAAATGGAACGTGAGCGATCTGAGCGTGCGGCGAAGCTTCGCCAGGCCGAGGAGGAAGATGCAAAGCGAGAGGCCGAGAGGCAAGCAAGACTTGCGGAGGAGCAAGGCGTGCCCCCTCCCGCGGTCACCTCTCCCAAGAACGAGAACAAGAAGCCGCCTCCGCCACCCAGTCGCCAGGCTGGACGTGACGCATCCAAGCATGCCGAAGAAGAGGCTGCGGCCAAGAAGGCCGAAGAAGAACGCCTCGCCCGAGAGCATGAAGAACAACAACGTGCGACTCAGCAGATGGAGTAAGTGGCTTGTTTGTGTGATTGAATATTGGGCATTTCTGTACTAACAATGGACATAGGGCAAGTGCTAGAGATCAGGAAGACGATCTCGCGCGCGAGCGGGAGGCCGCTGATGCTCGCCTCAAGGCCCTGGAGGAGCAGGTCAGACAGGGTAAGCTTAAGAAACAGGAGGAGAAGCAGAAGAAGAAGGCAGCGATGGCGGAAGCCAAGGAGAAGGAGGCCAAACTTGCTGCTCGCCGCGCGGAGATTGAAGCTGCCAAGCAGCGCGAAGCCGAGCTGCAGCGCCAATTGGCAGCTATGGACGACGATGACAGCTCTTCGGACGACGAGGGCCCGCAACAGATTACTCCTCAGGCCTCGACGCCTACCGTCGGAGGCAGTCAGATTGGCAGTCACGATGTTGAACCCAGGCAGAGCCCTCCAGCACCCCCGGTCGTGGCCCCGCCCACCGTTGTGACCAGCCCCCCCGACGAGAAGCCCGAGAGCCGCAATCCTTACTTCAGGATGATGTCCCAATCTTCTACCGATTCGGCACCAGCGCCAGCTGCACACCCTGCTGCTCCCCAGACCGAGGCTTCTACCAACCCGTTCCACCGCATGACCCAACAGCCTGCCGCGGTCCCCCCGGCACCGCCAGCTGGACCCATCTCGCGGAAGCGCGGTGATGATGATGACGACGGATGGGGTTCCGACAAGGACGAAGACGAGGAGGACTCGGATGACGATAGACCCGGCGGCTCGAGCGCTGCCGCCCTCGCCTCCATCCTCTTCGGCACCATGGCTCCTCCTCGCCCGCTCTCCGCAACGGGAGACAAGGCGGCGTCCCCGTCTCCTGTCACCTCGCCGACAGCTCCTCCTCCAGCCCCGGCACTGCCTGCAGCCCCCGAGGCGTCAGACACAGCAGCCCCTTCTGCGCCGCCACCTCCTCCGCCAATGCCGACGGACAGCCCAAGCTCTGCGCCGCCTCCGCCTCCTCCTCCACCCATGCCGACCGGCAGCCCGAGCTCGGCTCCTCCTCCGCCGCCTCCCATGCCGCCGACTGGAGCTCCTTCAGCACCTCCCCCACCACCGCCACCAATCCCGGGCATGGCACCGCCTCCTCCGCCGCCGCCGCCACCGGCTGCTGGTGACGCTCCTGCCCCGCCGGCCGGTGGACGCCCTGCCGGTTTCCTGGGCGAGATCCAGGCTGGCAAGATGCTCAAGAAGACCACCACCAAGGACAAGAGCCAGGCGGCTGTGGCGGGTCGGGTGCTGGATTAATTTATCGTTTCATGCGGCTCATGCTGTTAGGTGGCGGGGGTTGGAGTGACTGATAACGAGGAGAACATCCGGCCAATTAGGGAGGTTTGAAGGGGAGGAGGAGTATATTGGCACCCTTCGATTCGATGGAGGAGGTTGTTTGATCAAGGACATGAGTGTATCTAATTGTCTACCGTAGTTTGTATGTAGTCCAACATTTGTTTTCTTTTTGTTTTTCACCCTTATTGCGTCTTGTGCTTTGTGCATTGTGAACTGTACGTTGCTCCTTATTACTGTATAGCATTTTCCACCAATCTACCGTGTTCTTCATATCAACATTAGAGATCGAGGAGCCAACTGTGTGAATGCGCTCCTCCATCGAATAGATAGGTACCTCGGAGATCTTTAGGAGTCAAGAACAGAAAAAAGGGGCTGGGCCATCACGATGTTGGCACTGCACAGCACCCTGTTCGGCATTTCGTCTTGGCATTGATGTCCTTTCTGTACCAGTAGAATCCTCATGACAGAAGACGACTATCCCGGTCTTACGTGTGACTCTGAGCACTTGCACAGGGTTGCTACTCGACAGATCCGTTTCACTCTCGATTCTGCAGCAGGGACAGGCCTGGAGTACTTTGGTTGTTGGCCATGATTTCCAGCCCACCTCGACCAAGGTCACAGCAGTACAAGTACGAGTAAACTAGGTGCGGGAAGATAGCCTTTGTCCTTTTGCTTGATTGGCTAAACTGGTTAGCTAAGTCTTTGGTCCCCGGACACGGACTGGCCGCAAGCGACGCGTCTGGCGGTCGGACCCCGGCCGGGTTGGTTCAGAAACCTGCCCGGCGAAAGGCAGAACCTGGCCCATCGAAACACGCGGTCGACGACGATTCGTTGGAAGGGGGGGCTGCCCTGCCTGTCCCCCCAAAATGGACTGCCGGGTGTCAGGGGTGCTTGTACACAGGCGACCAGGGTTTGCCTGGGTTTTAAAGTGCTTGCTTTGAGAGATGGTGCGCCCAGGCCCGCCATCGTGACAGCGAGAGTGGTCCGGACGGACCCTGTCACTTTTTTGCCTACCACCTACCAGAGCGGGCCTGGGAGTGGGGAGACCGCAGGCGACTCGCGGGCAAGCCTGGGAAGGTGGTGGACTTGATCCCGGTCGGGTTTGTTCTTCACTGCACGTTCTACAGGCAAGGAGCAGAGATTGCTTGTTCTGGGATCTGCTCTGCGGGCGCGACTTGGGGGAGGGGGGGTGAGAATGTTTCACGGAAGGCTTCCCGCGCCCAGGAATGGCGTCGCCAGTACAAGTACTATCCTTTCGAGTCATGGGCGCTCCCACGAACGGCTGGCCACTTTAGGTAGTTACTTGTATGGGCCAGCGACTGCGGGCCGTGGCGAGCAGACTTGTACGAAAAGGCCCAAAGGCTTCGGATAGTGCCTCGGGAGGGTATTCTTGTTGGACGGACCACTGGGTCTCTTTTAGATCTGGGAATGAGTGAGGAGGAATGCCTCTCTGCCTCTCTGCATGACTCGACCAGGCCTACGAAGTACGGCCACCTGGGCCACCTACCTACCTACCGAATCTCGGTGCTTGCTGGAACTCGCTGGCTGGGGAAGAAGGGGATCACGGAGTACCTGGCTTTGTACGGATCCGACGGGCCATGACAAGTCGCCGGAGGCCTTTTGACAGAGCAGAGGCTCTTATGAAACGACTAACGAAAGAGTAAAAGTCATCATGATCTCAGTCGAGCTGAGTAGACGGATAGAGCCTGCTGAAATCGTCGATTTGCCGGGCCCAATGATGTCACAAGTTGAGACAGGCGGCTTGCAGGCACATGCGCGTCGCTCCATACCAGACTGGAGCAGGGCAGCAGGGTCAAGCACTCAAGTTGAGATGGCGCCAAGTGCCTTTTGTTTTTTTTAGTGCATGAACTCCGGGTATTAAACCAGCCCAGTTCGCTTGAGCAGAAGAGGGGTTTGGCCGAGCGATGATCCTGCTGAAGGCATTTTGACGTCAAGATCGTCGGACTAGTGGCAGAGCCGGTCTCTTTTCGTATTCTTCCTCCGTCGCAAGCTTGTCCATTTTGTTCTTTTCTTTCTTTCTTCTCCAACCTGTGCCCAGGCGGCCGGGACGGGCGGAGAAGACCTACCTACCTAGTGAGGCAGTGTCGAAGGTTACGAGAATGGCTGACGGGTACAGCATTCCAGCAATGACCAAAGTTGGCCTTACTCATGACCCTCTGTCCCTCATGACTGGGCCTTGAATTCCCTGCATCAGGAGATTCGTACGCCTTGGGGGAGGCAGAATGGAGGAGAGGTTACCCATGCACTCCGCAATGCACTTCATGTGACTGCTCCGGTGCTCGTCGTCGTCAGACCCGGGTGATCTGCACAGCCTGTCAACCTGCAACAGGTCTGAACGTTGTGGCCATCTAGGTACTTGTACCTGGACTCTGAAGATGCACTACTTGTACTTGACAAAAGGGCCAAAGGGCCTTGATTCCTGGCTCGAGCTGCCTCTTTGGGGCGGATAAATCCCTCCCACCTTTCGCGATCTGGCGACGCCGGTCGCATCGTGATGGTTTCGCGGTGATCTGTAGAGGAGGGTGGATGGACTGATGTCCCGAAAGGTGAGTGGCCCAAGTATTTGATTGGTCAACGGGCTCCCAATTCTAAACAAAAGAGACGCGTCGTGACGCGTTCTTAGCTCGGCGATCTCAGTCTGGATCGGAAAAAAAACCAGGCCTGGGTCCTGTTCGCTCCAAGCTTCATCCGCTTCCCCACAACCTTGCCATCCATTTTTCATGCGCCGTCCCTTTGGCATATCCACTCGTGGTCTCGTCTCTTGGAAGAATCGAATAGTTGAAGCCTTTTTTCTCGCTTTCCGTTCATGCTCTGATGGGGTCGCTCGTACGTGCTACTTAGGCGCCAGGCCTGATGGCCGGCCTTGGGGACCAATCAGTATGTGCACTGCCGTCCAACATGATGCTGCTCCAGCTGCACTTGTGCTCTGTGCTCCGTATCTCTCATGGAGGAACAGACCGGCTCGGCAGAGAGGACTCGAGCCTCAAAGTCAGACACGCCCATTGCTTGTGTGCCTTTCCGAAACTGTGCCGCACGTTGGGTTCTTGACAGGTGCACGCAAATGCACAAGCACGAAAGAGGTAAGCAGGTTGTGCTAATCCTGCCGCCTTGGTCCCCCTACTCCCGGCCTGTGTGCTCGGTCGCTCGTTCGGGTCGTCACCAAGGCATTCTACCTACCCTCTGCTCTATTCCATGGTTTGCGGTGAATGTTGCAGCCCCTGACGCTCCCAGCAGCAGGGTGTGCGCAAGTTGATAGCAGACAAGTGATAGATAGCAACGGCCACCCGATACTTTGCAAAGTTTGGCTGGCCTGGCCGGACCGGGAGAACCCAGACAGTCTAGAGTACTATAAGACCACAGTTTGAAACGAGCTCTCTACCTTTACTTCGTACTCCATCCCTATCTCGGACCACATCTGCCATCGCTCGACGCCTGTGACCTCGATGGCGTCGTCGTAGGCTCATCGATCGCTCGAGCGTCCATTCCAGCGGAGGGTGGAATACATCACCTAATTAACCTAAAGCATGACGGTCAGCGGCCAGAGAGGCAGAGGCCGTGAAGAGAAGACGTGCAAGACGTGAAAGACGTGCATCTCCACCCCTGCTCACAACTCTTGGTTTGGCAGACCCCTGTCAATGTGTCAGCCCGCGCCTTGAACCAGCCAATCCATCATCCCATATCTCACACCCTGCGGGACTCGTTGGGCGCGCCAGAGGCTCCACTTGCGGGCGCCCTGGTGTCTCGTCGGTGCGGCTTGTGAAGGTAGGTTTGCGAGGTGGGTGGGTGGGTGGTGATGCGCTGGCGTGCTCCAGCCAGTCTGGTGCTTGGCGAGGACCTGCGCACCCCATTCGCCAGGGCCTCGCCGGCCTGCAGAAAGCGAGACGTGCTACGCTAGGTGCAGAGCACAGTACCTAGGTAGGTACGGCCTGCCTACCCTCTGGTGCTGCTGCTCTGGCTCTGCTCTCTACCACCATCCCCAATCCTATCCGTGTAGGTACATTCACACGGCCTTCCCGCCGAGTCCGCATCTCGACTGTAACCCTCCTCTCCTCCCCCTTCCTTCTTCTCTTCTCTTCCCCCTCCCACATCCCATACATGCTTTCACGATACCCACGCCGACCTTTTTCAGACGACGACATACAGGCTCACCCAGCTATACACGCATTGCTCATAACGAGATCACTCTGGATATCCCTCCGCTGACCGAACCACCACACGGCTATTACCTCATCTAAGACAGCGAGGCCCGACCCAGAAATATCGCTATTCACGCCACGGTGCTCTCCCTTGCTTCGGCCCCACCACTAATCAAGGCACCTTTTCAACCAGAGGCGAGTAACAAAACTTGCTGCGTCCGCCCTTGCTACCGCCCTGGCGGATTCTCATGATCTAAAGCACGAGAGCCCGTAGCCCTTTTTCACACACCTCGCCGCCTGCCTGCTCGCCGTGCTGACCAGCGAACCCAAGAGCAGCAAAACCTACCGTGCTCGCAGAACGCGGTCAGCCTTGAGAGGGACGACGGCAAGCTCGTCACCGGCCACAATGGCCAAACCCACGCGTCACGGTCCTCATGACATGCTCAACATCTTTCAGGACAACTTTTTCGAGAACGCGACTCCCATGATCAGCCACGCTCCGATGCCCTCGACGTCGAAACCACCGCGTCGCCCCCTCCAGAGCTCAGACACTAACATCGTGCTGAACCCGCCTATCATGTTCCCAGCTACTCATTCACCGCTCAAGCCGGCTTCGCAAAAGGCGACAAACCCAACGACACCGCTGAAGGCCATGCAAGGCCAACAGCTGAACATGGTCGCGTTCAAGCCCCCCCAGAACCCGATGAGGCCGACCGATTGCATCCAGAAGAAACAGCCTTTCATGTCGCGGTTTAAAACTGTCGCGCAGAAGCCTGTGGTGGAGCCAGGATTGAACTTCCCTGGAAACGAAAACGCGCCGCGACCAATTCTCTACCAGCCCGGAGCCGCAATGAACCTCTCAATTGAGAACTACTATCAGAAGCCAAAGGGCAAGCGGTTGCTAGAACCGGCCCCTATCAAGGACTCGAGGCCGCAGAAGAAGCCCAGGCTGGAGGATAGCCCCCTGCCGCCCCACGATTCGTTTCCCGCCATCACCGACGACGGAACCAAGCCCGGTCACAGCTACGCGACGCTGATCGGGATGGCTATCTTGCGATCGCCGCATCGTCGGCTGACTCTGTCCCAGATCTACAAGTGGATCTCGGACACGTATTCGTTCTACAACCCCCAGGATGCAGGCTGGCAGAACAGCATTCGGCACAATCTGAGTCTGAACAAGGCTTTCGTGAAGCAGGAGCGGCCCAAGGACGACCCGGGCAAGGGAAATTACTGGGCAATCGAGCCCGGTATGGAACATCAGTTCATGAAGGAGAAGCCGACGCGCAAGTCCGCCATCACCGCAGAGAACCTGCCGGTCATGACCACACTCGAGCCGTCGATGCCCCTTGGACCTGCCATGCAAGAACCCGCCCTACCTCCCCAACTGCCCGTCATTGCCCCGAGTCTGCCCAACATGCAGCCGTACCATGCGCCGGCTGCTCCTCTGCAACACGAGCCTTCATCAGACGCGACGATTCCCGTATCGGACTCGGCCGCACCGGAGGAGTCCTTGGAGAAGACTGTCGAGACTGAGGCACCCTTTGATTCGAGCTTGTACTCGCCGTTGCCCGCTGCAATGCATTCCTCGCCTCCTATTCCACGCCACATAGAAGCTCATCACGGCACCCCTCCCCCTCCGCCGAGACAACTTGGCTCCTCCATTACGCGGTCACACAAACGCAAATTTGCCTCGATGGATGATAGCGGTTATATTTCCTCGCTCGAGTCATCCGTCCTGAGGGGCAATCAGCATGCAAAGTTGCTTACTTCGGAAGCCGACCGTCCTAGAATCAAGCGTGGTCGCGCCGGTCGAGCGGAGGAGGAGATCGCGCGGTTACGCGCTTCTTCATATGACAGCCCGTCCAAGGGACGCTCATGGAATGGCCTCGGTCCTCAATCGTCTTCTCCGCTCCGTCAAATACCGCAAAATGACGCGCACCAAATGCGACCGCCGCGTACTCCGGCTATCAAGCTCAAGGCCCTGCCTCAGCCTCCGCCGTCAAATTCGCCCAACACGAACTTGCGGATACACCGAGACAAGGTGCAGAGCATGCTTCAGTCGCCCCTACGTCGCATCCACAACGCCGAGGACGATAGCAATATCTTCTTCACCCCTAACCAGCAGAAGATTGGGGACTTCTCGCTCGACCACCATTTCAACGTGGATCTTGGCTCCTCCAACTATCATGGTATCGGTTTCGATATCCACAATGATGATATGACATCCTTCTTTCACGACATTGAATCTCCTATCAAACGCTCTGCGAAGCGCATGCGTCTCGATCGGACCCAGTCTGCAGGCATTCTCGGCGAGGTGACCAACCCGAGCGCCCGCAAGTCCGTGACGTCTGCTCCGCTTCTCAAGGTTCCTGGCCAGTCCCCAGCTATCGCTTTTGATACCCCCAGCAAGGCCTTTGACGGCTTGATGTCATCTCCGAGTAAATTCTTTGCTTTCCAGTCGCCGCTCAAGATGCAGTCGACAATGGATGAGAACGATGAGAATGCCTGGAATCTGGATGATTTCTACTCGACAGATCTGATTCAGGACAATGATGAATGTTCAGGCCTGGACATCCTGCAGGGTTTCGAGAAGATCGGGGCTTCTGCTCAACCTGTCCGGCCATCCACTGGCGTGTCCAAGCCTGCTCTTGGACGCAGCTATACCACCAATTTCTGAGCTCTTCCACGGTCAGGGCGAGCTTCCCTCCGGACCCTGGCAAACTTTGCAAGGACGAATTGTATACAGGATGCCTTATGACAACCATAACGACTTTTAATATCACGACTACCCTTCGGGAAGCGCTTTGGCCAATGCACACAAAGTTGCCTTGCCAGCGCTGAGATGCGTGGTGACCCTCATCCACGCTCTTTCTAGAACAGCCCAAGCGCAGGCTTGCCACGGGGCTTTTACCCCCCCTTTCTTGTCTATGACCAGTCTTCGTTGAGTCAAGATGAAGAATAATGATGATGTCTGGAGTACATGCTGGAAAGAGCACATATCAGAGAGCAGGACAGAGAAAGAGTTTCTGAAAGAGAGCAAAATATCTGGGAGTTTTGATCTTTGTTCGGAGCAAAGTTTCTCTACTATGTCTGGTCTTGTTGCTCATTTTTTTCCTGTTTTGGGTTTGTGCAGAGCCTCGCCACCACTGTTCCTGGCTGGCTGGCTGTTATGCTCTCTGGCGCGTGTCTCTGGTAACTTGGGTTTGCATGGAAATGGATGAGCACTTTGGAATTTGGGGAAACACAATGTTGGCTTGCCTGGTTTTTAGGAACCTCGAGTCAGATTGTTCGACGACCTTTTTTTTTTTTCCTTTTGAACGCTTTCCTGCGCGCGCTGGTTTCCTTTTGCCTTTTTATTGCGGGTTATCTCGGTGGCTTTCTTATGACGCGGATCGGTGTACAGTGATGATGGAGATGAAGCGGTAGCTCGATATGTCTGCCAGTGATTTTAGTTCGAGAACAATGAAGAACTTTAGTCTCTTGTGATTATTAACGGTACGGGAACGTCTGCATGGCCTCTGAACTTACTGTAATCTCTGCGAGAAACCAGCGCATCTAGATGCTTGGCTTCAGCCTCATCCGGGCCATCCGAGATCAGACTCATGCTTGAGGCCACTGCCTTGCCGGCTCCCGGGCTTGCTGATGCCATCTGCTGCTTTGTTCAATCTCGTTCGGCAAAACGTATCTTGGCGAGAGAAGGGTTGGTCAAAGTCTTGAGGATCCAAGGATCAATTTGATGTCTAAGAATACTTTGGGTATCATATTCATTTGCGGGGTACAAGACCCGGACTGGTGCGTGTACTTAACGCCATAAACGCCGACTCTAATCGTGCATGAAAACAATACTATCTGAAAGGAAGGCCCCCTTTCTCCAATACATAATCACACTCCGGGTCCTTCAAATAGGAGTCCGGTACCGACTTCCTGTGCCCATAGGCTTCAGGACTAGTAGATACCCATCCTAGTCGCCCAGCCAGACTCCTTCTGGTTGACACTGATCTGATACGGGAAGGGATTAGCTTCCGTGGTCGTGATCGGCGGGATGTGGTCCTTGTGGGCGTTGACAGAGGTGACAATCTTCATGACGGTGGTCAGGAGCGTCGACTCCATCGCCTTTCGAACTTTGGCTCGCTCTGCATGGCAACTTTCATGTCAGTTTCGCTCTCTCTCTCTCTCTCGCTGGCAAGTAGCGGCTTGCCTGCCGGAAAGTGACAACATTGCAACACGTACCGCTCTCTGTCCGCGGCTCGGCGACCGTCACCTTGACCGTCCAGCACTCCCAGCAGATCTCCTCGTCGCCGCGCATGGCATACCATGCCTTACGGCGTTTCTTCTCGAAGAACTGCACCGATATCTGTCCCCGCCCACCACCGCCGCCGCCTCCGCCTCCGCCTCCGCCGCCTGCACCTCCCGTGTTTGCCTGGGCCCTCTCGGCGTCGAGCTGGCGTACGAGGGCGGCCGCGCGCTGGTCGATCATAGTCTCGAGCTCGCCGTCCTCGATGTAGGGGAGGGTCAGGTCGAGGACCTCGCGGGTGCGGGGCACGATGGAGGGGAAGAAGCGGTGGAAGAATATCGTGTGGAGGATGCCTTTGTTCGGAAATGTCGGGTTAGCTGGCTGGTTTTTGGGCTTTGACGCAATGCGCGCCTGTATAAGAGGAACAGGAGGGATGCGGCAGCGTTGTCGTCAAGCCTTGATCGACCCGTAGCCGGCATCGCGAAATGACTCGAGGGGTATGCAAAGAACAGGGAATAACTTACCCCGGACGACATCACGAACAGAGTTCGGGTCGGCAAAGGCCTCGAGTATGAACTCGGGAGCAGTTCTCTGCTCCATGGCGGGCAATATGCTTGTCTGCCCTGGTTCTAGGATTTACATGATACTGCAATGCATGTCTTTTGCAAGGGAGGAGGAGGGGCTGGCTTGGCCTGGAGGGGCGCATGTTTGAAGTCATCCATCCATGCCTGGGGAAGAGAGCACGCTAGGTAAAACCCCGGCGCTAGCAGGCGATAAGATAAGCAGCCAGCGCTATCAGTGCCAGTGGTGACGTGCCCTAAATTGGCAATCACCTGTCCCTAGGTTAGGCCTTGCCGCCAGCGTGCCGAGGCAATCTAATCGCTGTGACATCCTTGAGCTCAGGTACTAATGATACCGAGTGGCTGGGCGCGCGTGAGCTCTGGTCACTCATTCAACCTCGACTGTTCAGCCTTGCGTTCTCTCTTCTCAACATAACATTTCCCTCCCTTTCCTTTCCGAACCCTGGACTACGGCGAGAGGCGACGGTCGGAAATACATTTTTCTTTTTCAAGTCCCCAAATTCTTGGACCGGCCCGCCGCCATGTTCTCTGCAACGCGGCGCTGGTTCCGCCGCAACAGGACTCCCATCGCCATCGGCGTGGGAGTTGTGGGCGCAGGCTATGTCGTCACCCAGTATGTCCTGAGCAAGATCAACGACGCCCGCGAGCGCATGAGCAGCGACCGCATCGCCAAGGAGAAGTAAGTAACAAAGGCCCAATGTTCCAAATCCTCGAAAGCTTTCTTCCCCCCCGCAATGCGCTGACAGAGAGACCACGCTCGCCTAGCCTCCGGCGCCGCTTCGAGCAGAACCAGGAGGACTGCACCTTCACCGTGCTGGCGCTGCTGCCGACCGCCACGACCAACATCCTCGAGGCGATGAACACGGAGAAGATCACCTACGAGATCCAGCAGATGAAGGCCGGCGGCGCGTCGTCGGCGGCCGCCCGGTCCGTCATGAGCATGAGCGGGAGCGGCGAGTCGACTAGCCCGCCGAGTATCGGAGACACCACCATGACCGAGGACGACGGCCGGAGCCTCGCCAGCTACCAGAGCGAGAGCGGCGTGCATGCTAGCCAGATTGCGGTGCCGAGCATCAGCGCTGTCGCCGAGGGTACTGCGCCGGCTGCCACGTCCGAGAGCGTTCAGGAGGCACAGCAAAAGAGGAAAACGAAGAGGCAACTTTGGGACGACCTGACGATATCATGTAAGGCCTTTCCCCATATATCCTATGTTCACCGGGTGTGCGTGGTACTAACAAACATCGGTTATAGCCATCACCCGTGCTTACACGCTGCTGTACACCCTCGCACTGTTGACCATGTTGACCCGGGTTCAGCTGAACCTCCTGGGTCGGAGGAGTTATCTCTCCAGCGTGGTGTCGCTGGCCACGGGAAGCGCGCAGGCGACCATCAGCCTAGAGAACAACGACGACGATAACCCGGAGCAGATGCTTGGCAGCGACTTTGAGGTCAATAGGAAATATCTCACCTTCAGCTGGTGGCTGCTGAACAAGGGCTGGATCGACATCATGCAGCGCGTCGAGGCCGCAGTCAGGGAAGTCTTTGGCCATCTCAGCCCCCGCGACCAGCTTTCCTTCCAGACCTTCTCAGAGCTCACCACCCAGGTCAGGAGGTTAGTCGAGGGCGGCTCGCCCTCGGCCCAAGGCGCGACCTGGCTGTCGTTCATCCTGCCGCCCGTGGACCAGGAGGACTACGTCCTCAGGGAGTCGGGCGTGCTCGGCGACAGCGCCGCCTCCATCGACCAGAGCACCGTCGAGATCTCTTCGCCCGCCTCGCAGGCGTCGCTGCGGAGGCTGCTCAACGAGACGGCCGACCTGGTCGAGTCGCCCACCTTCACGCACGTGCTCGCCCTCCTCCTGGACGCGGGCTTCTCGTGCCTCCTCGACAAGAAGCTCGCGCCGGCCGCCTTCGACCTCCCGCCCCCGCCCCCGTCGGCGGAGGGCAGCCCGGAGCTCGCCGGCGGAGGGCTGCGGACCAGCAAGACGGTCCTGCTGCCCAAGGTGCTGTCCGTCCTCACGCGGCAGGCGCACGCCATCGGGAACGGCATGCCCAACGAGTACCTGCAGGAGATGGAGTCGGTGCGGGACCTCGAGGGCTTCGCGGCCGTCGTGTACTCGAGCAACTGGGAGAACGAGATCCAGGAGGAGGGCCTGGCCTCCGCCGCCCCCGCCGGATCTTCGGCGCCACAGATGGCCGGCGAGGAGAGCCTCGTGGTGGTCGACCCCTCGCAGAGCTCGTTTGAGAGTGCGTGGGCGAGGGCTGTAGAGCAGAAATAAGGGGGAGATCAGGGGCGGGTGTTCTAGGTTGGAACTGTACTATACTTCAGAGGGGCGGGGGGTTTTAACGGGCGACGATCATAGCTACACATACTTACATACACAGGATAATGGGAATCCGGGAAATACCACGTTCGGTTAGAGAAAGTGAAACAATAAAAAAATCTATACTTCAAATCCTGCACTCTGCTTCATATTATGCGTATCATTGGAGATTTACTCATGAGCTATCATGGTCGTCGATCTATGGCATCCATTGCGGTCATTTGAGAGCAGAGCTCCTGCTCTTGGAGACCCTAGACCTGGGCCTCCGTCCCTCTGACCACATTTCTAATGAGCCCAATGCCGCGTCATCCTGGGTGTGGTCGCATTGCGGGCCTGACCTTGTATCTCTCTGCCTCAGTGCTTCAGTCCGTAGCCGCTACGAGGGCTTGCGAGGAGGGCCGGCCGGCCGCATATGCCATGGCTGAATCGTCCGTCTTTGTGAGGACTACCAGGTGGATGTCCTTTCTCACATCAACCCTCGGACGAATTGGTCCAGTCCCAACTCGAAAAGCTCGTTCTTGACGCCCTCTCCACCAGGGTGCTCGACCGGAGATAGGGGGTTCTTGACAACTACACACACACGCGCAAGACAATAGTCAGTGAAATGATTGATGGCGAGTCGGTGGGACGTCTGCCCGTTATCAGGGGGGGGGAAATCTCTGGCCCCTCCCCTCCCCCATGTCCTTCCCCCCCCCCTCCTGGATCTGATTGCATTTGACGTACCGTACTCAACCCACAGGTTGATGTAGATCTGGTGCAGGACGTTGCGCATGCTCGGGGCGGCCGTGTCGGTCAGCATGACGAGGCGCAGGCTCGAGGGCGTCTCGTAGTAGTGCAGCTTGTACTGCGCGGTGCGGTAGCTGATGAAGGCGTCGTCCTCGCCGCCGAGCTTGCGCACCATGTTGCGCAGGGAGAAGACGGTGCCGAAGATGAGCTTGGCGTCGTCGCGGCTGCGGTTGCTGGCCCGGGTGCTGGTGCTGCTGCCGCCGGCGGCCAGGGAGGAGGCACCGGCACCGGCCGGTCGCGCGGCGCCCGCGGCGTCGGAGGGCTGGGGCAGCCAGTGTTTGGTGTAGATGCACTCGGCTGGACACACGAAGGGAACAGTGGTCAGTGTATGTCTTCTTTGTGTGTGTGCGCGCGGTGTGGTGGCTCAGAAGAGGGCAGGGCACGGGAGGTCTGGTTCTTCTCTCTCTCTCAACTCACTGTGCCGATCGAAGATGTAGAAGGCGTAGACGACCATGGTTGCGGCTTGGTGCCCTCCGGGACGGTGAGCTCGGCCGCAGGGTCTAGGAGCAGACCTCGGGCCTCACTCGATCCTCGTTCTGCGCTTCTTCTCGTGCTCTCGTGCCGATTGCCGATTTTGCAAGCTGCAGGTCTCCGGGGGGGTTTTGCGATGACTGCTTCTAAGCCACGGTGGTCGGGTCCGCAGATGGGTCTGGTAGGAGGGTGTGTGGGTGGTTAATCTTTTCGGCGTTCCCTCCAGGAAGACAGACACACATGCAAGGTCCAGTCCAGTCCAGTCCAGTCCAGTCCGGCGCTGTGGATGAATGGATGGTTGAGACATACGCGCGCACGCACAGTGGCCAATGAACAGGGCGGACTCGCCGTGCGGCTTAGCAGTTGCTTGGACGGGACGATCCCCCTGCTAAAATGAACCACTAAACCGGGCGCCGAATCAGAGCCGCTAGCCTGGGCTGCCAGTCTGCCACGCAGTCAGTAGGGCTGCCCGCAACCGTCGTACAGCGCCACATCCACGGATGGGCCTGCGAAGTAGCTGTCACAGCGGGGTACCGGCTTAAGATTGAGGGGTCGCCAACGGTGTCCAAGGGTGTCGAATGGGCTCGCTGGGAGCAGCTCTCCTCTCTCGATTTGATACCCTTTCTCTCCTCTCAGCTGCAGGTGGTCTTTTTAGTGTCTCATCACGGCATGGCCTAGCTCGAGAGCTACCAGCCTACAAGGGTCCCCCCCCTCCCCCCCCAAAAAAGGAGTAGCATCGCCATCGTTGGCGTACCTCGTAGCTCTGGGTTGGGGGCCTATTCTCGAAGAGAGTAAGGTGGGAGCTTTCTCTTCAAAAGGGTTATCCCACTGCCTCTAAGAGGCAAGCAGGGGTGTGAATCGTAAAGACAAATATCTCGATCCCCCCCAATTCCATATTTTGGGGAGATTTGTCCTCATCCTGTCTTTCTGTCTCACACAGAAGTGGCCTGCCCTGCCTTGTCTAGACCCTGCAGAACCACCGCTTCACAAGGCTCCGGACTGAGCTGGGTGCTCGACGGAACATCCCTCTAGCTTCGAAGCTTGGCCTTCGTCGCAAGTGGGGGTCCTGTCCCTGCACAAACGTCATTGCCCTCTGTGCGCATCAACTTCCCTTCTCACTTTGACGAGCAGAGCGTCCGGCAGACTGTCGCGAATCTCATCCTACAGAGCTAAGCATCCACCGAGGCCGGCGCCGGAGATCAGAGACACGACACGTGCGGTGTACCATGCAATCGTCGTCGTCGCCCACGCTCGCGACCGCTGCGCCGCTGATCCCGGCCGGCGACTCGGCGACGCCCCGGCCGGCGAGCCCCGACATCTCCATCCATGTCTCTGGAGACGCCGAGGACGGGAGCAGACCGCCCTTGGCAGGCCACTCGTGAGTTGTGTCTTCCTTCCCCTCTCAACCTCTCCCACCCTTGCCTGTTGCTGCTGCCACTCAACCTGCTTTTGGCTCTGGGGGGCGGGGCTGTGCATCGCAAATGCTCTCCACACCGCGCGCAGCGCACCGAACTGACCGCCAGTCAACGATGCAGATCGGCACCTCCTGCCCAGACATATAAGAGCCCGTTGCGCCAGCACAAGCGTACCCCGTCCCAACACCGCGAGGTCAAGGTACGTTTGTTGGCGCGCAGAACATCCACCGCCCTGGCGGCCCAGGCTGCTGTCCACCTACTAACACACGGCGGCGCAACCTTGCAAGGAAACGCTCAATGCCACCACGCAGTACACCAACGATGACTGGGATGGGCACACGCACCATCGGATCAACCAGTATACGATCAAGCAGGAGATTGGCAGAGGTTCCTACGGAGATGTCCACTTGGCTACCGACCAGTACGGGAACGAATATGTGAGTCTTCAGACACGAGCGAGCTTCTTTTCTTTTCTCTTCTTTTCGCTTAGAACCTTTTGCTTACTTGGATGTAATAACCATGCCTAGGCTGTCAAAGAGTTCTCCAAGACTCGGCTACGGAGGCGCGCAAAGTCAAACATCCTGCGGCATGGCCCTCGCCGGCCCATCCGCTTCCCCGAGGGCCACGGGCTGAATGCGCCGCTCGCGGCCGTGAGCGAGCCCGACGATGCGCTCTTTCTCATCCGCGAGGAGATCGCCATCATGAAGAAGCTCAACCACCCGAACCTCGTGCAGCTCATCGAGGTCCTCGACGACCCCGACGAAGACTCGCTGTACATGGTCCTGGAGATGTGCAAGAAGGGCGTCATCATGAAGGTCGGCATCGGCGAGACGGCCGAGCCCTACGAGGAGGAGCAGTGCAGATACTGGTTCCGCGACCTGATCCTCGGAATAGAATACTGTAAGTCTTTGGGGACTTGCTGGCAAGTAGCCTGTGAAAATGTTTGTTGGCTGATCCGTGTAACATAGTGCACGCCCAGGGAGTCATCCATCGCGATATCAAGCCGGACAATCTGCTCTTGACGGACGACGATGTGCTCAAGATAGTCGACTTCGGAGTGTCCGAGATGTTCGAGAAGGAGGGCTCGATGCGCACGGCCAAGTCAGCGGGCTCACCGGCCTTTCTGGCACCCGAGCTGTGCATGTCTAGACACGGCGATGTCTCCGGAAAGGCAGCGGATATCTGGTCGATGGGCGTGTCGCTGTACTGCCTACGCTATGGCCGCATCCCCTTCGAGCACGAGGGCGTCTTGGAGATGTACGATGCGATCAGGAACGAGGACGTCAAGATGCCACCGGACGAGGACGCAGATTTTGCCGATCTGATGCACAAGCTCCTGGAGAAGAACCCCGACAAACGGATCACAATGGCGGAGCTTAGAGTGAGTCTTTTGCCGTCTGATTCAGCATTGGCTGTGACTGTTCTCTCTGACCGGTACTGTTAGGAGCACCCCTGGGTCACGAGAAGAGGCAGCGACCCGCTGCTGAGCGCCGAACAGAACTGTGACGACTTCATCGAGGCGCCCAATGCGCTGGAAGTAAATCATGCTTTTACGCGGAGGATGAGCCACCTTCTCTGCGTCGTAAGTTGCCCCAGACCTTGTTTTCGACCCCTTTGCCTTCCTTCTCAAGACTACCCTACCACGTACGATGTTGGGAAATGCAGTTTGGTTAATAGAAGCGCGAAAAACATTGTAGATGAAAGCAATCCAAAAGTTCAAGAGCCTCCTGCCACCCAAAGAGGAGCGGGCGGCGAGGGGATCGAGCCCCGGCGGCGGCGGCGGCAGCAGCAGCAACAAAACCTCGCGGCAGTCGACGGCCCAGTCCAAGACGGACAGCGAGTACGCCGAGCGCGCGGCGGCCCTGGTAGAGGCGCGCATGAAGCTGCTCCGGACGGCGAGCGGCCACGAGGGCAGCGGGGGTCAACGCCAGCAGTCGTCGTCGTCGTCGTCGTCGCCGTCGCAGCAGGACCACCACGCCGCCGCCGGTGCCGCCGCCGACCCGCGCTCCTCGTCGGCCTCTCCGCAGCAGCCCGTCCTCCTGGGCATCGGCACGGGCAGCCAGCACGACGACTTTGCGGCGGGGGCGCGGGCGGGGGCGCGGGCGGCCGACGACGGCGCCGTGTCCGAGTCGCCGACGGCCGTCGACTTTGACGTCTACGACCAGGCCTACGGCGCCGAGGTGCGGCGCATCCGGTCGCAGAGCCGCAAGACGAGGATGTACCTCACGAGGCACCTGCAGAGCAAGGACTCGTACCGCGGCGACGAGGACATCGAGGCCGGCGGTAGCGGAGGCGGCGGCGGCGGCGGAGGAGGCGGCAAGTGGGGCACGGCGGCGGCGGTGCTGCGCGGCGACCACGACGATGGCGAGGAGGGGAATGGTCGGGAGGAGAAGGAAGGCGGGGAGGGCCCGCCGCCGGAGCCGCGGGATCCCAAGGCTGCCGACTACGGCGTCGATCCGGGCAAGGCCGTCTCGCGGAGCCACCGGTTCGCCAACCTCGTCACGCAGACGATCAAGGACTCCAAGGCCAAGATCACCGGCAGCGGCGGTGGCGGTGAGAGCGAGGAGAGCGAGGACAAGCCGGAGCGGGGAAGGGGATCCGAATAGAGGTCGGGGACTACTACTTCCTGGGGCTGGTCGACGCGGGTGCCGGAGGAGGCGACGAGGGAGGAGGAGGAGGAGGAGGAGGAGATGGCGGGAGCGAAGCGGCGGCCTGCGGAGATGAGGAGGAGATGGCAGCGGGTGCTCGGGGCAGTCTTTTCGATTCCTTTCTTCGTGAAGAAGTAGTTTTTACCAAAGCAAAGATTCCCCCCTTTTTATTGAAATGATTTTTTCGTCTTTCCAGTGCTCGGAAACGGTCGGTTCTTATACCCTCTTGACCCGGAGCTTAAGTTTTTCTCAACTCTGGAGGTGCCACTATGGAAAGGTCTCTCTATCTGGCGAATGTGTTCTCACATGTTGTTTTTGGTTGTGTTTACTTCCCCTCAAAATCTTTTACTCTATCACGGGCTTAAGCTTCTCCTCAGTCCATTTGCCATGATCTGATACGAGATGGGTTAGGTGTTGTATTGTCATTATCTCGCGGGTGAAGGCTAAGAGGGAAACGAAGAAGCCATACACTGTACATGATTAGGTACTTCTGTACTACTGAGTAGGCAACAAAGTATCGAGACCCTGTATTGCCATAGGCTATAGATAGCAAAAGTCTGTTTGTCAGAACAAACGTGCTCAGTTACCCGTTGACCGCAACTGTGAGCCGGGTGAACGTTTGACCAACCTCCCGGGAAGGACCATCGGGAAGCGGACGGTCTTGTGCGGCGAGAAATCACCACCAGAGAAATGGAGAGACTGTCCGATAAGCCCAAGCGGTGTCGGCTTACCTACCCTTCACTTTTCTCACAAAGTGACATAATGACCCTGGCACGGCCTGCAACTTGCAAGATCTCGCCTCTCATATGCCAAGCTCGTGGTGGCGGCGTGTGTATACTATTGCCGAGGACAGCACATACACACACACACACACACACACACACACCCCTGGGGAACTCTGTCCATTCAGTTGGGCCACGTTCCGAGATACGGAGGTCCCTTCTGTTGCTGCGAAGCATCGCCCCGTTCCCGAACTCTGACAGCCTTGGCAGGGGACAACCACTTCCGGGAGATTCTCTGACCGGCCACAAAGCTCCGAACCCGCTGTGAGACAAAGCAGAGCAAAGAGAAAAAAAAGAGGCACAAAGATCTGGGAGTCCCCGCCACCCTGCAGCAGGTACACGGCACTGTCGCGCGCGTCAACCCACACCTCTCCCGTGCTGCATGTTTCCGTCCTTCTCTTCTTGATAATGCAAGATGCAAAGGCGGGCAGGGCAGGTAGGGAGGCGAGATTGCGACAGTGCTTCTCCCGAGCAGGACAGCCACTCACCTTGCAAGGCTCGGGCCACGAGGCTGCACGGGATAAGCTCACGGGGAGGGACAAGTAGTCAAGACTCGGACGATCTCGCGTGGCTGCGTTGTTCAGGATATGACGTCATGTCGAGCTTATCACGTCAAATGGGAATAGAAATTTCCATATTCGTAAATGCGGTGCGCGCTATCGACCAGTCAGTGATTTCTGCAGACTCACGGAGAAGTTGTCAATGCATCACAAAGAGTGATGGAATTGATAATGGGAGATAGAAGGGGATTGCTCTGGTTTGCGGTGCTGATAGGGGGGGGGGGGGGGGGGGAGCCTGGGGGGGGGGGGGGGGGGGGGGGGGGGGGGGGGGGGGGGGGCAGCCTGCATCCTCACCGCTGATTCGTGCCGCGGTTTCATGCCGGTGACGCCGGTGTAAGATAACTGTGCCCCCCTCCCTTGAAGAGAAACATACGAGTCGAGTTGAAGAAAAAGATACTGGAGGCTGGTGAAACCCTGGTTGATGGCACATGTGTCATCCGTATCGACGGCACGTGTATTGTTTCGCCGCTTTGTGTTGGTCTCGAAGAACCCTGGCGCAAGATGCGCAGAGACTTCTGAAGTTCTTGTGTGATGCAGAGCCTCTTGCGGTGTGAGCTCACAGGCGAGACCGGGACGGTTGAGCCATGTCGTACAAACGCAGCCAAGATACCCTCTTGTGGATCGGCGACATGTGTCCGTTGGAGGCACTGACAACGGTGACATGTGTCCCCAGCTTGGCAGCCAGGTACGGCATCCTCTCTCCTAGCTCTGTGGGGGAGAACAAGGCACGCTACGCTGCTGCAGTTACGAAACGGCTAGACGGCACCTGGATATCTTAGCGATGTGGTCCGCTGTAGGGCATGCCTGTGAGACTGCGAGAGAAACGGTGCGAGACGCGAACGTGGACGGCGCGGAAATTGGGAGGGGACTTTGATGTAGGCGGGGGAAGGGCATCCACAGATGCCGGGACCAAGCCCGAGCTTTGACGCAGGAGCTTACCCTAGCTATCAAGCTACAAGTCCAAGCAATCCTGCATGCAAGGTCCGGAGCTACCTACACCCGGATTGTCAGCTTGTACGAAGTACATCGATGGGGAGCAAGCATCCGGGTTGCACCTGGTGACTTGGACAGAAGTGATCTGAGGATAGATCGGACTATTGGTCGTCTCATAATGGAGTTTGGTAAGGGCAGAGGAAAGTGAGCCCATCCCATGGACAACCACACGGATGGACGGACGACGACGATACTGTACAATACACAGCAGCGCGCAGCCATCCTGCCAACACCACCACCCCCCATCAGCATCCACTGCATCCCTACCTCCCTACCTTGCCTGAGCTTGGGGCTGCAGCATCCATCTGCAGGTCGTCCGTGATGGATGGTCGTGCGTGGGCGCGGGCTCGCGGGCTTGCATTTCGTCAATTTATCGTGAACCCTTGGAGCGGGTCCCGGGCGAGCCAGGAGCGTATTGGAGAGGCCGGGGACAGCGTGCGCATCCGACAATGCGGGCGATGTGCGTGCTTGTGCTTCCGGGGGGTGTGTCGAGGTAGGGGGGGAGGCCGTGTAGTTAGGGGAAGTTAGGGGAGGGGTTGCACGGGGACACCCAGCCCACCGCAGGTGGATGGCCAAAGATAGGCACGATATCGTCGTGTCTGGGGCTACGACGGGAGCAAGTGTATTCTTAGCGAGCGACGGAGATGGTGCTTGTTTCCTCTCGCCGCCTCCAGCTCGACGTATTGGGAAAATGCCTCATACACGACACGAACATCCGGGCAATCAGTGGGGTTCGGGGGGGCAAATGCGTCTTATTATTACAAGTACAATACAGCTACAGCTACAGCTACAGATGCCAGTTGTTCGTGCTGCCGGAAGAGGCAGCAGCGACGTGGAATTGGTGACCAGCTCTTTCTCAATTTGTCCAAGTGACAAAGCGGGGGGGAGGAGGAGGAGGGTTGACGACAATGGAGATCCGAACGGGAACCTTGGAATTCTAAGGTCAAGTAGGTATGGCCAAGCGTTTGGGCGGCCTCCCGGGGTGCAGGGCAGGGCAGGGCAGGGCAGGGCAGGACATGCAGGTGCTGTACGGAGTAACTATGCTTGAGGCAAGAGACGAAACCGCTTGCGATCGCCAAAGATTAAGCCCTCGGTAACTACTTAAGTTCTGCTGGAGACCGGTAAGCAATGGTACTGTACCTTTCGAGATGGGTCTGGGCTGTATGGGCTGGGGAAAAGTCCTCGGCACAAGATTTTGTCTCTTCGGGAATACCTGCGAAGTAATGGCAACTTTTGTATTGGCGGGCTCGTACACTACTACTTGTAGTACTTGACTTTGTAGGGCTTTTAGGTAAAGGGAACCCACCCACCAACCGCCATGTGCACCGCACAAGATGGAAAAAGTGCGGTGCGGGTGCGGGTGCGGGTGCGGGTGCGGGTGCGGGTGCGAGCTACGGCCAGTTCATCTCGGGAGTCCACGGCGTCGGGAGAGAAGGGTGGTAATTTACCGCACCACGCGTCTACTCCCCGTCGCAGCTGGTCGTGCTTTGGCATGCCGTCTGGAACCAGCGAGGCGACCATAACCAGGAGGTCAATCCTGCGAGGGCAGTCATGACGTTGCGGCGGCGGCAGCAGCATCAGAGAGAAGACGACACTGAGAAAGCAGCTCCGAACCGCCGGGATGTGGACCGGAAGCTGGACCGTGGATCTCAACCCAGGCGGACCGTGTCCCTCTTGGCTGGCGACTATCGGTACCAAATCTTGGCCCGGCGCCAGATGTCTCTTTTTTTTTTTTCTTCCTTTTTTTTTTTTTTTTTACAAATAAATCCCGGTGGTTCCCATCTGGCGGGCCATGCAATTTGGAGGCGGGAAAGTCCAGATGTACGAGTACGTACAAGTATCAGACGAAGCTCCCGTGGCGCGCACTGCCTGCAAGTGGAGTGAAGTCGGATTGGTAAGCCGCATGATTTGCTGCAGACAATGCACGCGATGACCTCGGGCTAGTTGCAGCACTTGCATGATGCTCTCTAGCTCCCTACTACGGAGCAAGTAAACGGTTCACTTGACCCCGTCAACTGTGCATATCCCAGACACCACCAGCTCTGCTTCGATGTTGACGTGTCGCATTCACGGCTCGTGACGCTGGATTATAAACTGGCCTGTATCCCACATTTCTGTCCAGCCCAGAACTTGGCACATCCCCATCGAAAGAAAAACAAACTCTATTTGGGTCTTTACTTTGCTGTCTGCGCATTGGAAGAGCGACGACGATCCCGAGGACACAGCCACTGGAAGTTGCTAGCAGCCACTAGCTACTGACGAGCAGAGCCCAGACGAGAGTTTCCGCACAAGCGAGAAGGCCTTCGTACATCACGACAAGGCCAAGAGAAGCAAGCCCAAGCAAAAGCCCCCCAGCCACAACTCTGCTTGCCTCCGTTGGTGACAATCTACTTGTACCGTCACATCCCCACAGCAGACCGGGAAGGGATCCATGACAAAACGGGACGACGCTTGTACCTGTTGGTAGCCAGGACCTTCTTCAGCCCGAGTATTTCCACGTAAAGTATGTCAGTCCAGTCTTCTTAGCATTGTGTCGCTACCCTACCTGCTCCCCTAAACAAGCCAAAAGAGCAGCTCCTAAGGACTGTCAAGGGCACAGGCGGCAGACTCCCGCCTAACCGAAACTGTACTGTTACCTTGCCTTTTTTCGTCTCGCCTTGTCTTCTCTTGGATCGCAATGCTTTCCTCTGTTTCAATACACTGCCCGCGCGCGCGAGCCACATTGGCATTGGCATTGGCGCTGGTGTTGGCAGTTGGCCATCCATCAATCGTCATCTGAGCTTGTCAATTGATTTCCCCAGCGAGCTCGAGAATGGAATGGCAGTGACCCGATGCTGACTACATGACTACCTCTACCGTAGAAAAAGGAACTGCACTTTTCAGCCAGAAGAGGGAAAAGAGAGAGAGAAAAAAACACCAACAGAAAATAAAATACTCATCTTCAAGTACATCACCTACAAGTAGTTACCGACCAAGCATTTGGGTGTTCACACTATCGACACCCACCGTCAATTGCCGCTCCACATCTCGATTTCGACAACTACCTGGACCGCCGAGCCAGATCCCACCATGACTTTTGGTACCGGCCTGACGCAACCGCCTCCACTTTCGCAGCTTCTCCGCCTCTGACACTGACCATTGCCGTTTATTACTAAATTCCTCAGCCCAGTCGACGGCCGATTATTCAGACTTGGCTACCGAGTCCCCAACTTGACTCGCCTGCTTGCTTGCTGGCGGTCTCTCTTGTCTCTTGGCCTGCCGGACCAGACCAGACCAGCCCAGCCCAGGCCAAAAACGAGACAGGACAGGACAGGACAGGACAGGACAGGACAGGACAGGACAGGACAGGACAGGACAGGACCTGCTTGCTTGCCACTCTCTCCACTGCCTTCTCCTCTCGCGTCTCCTCTTGACGTCTCTGGCTCTCCTCTCACTCGGCCACCCAGTCACTCACTCTCACTCTCACTCTCACTCTCACTCTCACACACCACCACGCATCCAGCCAGCAGTCCATCTCCTCCTACGTTACCCCCCCCAAGAACCCTCCCTTATTAGTCCCGTCGGCTACTGGTCACAGATCTTCTTCCCCATCCATCCAGTCAAACCGACACTAGACAGGGCCATCCATCATCCGTCATCCACGACCCATCTCCCCATCCCAATCCATCGACAAGTCAACCAGTCCACCCACCCGGCCTCCGCTCTCTCTCTGTCTGGCGCATTAGCAAGCAAAGTACTCTACGGTACGGTACGGTGCATTACACTACCTAACCAGGGCTAGCCCGCTCGTCCAAACCAAGTCCAGTTCGTCCGTTCTGGCACTACCGCTAACTACAAGGGCCCTCTCTTCTCTTGACTACTTTCCTCTCCCCTCCAGTACTTTGGCCGGACTGCCTACGCCTTTCTCCCTTGCTCCACACGCCTACCTACCTAGTCACTTACATCTGTCGCATTTCGCCCATCCTGATTTCAGAAATTTCCCTCAACCCATAAATTAAGACCTGGCGCTGCCCACCCGAGGCCTGGAAAATCTTCCAGGGAAATTCACCTTGGGTATTCCAACCAAGACCAGGAGCGTCAAAACCCCCCCGCCGTTTTGCTGTTTTGTCGGCTTAACGACAACACCCCCCCCGGGCTTCTGCCCACCCTTGAAGGCGCATTTGTCGCCGCATCCACCGCAGCTGCATCAGCCGCACCGCTTCTAGCACAGCAAATTAAGGCCTTTCTCGCCTGTCTAAAGTTTCCAGCACTTTTGACCCTCCACCCGTGCGCGCGCGACGACTGCCGAAGTCCACACCCGTACCGCCGCTGCCGTTCCTTTTCTCTCTCTCTCTCACCCGATCGACCTCTCAACCCCCAACAACATCGCCAAACACCTCGCGCTTCTCCTCTGGGTGCTCCGTCAACGACCCGATCGTTTTCTTCGGAAATGGCCGGCTCCTCCGATGCAGCATCCAAGGCGGCATCGTCGACCAACTCGCAGCCGGCTTCCTTGAAGTCGGTGGAGCTCCCCACCCGGTCGCCCCTGCTCGTTCCTCATGATGGCCAAGCCGCCAACGGCTCCGTCATTGCGGAACCCGTGCCGAAGGCTTCAGTCAAGGATCGCTTGACGCGCATGTTTTCCACCAAGGACAGCAGCCGCCCTGCCTCTGTCGACCCTGCCACCCAGCAGAAGAAGCAGATCCCGGAGAAGGCCTCGTCCACCGCATCCGGTGCTTCGACTCCGCCCAAGCCCAACCCGCCCTCGCGCAAGCCGTCCACGACAGACAAGGCCGCCGACAAGACTGCTGCCGCACCCAAGTCTGGCAAGTCTGTCAATGGCAACGCCCCGCATCAGCGTTATGTCGTCAACCTCGAGGTCCCTGGAGGTCATGAGCACCATCTGAGGTCAAGTCGACGGCAGGAGAAGCTCACGGACATGTTCCGAGGCCTTCTCGGCAAGAAGGCTGCAGAGCAGCCGGAAAATGACCTGTCCCTTGTCTCCAGCTGGGTCGACACTCTCAAGCAGGAGAAGGAGAAGGACATCCTTGCGGGTGATCGGAGAGGTGGGCCCAATGCCACGGTGACCCTTGTCGAGAAGTATGGAAAGTGCCAGGAGGTTGTCGGCCGTGGCGCTTTCGGAATCGTCAGGATATCCCACAAGAAGATGGAGAACGGCGTGGGCGAGAAGCTGTTTGCCGTGAAGGAGTTCCGACGCCGACCCGAGGAGACAGAGAAGAAGTACAGCAAGCGGTTGACCGCCGAATTCTGCATCTCGTCAAGCTTGCGCCACCCCAACGTGATCCACACCCTGGACCTCCTCAAGGATGCCAAGGGCGACTACTGCGAGGTGATGGAGTTCTGCGCCGGAGGTGACCTGTACACCCTCGTGCTCGCCGCGGGCAAGCTCGAGGTCCAGGAGGCAGACTGTTACTTCAAGCAGATGATGCGCGGTGTCGAGTACATGCACGAGATGGGTGTGGCGCACCGCGATCTCAAGCCCGAAAACCTCTTGCTGACCACGCACGGTGGCCTCAAGATTACGGATTTTGGAAACGGCGAATGTTTTCGAATGGCCTGGGAGAACGACGCCCACATGGTCTCGGGTTTGTGTGGCTCCGCCCCCTACATCGCTCCCGAGGAGTACGTCGACAAGGAGTTTGACGCCAGAGCGGTCGACGTCTGGGCTTGTGGAGTCATCTACATGGCCATGCGCACTGGGCGGCACTTGTGGCGAGTTGCCAAGAAGGACGAGGATGAGTTTTACGCCCGCTACCTAGAGGGCCGCAAGGACGAGGAGGGCTATGGTCCGATCGAGTCTCTCCATCGGGTAAGCGCCATCCTTTCTACATCGTGCTGTGGCATACAGCGATGCTAACATGCTGACCCATTCTAGGCTCGATGCCGGAATGTCATCTACTCCATTCTGGACCCCAACCCAACACGCCGCATCACGGCCTCCCAGGTTCTCAAGTCTGAATGGGGCCGCGAGATAAAACTGTGCAAGGCGGGCGAGGAGGGTCTCTAGCCAGCGCACCGCCATCTGTGATGACATTGACGTCGCAGACTAATGGCGGGCCACATCAACCTCTGGCCACTAGAATCTTTCCCGGGAAGACAGTGGCTACTTACTAGGCCTGCGTTATGCTGGCTTTGTTCTTTGCACATTATTCCTACTTCTTTTCCCCCCTTATTGCGAGAGGGTTCACCCCCTTTTCTTCCCACCATTTTCCACATTTCACGAACGATATGCCCGGCGAACAGAGCATCGGCGTTTGGCGTACAATGAGCGGATATCTGATTATCTCCATTTCCTTGACGTCTAATCTGTATTTATGAAGCCCACCAACCAACCCACCCGCTTCGAAAGACCCGCGTTCAAAGCATTTTGCATCCAGGAGCACAGGACCATTGGGATCAGCCAAACAACTTGGGATGCAAGCCGCGGGCAGCCAACAAACAAGGAAAGCACAGCAGCGCACAAGAGGCAGCGGATGAAAAAAGGATCGGAGTGATCGAGAGCGGTTGGACGGGACCGGAGCAGGCGGAGGGAGAAAAAGGAGGCAGGCAGGCAGGCAGGCAGGCAGGTGATACGGCGTGTTCGAAAAGGGCCTGCAGCGACGCACAAAGATGGGGGAAAAGACTGGATAGACCTCAACCATAGAACGAGAGGATATCTGAGTTTCCAACTTGCATGTTTGGGCGGCACCCCCCTTTGTCATTTTGGGCAGAGAAGCCCGCAGCATCATCATCATCATCATCATCATCATCATTATCATCACTGGCGGCTTATAATCGCTTTTTTCTTTTTCTATTAATTTTCTTTCTCCTTCTCTTTCTTCTTAGGTGCAAATAGCGAAAAAGCAAAGCGTAGCACCGAGAAAGGAATATACATTTATCTCACATTGGTGAGAAGAGCAGCACATTGATTTGAAGTTCCCAAAGGGTTGGTTGTTGTTGACGTGAACCAGTCAGTGAGCACACACTTGTTGACTGTTTTGGCATCGGAGGTCCGGTCTCTCCTTTTATGAGGAGCCGGTCCCTCCCAAAAGGACCAGATTAAAGGGGATGGATGATGTGATGACCTTGGAATAAGCTCTGCAAGTGCCACCGTGCGGACACTACTTCATTCAGCACAAGGAGGGCGACAGGACGCCCCTTGCCCCTGGAGATTTTCACCTACTGTTTGCTCTCTTGTTCTGTCACAGGTCTTGGCATGACCGGAGGAGCCTTGCCCAAAAGCCCACAATATCAAGGTCCCATACATCTATCTCTTGAGATGGAGTGAAGAGGTGGGGTGATGGTGGTGGTATGCAGCTCACTACGATCAATCCCTGGGGGGGACGGACACCCACCCCATCAAGATTTAGCAGAGTAGACACGGGGGAAAAGATTATCTCGTCAACCTTTCGATATACTACTATACAAACACCAGCAGACAGCACTCGACCTTTTGCCCTTTTTGCGCGAGATCAAGAAGCTTCGCCGGTGCAGACTCACATCCCGCCACCACCAGGCCATCGATGCAGGCAGACCTCCCCCCCTTCTTCCCAAGATACCTTGATCCCTTGCCAGAATATCCCCCCCATAGTTGCTCCCAACCTTTTTGCTCCGCAAGAAAGAACACATTTTCCCTGAATTAAGCCCCCCCCCCTGGTGTCGTTATACTCCATAAATAAGTTGTCCTGGTCATGGTAAGCATCTCCAGCCAGCTTTCCTGCTGCTGCTCCGAGAGAGCCTTGGGAATCCAAGAAGTGAAGTAGACAAGAAAAAGAAAAAGAAATAACAAGATATACAAAGAGAAGCGCCCCACCCCCCGGTCCAAACCCGCATGATTGTTCCTATTGCGAACGATAAATCCTGTTTGCCCATCCAATCGAGGCTCGTGAACCGTACCAAACAAGGCCACCTCGCGGCGCCATATTCCCGGCCGTTGTCGCAAATCGTAAGAAGGTCGGCCATGATATTATCTTCCATCTCGCTCGATTTGCCAAATGTGCGGCAGTCAAGGAGCACCAAAATTGCAAAGTCGTGTGGCAGACACGCAATGCATGATCCAGGAGGTTGTGCCGTGTAACCAAATGGAGATGAAGCAGAATGAAGGTTCTTCAAAGTATTGCATGGAAGCAAAGCGCAGGCCACAAGTGCTCAAGTCATCATCGTGAAATGCCATTCCGGCAAGCAGATACACGCCAAAATCAGAAATGCTTCTTTTAAGAGTGGAACAGATCCCAAGCACGCTCACACAGACGCAAGAACTCCTCTCGCTTCTGGCGCTGAGTCTCTGGGCTGTCGCGACCCTCGCCGAAAGGTCCGCGGCGCGTGGATGCGCGGCCCGTGCCAAGAGGCGGGCTGCCGCCCTCTTCGTACTCAGCACGCGTCCGTCGTCGGCTGGCACTCCTGGAACCGTCGATATGGCGCGGGTGGCCGGGTTGAGGCGATGGCGGAGTGGGTGGTTGATGGCCTCCGTAGTGTACAAGCTTGGGAAGCAGCTCTGGGCGTCCGCCGGCCATCTCGGCTTGAGCCTCTTCAGCCGACTTGTATTCACGCGGACGGCCTGGTGTCGGCGCCTGGGGCGGCGGGGGGTGGACAGGAGACGTCAGCGGACCCCTGGCGCTCTGCTGGGCGAACATGGCGTGGCCGGGGTTTTCAGGATGGCCCGAGAGACCCTGGCCAAAGACATCAGCAATGGGAGGCAGGCGGTTATTCGTTTGCGTGGCAGGAACATGGTGAATGTGAGAAGTGTTCGACAGCTTCGAGGGTTGGTTAGTAATGTGTCGCGTCAGCGGGTGATGCTGGATGCCGGTGAATGTCTGTCCGAGCGGTGCAGACTGAATCACTCGCTCGTTGGCAAAAGTCTCGTGCGACGGCGCGACAATCGAGAGGCCGGGAGGGGCCTTGTTACGCCTCGACATGCCTGGTGTTTTGGCGGCAAACTGGCTGACACCATCCTTGTCCTTGGCGCCCTCGGGGCCATCGCCCTTGGCGGATTGCTGCTGTAACCTAGCTTCGATGATGTGTCTCTGCTGTTCCCGAACAGACATGCTTCGCTGGAGCTGCTCCTTCATCGCCGGATCATGCGTGACGAAACCGGGAGAGAGGCAGGCCAGGCCGACTTCTTGGATGCCCAAGCCCTCTCTGGCAGTCATGGGCCTCGCAGTCTGGGGGACGATGTTCGAGGCATTGGAGCCCTTGGACAGGTCCAGTTTCCTCGGTCGGTGTCGAGGTGCCTGTTCTGGTGAGCCGGGCTCCTTCTTTACGATGATCTTTGGGGGACCTGCATTTCTGGTGCTGTGTGAAGCAAAGACACGACATGTTAGCGCATGCTGTGTGCGTACGTCTCAAACAGGGCATCACGCAACAATCACCACGATTGAGGGCCATCGTTTTGGAACCACCCGCTTCTGCACCGAGGGGCGATTCTGCAAAAGAGCAAAGGATGACTTACGCGCTGGGCGGGGAGGATTTGGCAGCTGTAGATGCTCCCTTGGGACTGCCACTCCCTGAGCGTCGTGCAGGCGCGAGGGGGGCGGCCGACGAGGCCGCTGCGGTGCGCTGTGCGGAGGGCGAGGTGGAGGAGGAAGGAGCAGCAGCGCTGAGAGAAGAAGGAGCAGGAAGATCGGCAGCAAAAGACGGCCTGTCGTGGGGAGCCGGTGAAGGGGCCATGGCAACGGCGGTGCTCATGGTGATGGTGGTGATTCTTGTGTCCTGGGAGGGGACAGAAATGGGTATATGGGTATTTCGTGCCTGCACTGCCAAAGCAAGCAAGGTATTCCGGACTTTTGACGGGGGCTGGAAAGGGCGCGGCGGCTAAGTCGTTGAAAAGTGGTCCCGCGCTCTCTGGCTCTTCCCAAGCCGTGTTTCCCGTCGACGAACTGATGCGCTAAGGCGACGTGGTGGAGGGAAGTGTCCAGGGGGGTGGGCGTGGTGGGATATGTACGGCACTCTCTGCTGTTCAATTCCCCCAAGCTTCTTTTTTTAAATTGGCCTGATGCAACCAGACTCGACACGACCGCGCAGCGCGAGGCCGTTATTTCCAACTTGCACGCCCGTGTAATTGGACTTTTCGGTCCCAGGAACTGGCGCGCAGCACGAACAGCGCAACCGAATTTGTGTTTCGCGTTTCCGGTGGGTGCAGCTTTTGGCTGAACTGGGTGTTTCCAGGAATGTTCCTTTCTTCTCGCTTTTAGGCCAACGATGGGTGGGACTAGGCGATCCTCGTACAGCTTCTGTGCGCTGACCCTCCCTGTAGCGGTAGCGGTGGCGGTAGCCTGTAGGTAGCGATGCAGGCGGGCAGGAGATCTAGGCGGTTCCTGATTCCTTGCCTTTCTCTTCTTTCCTTCCCTCAACTGTCTGGCCGGCTCGTCCAACTTTCCCTTTCGGAGTCTCTTGCAAAAACGATCGATTTTTTAGAGACTTCCCAGTCGTATGCGGCGGGAGTGAGTCGAGTGTACTCGTGCTCTGGCGGTAATCGATAGTTGCTCGCGCTCGTGGGGCGCGTTGCAGTAGAGGAGAGAGAGGAATCCACTCCACCAGAGGAGCAGGGTCGCTAACGAGTAGTTATCGAATAGATATGCGTGTTAACAGGTGGGTGGCACGAATGGCAGCGACCGCACACCACAATTACTCTCCAAAAACTGCAGAAAACGAAGCGAAGGACTCGTGCTGGGAACAGCAGCGCAACAGTAAGAAGAGAGGACGGAGGTTTCTTTTTGCAGAATGGAGAGAAGCGGCGGGAGAGAGAAAGGTGGGAGGAAAAGAGAAGGAAGAGGGAGAGAGAGGGCAGAGCACAGACGAGGAGGGGCAGTTGGCATGGGATAAGAGGAGGACGGGGGCCCTGGGGGCCCTTTGGGCTGGTGGAGGAGGAGGAGCTGGGTGATGGTGGGACGGAGTTTTAGGGGGGATTGGACAGGGGCCGTAATAGGGCGACGTGGTTGGTTATGAAAGGGGGAGCGTGGACCAGCACCAGTAGAGTGATACAGTCCTGCGTGTGAGATCTGTGGGCTTACAAGGCGAAGGCGACTCTGGGCAGGTACCTACCTCAAACTTGGCTTGCTTGGGCAGATGCCCCTGTCCATCAATACCGCACGCATCCATCTTCTCTCTTTTGGGTCCTCGGCAAGACTACGGAGTACGGAGTACAAATAGTTACAAGTACAAGTGCCTACAAGTACAGGTAGCTGCGGCGTGGCTTGGAAGACGCTCGATGCTGTTGCTGGCCTATGCTGCCATCGTGGACCGGGGGCGTTGCCATGATTAACACGTTTGAAGTAGGCTTGTCTGTCCTGAGATCCCTGACAAACTGGGGCTGAAAACGTGTGGATGGGACGACGATGTGCCGGCTTGCTGGCCCTTTTGGACAGACAATTCATCATTCATGTTTGCTTGATGCCGGCGACTTCTCTCGTTCAAACTCCCTTCCCTCCAGACGCCAGACAGAAACGGGAGCTTGTCCTCTTGCCATTCTCTCTCCATCTGTAAAAGCCAACACTGACTTCCAAGGTTGTATCTTCAAGGTACCTCCTGGACGCTAGAGCACCTCACGTACAAGTACTCCGTACCTGTTTGAAGGCTTTTCTGGAGTGGTTGGTGGACACCCGCGTGCCAGGGCGGCCGTTTTTACAAGTAGTTACTTGGGCTTAGGCTCCCCCCCCCTTGGGAGTCGCTGGAGTTGTTGGATGGGGCAGGGGTAAAGGGGATGGGGATCACTGGATGGGGAGGGGGGACTTCAATGGGCGGGGCCACGCTTGAGCTCCGTAGGGTGTTTTACCTTGATGCTGGCTTTGCCCGCAAGTCCACACAATGGTGCGGCCATGCTGCAGGGCCACGCTCGACCGCGCGTTTCTGATTGGCCAGCCCCCTGTCTTCCGAGATCGACCTGACGGAGCGACTTACTTCACCTTCGTAGTCGCTGAAACCCATAACCAGGTGCCAGATCATCAACAAGCTCTCTTGTGACGGCCGAGTGCTGTCGGTCTGTCAGAGATGCCTGGCCGGTGGCGGACCTGTAGGCTAGCCGCAATGCTACAGGAGAGGAGGCACTGGAGGACGGAAACAGAAACCGGGAACGAGATTGGGATTGACTCATCGTCGAGGCCGATCGCTGAACACCCGTTGTTTGCCAAATTCCTGCAGTCTCCCGGCAGTGCATGGACATGTTTATGTCTTGTTCTTCTTCCTCCAACGGCTCATCAGTTGGATAAAGCCAGTACCTCCTCCTTACCCAACTTGATGTAAGGTAGGGACATACGGAGTAGCTACGCCTTATCCGACATTTGTTCCAGCCCGCAAAGCCCATTTCGTACCGCTGATAATTCATGCCGCCGCGAAGAGGCGCGTTTGCTCGGGGCCAATTCTCATTGGCAACATTGGAAGACCAGATCGGCTTCTCACTCTTCTTTCTTATTTTTCTTGTTGGCTGCTGCTTTTCTGCTGGCTGCAAAGACCCCTGCCCAAGACTTGCTGCAGAGTCCCTTTACTAATAACCTCAGCGAGGGCTCGGCAGTAAGATCGTGACACAAAGAGAAAGCAGGACAGGTACCTATTATCTTCTGTTATTAGAGCTGCGTCAATAGTACGCTGCTGCAACTGCCACCCATCCTTTTCGTGTGCCTGGGCTGGCCACTGTATTCGACACATCCGTCACTCCGAAAATCTCTTTACATAGACAGCCATAATTAACAAACCCCCTTGCTTCGCCCTCCAGCCGCACCACCTACACCAACTTGTAGGTACACCACCTTCCACATAGGCAACTTGCTCTCATTGCCAATCTGTGCCATGTGGGGGGTCTGGCAAGAATTCACAAGTACCTGTCGAAGTCGAGGCTTGGACTGTCGAGACCTTCGGGGAGGATGACCACACGGGCCACTGGCTCTTTAGCAAGGATCGCCCGTGTCCCCTCCACAAAAAGAATGCGTGACAACGCACCGCTGGCAGATCCTCATCAGCTCTCCTCGATCGGAGTTCTCGGCAGCTTGCTTAGCTTCTTTGTCCAGACCGCACGCGGAGCACCACACCGAGATCTCCACGAGAAATTCGCATTACAGGAAATCGTCGATAGACCGAGACTCCTTTTTCGAACAAATCCCACTTCCTGCCTGTGCGCACCCGTGAACGATACGATAATGTGGCTTAGGATGAGACATGACATGGGGCCCGTGACATTCACGACAGGGCCCCAAACCCGCAAAGCTGGTCGTCTCACATGGTACGGCCGAGGTACACCTTGAAAATGAGCCCTGCATGTTCCCCTTCCCCCCTGCCGTGCCTCGTTGACTTGCAGACGGGCTCCTCCTTCGTATAAAGCCTCTTGGACGTCCACCAAATTGCGGTCTGTCATGCCCTTCGCAAACTTGCAGGATGCCGCCATTTGCCATGGATCATGCATTCCCCTCCCTCTGGTCGACACAGCTGCTGTCAGGCAAGGCATGCGCTGTTCGACGCAGCCGGAAGAGGAGGAGGAGTCAATGGTCAACCCCCCCCGGGCGACACAAGCGTTCGAAACTGGGAAGACAAAAGATGAGAGAGCCCTGGTCGTTAGCTACGGAGCACCGTAGCATCTGCACAGACTTGCGTTCCGTCCCTGGTACATACGCGAGTGAAAAAAGATCGAGCCGAAACGCATATGCGCCGCCAGTCCCACCCAAAGTCTTGCCTTTTGTTCTATCTGGATCCTGAAGACTCTTGAATGTTCACTAGTTGCACTTATCTCTAGAAGCCTCGGTGGTTCGTGGTCATGAGACAGTCCGGCTCGCTTCTAACGAACAAAAAAGAAAAGCAGTCATCCACACACACACACACACACTCCTCTCACACCAAACTCGAGGAAGGGGGAAGGGACAAAAGACAATTCCCAGCAGCCTGTCGACCGCCAGCCAAAGTCTGGACATCGCGGTCTCCGACCAATCAGCCCGGCGGTTTAGCTCCCTCCCCTGGATTTGAAACAGACGTAGCGTGGTCGCCGCCCACCATTGGCTGTGCCATATCCTTGGCGGCGGCAGAACAGGGGTCGCTTGGTGTCAACGAAAAGGACCCAAGCTCAACGCTTGGACATTGGCTTCAAACATCGTTAATCTCGTGCTTTGGGGGGGGGTGTCCTCTACCTTGGCAGACTCAAGTCCCCGAGGCCCGTTTCACTTCGTCATGTGAGTCCCTCGCCTGCATGAGAGATGGCATCTGTCCCTTGAGATCGGATAGACTCATTTCTTGCCAAATGCGCTCGCTGCACGTAGCATGGCACCGCCGCGGCTTTGGTTCAACCTGATCTACCGAACACGAGAATCTCATTTGCCTGTGGTCGGACAAGAAATGCAAAGAGGCGCAAATGGGGGTCCTGTTTGTGCGACAGAGTGCGGCTCGTAAAGGATCGAGACACGGACAAGCCTGCATTGTACATCACAAGAGATCCCCCTCTTGCGCCTTTTCTTTTCTCGCCTTTCCTTTTTTCTTCTCTCTCTCTTTTGTTTTTTCGCCTGTCAGATGCCGCGATGTAGCGCACACCTACATGACGGACGGCCGCGCACACCGACGCACACCCTGCAGCTTGCCGCGCGCCAGAATATCTTATTGCCTTCTATTGCTTCCATGTCCGAGATGTGCGCCTGTTTTTTCTTCTTCTTTCATACCTGGGAGTTTTCCGCCCACAGGGTGACATGAAGTGGAGTTCATGCAGTCTATCTTGTTTTCAGTCTGGGCTACATGGCCAGGCCAACAGTTGGGTTGAGGTGTGATATGATCAACGTCTATGTTGGTGATATCTTTCGGTGAGCCACCTACAGTTCAAGTTCGTGTTGCAGGTTGGTCCGGATAGCGCCTTGTTGAATCCCCAACCGCCAACGTAACCCAAGAAGAAGTACATATCTGATGTGTCATTTTGGACACCATCACCTGTAAACTTTGAAACCTCCGGGGTTGGTAGGCCAGAGAAGAGAATAAGAATTCGTGGTCCGGATTGGAAATGGTTAGGTATGAAGCGTGATGTCACTTAGACCAACAGTGGGCCGGGCGTTTTGCACCTGCTGGCTGGCTGGTTTGGTTTTGGTGCAACGCCCGTGGTTGCGGAAAACCTACCAGAGAAAAAAAAGCTACCCGTTTCCCCATTGAAAAATTTATGCCCCACCACAAGTACATCTCCAAGCCTCGTGCATAGCGGAAGTGACTTATCTCACCATTGTCAAATTGATATCTTTGATCAGAGATCGTACGTCAACCGGGTTCACGACAGAAATCAAGGACGAGAAAAAGATGCCTACGAGGTCCAAAGCCCGCAAGGAAGAGCCCCAGGAGGCCGTCGCCGCCGCCGCCGACGTCGCCATGGAGGACGTCCCTACCTCTGCGCAGCCCGACGAGGGCGAGGATGTGGATGTGGATGCCGACGAGGCAGATGAGGACGAGGATCAGGAGGAGCCGGAGGCGCAGCGGGTGAAGCTCGTGAGTGAAACGTGACTTGACATCTCCGAGGTGGGACATCTCATGCTAATCGGATGCAGTTGCCCGGGTCGACTGCGACTGCTGCCTCTTTCGAGTTTCTCGACGAGGGCCACACCCTTGGCAATGCGTTGAGATACATCATCATGAAAAAGTATGGCATTGTCCACGTTTCTCATAAGACATATGCAGAGTTCTAATCAGATTTCTCAGCCCTGATGTCGAGTTCTGTGCCTATGCTATCCCGCATCCTTCAGAACCAAAGATGAATGTCAGAATTCAGACCTATGGTGAGCTTCTTTACTCCAACAACTCATTAGGTTGAGTTGGCAAACACTTACTGACTCGACATGCAGAGGGCACAACGGCAATTCAGGCACTGGAGAAGGGGCTAAGGGACCTGCAAGACCTTTGCGATGTGGTTGCTGATAAGTACGCGGTCTCACGTGAAGAGTTCACCAACGAGATGCAGGCGTAAGTGTCGTGGTTGCAAGCTAGTAGGATTTTGCATGGGACAGGGTGTTCACGGCGTTCAGATCGAAAGGGAAACTAGGAAAACTTTGATGATGCATCGATTCTTGGTATTTACAAAGGGCATACCGAATGCCCCCCATCTTCTAATTCCGGCCCTTTCCCTTGCTGTTAGTACGATGTTCTGATAATGGTCGTTGCTGGTCTTGGCAAAAAAAACTCACCTCCAGGAAGCCCTCCATGAAGTTTGCGGGTAACCTCTTGTCGCCGCGGAAGTTCTCCTCCTTGAAGTACGACATGATATGAGTGGTCTGGCGCCAGAAGTTCATCGTCTCCTACAGAAGCCGTTACTTGATTAGCCCTCTTTCCCAACATGCCCTCCGTGACTGTATGCGACAAGGCGGGTTCCATCAGAACTGTTCTTCGTACCTGGTAGTCGGCAGCGCTCTGGAAGAGGAGGACATCGATAACAGGCAGCTTGTTGACGTAGCGGTGTCGCTCGAATTCCTGTCTCATTCGTGTCCTGATGACCGAAACGGGGAGCGGAACGTTGTACATCGTCTGGATCTCGGGAGCCTGGATCGAACACAGTGTAAGCACTTGGGCCCCCCATGACATTGTGGAAATCCCATTCCATCGAAGCCTCCGAGTTTCCCACGGGTAAAGAAGTCGTTCAAAACGTACAGCACGGAGCCAGTCCCGGTAGGCACAGAGAACTCGTCGCTTCGCATCGTTCCAGTTGACGGCTGTCCGGGAGGGTCAGTAAAGCTCAATTGCACGGCTCGATCTCGAAATCTTACATTGCCGCGTCCGCTGCGCGAACTGGGTGGGTGTAATCGCCATAGCTGACGATCAATCGCTCGCGGTGGTTGATTGCAGTTGGGGGGATCTGTCGTCAGTTCGTCAAGTCTCGGACCGACCAAGGCTAGAGGGAGCGCCGGGGGAACAATGCGCATCACGTGGAGAGTGAGTGTGCTTGGAGCCAGTCGAGCCACACAGGTTAGTCAGCTGAAATTTCCAACGCCACGCCCAGGTAACTAGCTACAAGGATCTCGGGGTCGCTTCTCTCAGCCTTGCCCCACTACCATCCCATCCCAAACAACGAGCCCGAAAGATAGACACCCGATTCCCTCGACGTCCTCGAGGCTTACGACTTCCGACGACCAGGTTGTGGTTCTGAGTGACCGGCGCCCTCTCATAAATTGGCAATCATGCCCGCGATCAGACACGCTTCCAAGCGCAAAGCCCCCCCAGAGGGGTTCAGCGACATCGAGGATGACCTGTTGATCTTCAGCAACAAGATGAAAGATGCGCAGAATACTCCTACAGACAACATTCCCAAGCACCAGGCGCAATGGCCCATCTTCCAGATTTCACATCAACGGAGTCGGTACATATACGAGCTCTACTACAAGAAAGAGGCGATCAGCAAGAAGCTCTACGAGTGGTTGCTAAAGAACGGCTATGCGGACGCCATGCTGATTGCAAAATGGAAAAAGGAAGGCTATGAGAAGGTACGTCAGAGACATCTTGGACATCGGCTCTCTTTCCTATCATGAATAGGAGCTAATGATGGTCTCCTGTTTAGTTGTGCTGCCTGCGGTGTATTCAAACCAAGGAGACCAACTTCAACTCGACCTGTATCTGTCGCGTACCGAGGGCTGAGATGAAGGATGATCGAGACATTCAGTGCGTCAGTTGCGGATGCCGTGGCTGCGCAACTGGCGACTAAGATTTAATGTTTTTTCTGTTTCTATCAAGAGCTTTCAATGCACAGCACGGACGGGTGTATCATTGGCATTGGCGTTCAGGTTCTTTGGGTCTTTCTGGGACGGGCTAGATCATGAGAAAAGATTTCCAGAGGCTCAACTCGGCGTTGAGTACACAGATACCATGAGAAAATTGTCATCGTTCAGGCATATTATCGTCATTCATGTATGTCATTATTTGCCCCCCCCTTCGTCCCCCCCTTGCTCGTCATCTGGACGGCTTAGCGGCGCGAGAAGCCAGCTCTGCCGCCGCGTCCAAACCGGATGCTTGGGGGCACGAATTTGAGAGCCGACATGGCTCCAGTCAGATCATCCATATCAACATCCGGGACTTCGCGCGGATCCTCGGTTGCCTTCGCCCTTGTCTCTCCAGACTCGAGCTTGTCCGCTGCTGGTGCCGCCTTTGGTTTTCCTTCTGCAGACGATGATGACTCTGCAATGCTTGCCCTTCTCTGTTCGTCCTTGATACTTGTGTGCCGGCCCGACGACTTCCGCCTGTGCCCATATCTACCATCTTGCAGCAATGACTGCCTTCCATCGATGCCGTCTCGTGTGACAGCAAAGAAGAAATTCTTTGGATACAGGTGCTTGTCAATCAAATGGCGCCGCCGTTTGTCCGGTGTGGCGCATTTCCTGTCACACCCCTCCACGAAGCATGTATACTGTCGCTCATTAGCAACGAAGTGAAGTGGCACGACGAAAGACGGATTATGCGACGCTTACGGTATGCTCCCCCTTCTCTCGCCTCACCGCTGCAAATGCATCGTGGCATTCTTCGATGTGCACGGCCAGCAGATGGGCGGAAGGAAAGTTCTTTCTGCACTCGAGGCACTTGTTCAGGTGAGCCTTGCTGTAGTGGGACTCATACTCGTCGTAGGAGCCGAAGAAGAGAGCGTCCTTGTGCAGGAAGCACCTCATTGCTGGCGAGGAGGCGGTTTCGGAATCAGAAAGATCGAGCTCGGCGATCTTGTTGTTGTGGTTGCCCTGTGGAAGCGCTCTCTCGTCTGGCGTCGGAGGCTCTAGGTCATCGCTGCCAGGCGTCGACGGACTCGGCGACTCTTCAGGCTCGCGTGAGCGCTTCATTCTCTTGTAGCAGACGTGATAGTGGTTTGGGCTCTTTACTTAGTTGCAATGAGACGGAAGAGAGATGTTCCCCACCTCTTCACAGAACCCTCTGAATACCACACAACTCGTACTTGACTTCGATGTGTCCCCTCGACCGGGTAGAGTGGTGGTGATTGGTGTAGCGAGGATTTCAATTTGAGAGTTGCCACTCAAGGGTTACCAGCAAACAGAGCATGAAACAAATAACTTCTCTGGTTGGCTCTGTCACAAAGATCAATGTGAATACTTGAAATGTTTTCAATGTAGTGACGATTCAAGCAGCCAGCGGTGAGATGAGATGTTCATCCCACCTCTCCCCACTTCACTTCACAGTGGACAGGGATTAAATCTCAGCGGGGTTTGGCAATGAAGCTCCAGGCCTGGTAGGCCGGGCCAGGGCACTGAGCCAGGGCACTGACTGTGCCGGCCAGTTGGCATGGTTTAGCGCCCTTGACGTCCATTGGCCCATCACGGCACCTCCACACGCTAGGCGAAATTAGGCTGCGAACGTGGCAGGGAGAAGTCCGTGCTCACTAAGGTTATTCCAATGTCTGGCAGGCCCAAAGACTGTGAATAGCCTCATAACTAATTGCTCATGTCTTTTGGTTGCGGTTGTGCTTTGTTTCTTTGCCCCCCTGAAGCTGTTTGAAAATCCCCTAGCACTATAGCCCCTTTGAGGACCGTCGTCTTTTTCTCACTTCTCGTTTAGCCTTGCCAATGTTCGCCCTACCTGTTGCTTATTTCGCAGAAGACCAGGCTCGCCCCGATTTAGGATCTGCCGACCCTCCAGCTCCCAACCCACACTTTTCGAGATATGGACCGGGCCATTGTCCAGAACTTTGTCTCGACCTTGTGTGATTTCCGTGGCCCTTGATTGCTCTCGAGCGCTTCTTCTTCTTCTTTCTTCGACGCCACTGGCATCGGACCCCGACCCTTTCCACCACGCTCCGCCAGCAGCACCCTTTGCCCTGGTCACCGGGTCGCCTGGCTTCGCGCAAGTCGCAATCATGGCCAACACAGCTGAGATCGGCTACCAGTAAGATTACTCTTCCTCCCTCTAGATCCTTCTTCCCGTCTCATTCATGCTGCAAGCTCGTTGGCTTATTCTGGTCTTGGTTGACTGACTTTCATTTTAGGAGTGTTAAGCGTGCTCTCCAGGCTCTGCACTCGAAGCTGGGACAAGCTGACCTTGAAGGAATTAAGCGTTCCGAGCTGTCCTACTTTGACGAGTTGGAGAGACTTGTGGAGCAGTAAGTGCCCTGTCCCAATCTCGTCTTGTTTGGGTTGTAGTCTCATGCGGAATACCAGGGTTCGATTGGCTTGCGTGGCTACGATCTTCCAGGACATTAAGTATGCCCATGAGAAGAAGGTCTGGGCAAGCCTGTGGCAATGCCACACCTTGATCAACACAAAGTATCGCAAGACGGAGCAGAAGCTGCGAGACAGCAGACAACAGGTCCTGCTCCGTAAGGTTGAGCAGGCCCATAGCGCGCACCTGCATACTGCCCAATACTTCTACAGGGGCTATATCCAGCGCCTGTCATCACGTTATGAGCTCCCAGTGCTTCAGCGCCTTCTCCGCTCTATGGGAGCCGAGCCCATTGCAGTGAACGAGGCTGAAGATGCCCAGAGCGCTCATTTGGAGACAGAAGTCAGGCTGTCCTTCTACGAGACTCTCCTTCATCTTGGAGATCTTGCTCGCTACCGAAACCAGGTCAGGACTAAGAGGTCTTCCTTGGACACGGCTCGCAGGTACTACAGCTTGGCTCAGGACCTTGTGCCGTCCAGGGGCGACGCCCATCACCAGATGGCAGTTCTCTACATCAAGGAGGAGAATCGGGATTTTGAGATCATCTACCACTTCTATCGTGCCTTGGCTGTTGAGCACCCGCACCAGAATGCCCTGGATAACCTCAAGCAGGCGGTTGGCAAGGCGGTGTCCCAGAATCAGCGTGGTGGCTATGCTGCCCTGGATCCTCAGCGGATGTTCGCCCAGTGGTTCTCCCGCTTGCATGCGCGATTCTTCCTTGGCGAAGTCTTTACCGGACAAGACGAGCTGGAGAAAGAGGTTCTACACCGGTTCGAGATATTGCTCCGATCGCCGGCCAATTCTGATTTGCTCCAACAAGCTGTCTTGGTCAACATCTCGGCATACTATGTAGCTGTCCAAAAGACCAGAGGTGTGTTGTGCTGCCGGTCTTTTCTCTTCCCTGACCCTTGGAATGTTTACTAACTACTGCCGAAGAAAACTGGACCCTCAACGGATCACGCTCGAGCCAGTTTATTCTACGTTGCAATGTACGCTTCATCACTGTGCTGAGCAAAGTTGTCAATTCTCGGGTCGAGAAGATGACGGCTAGCTCGGAGGCTACGGGTCAGAAGGACGGTAAGGGACAAGATGAAGACGTAGACAGGTCACTCCAGACAGCTCTGCGTCTCTTAAGGATATATCTCGCTTGGATCTACACAAATCGTGACGACCTTGTCAAGTTCCAGGAGCACCTGGAACCTTACATCTCAGACATGCACGAGTGTCTGACCGAGTGCCTGTCCACATCAGCTCGAATCCTCCTAGAGGCCGAGGTGCGAGACAGCCTGCCTTATCTTTTGCCAGAGGACGTGGAGGTTTTGGGTCTTTTGGCCCTCAAAGACTGGGACAAATACCGGTGCTACGACGATGGCTCGCGCAAACCACACTACGACGACTGGACAGGCTTGAAACAGCCCCAAGGTGCTGATGACCTGGCGCGCCTCTATGACCTTGTCATCTGCGGTTGTCACCTCGCCATCGACAAATCTTTCCCCTATATTGAATCCCGGATTCAGGAAGGTGGCCGCGAATGGAGTGGCATTGCCTATGTCAAGAACTACCAACCTCCTGTCCCTGAGTATCGGTCTCCCACTCAAGACACCGGCAAAGGTGTTGCAGACTTGACAGACCAGTTGGAGCAGTTACCCGCATCGCTCGATCAGCCCTCCCGTCCCGAGTCAAATGACTTCAACGTCGACGCAGAGGTTTTCAGTCGTGTCAACGACTTCCTCACACCTCCCGAGGTGACCCCGACTGCAAGGGGCTCGACCAACGTCCAGAGCACCTCGTATGGAATGAACACTTCCACTGCCAATGACGTGTTTGACGGCGCCGGTGCCAGCAGCCCCAATGCGGGCGCCGCGTTTACGAGGCCTATCCCAAGCCTCCCGTGGGCACCGACCTTCTCTCCTACCTCTTCATCCGCGTGGGACGACGGCGCATTCTCATCATCAAAAGCACACGTCCGCCAGGCATCTTTGGAGAATCCCTTCGCCGCCGGTGCTTTCGACGGAGGACTCCGCCGGGCCTCGAACAACCCCTGGGATGTCGACCAACCGCCGACCGGCCTGGACCAACAGGAGGCGCAGCCAGCCGCACAGTATGCGGGCTGGAACACGCAGCGCGACCCATACGGCACCGCCGCCTTCTCGCCCACCAGCGGCGGTGACGAGGCAGGCCCTTCCGGATGGCAGAATGCGATGGCGGCCTACTCGTCCGCCGCCAACGACGCAAGCGGATTGCAGCAAGCATCCGCTAGCACTTCGGGACTGGGCGGATCCGCCCTGCATGGCACCGAGGGCTACTCCTTCCCGGGATCTATGAACTTTTCCGCCGCGTCGACTTCCAGCCTCCCACCGGTCAACAGCCCACGCGGCCTCCCGCAGCAGAAGCAGCAACGCCAGCAGCAGCGCCACCACCACCAAGTGGCTACCTCCACCGCCGCCCCCCCCGCAGCACTTCTGCCCCTGCAGCAGCAGCAGCAGCAGCAGCAGCGCCACCAGGAGCCGCGGCGCTTCGACCCGACCGGCCGCCCGATACCGCCGGGGTCCAGGGAGGGCCTCACGGCGGCGGGCCACGCCAACGTCAGCAGCCAGTGGTACGCGGCGACGACGGCGTGGGGTCAGGCGCCCTCGTCGGCGGACGACCCGACGCACTTCCGCAACCGGACGCGCAACTCCAAGGCCATGCAGGCCTCGCGGGCGTACGACAAGAACGCGCTCTACAGCGCCTACGAAGACTACGACAACAACAACAAGAAGAAGCCCGCCAAGCCCGGTCCTTCTCGCTGAAGATTGTGATGTGATGAGCCCGGGGGGGCGAGACGCATCTTTCTACTCTTTCTTCTTCTTTCTCTCAGTTGACAAACGATGACCACCCAGCGGGGCTGGGTAAGGTCTCTGGAATGGCAGCTACCGAGATCTCTGCGTGATCGTCATGGATCTTTTTCTTCTATTCTTTCATTCTGGTTTTCTTTTTCTATTTTCTGCTGATATCTCTAGAGGAGTCACATGGATCACTCCTAGCCATTCTTCGTATGCTTGTTTATATTGACGGAATGGGCGCCATCGCCGGGAGCATGGGGCGCACCATAAGGCGGCGAACGTGGGAATTTCACAGTTGGAAGGCTCGTCTGGTCAATATGAGCTTTCTCCATCCCACAATGAAATGCGGTGTTCAGTCACGCTTCTTATTTTCCTTGTTTTCTATGGATAAACAGCCAATTCTTCTCAAGGCTGTTTCGGGCCGAAGGAGTTGATGTCACTCCGGCCCAGTGGTATCATGAAGTTGAATTTCAACCGTTTGCTAGTTCGTAAAGATCCGGAAACCTGTTTGTGTGTTCCTGTTGTTGAAACCTGACCGTCTCTCTATTTTTTCCCCATTGTGCCTCAAAAAAACGCCTAGCTTTGCTTGATGATGAATCTGTGATGGGATGCAAGTCGTCCCTCCAAAGTGGACTTAGGCGGACGGGGTGTAGGTCTGCTTGGGGAACGGGTATCTTGATTTCATTCCACGTTAGTTACTTGATCTTGACTGATGAATGCTGGGGAAGGGGCAGATTGTGAACATTGCTTGGCTGTATGGAGACGCGGGGAGAACCCAAGCGTGGGCACTGTTTTGTCGCGTTCCGGCCTTCATGATAGCAGAAATACAAAGGAATTCTGAGAAAACTTACGAAGGACCCAGCTCCTGGATGCTGAGACGAGCCAGCCACTGGCCCATGTCGACCGCCTCCTTGAGAGAGCGGCCCTCAATGACACCGGCGCAGAAGCCGCCGGCAAAGGCATCGCCAGCGCCGTTGGTGTCGTTGATCTTCTCCTTCTCGATGACGTGGACGGGGTACTCGTGGACGGCGTCCTCGCCCTGGACGGCGATAAAGGTGGGCTCGGTGCCCTGGGTGATGATGGCGACGCGCTTGCGCTGCTTGTTCTCCTTGGGCAGGTTGGCCATGTGCTTGGCGATCTCCTTGAGGTCCTTGGTGGCGAGCCCCTGGGACTCGGCGAGGGCAAGGGCCTCGGTCTCGTTGCCGATGAGGTAGTCGATGTAGGGCAGAGCGGCGTTCAGGGGGTCCTTGAAGAACTGGGGCAGGAAGGGGGCGGAGATGGAGAAGATGAGGGGCTTGTTCTTGGACGCGGCCTCCTTGGCGAGCTCCATGATGGCGGGAGGGCAGACTATTCACGACCGGCAGGTAAGCACGAGCTCGCTGGATGACTAGCTTGGAAAGAGAAGAGCAATTGCGTCGGGGGGGAGGAGCGTCATACCAGTCAGGTGGTAGCCACCGATGTAGAAAGCCTCGGCGTTCTCGACGAGAGCCCAGATCTCGGGCTTCTTGAGGTGCTCGAGGTCGTAGTGGTTGGCGGCACCCAGGTCGGTGCACATGCTGCGGTTGTGGCCGGTGATGACGACGCCGCAGCGGCCGGTGGGCTGCTTGGGGTCGACGCGGTACTCGACGCGCAGACCGGCCTTCTTGACAGCGTCGTGCAGGATGGCAGCGTACTTGTCGTCACCGACACCGCCGAGGTAGACGACGCTGTTGGGAGGCAGCATGTACTGGGCGCCACGGGCCGTGTTCTGGGCGGCGCCGCCGGCGATGAGCTTGGCATCGTAGTTGTTGAGCAAGTCCTCGTAGATGCCCAGGTGCTTCTCCTCAGCCAGGATGGCGTCGTTGGGCTTGAGGCCGTACTTCTCGAGCAGGGCGTCGTTGCCGACAGCCTGGATGTCTATTTAATCCCGAAAGGGATGGGGGGTGTAAGCCGAAGCCAAAAGCCCATCGTGTCCTCCCCCCGCAGTTTCTGGAGAGTGTGCACACAATGTCTTCCCGAAACAAGATTGAATTTTCCTTACCGAGAAGGGGGTTCTCCAGGCAGAGGAGACGGTATTCCTTGGAGGCGCTCATTGTGAATGTCCTGCGGGCAATTGCTGGCGTTGTGTTGAGGAGAGTTCTCGGAGGAATGTTGCAAGAGACAGAGAACCGATATTTGAACAGGTTGGTGGGGTTGATCGGAGACCTGGCGGCGGGGTTTCGAGGTGCTGACAGCACGGCAGTTCGCCCTGCACAGCAGGCGACGGCCTGGGAACGGACTAAGGTTTTCAGCATGTTGAATTGCCTCCCTTGTTAGAAATTGAAAGCTGAGTTGGCCACTCCTTTTGTACGGCCGGCGATGGGATTGGCAATGGGCTATGGGGTCATTTGGAACCAAAACGGATCGAAATCATTTGAGATGATTGAGGATCAAGATCGAGCCGGGAGGGCCGTTGCTGGTTTTCTAGACAGGCCGTCAGTCATACGATTCAAGGTCATGGGTACAAGCATCGGCAGAGCCAAACTAGATCATCATGAACACCGTCATTAGCGCGGCTCGCCGATGGACCACATCAGACCTAGGAATCTAATAAGCAACCCAGCTACCCTGGGGGCACTTTGTCCGTTGGAATAACGCTTGGCTTTAGCACTCTTAGGATACAATGCCCAGTTCCACGAGGCATTGTTGGTAGTGTAAACAGCCATGGTCTCGTCCGCCCGTGACCAAGCAAGGGTCAGAATGGGTGATGGAAGTGTATTGAGGGATGGCCAATGCATTGCTAAATATGCATGTCACATTTGAGCATCACAGGTGTCCCCATTGACGAGAGGAGACAAGGGAGGTTTGCCGAATAGTGAAGGCCTTTTTCCACCAGGCCGTCAACCAGATCATCCGTATCTTAGGTACTTACCCTGCTCCTGGATCCGAGGCAGGTACGAGTGAAAACGCCGTTTGTATTCATTATGATCGCACGCCGAGCCGTGAGCACTTTTAGCTTTTGGTTTTTGGAAATGTTTTTTTATTCCAGGAATGCCGCAGGGAATTGCTAGCAGAGCATGCTCATTTTGCCCTCCCAAGTGTTCCATACCAACAAAACAAAGCAAGATGCAGTCCGTTGAACCCCAGCCCCAAAGTCGAACCGTGAAACCCTTACTCCTTGGTCTTCTGGGTACCGCGCAACAGACCCGTCCTTCTCGCAGCAATAAGACCCGCCTTCTGACCGGAAGAAGCGTATCTCGAGATGGTCGAGGCCTTACCGATATGCTGGTGGTTACCACCACCGTGAGGATGGTCGACGGGGTTCATGGCAACACCACGGGTCTTGGGCCAGCTGTTGCGCTTGACGGCGAACTTGTGCTTGGCACGCGAAGCCTTCAGGAGGGGCTTGTCGGTACGGCCACCACCGGCAACAATGCCGATCATGCCACGAGCGCTGCTGCTGACGACCTTCTTGGCACCCGAGGGGAGCTTGATGCGGGTCTTGCCCTCGTCGGGGTTGTGGCCAACGACGGTGATGTAGTTGCCCGAGGTGCGGCCCAGAGTACCGCGGTCGCCGACCTTCTCCTCGACGTTGGAAACGACGGTACCCTCAGGAACGGAAGCCAGGGGCAGGATGTTGCCGACGGTCAGGGCGGCCTTCTTGCCGGCGTAGACGAACTGGCCGGTGTACATGCCCTCGTTGGCGATGAAGGTCTCGGTGTGCTGCTTGAACTTGTAGGGGTCACGGAAGACGACGCGAGCCAGAGGGGCACCACTGTGAACTCTGTTAACCTCCAAACTCCTCCCTCCGCGACAAAAGGTGCTTCAACTAACCGGCCGGGGTCGTGGATTATCTCAGAAACAACACCGCGAGTGTAGCCATGGCGCTCAGCGTAGTCGAGGGTTCGGAACCTTTACATCGCATCTCGTTAGTCCTGTCATCCTTCCGTATTTCCCCAATCCAATGGAATCCAAGGATCCAACTCACTTCGCCGGTGCCTTTCGGAGACGGGTGACCGCCTTGAAGATGGTGGACGAACCCTTTCGTTGGTTGCGAATCTGGAGACGAATGCATGATCAGTACGACTGAGGAATATTTGCGTCGCCGTCGTTGTCGCCGTCGGAGTGCTCGAGATGTGTACTTACGACCCTACCCATCTTGTCCCAGTTTCAACGTGTCGACCCGAGGACAAAAGGATTCTGTAGAATAGATTGTCGTTTAGCCAATCGCTCGAGATTCTGCGAATGGAATTTGTGCTCGCAACGAAAAGTTGGGAGAGGGCTGGAGCAGGAGGTTGCTGGCCTACCTTCGTCGAATTTGTGGAATATGGCAAGCAACAGTCAAATTCGGCGAAGATAGTTTTTTTTACCACTTGTGTGCGTTACCTGAGTGGGGTCGCTTGGAATCCCACTAAGGGATTGGTCGACCGACCCTGGCGTGTCACGTGCGGACATTTTGCTCGAACTTCATCAGCGTGGATCTCCTGCCAGCGCCGCCTTAGGTCATCATGCCCCATCTTAATTTTAACGCTGCTTAGCTAATGAGGGGAGAAGGACATGTTGGACATGGCACAGTATCTCGACACGAGGGCTGTTTGCTGGCTCAACCCTCTGATGCAGTGATGATCGCAGCGCATGATCACCACGTAATCCTTCCATGCCGAGGACGCCTGGACAATCGATATTGTATCGCAATCAACTTCGTGGAAGCCGTACTATCCTTCTGCGACCTCGCAAAAGTGAGATTGAGGTACAGTGCGGCTTGTCTCTTAGTACTGTAGCACTTAAGCCAGGCGCTCCCAGTACTCCGTAAGCCGTTGGTGCCTCGCCATTTTGCCGCCTTGTTAGGCCGGGACCCAGACCAGTTTACCTCCACCTCAATTTCAGAACCTCATGACTGTGGGTCGCGTTTGGTCATTCTGCTTCGCTTGTGACACCCAAGTCGCATAACGTATGCCATCAAGTATCGATACGTGCGTGCGGGACAAAATGTCCAATAAGCATCTCGGATCTATGGTCTTCTCGGATGGGACTTCGGATAGGCGAAATGATAGGCCCTGGGGAGGAGGGCAGCCACGGCACTGATCACATCAAAGTCAGTATAACGATGGCTTGGGTACCGACAAAAAATGGCCCCGATGGGCCTAAATTGGCCATACGCAGTGCACCAGTCGGTCAACTTAGGAACCCAAAAAGAGGAGTGAGAGAAGCTCCATGATGGCGGAATCGTTAGCGCTTGGCGAGGCATCCTTAGGGTTGTAAGAGAAAGCTACTTCACGTTAAAGGATGTAAGCAGAGTGAAGCATAAAAGGAGGGAAATGTAAAAATGTTTGAAACAGGACAAAGGAGAAAAGGGCGAGACTGCACCTTTTCAATGATACAGTTGGACCGCAAGGCCGGGTGTCCACCGCCTTTCATCTCAAGATGAAATCAATACCAGCTCTTCAATAGGTTTGAGGTAATTTAAAGAAGTACTCTGGATCTAGACTCAGGACCTCTGCCTGAGCTAATAGTAGGCATGAGAGGGTATGAATGGTAGTGCCTGCTAACTCATAAAGGTCAGACAGGGGTTAAGTGGCAGGTGCCTGCCACTTACAGGAAATGGAGTGAGACAGGGGTTAAGTGGCAGGTGCCTGCCACTCACAGGAAATAGAGTGAGACAGGGGTAAAGTGGCAGGCGCCTGCCACCTACAGAAAAATTCAGGTAAAGTGGCAGGTGCCTGCCACTCACGGGAAATGGAGTGAGATAGAGGTTAAGTGGCAGGTGCCTGCCACTCATGGGAAATGGAGTGAGACAGGGGTAAAGTGGCAGGCGCCTGCCACCTACAGAAAAATTTAGATAAAGTGGCAGGTGCCTGCCACTCACAGGAAATAGAGTGAGACAGGGGTAAAGTGGCAGGCGCCTGCCACCTACAGAAAAATTCAGGTAAAGTGGCAGGTGCCTGCCACTCATAGGAAATGGAGTGAGACAGGGGTAAAGTGGCAGGCGCCTGCCACCTACAGAAAAATTCAGGTAAAGTGGTAGGTGCCTGCCACTCACAGGAAATAGAGTGAGATAGGGATGCAAACGGCAGGTGCCTACCACTCCCCAGGAAACCTTATTCACTCACATCTGTAGGGTGGCGTACCACCCACAGTGGTGACTCCTTCAGGGTAACAACATCGCGCATCTAACTATATTGTTTACATCTTGATACTAGGGCTCAGGCCGTACACCATAGAGATCCCGCAATGTGTGGCTAGTACCTAAGGGGAATGGACACCTGCATCAGGAAACCTTTCCGTTCTCAAATTTAACTTTGGTCGTGAGCCTCCCCACGGGAACATTTCCAGGCCAAAGCTGGCACCGAAGGGGGACGGACTCCGCATCGAGAACTTTCAGGGTCCAAGTACCGCACCAATACTAGTGCCAATACTCCTGATAGTCTTCCATCCTTCCTGCCGCTCGGACCGTTCTCTCGTGTAGCCATAGCTCCCGCACCGCACCGGGGAACATTTCCAGGAGAATTTGGTTGCGCTTCTGGCCGTGTCGTATGCATATTCCTTCGCAGGCCATGTCACTTAGAGCACCAAGGCCATCGGATCACCCGGTCGCTGGACAACCTTGGCAGTTTTAGTCGTGGGCCTCCCGCATCGAGGCCGCGCCGTATGCATATCGAGACCGGGGATCGGCCGGCGCACATAGGTAGCCGGCGGGTCTTACGCCCGATTACTGAGAGGAGATCGCCAGCGTGCCGTGGCTCACCGAAAACGTGCTGCGGGGAGACCAAAATGAAGATGAGGCTCTTCTGCCATCATGAGATATTTAGTCCTACGACTTCCTAACAAGAAAACCTGAAGTTCACTTTCATTAAAGATACTAGAACCTCAATACATTCCAACAAAACTCGTCATCTCATCGAAGAACGCCTGGCTTGTTGCCGTGCGCAACGTCTCCGCCAGACGCACGAGGAGGGTCCTGACCCCTGGTACCTCTATGATACGGCTATGTGGCTTGTTCATAGTGTTCCAGGGGCGTTGAATAAATTGGACACTTTTCCTCTCACCAAGGAAGTCACGGTTCGAGAACTCTATCGCATGGCATTCAGAGGATCAGAGCAACAGCAACTGCCGCAGCCATAGTCGCCGGGCTCGATTGAGGGACATCCCCCGCTCTCACAACCTCAAACTCGACCACTTTCCCCTGTCGCCGGGTTCGAATCCGATTCCGATTCCAGTCTTGACTCCACGGACGAGAAGAAGCCCCTTGCTGCGGCCAAGACGGGGTTTTGGAGACGACTGTGGGATCTGTTGAAGCTAGCTGCGGGTCAGCGCTAGGGCAAACCGACAGCTGGCTAAGAAGATTACTGCTCTTTTTTTTGTCACGCTCAATAATTAATGTTCTGCCACCAGCAACACACCAGCTAGCCATCGCATCGTGACCTTGTTTACATGTGACATCCGATTGGCCGAAACAGTGGGAGTCGCCCCGAGACCCATGAGATGCAACCACCAGTCGAAGCTCATAGGCTGAGTTACCGCCGAGTGGTATTGCAGGCCTCCTTTCCAGGGTCAGGGATGCCGAGTTTTGGAGTGTGGAGGCAAGACGCTGATCGGGATAGTGGTTATGCAGGCTGACCTAAGTACATTACAAAAAATTCCAGGTTTTCCAGTCATCTCGTGAAATGCGGACCGCATCGTGAGTGGCCTCTATGCTACGAGAACCACACCCTTACGCTAATAGACGGGATAGAGGCCTAGTGCAGGTAAGCCTTAAGTTCGCTAGCCTCCGGGCGTGATTCACATCCGTTCTTATTCTTAACAGTGATTGGCCCTACTATGGTCTAGGATTACCTCATAGCTACATTAGCGGCGTGTAAGCCTCATGAGGAGAATGTATATATCTATAGATACATCTTTAACGCATCGTTCTTAAGTCTGGCAGATAATAACGATATCTAAAGATAGGCTCATGCTTTTAATCATAGTATCTCCCCATTCCTATAGCCTTATTGAATGAAATCCCTCTATCTTCACCAGTATGGCAAAGATGGATGTAGATCTAATATTAAGTGTAACTAGTGTATAGATAGCCTATAGCAGCCTGTACTTAGAGACCTAAAATAAACTGTAATAGGGAGGATAATGATTTAAACCTCTCTCTAAGAAGGGTCACCAGCTCCCCTAAGAATAGTATATTAGCTCCCTCAGGCTTATAACTAAAAACTAATATTTAATAACAACCCTAATAAATAGGATAGATAGATCAAGTCGCTAGGCTATTGCTTAATAGGAGTTTTCTCACTCAGCATAGTAGTCAGTCAGGAGCTGAGGCCAGGCCAGTAGGGTGTTCTAAGGGCCCTATATCTACTAACACCACTTATTTTTATGGCCCTGTCGCTCCTTTTCCTGGAGGAATAATAGTAATACAATAGTAAAAGGGTATTACTACAGGTCTTCTTTCTAGGGCTAGAGATACTGATTTAGAGCATGGAGGCAGATATACCTGCTGATTGAGATGGTGGTCATGCATACTGATATAAGTATATAAAAAAGAAACAGCCCCAGATTTTCTACTCACCTCTTATAAAATGCGGCCTGTAACCCACCAACCTCTAGAGTATGTACTATAAGTAGCCTATATACTATAAGACTCTACCAGCCTTCCTATATGCAGACGGCATAGATGACCTATACTAGTAAGTTGCTAGTCTCTAGCTCTGCTTTAGAGGAGTGGGTCTCTTTAGTCGCCTTCTAAATCATAATAAGACTATTGAAGCTTAGTAACTAAGTAAGAAGGAAACATTATCTTACTATAAAAAATATAAGCCGGTTTATAGATATAAAGAAGACTATAGTCTACTATAAAGCACTGTAATCTAGAAAGAGTCATTATATAATATAAACAGCTGAATCAATAGAAGCCATCATCCTCTACTAGATCCTCTACTAGTTTAAGTGAGACCTTAACTAGTATATACCAACCTTTAGGCAGTTATAGATTCTATATTAGTACCGGTTGAATCCAACCTCTTAGTAGCTTATTCTTTATCTAATCTTTATAAAAATATACCTATCTACACACTCCCTCTTAGTTGCCTATAATATAGTTGTAGAGGCATATAGGCCATTAAGAGTCTATATATACAGTCATGTTATATTAGTAGAAAACCTCTAAG